GTTATAATTGAAATACAGTAAAATTTGATTTCTATTTAAATTTGACTTCTGAATTTTGAAAGAATATGAAGCTATCAGTATAAGGTGACTTCAGAATGTAATAGAATAGATTTATGTAGCTCTACTGAATATACTACAATATGTGAACAATTGAATGCATGGCTGGGTGGATTTGAGCTTCTCAAACACATGAAACCTGGAGATTTCAACTGGTTTTTACATGTAATGTTGTTTTATCACACAAAACATGTCCTCACTCAACAGAAACACAAAGCAAAGTCTCAGGAGACTAAAAGTGATGATGAAGACTTGGGTTTGGATGAACAACATGCAGAATCTAATGTCTCTGAATCTGATTGAAATAAATAAGTCCATGCATTAGTAAGTAACTAGTCATATGCCTTATGCCCTTGTTTAGTCAAAGATTTAGTGCTACAATTCTATTTGTCTGACCTAAAGAAGGAGATTCAGGGTCCAAAATTAATTAACCAGAAGTTCTAGTGTTCAATTTCTGTTGATTCCAGTTGGATTCCTGTCGATTCCGGCCGGAATCCTGTGGAATTCCAGGAATCCTACCAGAATTTCAGGAATGCTACTGGAATTCCAGGAATCCTACTGGAATTCCAGGAATCCTACTGGAATTCCAGGAATCCTACTGGAATTCCAGGAATCCTACTGGAATTCCAGGAATCCTACTGGAATTTCAGGAATCAGTGGAGGAATGGAAAGTATTGTGCCAGCCATACCACCACCAGGTTGAATGCAAAATTCAGCAGTGTGTCATGGTTTCTTGCAATTCAAGCATATGGTTTGCTTGGAATCCAAAGTGCATGAACCTCGGGCGACATGAGCTTCAGCCGGTACAGTTACAGTCTGAGTGGTAGCCATAGATCAAGCCTGTTGTTCATAGTCAAGACGGTCGACAATGTGAGCTGACGTATATGGCAGATGATAGACCAGTAACAATGGAATCACAGACAGCAGAAAGAAAGTCGTCAGCAGATAATGCTAGAAGCATAAGTACAATTATTTCACTCGATTTAAGGGACTGAATGTTAAATTCAGTAAATTGCGCCCATCAGCGGATTCCGTTTTTCGTGAGAAATCATTTCTTCCAAAGCCCTTCTACCCTGACTTCCACCCCTTTCATCTCGCCTGCATCTCTCTCGACCCTCTTGCAACCCCCTCTTTGTTGTGGCCAACCCAGGCGACGCACTCGGCACTAGGCCACGCGACGCGCTCAACAGTACCCCACGTACTCAACACTATGCCACGCGCTCAACTTGAACACTACGCCACGCACTCAACACTACGCAACGCGCTCGACATTACGTGACACGCTCGGCATTACGCGACGCGCTCAACACTATGCGATGCCGCGTGATATTTAGGACTCAATGCTCATGTGCCCCCCTCGAAGATCTCGTCAATCTTGGGAAATGGAAGGCTAGGTTTAGTTTTGAAACTTCTTTTTTGCCTCATAATATACATCTCATGTAAATATAATTACCTGCAATATCATGGGAATTACATGAATTTAAGGCCTAAATGACAGAACACAAACATTCAGCCAATGTGATATAGCAGAGGGTTAGGTCCCTGAGCCGAAAGACCCTTAAATCGGGTGCAGGGATAGGCCAGCTCATGGAAATACACCTTAAATTGAGCTGGTTGGCATCACGGGGTGTTAAATCCACTAAATTGAACTTGATTTAAGCTAAATCCATCCCACATAAGCAGTTATGCCGACTTATGTGTGCTTTTCTGACTTATTTTCAGTCTCTTGCAGCAAACCACCTTCCAAATATCTCTTTGAAGAGCAAAAAAAGGGGTGAACATGCAGTGGCAGGTCCACCAAAGAAACTCTGAAAGTTTTGTATATTTCCCAAGAATTTGGCAGCACCCAGGCCCCAATCAAGGATGTGATGTGAGGTCCATTTTGGACAAGGGCAGCATATTTGCCCAGGGAAAGTCAGTACTGGGAATTTTTTTGCATTTTCGGGTATAATAAATACAAAATGGTTGACCACAAGCGAAATTTTGGGAGGGGACGAATCAGTGGGACGAAGCGGCGGGGGAGGACGAGAAGAGGGAGGAGGACGCGACGCGCCAGGTCACGTGGTCACGTGCACCTTCCCCTTTCGGTTGCGATCCGGGAGATCCCGTTAAATCGGCCCACATAAGTATGCACAGGAAGCCTTCCGATGTAGGAGTGCCCATATCCCAGATATGACAGTTGAGATTGCATAAAATGAGAGTTGTTTTGGCGAATGGGATGGAAGACAAATAGCATACAGATAGAGCCTCATGTATGAGAGTAACTTGGGTCATTTGACCTGGTGTACATGGTGTTTCTTCAACGTGCTCCAGATATCCTCAGCCATTGAACAGCTTTCGATAAACTGGTGTTCAGACGAAGCACATTTCAAGAAGAGGAACGCCTGAATAGCAGCGTTGTTCAGCTTCCAATGGCGGTTCGTGCGAGATTTGTAATGAGGGTCAGGAGTAGGAAGGGAGCCATTGAGATATTGGTCAAGACCAGAAGAGAGCTGCAGAATGTGTACAACATGTCAGCTCCACAGTGCATAGTTGTTCATATTTTTGTTGAGAATCACCACGTCCCCCCAGCTAGATTCCTTGACACTCTGAATGGGAATGGAAGGATGGGAAGTGTCGCTAGCAAAGGGGGTGTTGGGCAAAGGAGATAACAAAGAGATTGGGCAAGGTGATGCAGGGTTGTCTGATGAAGGGTTGCCTACAGTCATTGTGAATCAAAAGATAATGTTGGTCAACAAGTACAGCAGGGTACCTAGAAACCAAATAGGCCCATAACCTGTTGGAAAAGGACTAGTATACCCTCAGCCGATATGGAAGAGCAACTGGATATCATTAGAAACCGTACCTATTATACCCTATGAGTAGTACTTGAGTCAGTCCAATGATATAGTAAAGGCAGGATCCGTTACTCACCTCAGCCAATATGGAAGAGCAACTGAGGGAAGGAATGAACCCCTGTACAGTATATATAGTAGCGGTTACATAACACGATCATCCTCGATCATGATCTTGGATGCAGACTTCAACATTACAATGTGGCTTCAATTCTACAAGTCCATACTTTTAGTTATTACCCCTAAACCCTGTTAAAGTACCCATTCTTAATGGTTATCTTGGCATAAGGGCCACAAATAAAAATTCTGGACTTGTAGATCACTTGGAATTTAAAGTCTAAGTAAAACACTCCTACAAATCATGTTCATATGTGCTGTGGTTAAAAAGTTATAGTCCAATCTCTCCAGAGTGCCAAATTTGGCAGGGAAAACAGGCTGATTGCGCATTTTTGGAGCAATAAATACAATTTTTACATGGAAAACCCTCTCAGTGGATTCATTCACTTAATTTCATCAAACCCATTGCAAAAAATATATTGAACTGGTGTTGTGGAAAGTACAAGCTCAATGTACAGTAGAAGTTCTCATAATGCATGACGCTGGGAAGGGCCAATTTCCGATGCATTATTAGATTTATGTCAGTGTAGATAGGTGTAACAAAATGTGACCGTGACATATTGTGTGACTCTAGTGTGACTCTCTGCTGGTTCAGCGATGTCTGCCTTGCCTTCACTGTCTCCACCCTCCTCAGTTGGATTTGGAACACCCTCAGGCTTTGAGAGAGGTCTAGAGAGGTCTCTTTGTCTTCATAATTGAGAGAGAGGCATTCCACCTTCTCACTTCAACTCACATATTCTGATGTCCTCCTCCTTCTTGTCATCAGACTCAAATTCCTTGAACATGTCTGAGACAAATACTTAACATATACTGACAGCAAAATTTCTAGCAAAAGATTGATTAGATAGCACTCAATCATGGTCTCCCCAAGATAAAGGACTTATCTCAAATTTTCTACAAAATAATCACTTAAATTATTGTCAGTGTTGCCTAATTAACCCCAAAATATTCTATCTCATACTGCATATTTGCCCTCAAAATGTTATGCATTATGCGATATGCGAAACCCAAGACTAACCAACATGGGAAGAGCCCAAATGTGATGCTTAATGAGAATTATGCATGCATAGATCATGCACTATGAGAACTTCTACTGTATCAAGAAATTGGCCATGTGACACTGTCACATGGCATGTCACTGGTTGTCACACTTAGCAGGGATTGCCCAACACCACTACTGTACTAATGCAACCAAGTCTTCACGTCATGCATCACATCGGAGAAAAAAAAAAAAAATTATTCACCTTAACTCAAAAGAAAAATTTTCGGCCATCTCGGCGAGAAAAAAAATCCAAATCGATGAAGAGTTGGTCGTATTTGTACAGTAATACTGCTAGTACTACATACTCATGTTGCATGTGGATAAGTTGAGAACCCTTTTTTCTGATCAAACAATGTCTGCTTGTATAGCTCATTCACGTCTTGTTTTGAGTCTTCAACTGTCCACGATGTTGGGTGTGCACGCCGCTAACGAGTCCTGAAGCTTGAAGCTTGAAGCCCAGTGGAAAGCCAGTCTGTTGAGATATAATGAGATGTGTTGAAATGTGATGTTGACAGTTGCCATCAAAGCTGTCAACCAGAACATACCCTGCCCAAAAAGTGAGAACATTTATGGTGAGGTTTGCACAAAATGTGGTCATATCTGCTGTGGTCGGGTGGCGCAAACTTTTAACCAATGTCATCAGATTTCAACACTTTGCACTGAATGCCCATCACTTTCTATTGTATCCTGGCTACACTGCTCTCAACTCATCTCAACACTTCTTCTCAGCATGCACAAATCAGTTTAAATATGCAAAATCATTCTATTAAATGTGCTGAGACCTGGTGGTATATGCTAAAGTAATGCTACCAAATATGTATATCCCCCTACGAAAAGCAGTACACAAATCTGCACTTACCATCATCCCATGCCTCTGTCACAAAGCAGGAAGCACACGTAAATCGGTCTTCACATCATCGTTGTCGCCCGTTGTTCACTGTCTTTGTGGTCATCCATCGTCGTTGTGGTCGTCCATCATCACCGCCACATCGCGTCGTCCATCGTCACCGCCACGTCGCGTCATCCATCCGTCACCATTGTCGTCGTGTTGTCATGTGGCTGTTCTCCTTTGTTGTCGTTATCGTCGTGTGTTGGTGTGTGTGCTGAGGTGGGTGTGGGTGGTTGATGACGGTAGTGGGCAGTGGTGGCCATAGGCGTTGTGGAGAGGCAGCGACCGGGGGGGAGTTGTCATGGAGGACATGGCACGCATGGTGGACGCTCACGATGCGAGGCAGCAGTCACGAAGGGTGGTGACGGTGATGGGAATGGTGATGGTGGTGGTGGGAGGGGTTTGTTTGGTTACGAGTTCCAGCTAACTGCATAACCGTAGACCATATCTAAATTTTACTTTGTGCGCCTTTATTTGTACAAACAACCGTATGCTCGCTACGTGAGTAGCGGGTTTTACCCTACGAGCCACCAAAGCTCTTGCGTGGGTAAGTTTAGCCATGTTTGGCGCCCTCTAAGTGACTCGTATGGACTCGAAGTTCAAATTGCATTGGCTGCGAGGAGCGAACCGCGCAAGCGGTTCGGCGACGAGCAGCCATGCCAGCTAATATTAAACAGATCATTTCCTTCTCCAATATAATATGCTCCTCGCAGCCATTAGACGGTCACATAAATGACCAACTGCCGCAAACAATTGTGGCGGGTGAGTCGATAACGCAAATATTATTTGAATTGGTCAATACATAATCGCCGTAGCGAGCTTTGCGCCCGTAGGCGCGCTGCAGTGGTTATTAGGTAGAACGCCCTTCCAAGTTGGCAAGTTCCAACTGCTCCACCCTTATGACGTGCGGGGCGGGATTGGAGCATTTGGAGCAACTACCGAAACGGTGCTAGAACTTGGAGCAATGGGCAGCGCGCGCGAATCGGCGTCATGGTTTACATAGCCACGGCCTAAAACGGATGTTTACGCACAGACAAAGGCGCAAAGTGAAATTTCAGATGTGGTCTACGATTATGCAGTTAGCTGTCAAGTTGGACCGAAAAGTATGAAAGTGTCGGAGCTTCAATGGACTTCAATGAATTTACGCAGCTGCAATCGACTGCAAGACATCTTACAATGTCAGGGACTTGGTAGATATTCCACCCTTGGCATGACGTTTGGACGTCACGTGAAACCTCTAAGGTCCATTCTTTGTCAATTGAGAATTGGCCTCTGAGGTCATAAGCACTCCTGGCACTCCCTGCTAAATCCTAAATGAGAAGGGCATCAGGTGGCAGATCTTAGTGCTAATACCAGTGGAAGTGTCTGCCAGTGCAAGTGCCTGTCAGTGCAAGTGCCTAGCACTTGCACTTATGATAGCTTATGCCAGTGATCACTCGCACTATTTCCGCGCGCCTGAATGTTACGATATGTTTTATCCCGTATTTTAGATGTTTCTTACTGACCATATGTCAAATGTACCAATTCTATTCGATGTATGTAGGAGTGGCAAAATATCCCACTCGATCTGAAAAGGCCTCGACTCCGTATTCGTAGGGCTCAGTCGGGCAGGGTTCAAAAACGTCCTGGGGCTGCTCCTTTGATGACCAATAGCGTCAAACTGGAGGGAACAACGTGAATCCAAGTGAGGGACTAGAGGGATGTGTCGAGTGGCACCACGTGTGGATGTTGGTTGTTGTGGGCGTGGTGGTGGTGCGGCGGGAGGCTGGACCATAAGGGCAGCTGCCGTTTGGTTGAAATCAATATTGATCCCCATGCGCCGGGGTGGGAGCGCGTCATTGACACCGATTGCAAGAAGAGGATTGTTGTCCGAGCTGTCTGTGCACTGCAGCAACCCGAAGTGAGCACCTTTGTTAATCGTAGTGCACCGATCTTGCTTGCAGATGTTGGAGTTTCCAGGTTAGGCGAGACCAGGATGAGGGGGGTCTGCGATAAGATGTCCATCATGTGGCGGGAGAGGAAGGGGACATGCGTGTTGTTGGCCTGGACCACCTACGCCTGATGGGATCGGAATGTCACCGAATGGGGTACAAAACCTGAAAATCGCGTTGGGACGGAATATAAAGGGGCGCATGGAGGTTGCTGTATCAATTGGGGCTTGAGCGAACAGAGAACCCGTGCCCGTGGTCCAGTGGAAGCAAATGGTGAGCCAAAATGCGTAAAAATGAATGGTGAATTCGTGCCTGTTGATGGGAACGATGACAGAGTAGAAACGAAACCCAGTAAGTACAGATGGAGAACGCGAGCCAGAGGTGCAAGCAAGGGGTGGGTAAGGCAGGAGGCGGGGGCGATGCGATTGAATTGTTTCCTTCCGTTTGTGTGTCGTGCTGACAGAGGGCGTAGAGCTGTGCGACTCAGTCCAATTCCCAGTGCTGGTTGCGCTGGCTTGCACGCCACCAGTTGCTAGCCTCTTCACGATACCCTTCGTTTCTCAACATGGACAGCGCGCGGCGTTGGCGCCAGAGCTGGGGTCGGGGAAGGGTGGGTACACTTGCTGCATCCTTGCGTAAGACGGGCTGGTGATGTGGGTGACGCAATCTCGGATGCTTGAGGCCGTTAACTTGTACATTTGTCGGGGCGAGGATTGTGATGAATGCTACGAAGAGATAAGTAAAAAGAAAAACAAATGAATATCGCAACAGTACCTTTGTAAGCTCAACAAAGTCCCTCGCAGCGTCGTACCCCCACACAAACGTATCAGCGCCCCCGTAGGTTCTCAGCATTGTCATCCTCTGAAGAATGAGGCATGGGATGATGTTGTCAGATGCGTGGAAGGGCTAATGAGGCATCAGGCAGAATTTGAAGGCACTGGGTAGAACATTGCGGGGGTGGATGGCTCTGTATGATGTGAGATGAAGCTTGGGGTGGCTGATGCAGCATGGACTTGGTGACCCCTGGACCTTGCAATATTGCCAAGGGGCCCGGCGGCTAGGCAAAGCACAACCGTGCTATCGTGAGGTTGGCAAGGGGTGGAGTGGTACCTGCAGTATGTGAGCTTCGTTGAGCATGAAGAGGGACAACGTTGAACGTTGACTTGTTCAACATTGGGTCACATGTCCATAAAATCGCATGAGGGAGTGTCCGGGCCGGTCCGCTTGGGAATAAAAAACATATAAATTGTGTAGCGCACTCAATTCCGGGTAGAATATTCCATCTTTCAACAAAAATGTACAGTGACCTTTCCGAAACATTTTGAGATAGGTAGTTCTTTAAAATGGAGGAAAAAAATAAAAGTCTGACTGTACCCAAGGGGTGAAGACGATTTCGTTTATAAACTAAGGATACCATTGACAAGTTATCGTCCGACTACCCTGCAAAGTACCGATCTCAATTTATGCAACGAATAATTTGATTCTTCCGACTAATTTACTAAATCTTCAAGTGTTTAGGTGGAGAAACGAGTGCCGTAGATTGGTTATCAAATCTACATTACAAAACATGGACTTTCAAAACCTGTCTCAACGTCTGTGCATCCATGCCTGGTGCAACGCTAACGTCAAGACCAAGGGGGCATGATTGAAATTTATGGCGGAGAGCGCGTCCAGTGGGATCGGCTACATTCCCAGACCCACACGACCCAACGCAAAAGAAGAGGAGACAAACGGACTCGGTATTGAACATGGTACCTTGTCACCCAGTCTTTGACTTTCGGTCTTGGCATCACCACTAAAAGATCATCAGCCGAGTCAACCAATACTGACAGTAAGGCATACGGTAATGGAGAGAACCACATGATACATCATGCCACCTACTCCACTCCGTAAGCGCACGAAAAGGCTTCCCCTGGTACATAGGGCGTCAAGATCCTATCCAACCAAGCACATAATGTCAGTCCGTTTACGTTGAACACCAAGAACAAACTCACGATGCTCCCCTCCCTACTGAACACCGACCCCACGTACCTCTCCAACTCCACCTTCTTCTGTGCAGCCTGAACGAGAGGCTCAACTGCCTCGCCAGCGGACCGTATAATCTCAACGACCTTCTGAAGGTCTGCCACAGACCTGGACAGTCATCTGAATCAGAATCTCGCACCGCCTTTGTCTCTCTCTCCAATCCATGTGTTTCCTGCTCCAACCGTCTAAACGCATTCCCCACCTTGATAAGCTGCTCAGTCGGCCAGCTCAAGAAACATACAAAGCCTCAAGAAGTCTCATTCAGTCATACTGCATCATCTGGTGAGTTCAATGAAGAGAGGCAATTAGGGAACCAACCTCGATGAACGCCCTAAACCTGGGGGTCACATCCGACATTCATGCTCGATCTTCCATTTCGCATATTTCGCATGGGTGTAAGTGGGGATGTACCCCATGCATGCTTCCCTAAACTCCCCGAAGAGTTAGAGATAAGGAGCAGAGATGGAGGAGATATTGAGGAGGGGCTGTTCCTTCTTCCGGGCTTCAGAGAGCCGAGAGAGGATGCTGGAGTGGTAGCCGAGAACTTGCTCATAATTCCCAAATGTGTTTTTGATGAATTGGTCGAGACGTGGTGGGGGAATGATTAGGGGGTTCGTGGTGCGCAGGGGTGTGATGTACATACAGCTGGTATGTAGTGGTAAGCACCTAGGAAAGAAACACGAAAAAAAACGCACGCCTTCAACGTTTCCAGGGCTTTGACCGAATTATTCACCCTCGCAGCCCTTTGAAACCTCTTCGACGGGCCTGCGCACAGTCTGAGTCTCACTGTCTCGTCCGCATTCGTTCTTCGTCCCCCCCTCCTTTTCGCCCCCCTCCCTCCGCTCTTCCTTCCGTCCCTAACTTGGCCTTTTCATCAGCTTCGATGATTGTCAGAGATTCCTCACGGAGCCCAAGGCGTTGGGATGGTAGGATGATGATGTAGCGGAAACCATCGGTGTGGGAATATAGCACAGGGCGCCAAGTGGGCGCTAAGTCGGACTTATGTCGGTTGTTAGCATGTGCGCCAAGTGGGCGCTAAGAACTTAGAGAAATATCTCGGTTGTTAGTAATAGGAGTGGCAGCCAGCGCGCTGACGCTTTTCAGTGACCGGCAAAAGGGAGCCCTCGCAGTGCCAAAGGATCTGAGATGGATGTCATCTATTTATAGTAGCGAGGACGCCGAGGAGTGCGTGGGCACTAGGCCTTGGGAGGCCAATTACTCATTGCCAAAGAATGGACCTTAGAAGGGGTCCTGTCACTAATCAGTGTCATGCCTTAGGTGAGATATTCATCAATGATTTTGATCAAATTTTGATGGGGTATTTTTGGACTACCAATTCAAGAGCATCTCAACACATTTTCCATTCTCACCCAATACCAGCATATCCTATCAGGCAGGCTTTTCACTGGGCTTGAAGGCTTGATCGTTGACGAACGAAGACGACGGCGACGGTGCATCAAGTGAGTAGGGAGAATCAAAACCCATCCAACACTACGAAATGTAATTCTCCAGAACTCCAACGCTTCGTCTTTGCTTTAACCCACCGCTGGCTCTTGGCCGGCTCTGATCTGGCGGCCACCCACCTTTTGCCGACATGTGCATATGATTTTTACTGCCATCATTACGTAATGGCCCATCGCTCGAGCAGCACCTCCACGCAAGCCCGGCAGAGATTGCGCATCAGATAATCCAACTGCTTGACCTTACGGTGGTTGCCTTGTGACCTTTTCCTTGGGATTTCCAAGGGGGTGATACAAGAGCAAAGTCTCACCGCGCCACACGATGGACCGTGACATATATATATAGGAAGCTCAGTACGACGATATTCTCTCCTTTCCAATAGGACTGGTCATGGTTTTCATCACCCCCGGAATTGACTTTCTTGGCCGTGGAGCGATATTTCTTAGCATCCCAACAGCTATCGTCGTTGGTCTGAACAAATATGTCGGTCTCGACCTCCCCCTTTGGATCCTGATAACAGGGACATTACTCTGCTTTCCAGCTCGCGCCACCATCCGTATTGTGGCGAACCAGATATTCAAGCGCCGTGAAGCGGCCAGGCTGGGAGTTCGTATCGTACCCGTCGCGCAAGGCAAATGGATCGGAAATTTTGACGTTCTGAGGACGATGAATGAGAAGTTTGAATTCGGGTATCCGGGTGCGTCCTCGACTTTGTCAGGAAGGTTCAGATGTTAATACAATTACGCCACCAGGTGATGGATTGGACGAACTTATCGAACAAAAAGGGCTCCTTGTCAATTTGCGCGTTCTCTGGTCTGATATGATACTCACCACTTCCCCGGAGCACATCAAGACTGTCCTGGCGACGGACTTTCACAATTACGTGAAGGGTCTGTCATGCGGAGACCTCTAAACCGCCCGACGAATATTAATATTTATCTATAGGTGAACGCTTCCACTATAACATGGGTGCCGTCCTCGGCACAGGGGTCTTTAATTCAGACGGTATCTACATTTCCTTCCTCGTAGTTCTCTGCTCACACTGCTGATCTCAGGCGAAATGTGGAAGTGCGTATGCGCCCGCGCTCCTTCCCCATCCGTAATTGAAATCTATCAAAGATTCCACCGCGCCATGACCCGCCCCGTCTTCACCCGCGACAAGATCAGCCACTTTGACCTCTTTGACAAGCACGTTGAACAAGCCGTATTCAAGATAAAACAACGTTTCCATGAAGGCTACGCCGTTGATTTTCAAGTAAGTACGCTTCATCCGTCGGGTAGATCTAAACCAACTTTGGGACTCTTAGGATTTAATGTCCCGGTTCACCCTCGACTCCGCCACCGAGTTTTTGTTTGGGAACTGTGTACATTCCCTTTCTTCTTCCATTCCCTATCCCCATACATCATACCTCTCTCATGCCAAGCCAGTACTTAGCGACGCAGCTGACGCGTTTGCGTCGGCCTTTCTAGCTGCTCAGGTGGTCATTTCTACCCGGGAGCGTCTTGGCTGGATCTGGCCCCTCTTCGAGATCTGGCAAGATAAATCCAAGGCGCCGATGAAGATTGTCAACGCGTTCATTGAACCGATCGTCAGAGAGGCTATTGAGAAACGGCGGAATACTCTCGCTTCAGGGGATGTGAAACTGGAGGACGAGAAGGGGGAGACACTGCTCGATCATTTGGTTAGCTTGACGTCTGATCCCGTGGTATTGAAGGATGAGACGTACGTTACTCTCTCAGAGCTGTTCAACGTTAGGTGAATTTTTCGGACAGATTAAACATCATGATTGCAGGCAGAGATACAACGGCAGCCACCCTCACTTTCATCATCTACTGCCTATCGGAACACCCTACAGTCCTGGCACGGTTGCGCTCGGAGATCCTGGCAAAAGTCGGAGCGTCTCGTCGGCCCGATTATGATGATATTAGGGAGATGAAGTACCTCCGTGCCGTTATCAATGGTATGTGTGGGCTGCCACTATGTCTCTGCACCCATCTAAATTTATATCTTTGGGCGCCAAAAGAAACTCTGCGGCTCTTCCCTATCGTGTACGTTACATAAATATACGGAAAGGTGTCACTGACGTTTTTTCTCTTGTTGTAGACCATTCAATGTCAGAGAAAGCATCGACGCCACTACCTGGCCATCAACCGACCCCAACGAGAAACCTTTCTATATTCCTGCTGGTACCAAGTACGCTTTCCAGGAACCATCTCTGAATTTTATTTGTTGAATTGTATCATGTAGGATTCTGTATTCCGTGTTCATGATGCATCGACGCCAAGATCTTTGGGGGCCAGACGGTACGCCCTTTGTCATTCCATTTTTTCACATCTCTAATCAAAGCAGCTGAACAATTCGATCCGGATCGATTCCTCGATGCCCGAGTCAATAAATACCTCATCAAGAACTCATTCATCTTCCTCCCTTTCAACGCCGGGCCGCGCATCTGTTTAGGTCAACAGGTGCATCCGTATCTTTCTCAAACGTTATTTGCTCGGACTAATTTCATTCGGGTCCACTTTGAAGTTCGCGTACAACGAAATGTCATTTATGCTCATTCGGCTCCTCCAATCCTTCCAATCCATTTCTCTCGACTTAGCTTCTGCTCCGCAGGACTCTCTCCCACCTAAGACCTGGATCAATTCGAAAGGGCGCAAAGCGACCGAGAAGGTATTTCCGAAGATGCATTTGACTATGTATGCCAATGTAAGTTGTCTTGAATGTTGATTTCACGAGGTTCCCCATTATCGGATAACAGGGCGGGTTGTGGGTCAAGATGCAAGAAGCTACTGGTGAACAATAATGCTAGATGTAAGTTGTATGTTGGGCTGGATTATCATATTGTATCATTAGTGCTAAGCTGAAGCCGAATTTGCAGCTCGTGCCGTCTCTATATGGACGCAAGGAGTGGATCTGGCATTTGATGGGTAATGTACAGATGTATACTTTATTTCGAGGGATGGAAACACAAGCAATTAGTCAGGTCCAACGTAGGGTACAACGACGACGCATCGAGAGCAAGAAGTGACGATACGAAGAATACGAACGGCAGCAGGAACGAATAACAAAGTCGCCTGGTTAAGGCGAGCAATTAAGTAAATCCGACGCTCAAGTAAAACCGTCGGACATATTGAGAATACTGTATTTGTGAAGGGACCGAAGGACTCGGAGGGCTATTATGGAGATGAAAGCCACTGTTTAAGCAGGCGAGGTAGCGGATTCAGTTTGTGGTTGAGTAGCTCGGCTAGCGGGGTCGACGGCGCGGGTCTCTGGGTAGGGGTTCGCGGGGGCTGCCGTGGTGGTAGTGGTGGCCGTGGTATTAGGATATGTACCCGTGTCTGAGCGACCATGCACGGGACCCATGAGGTCATGATGGTTCATGAACATATTGGCGATGCTGGCGGTGATGAGGAAGAGCAAAAGAATCCAGAGGATAAATGAGAAGGCTTTGATGGTTTCCAAAATCCCACAAAAGCGGTGGCTACCCCGGCAGAATTTGAGGTGCGGGAATTTATGCTGAAAAAAGCGTGAGCTTTTTTGAGGGGGAGAGATAAGGGAACGTACCACGAAGATTGCGGACCCGACGAGGAACATGACCCATAGAATCCACATGCAGACTTGCTCAAAGGCGTATGTTCCCAAACCGGCGACAGCGACACCGCCGATAATGAGTGCAGAACTAGTTTTTGAGGTTAGAGTGCTTGGTTGGCGTCAATAAATATTACATACAACCACAGCGATGCCAATATTGCGAGACAACTGGTCACCAAAAGTTCCACTACGATGGGATCTATAGAATCGCGCAGATTATTAATTGGATGTCGAGGAAAAGGGGATATTCATACCATAGAACGGCGTCTGTCTTGAAGTCAGCACATCCCCGCCGTGAAGGGTCTTCGTGTAATGGATCCGGTCAGCTGTCAACCCAAGCATGACGGACGAGCAACAAAACTAAACCACGCCGATAAGATGTAAATTACTAGGAAGCTATAAAACGACGATGCCTACGATGAAAACCCACAGAAAGGATCGCACAGGATGGATCGACATTGTTAGGTCGGAAAATAGCGGTGAGGATGTGGTTGGCGGTCGGAAGGAGGGTTGACTAGAAATGAATTGACCTTATATCAAAAACCAGAGTGACGAACCAGTGACGACATGATCCATTGAGAAAAAATATGTTTCAAAAAAGCTGACACGAAGCCGTGGTGCAGGTGAGTCTAGTTTAAATTGATTCACCTCGTATGTTTCAAATTTTGTTTGGTCGATGTGTGAGTGATAAGAGACTTCAATACACCAAATCAAATCCAAACAAACTACACTAATAAATCAACAAGCAACTAGACCGTTCCCTCTACGAGGAAGTCATAACATTAAGAGCCTAGGTACTTAAAACTTCCCTAGAGTCCAGCATCTCACGCAGGATAATGACTTTGCCGCGGATCCCATCTGCCATGCAGCGGTTCCAAAAACGCAGTGTTCGCAATGCTAAACAGCAGGCTAACAGCCAAAATTGCCGTAAGCGTCAACCAGCCCAGCCAGCAAAACCCAACAAGCGCAGAAAGCACGCGACACGCGTTTATTTTTTGACAAAAGCCGAGGTTTCCCCAAAACGACTGAACGAATGTATATTTAGCCATGCATTTCTGGAAAAGATGCCGAAACTTACGGTCGTAATTCCCGTACCCACAATCCAAAAGAGCCATAAAAAGGACAGCGCGATAATCTCGTCACGGAATTTGGAGACAAAGCGGTTCTCGTGGCGTTTATGGATGGAGTAAATCCTAAAGGGGTCAATCAGGCTTTGATTAGTACGAAGGCCACCTAATGGACGGGCCCTGGAAACGTGAAGGCCGAGTCGAAGTGGGACCCACATAAATCCCGACCACGGCATCGTCACGAGTGCCGTGAAGAGCAACTCCACCACTACGGGGTCTTCAAAACGTTACATTTGAATGAGCTTGGCCATTGATTAAAAAAGGTGACTAAGGCACTCACCATAAAATGAGATACCGTTATTCAAAGTGTCTCCTTTCCGAAGATGTGTGGTATATTGTATTCTTGCCGCTGAGAGGCAGAACACCAGGAAGGAGAAAAAGGCCTGTTCGTTGAGCCGCGGACGATTAGTTTATTATTTCAAAAGGAACACCCCGACTCACCAGGGCGCCATAGAGCCCTATGCGTAGGAGTGGTAGATCAAATTTAAAGGCCATTTGAGGTGTTGTTAGCGACGATCAACGCCCAATTCAGAGGCAAGGGAGAGGAGGGGTATGTACAGGAGAGTGGTCGGGAGGGAAGAGAGTAACGAGCGTGAGGGAGCGTATAAATCCTGTGCGACAAACGGATGACTGCAGGTAGGGAGGAGAAAGTCAAGAGGACATGAGGACACCCACATCCGCACGACGTCCGCATTTTCTTCATTTATTGTTTCCGTAAATGGGGTAGAAGCGATCGGACTAAGATCGGGCGTGTGATCACCCTGACAACTGTCCACGCCAAGTCCGTAACACCATATGGTGAACAGCGCTCAGCGCTCAATTACGGACAGCATGTCAAACCCGCGCAGGACGGCGTTAAGAGTTTCTGCTTGGACCATGACTATTAGGGGGAATAGATGTAGCCATATATACATAAATCACGAATAGATCACGAATGGGTCCAAGTGGTCCATTCGGCAATAGCAGGTGGTTTAAATAAAAAGGGTATGAGTATTATTTATGTCAACACGACAGGTCAGCCGGGTGGATTTTCTTGAGATTCCGTTCCGTCCGTAGGAGGCGCATGATGCTCGTAGAGACGTCAACAGTCGATTAATGGCGGATATTTCATCGTGGCAATGATGAAGGGGGGTGTAAGGGTATTCACTGAGGTCCATGAGGATGATTACCATCTGGATGGAAGGGCCTCTTGGGATCTTTGATGAAGATGTTGTCGCCCTTGACATTAAGGAAGGAGTACTGTCGAAGATCCATCAGATGGAAGCAGAGGCATGACAGGCAAACAACTTACCTCGGCGAGCTCAGATGTGCCCTGCTTGTTGTAGTTCTGGTAGACCAAGTTGGGCTATCGAAAAGTGTTAATACGTTTAGATGGATGCAAGGCGACAGCAGACATACCTCTGTCCAGAATGGGCGGAGGCCAACAGCCTCGAGCATCTCCCACCATGCCAAGTACTCAGCGAAGGACTTCTGCCAGATGTGGATCTCAAGCTGAAGTTGCCCGAAAGGAACGGGGAGTCCAGAAGATACGTATGGTTTGAGAAGGGTGGTCAGAGTATCAAACTCCCATCCTTCAATATCGATCTTGAGGATATCAATATGGGTATGTCCTATACAGCCGTCATAAACGCGTATTCAAGACGAGCGCGATAGAAACAAACCATTCATCTTCATGAGCGTCTCGAGGGTATACATGGGCGGTGTGTCGTCAGGACCATGCTTGTCCGCGCCAGACAATCCGAAGGCCTTGAAATGGGTGCGGTGGCCAAGAGACTTTGGAATTTCAGGTCCGAAGGACTTTACACTGAAATCATAGCCCCAGATCTCACAGTGCTTGGTATTCTCCAAAATCTCAGCCTCAAACGAGGACTCGTAGTTAATTCCTATTCAGATTCCCACGCAATCAGAATTCTGCTGTCATAAAAGTTGTGACGTGGAAGCTCACCAAAGGAATAGACGACGCAATCCGGTTTCTCCTCTACACGAGAGATACCACAAACCCATTTCCCACCGTCTCCAAGGGCCCCGAGCCGCTCAACCTCGTGTGGGCAATTGAACGCTGCTGGGAAGAAGTCCCCTGTGCGTCACGTGGGTTAGAAAATAGCGCGACGTAGCCGAGCAGAAAAGACATACAAACGGTATAAGGAGGCCAAGGTGCCTTATCAGGCGGGAAACTGATGAAAAGGGTGGTCAGCGTGGCCCAATATTCAAGATCAGGTGTTGCTTACACGGCAATGTCCTGTGGTGTCGGACCAAACTTCTTGATGAGCCCTTGTCGGTTCGTGAGCAGTTTGTCGTAGATACGCGTTGAGCGCTCTACCCGAGACGACAGGTCGTTGTCCCTCATGACGCTCGAGAAATGGACATTAGGCCGGTGCTCAGGAGCGTAAGGGATCAAGAAATAAAAGGTAGCGATGAGGACGAGGCCGACGAGGACCGTGTAGCGGGGGTGACGTTGCCAAACGACAGGCATGGTAGACGACGGGCGTTGAGGGAGATGAGCGTTGAGGAAGGTGGTCGCCTCACAGTTGAATGTAGAGGGCTTATGGGGGTAGGGACGAGGAAAAATGTTCACGCAGGGTTGATCAAGTCTCCATGTTTGTCTCCGCTTGGTAGAGACGCTATCCCCATCGAGCGCGCCAAGACAGCTGAATTTGACCTCGAAAATCGTTGTCAAATTTTGAATTTGCCTCCTGAGTCCATGCATAAATACACTTCGCCTTCATCGACAAAGTACACCCTCGAACTTTTGAAGAATCGGTTTCTCAAGCTTCAAGCTGAAGGAATTTCGGGCTGCGGCGGCGTGATCGACTCAGCGCTTGACGATGGCCTAGAACAAGTTCCTGGGAACTTTGACATACTTACATGAGAGTTGTGAACAAGTTGTGAAGGTAGGAATGTTGTGGCCCCGGTTGTCCGCTTCATGCACACCTACTTAGGGGCACAGCAGAGCGTCCGTCGTTAACTTTTCAATGAAGGCCTTCCTTCCAGCTCTAAATTCAGCTGAGTGGCAGAAACAGCTGCTGATTTCAAGTGAAGCGTGTGTGTGGCTTGGCGATTTATGTGATGGAGAAGGTGGATCGGCGGAGAGAGAGACTGAGAGATCGGATGAGCAGACACTTGGTGTCAACTGCATTTTAGAGGCATCATCAGCTGCCTAACTCTTGCTTCAAGTCGTTTCCTTTACTCCGGAGGAAGCGTCAAGGTTGCCGACTGGGGCAAGTACTTCTGACTAAAAATTCCACTCGCCCACAGAACCAATCTCGGCGAGGCCCCACCGTCGAATCATAAAAAGAATCAATCATGAAGCAACCTTGCGGCAAAACCTGCATAGCCCTCCAACTTGCACAAGCTTCCGAATCACGACAAGAATGTGATAAATTATTTTTAGAACATGGTAAGAAATTGGGAAGCAAATGGAGTCGGTCGCGGATTAGAGAGACCTGGGATTTACGAACGTGGAGAAGTAGGGAGAAGTGTTACAAAAAGAAGAAAAGAATATGCCTAACATGCGGGGCTGACGCTGTGGCGGTGTGATTTTTTGTTTATAGCCCGATCATGAAGGTTGGCACGCCGGCGTCACTGTTTTCTTTTGTCGAGACTGCATCCAAACTACGGTTTCCTTGACCAACGCTACTACATTCCACTATCCCTGACAACTTCCGCACCAACATCATCTAAAGATTGACAAGTGTGCGCACCACTGACAATGTCACAATGAAGACTTTAACAAAGTCGTTAGGCAAGTAAGCATCCGCGTCGTTCTATTGTTGGACCCACAGCGGGCTTGTCTACATCGAAGCGCCCAAATGAACTTAAATAATCCATCGATCTTCAGATGGTCCACATTATCCTTTCCAATTACCATCCCCTAATTTCGCACGCGTTCACTTCGACAGCGCAGGCGCGTCACACTGGTTGGGAAGTGAACAAATCTTTTCATTATAATAGTAACACCTGCATGGTTTGTTTCTTTTAACTGGTGGTGAATGGGTAACTTATAGCCTTCCACAGTTCCGACAAAGTCGAGAAACGTCTTTCGTTGCGGGATTTTTGACAAATCCCCGCTCCAGCATCTGTCTTCCTTTTCAGCATCCTGTGCGATCGGTACTTCGCAAGAAGAGCCGACAAAATAGTTTCCAATCTTATTGTCGTGCCTTGTATTGTCCACCACAACACACGCGCCACGTGAGGTTCGCTGATTTACCGACGGATGATTCCGACGCCTCCCCACCGATGCCTCCAACTCCTAGACTTCCTTGCATTCCCCTTGAACCGTTGCCCGAAGAAGGCTCGCAATGTCCGTACGAGCCTTCTCCATTAACCAATCGACGGCATAGCTTTCCCCCTTCCTCCCAATCGTCGTATTACACAATGAATACAAGCCGGGGGCGACTCGCTTACCACCAGGCGGTTGACTTCAATGCCTCTCCCTCCATGCCTCCTACCACAAAACTCCCTCATGACATCCTTCCACCCTCCCCTGTTCGGACCCTGAATTATCCAGCCGAGACGGACTCCAAATTTACCATGGAATTAAATTCTGGTGGTCATGGTTGGGTGGTCTCTGCCGTCATGGGGAACAGCACTCTGGATTTGCTTCTCGGGATATCTTATCAACTCGAGATTGATCATTCTTACGGACTGAACAAACCCATCACGGAGCTCACTCTTCGCATCTCCACGTCGGATGAACAAGCTTTTCGGGCTAATTATCGTCAGTTGTGCAACGTTGTCTATCAGGTCATTCAGCACTATTCAAAGCATCTGACCGCAATAACCATCTGTTTACCGCGTGATTGCCCGATGGGGCTCTCGCCCACTTCTTACAATTTGCGTTCAACTGTGGATCTCGGTGCTCTTCGTCAATTCGTGTGGGCGGGCCCTCTGGATCTTCTACCGAACTCTTTAAAATGCTTGCCATTCAAAGCCGTCGAACGTCTCTCTCTGTCACGTTGTAGAATCTCTACTCCTGATTGTTTAGAGATTTTATGCTACGCACCGAGAGTCAAGGAACTCAAGTTGGAGGAACTGGCTGATGTGCCATCCATTTTTGATCATCGTCGTCGGGGAGGAGTTGTTCTTGACCAGTTAACGTCACTCACGCTTGCTTCAAACATCGACCACGATGCTTTCCTCGCAGCGATCAGGATGGAAGAATTGCGAACGGCCTATCTATCATCCTCATCATATCACGCCATCAAACTCCCCTCATCTATTCCATTGGGAAAGATGACATTGTTGACTGTTGATGCGCCATCCGTCGACGTAGGATTTGTGGACTCTGTGATGACCAGGTTGGACGACCGCTCTGAAGGAACCCGCCAATTCAGCGTTATAATAAACAACAGGTGTATTGTTAAGCGTGGAAGGCGTCCGTCCATGGCTCCTTCCTTTAGATAGTCCTGTACACTGTACACAGTACACGGCTTGCGATATAATGTGTAAAATATGTGATATCTACCATAAGAACACCTTAATCATCAGTGCAGCGGAATTCAATCTGAACGCCTCCCCGCTTGACCCTTCGAAACGCGTCTAGCTCACTTGGTAAAGCATCCGCATCAATTTCGACAGAGACAGATGTCAGCGCCTCCATCTTCGATTTTTTTATGTGGGGTGGAAGACGAGATGAAATCATCTTGGTGATACCTTCAGGTGATAAACAACCTGCCAGTTTCAATTTTTTCAAGCGCGGGAGCAACTGGAATTTGTTGTTTGAATCCAACGTCAGAGCGGCAATGACTTCATAAGGGATGGTCGTCCTGGCATACAAATCCTCTACGTAGTTCAATTGTTGGGAGGAATGTAGGAGAAAGTTGAGAAAATCCACGCTTTCCAGATAGACTTTGAACAACTTGAGGGTACAGGAAGAGCGGCGCAGGAGATTGCCAAACTCAGATAATCCCCGAGATTCTTTCGTAGGATTCTTATACTTGAGGATCATCGATGTCAAGGCAGGCGTCACAAGGCGATTGAATACCGGGTCTAAACTTGTCCTTGCACATATTGATAGATGACGTAGATGTGTGAGGAGGATCGGCGTGCATGGTTCTGGAGAGAAGCCAGGACGGTCGATCCAGCTGACTTGAAGTTTTTCTAGTCGCGAACATTGTTGCAGGAAAGTGCAAAATTCGTTTATATCAAAATAATGTGAAAGCGCCACGTCTTCTAACTGATGCCACGGTATGTGTGTTGGCAATTGTATAGTGTGGGCGTAGACGTCGTTCCAATCAACATGAGAGAGCTTGGGAGAAGAGTGGAGGACGCTCCAAATTCTATCGACTACTGGCACATCGTCGTCCCACCACATATCGAGTAACGCAGATGTGAGCAAAGGACAAGGGGCGTCTCGGATGTTGGCAAGTGATTCTGTGATCCTTCCGTGCACTCTGAATGTGATGTGCTCCCAATGATGGTAATGTTGCAATAGCAAGGCAAAGATTTCGTTAGTGACAGCTTCTTCAGCCGTACCGGGCCTGACTGATTGTTCAACGAAGAGCTTTAATGGATGCTGCCTAGCCCGTTCAAGCCATATCTGCATTATTGGGACGACACCTCGGGCGGGACTGGACACCGAAATGGAACACCAGAGAGATGGCATCGAGAGAGCGATGGATCTCCAATATCCGCAAACCTGGCCCAGAACCATAGGACTCGCAACCCATTCCGGCGAGACAGAGAGGCTAAAAGCATCAAACTCTGTCTCAAAGTCGCCCAATTGCAAGAATTGCGCAAAAATCTCTCCCAGAATTTCGACGGGCATACGATTGACGGGAGGTGGGACTTCGGATTTGGCGGGCGGAAAATGAAAAGGATGGTCGTATGTAGGGAGAGAGGGGCCTGAAGTTTTGACTTTTGCAAACTCGCTTTTCTGGGAACCCCCTCCGAGTCGGGAATTCTGAATATTGCTCTTCCAAAAGGGAGGTACGCTTGGCTGCACGGCAGCACATAAACCTCTGAAACGTAGGGCATTCGATTCCTATAACCTCATCAAACGTTCAGTTCATACAACGGAGAAGGAACGAGCGTACCATTGCTACAATGCTAGCAGCTTGAACGGATGGACGTGTACTGAAGTTTGTTTCTGGAATGTGTTATAGCATATGTCGGTCAGGAATCACACCTCTATAAGGCATTGGGTGAACAAGGTAGTACTCAAGTGTGAGTCGAAAGTGAGAGCAACGTTAGTGTTTTGTTGTAGTGGCCTTGTTCAAGTTTCAACCAAGTTTTTCAACCAAGAGTTGAACCTTGTTTTGCTTAACAACTTTGTATTGCTATGTATATGTTCCTCTTCGTTCGTTGCCATAAACAGTAGTGTACTTACCACCAGGTGTTGCAATATGTATAGGGCAACATTAATCGGGACGTGGTCGCGTAGTTGGTCGTTTGTAACCTACATATAGCCTTCTTTCCATCATCGTGAATCTTAATCGCTCTAGTAAGGCATGCCCCCTATACTCCAATAAAATACGCGTCGAATAACTTCCCCATGATACTCAAACACTCCAAATAGTACGTTAATTGTTCCACAGATACAACGCAGTCGGGTCCATAAAAGAGTGTTGTCTTAACATACGCGCATCATATATCCAGAGGCGAAGAGGAAGAAAAAGTCCCGTTGAAGAAAGAAGACGAGAGATTAGGCCGACTTCCCTTTTATCTCCTCTCTCCTCTGATCAAACTAGAATACGTAGGTGGAATCTCTGGGCCAGGCTCCTCCTCCTCTGGCACTCCATGGATGTTCCCCCTCATCTCCGATCCCTGCCCTGCATGGTGCACGACCACAGCTGATCCATATCTTGGGCCAGGACGCAATGCTCCGGGTGGTAACGCCGTAGATCGAGCAAACGACGAGCCAGTGTCCCCAGCTTGGGAATATCCTGGGTCGTCCTCCGTGGGATTGATAATATGCGGGCCCCTCATACGCAAAATCTCTGCTTCCTTTGCGCTGCGAGGATGATAAACGCCTCCGAGGCCACTACTTGTTGTATTTGATTCGCTCCTAGAAGACCCAGCTGACGGTCCGGTTTCAAATGGATTGGTGTAATCGACGTATCCTCCTCCCGGTCCCGAGGAAAAGGAGTCAGCCTCAGAAAACCTGGACACGATAGGTGAGCCTGACAGAGACGTTGCGCTCGTATGGGAGGTGAGAGTATTCGCTTGTTGACCAGTTGCCGCAACAATCGGGGCTCGATTGACGCTGCTCATCTCGGCTGATGAGGGATTGTAAACGAATGGGGTGACAATTCCACCACCGATAACTGTATTCGCGAGCCGGCCACCCATACCGTCATCCTCCTCCTCGTCGTCATCCACGTTCGTGTTGGGAAGGTGGCCACTCTCAGCGTGATGTCTTCCAGAGAGTCGACCAGGATCGAAGATTGCAGCAAAGTTGTATTTGTAGCTGCGCTGTCGCAAGAAGTACCAATAGAAAAGAAAGATAAGTACCAGTCCGACGACGCCTGTTCGTTGTCAGACGTCAATAGTTATGTCCAAGGAAAATCATCTACCTCCTACGACACCTCCCACAATGGGCCCAATGTTCGAACGCTTAGGCTCGATGACAGAGAGGGCGCCAACAGTAATAACCGCGCCAGGCTCGAATACCGTGGTAACAGTGAACACAGTCGTATGAGCTGCTTGGCTGTAGGATGTTCTATGACCGGTGTCAGCGATCGTCAAAAAGAGAAATCGCGTCGAGATAGGCCCTCGGATTTGTCGGAGACCAAACCGATCAAAGTGGCCAAAAAGGGAATGCAAAATGACTTTGCCTCGAGACCCAGCCTGGTGACCGTGCAGTGCACCGCAAGGAACTGCATATGGCTGGATGGGACTCACATTGATGTGGTTGTCCAAATACTCGTGAACTCCGCATTAACTGTCGTTGCTGAGTATATCCTCGTATAACCAGAACTCGTGGATGTTTCGATTGGATAATTTGTTGGAGTATAATATATGTAGGTGTCAGTGGAACTTGGAGGGGCCGTATGGACTGGTGTCGGCTCTGTTGAGGTCTTCTGTTTCTCTGTCAACGAGCCTGAAGAAATAGAAAGGTGGGAAGAGGTCGAAGAGGTCGAAGTATCGAAGGGGAGTGAAGAAGGAGAAGGAGAGGAAGGGAGGAAAGAAGAGTCAGAAATTGGGTTAACTACAGAGGAAGATGATGAACCGGATGAAAGGGAAGAGGAGGATGAACTCTTCGTCAAAGGGGAAACAGTCGCTGAGAGCTCACTAGATGGAGATAGGGTGGACGAGCTCCTCGATGAAGAATCGACGGAAACAGATTTTGAAGAGACAGCTGTTGAAGGCTCACTAATTGATGACGGCAATGTGCTGATTGAGCTCGACGATGCGCTCACAGAGGAAGGCGACACAACGACAGATGGGGGTGATACGACAACGGAGGAAGGCGATACTGTGGCGGACGACGGGGTCACCTCGACAGACGACGGAGGCGCTGCGGCTGAGGTGGGCGGAGCAGCCGTGGTGGTGGGAGCGGCAGTAGTGGCCGCAACTGTGGTAGTGGGAGCAGCCGCAGTGGTGGGTGTGGTAGCGGCAGAAGTGGGAGCAGCGGCAGAAGTGGGAGGGGCAGCTGCAGAGGTCGGCGGCGCCTGGACGGTCGTCGCTGCTGACATGACCCCTTCGATGGCTGGGTGAGCGAACAAACGAAACCCGAGGTATTCATTTAATTTAAGAGGCCGCAGAATGCCTCGAGGAGGCCGTTTGGTTGCGGCCGGCCAACTATTTTGAGTCCTTCACCGTGTTGGTTAATGCCGGTTAGCCTATAGATAGGAGTTGTTTGATCGATAGTGTGCCGTCGTAAATGGACGTTATCTCTTGTACGCCAAGAGCTGAGACCGTAAGTACAATCAGTGACAGTTACTCCAGAAGAAAAGAGATCATATAGGTAGGACTCACTGGCACTTGGGTCTTCCTATCTACCCACAGTAGGTTTGACCGAGTTGGAAAGCCTGATTAGCATCACAACCAAAAACTCGGATGACGAAGGCAGCAGTGCTTGCCGAACATCAGAGCCTCGCTTAAATGCAGAAAGACCTTTCGGAGCCTAGCAGAGGGGCGCCCCGAGGGTACAGCCGTGAAATCCACCCCTGACTGAATGACCTTGGCGCTGGCAGAAAAACGTGGTTGTGTTTGTTTACTTTGAACTCTCAAAAATAGACATCAACAACTTCTGGTTTTGCTCCTTACAGCATTGTTCGCCTTTCTTTTCAGCGCTTCCTACCCCTCTCAGCATCACAAAATCTCGACGCCTCCCTATCGCCTTCGTAAAATATGACAATTATGCCCCAATAACTCAAAAACGAATACACTCTTGAACGAAAAAGACGTTGAGAACTGAAACCGCCGGAGGGAAGTACCAATTTCGAAGAAATTGTCATAGTAAACGTTGCCACAAGTTGTAGTTTCGTCGAACACAATTTTTTTGGTAGCTTGAACAACGTTCTCTTTTTTTTTTTTACCTGGATGCTCCAAACTACGGCGCTTTCATCTGGTAATTTACTGTGGTATGTGTTGTTCGGTCATTATGACTATGACAAGGAGGGCCTCAAACAGGAATTGAAGGATGCTGCCCAAGCGCAGTGGCCAGGGATATTTAATCCGAGCTTTACTTACGCTGTGGTTTTGGAAACTGAAGATAGATATTAAATAGCTGTTTCCTATACTCAGGCTTTCTGTGCACATTGTCGAACTCCCTTGGAACTCCCAATAAAGAGGTTGGTAGACCACCCTGAGTGTTTCAAAAAAAAGCTTCCTTGAAAGTGTTATACCCAATGATGGACTTGGTCCCGAATTGAACAGGTACCTCTAAGCCCGAGTATCTGTGAGCTGTACATATGTAGAGGTGCGTTGCGCGCCATGCGCCACCAGTCCGTGGTATATACGGTCAGTCCAAGCCTAGTAAATGAAAGAGTATTGCGACTGCAGTAGAATCCGAGTCGGCTGGCCGAAAAAAACACTCCTTCCCTGAAGGTGGTCAAAACCAGCATGCGCATGTCATAAAAGCGATATCATTTGGATACCATCAGTACATGACCTGTTCCCGAATCGAACAGAATACCTACTACATACCACGTACATAGGTGTCGAAGAACGTAGAGGTGCGCAGCACCTGCACCATCAGGCCGTGATACACTAACCACTACCATTGTTGAATGTGGTCTGGCAATTTGTCCACGAGATTCTGATCGGGCTAGCATTTCCTGTGTTGCAAGACGTCAGCTTCACATGCCACGGCGGGCGATGTTACGAGGGAGACTTTGGGGTTCTCAAGAGGAACCAAATTTTGAAAGAGAGTGAGTCGTTTTACAAAGAGACCGAGTATGTAACACATTCGCGTCGCGCCAGCGTTAGCGCCACGTTGGACTTATGGAGGATGAAAGAGGTCTGTATTAAATATGCAGTACTACGTATAGACTTAAGACGGTCACGATACAAAAGCGGGGGGGGGAATACAGAAACGAGGCGATACAAAGTACGAGGTAATATAGATATACGGCCAGGAGGTATTTTGTGCCATCCTACGTCGGATTAAAAACAATACGCTGGAAAAAAAAAAAAGGACGATTATATAATGGTGTAGGGTATGATGAGGCACGAAAAAGAAAAAGAGCAAGAAAGAAGAAACACGAAAGCGTGGAGACCGAGAGGGGGGGTAAAGGGACAAAAAGTCAATTAATTTATAGAGTAATATGTTGAGAATGGGGGTAATACCCTTCGTGTTGAAGGCCAACCTGGCCAGGATATTGATGTGATGGGTGCGTCGGCATTCCACCACCACCCGCATAATGCACCGGCGCCGTTGCAGCATGTTGTCCAAACGCAGCACCAGTAGCACCCCCTTCCGCATAGTGGTGCATAGGCAAATCCATCGCATATTGTGCAGGGGAGTCAGTCTGCGGGAACGCCGCAGGAGACTCGGTCCGGAAAATAGGCTCATTGTACATCTGGGATTCGTTCCCACGTTGATGTTGTTGTTGAGAATCCAAATTCATATTCATCATCTGGCGCATCTGCTCCTGCAGCGCGCCCCCAAAGCTCGAGCTGCGCGAATCGGATCTGCGGATCTGCGGGTGGTAGTCATTATTTGAGAGGGGCATGGGGTGGATTGAGGGGCTTGAGTGGGTAGAGCCGGCACGAGAGGAGGCGCTGTACCCCGCGTAAGGGTGGTATCCCCTCGAAGCCAGAACCGGGATGGAAGAGGAACTACCGGGAGAGCCACCGGTGATGGAAAAGTCACTGCTGGCTGTCATTGGCCTCCTGATAGGCTCTCCATTGCGAATGATGGATGGCGTCATACTACGGTGGCGTCGGATGGGACCGGGACCACCTGCGGCAGCCGCAGCGGCGCTCTCCAGCATACCAGGAGGGTACAATGCCGCATGATCGAATGAGTGCTTGTGAGATGGGGCTGAGATGGATGTAGCAAAATCATCATCATAAGCTGAAGATGCAGCTGACGATGACGAGGAGTGAGATGTGTGGACAGGCCGCATGAAGCCAGCTGGGGAAGAGGTCTGGGATGAACGGTTGCTGTTGCTGTGAATGTGAGGTATCGATCCCGGAGGAGGGGACGGTACGCTGACGGCACTAAAAGCTGGACTATGCAGGCGTGGATGTGCCCATTGTGGTTCTGCAAACTCGTTCACGGACGTGTTTCCCGAGAACAGCGTGGAATTGGGAGTGTTGTTGGAGAAGAAGCCTGCTTCCTGCGAAACAGGCTGCCCGCCGGTATAAGGCTGAGCACTCGTCCCATTGACCGTGCGCATGATCAACCCCTCTTCATCATCATGAACCTCCTTTCCTTGCACCTCCACCTCGCACATCTGCATATCCCCAAAAGCAGCTGCGCCACCAAGCATCTGAAACGTGTTCATATCGATGTCAACGAGACCCGCAGCAGTCGCCACTGTAGACCCGTGAGCAAAGATGGACGAAAAGTCATCCTCACTTTCAGCCCCACTGCTATCTTCTCGACCATCCCCCCCACCATCGATCCAATCTCCAATCGCTCCAGACCCACCACCCTCTCCACCACTACGGGATGCCGACCTTTCGTGAGTCCGCATATGCTGGTTGAGGTTATCACTCCTCGAAAAACGCTTATTGCATTTCGAACAGGCAAACGGTCGTTCCATGGTATGCGTCCGAAGATGTCGCTTCAGGTGTTCCATCCGTTTGAAAAGACGTCCACAGGAGAACAGGGGACACACAAAAGCCCTGATCTTCCCATCTTCAGAGAGTGCTTCATACTGCGTCGTGCTCGATACAAGTGCTGGTGGAGGTCGATGATGATGAGGGACGTAGCCCGTGTTTGAGACGTACGGAGCCGAATTGGGTGGCGTCGAGTACGCCTGTCGATGAGACGAATCATCATGACTACGTCCTCGCATCTGATGCTGCTGGTGGACCCCACCAAACTGTTGTTGCCGCTGCGCTTGCCCTCCTCCCTCGTAATACACCCCCATATCCCCCATGTTCACCATACTCTGAACCCGCGGCTTCCTCTCAACGGGGACCATCTCTCCCCTAGCCTGCTTCAAGAACATCTCCGCAGCACTCATCGCAGCATCGCTCTGAGCCCTCAACGACCCAAACTGGGATTGACGTTCGCGACTGAGGCTGTTCCCCGCACTCGATGTTGACGGATACCTATCACGTCCCCGTCCACGGTCCCATTCCTCGCTGTCTTTACGTGGTTTCGGGAGAACGCCGCTTGCACCTATACTTCCGTTCTTCTTTGGCCTGCGCTGCTTGTACGTCGAGCTCCCTTCAAACAGCGGGAACCCAAAGAACTGGTTCCCCAGAACCTCAGAGGCGACGACGGATCCCGATGCACGTGCGCCATCATCTCCACCACCGGTCATGGCATCATCCACATCGCTGGGGCCCTCGCTCTCCTCCCCAGTTACGTCCTCCATGCCTACTACGGCATCTTCGTCCAAACGACGAACGGCTACCTCCAACTCGCCTTCGCCCTCCCTCACGCCTTGAGCTTTGCTGAACTGTTCGTAGAGGCTCTTCTTGGGGTCGTAGGTGAAGGAGAGGGCGGGTTCGCCGACGATTTGAGTGGTGGGTTCCATGCCCATTTTTTCGCGTTTTAGATCACGTTCTAGGGCGTCTAGAAAGAGGCGGTCGTGCGGGACTGAGAACCTGCGGTAGTAAATTGTTGAACACGGTGTAACAAGACATGTCCACTGTCGACTTACCAATAAAACACTTTTTGTTTCTTTTGCGTCCGAATGCATTGGTATTTGAAGAGCAGATCCAAGAAGGGGCTCTTCAGAACAGTTAGTTGTCATGAAGGCAAGAAGCAGAATCGAGGAACCAGAAGAAACAAGAAAGCAGACAATCCATTCCCCCAAGAAAAGTTTTCCGAGAAGACCGGGGAACAAAAGACGCCCGCAAGTAACACAATAGCCGCGCACCGCACACAACCCACGCATACACCCCACAAAAGACATGTCACCATACCCCACACACGGTACAAAAGCCGCTCCCCGGTCATCCACCACCACCCCACCCCACCCTAGCCCAGAAGTCCCACAACACAAAAAACCCCAAAGAACCAAAAAGTCAAAAAACCCACCTTGGGTTCCTCCAAACACGCATCAACGCCGGGCTTGAGGTTTCTCAAATCGCTGAACACGCCTTCTTCGAATTTCTTCATGTTGCGGATTGGGCGGCCGAATGCCTACGGGGGGGGTGTTAGTATTAGTTGGAGGGAGAGTGGGGGGTAGGGAGGGGACGTCGCAAGAAGGGGAGGAAGGGGAACAAGGAAAAGGAGGGAAGAAGAGGAAGGGGACGAGAAGAAGACGGGAAAGAGAGGGGAGAATGAAAACCCTCGTCCGTTCGAAACACGAAGATGGAATAGGGTAGGAAAACGCAAGAAAAAGAAAAAGAAAAAGAAACAAGGAACCCACCTCGAATCTAAAAACCAACGCCCTAACAATATCTGTCCCCGTAATATGATACAACCCATTCCAAAGAACACACGTCACGAATTCCTGACTAGGTAACAAGAACCTATGCAGTGCCGGATGGGGCTGCGCTTGTGCTTGGAACGCATCTCCCGTTCCCGCTCCCGACTGAATGGCAGTAGCGGAAGGAAGGGCCTTGGAATCCCACCTAGACGGCGCAGTCGCCAAAAAGAACTTCAACCTATCCAAATGCGCCAGTCTATCCTGTTCAAGCGGCTTCAAAGCACGAGAAAGGCCGCCTGAGAGGCCGGGTGTGGATGTTGTGTATTCGCTTTGGATGCCTTGGCCTTGGGGTTGTGTTTGGTCAAGGGAGGAGAGGGAAGATGAAGAAGGGGGGTATTCGTTGGGTGCGCCGTTGGTAGTGGTAGCAGTGGTAGTGGTGGAGTTGTGATGCGGCGTAGGAGGCGGCGTAGGGCCCTGCGCATTCGCATTCTGTATCTGCAAGCTCGACCCAAACGACGACGCGGGTGGTGGCGGTAGTGGCCTCGTCGCAGTAGGCGTAACAGCGCTCATCCCCCCTCCCCCTCCCCCACTCAAACTATGACTATTAGGCAAAGGAAGAGGAAGCGACAATGAATGGAACTGCGTATGCAGATGCGCATTTCCCGGACGGGCGGTTCGTTCGTTGGGGTCATGTTCGTGTGCTGTGGGTGTTGAAGTTGTTACTTGAAGATGGAGTGATGAAGAGTAGGAGTTGCTTCTCGTTTGTCCTCCTTGTCCCTGTCCTTGGCCTGTGTGGCGAGGTGGGTAGGCACCACCTGGGATAGGGTACGTCTGGGAATGGGATAGTGGATGATGATGATGGAACCTCGAGTTGGAGGAAGAAGGCCGGTTGTCAATGTCTTGTGGGTATGATTGAGGCGAAGAGTGTGTGGATGATGGGTTTGAATGGGTGTATTGTTGCATGATATTGGTATTATTATATGGATCCATGGCTATAAGAGGAGGATTAGGATAAGTCCAGGGCGGCGTCAACTCACCGGAATCACCACCTACAGCATTAATGAAATGAAGATGTGGTTGGACACGCGAGCACCTCGAGGCGAGATTGATTGCTTTATCGTCGTTGGGGATGATGAGCTCGTGGTCGTGAGCGAGGCAGTGTTAGTCCTGATGATGGTTCGAGTTTGATCAGACGCCGAGGGGGGGGGGTATCTTCAATCAATAAATCATTTCATTTCATCCACTCACCAAATGGAGCTCCGAGTCTCTCACTCTCATCCGGCCCACGCCCTGATATCCTCACCCCCGAATGATACCGCAGAAAATACCATCTTGAGGCGAACGAGCTCACAGTTTCTTATCGCTCCGCCGGGATTTCAAATAACAAATCCACTTCCTCATCCCCTTTCCCTCAACGCTCCACGTGTGTACCGCGCGTTTAAACCTCAGGATCGCCTCAACCAAGTTCGACGTACGTTATGATTTTCAATTATTTACTCGTAAAGTTGATTGATAACGTTTTTCTGACCAGTCATGAATACTTCTTACCGCGTCATTCGAGTAGCTCAGTGGTTGGCCAAAGACTGTACGAATAAACGAAAAACGGTGCCTAATGCCACCGTCTCAAAGTTTGACGATTCCTCAACATCAACATCTTCGGAGAAATACTATCTCTGCGGGTGGAACAAAAATGGCATTCAACGTTATCATCCAACAAGACCTCGAATTCGACGTGTTCGATTTGATGTTTTCTTCTCTTCAAACCTGATTAGAAGCGTTCACGGAAGAAGCACCCTCACAAGTCAAGTAAGTATTCATCCAACAGAATTTCGAAATCGACCGTGCGTTCGTTTAAATAACCTCGTTCGAACGGTTCCGAATCTTTGGATTTTAAAGTCGTTGACGACAGCTGGCGGAGCCTGGCCATGGGTACGTGTAAGTTTCTACATATTCCCTCAAACAAAGTTGGTTAGCCAGAATAACTCTCCCACAAAGTACGTCCATTGAACAAGTCATACCAGCGACACGACACGCTGGCCCCAAAAGCAAAGTGAGCATCACGATCATCGTTACCAGCCAACGACGCCCCTCATTGGTAAGTGCATGCACGTTATGATGTTTTCTTCTCTTCAATCCTGATTAGAAGCACTCGCATTGTTGATTTTGTTACGTTCACCTCGGCGACGCGATGCCCTCGGGGAACGGTGAGCACACGGAGTCCCCCCTCCGTCCATTATCTAACGAGAAATGAACCCCCGTCCGGCTGCCTAGACGTACGTCGGCACCACACATACATTGAAGTATGTGCAGGACAATAATACCAGTCAACCGAGTCCGCGTTATTGCGGTGGGTAAATATGCATTATTATTATTAGACCGCTGCTGACGAGCATTCGTGGAAAACACTCTCACAGGGCATATTGTTCACGATACCCTTAGTTCAAAAGTGAGTAACAGACTGTTGAATTATGTTTACCTTGGCGACGCAGAACCCCATGTGCACCTCTTTTTTCTCCACAACTCTAAGGAATGGCCACCCCGCCTGGATTTTTTTTTTATCGTGGTGAAGGAGAAAAATGTTACCAGTCAAGGGGGTCCACATTGAATTTCAAGGGGCTGGAATGAGCGTGTAGCCATCCCCTCTTTCTTCGTTATCCAATGATGAGAACTCGCGTCTGAAAAATCTCTCACACGGGCAAGGCAGATTGTCAAGTTATACACAACTCAAGCCTCGGGATCCAAAATAAGGACGCATGCACCCCTTTCTCTCTTTCACGACATTGACTGATCGAGTTGGCTGGGAGGATTCGTCCCTTGGGATGGCGGAAACGAAGCCCGTATTATGATGATTGATGTAAGTGAGTCGTGCATGGATGTACATAAGTTATCAACCTAACATTTCTCTGCGTGTAAGGAACTCACATACGAGACATGTCGATAATTCATGTTCACCTCGGCGACACGATGCCCTCGGCCTTGAAAAATAACGCCAGTACATAACCAACCCTTTCTTCCACATTATCGAATCATCAATTCAACCTTCAGTTGCGGGCATCATGCATCATGCATCATGGGTCAACACATGCCTATCTCTTTTGCGGCAACTTCATCGAGCAAATTATTGCGAGTCGACACTGGAGTGTGCGTTATCGTTGTTGTAAATGGCGACACACTTAACTCCTTGGATTTTTTTGAACACTGGGATCCCTTCTCACGTACACAGTCCCTTTGTCAAATCCAATGGGTCAACACATGCCTATCTCTTTTGCGGCAGCTTCATCGAGCAAATTATTGCGAGTCGACACTGGAGTGTGTGTTATCGTTGTTGTAAATGGCGACACACTTAACTCCTTGGATTTTTTTGAACACTGGGATCCCTTCTCACGTACACAGTCCCTTTGTCAAATCCAAATTTCAACCTCAGCACGACCGACTTCCCCAGCCCCTCAAAAAGTACACGACCTCTCTTCCTTTGGTAGCCATCCCTTCCTCCCGAGGCTCTTTATCTAAATCAACGTTCCCAACTCCGGCTCGACTCCAATTTCCACACTCTGCCACCGTTCGGAACGGGCGTGATCCTCCGTCCTAGGAAATGAAAGCTCCGGCCGGTCGGGCCAGGCACTGGGTTCAAAAGTTAACTCAGACTGCGCAATGTTTGCGCGTGCTTCGCCTGGTTCTGGTCACCCCTAGGCCTGATCCTATCTATGCACATGCTTTATCGTCCAGTATTCAGCGCACTGCACGTTGATTGATTGGCTCTGGTCCCATCCAATTCCCATCATTGGTCCATCAATCACACTTCTTCCCATCATCGATATCTGTTCGGGAACTGACTCGGCGGGTCAGAATGATGAACAGACCGTGGCCAACCTGTGCAAAGTCAAGATCGTCCTCGTTTTCCGTGCGCCCCCGTCACCGTGACTGAGGTGTCCTAACCGCCTGAGTATTTCTTAACGTGGAATACTACACACTTACTGGTTGTATATTCGATTCACTCTCATTTTCTTTCTTCAGGGCCATTGTACCCGCGAAGCAATTCAGGGGTATACATTATAATAACGCACAACTTCACCCACACCACCTCGCAACGTGGGGTTAAAATTAAACAACCGCTTAAGAGTTAATTCCGCCTTTTCCATGGGAAGTTACTCAAGTCAGAACGTGGTCTCTCCAGGTTTCCGACGTCCCTTCTTACGTGGGTAGATGGCCTCGTATCGGAACTCAACTCAATCGACCTCCTTCTCTTCTCGCTTTTCTTTCCGATTTACTCCTCAGAAAGAAGGCCAATGAACCGCGCGTAGTACACCCCAACACAAACCTTTGTCAGTATCTGCTACAAAGCAGATGAAAGGGATGCGATTAACACCCGCGCCACTGGACGACACATCCATACCCACTCCTTCGTTAAATTTATCGCCTTTCCGATGAAGACGGCATCTGAATCCCTCGCGTCAACATTGGTCTGATCACTTTGCCGATGAGAATATCATTGGTACATTTGTACGTGTCTCAATTCCAACACTATTCACTCTTCACACAGCACGAACTGCCGCACCGACTAAAAGCACCGCACCAACCTCCGTTGTGAAATTGTAAATCAATTCACAACCCACCGATGCACTGTAACAATCTTCACTGACTTACGCAAAATACTCCAATGTACAAATTCGCATCTCGGTCGGGATTCGGAAACGATCATTCGAATTTGTTTCGAATATCGCGCTCAATTGCGTCCTCATAACGCTGAACGTTGGGAGCTGTCCACGGCGCTGTAGTAGGTCAGGCGCGGATAAAGCTTAATCCCATTCACGTTCCATCTTTATCTAATTTCAGAAGTTATCACCACAACCAGACCTCTCACCATTCTAGTTATATATATCCTGCCTACGATATAATTAGTTCAAGGAAGCGGAGCAAATGGCTCGCACCGTGATTGACCTTGCGAACAATCGGTTCCCATAACGCCTCGCTTCCTCTCAAGCGGATTTTTATTTTATATTGAACTGTACGACCCAAGTACGACCTGCACCAAATCGCTAGTCTTGAAGCTTGGAGACCCCGCGTGCTAGGCGTTGAATCATTGCAACAATAATGACGGTAGTGTAGTTTTGCTTTGAATATTCTGCCAAGAAGCCTTCTAGGCATGCCAAGTCTTCAAGCTCGCACTGAAAGAGGAGAGATAGGATAGGTTGTACACACCATCGACATCTAAAAATACATGTGGAACTGTGTACAACACGGGCGTCAACGTTGCCGAACTTACTGAGAATGACGAACAAATATGGAACTCCTACGTCTAATTAAAATAAAGCCTTGAGCTGAGCGCTGACTCACCCATGACGCATTCTCGATTGTCGGTCGAATTCCTGCTGCTAGATAAACTGAATTGAGATTTTTTCAAAAAAAAAAAAGTCTGTGGTATTCCACGAAATTCGGCTTGACTCAATTTCTGCCGTTCTCAAAACAAAATGTAACTGTAAAATCAACCTGTAATCTGATAAGTGGTGTCTACTTACTGCTTCAGGATCGGGGGATAGATGCCCGGATAGCTGTCAGCTAGATCTATGTCCCTCAGATCCTCGCCGAGCGGAACGGAGGAAATAGAGAACCCTTATGGAAAGCGTGCCATGTTCATAATTGAGGTGTCCCAAATCAAGGTCAGAATTTAACCAGATTCGGTTTTTCTGAAGCTTCAAGGCGCTTAGTTGCACAGACCGCTCAAGGTCGGACCGGAGCTTGTTGACGATGGAAACACACTCCAAAGAAGTTCTACGTCAAGGGTTACTCATTTTACTGAGAAGGCGATTGTTCAACTCCACTCTCAGTTTCTTTTTCTATGCGTATTTGAGTAAATTTACGCCTCTTGGGAAATATGTCGTGTTTTTTTTCTAATTCAAGCTCTGTAGTTTCTGGCAACGCCAGTCACACAATTACTTTTGGCTTTCAAGAACAAGGCTATTCATTAATATTATTTCTCAGTAGTTCTGATGAATTAGTGCATGAGCAGTGAAGATATCTACTCTGCCTTTCGAGTTGGTGGCTTAGTACATAGACAAAAATAAACCTAAATTTGGTTACGGGCCTTGATTCAAACATCTGGCGATCCTCTCTTGATCCTCTCGGCTGTTGCCGCATCAACATTCCAACCAACGCGAATGAGGTATCGTCTCTACTCACTGGCCGATGAAAAGTGGTGGTTCCACAAGCTCTGATATCTTTAGAAGCGCAAGAACTCAAGGGACCCTATGACAGCTGGAGACGACAGGCACAAATCTTCGGAGATAACATCTGTGGCATGGCGATGTCAGGATAGAAGTTTCCAGAGATCAATCAACCATACTCCTCAGATTCTTATGCAGCAGATAACAAGGCCAAACCTCTCCATTTGAATGTACCAGGCTGCCAGCTGGGTTATAAGGCCAAGCTGGCCGTTTGTGTCCATCCCTTCTTCGCACCATTCATCCGCAGTCTCCTCTCGCTTCAGCATTTCTCTGGTCATCTGATTGTGAGCGCCCATGACCGCTGCTGAGCACTCAGCGTTTTTGCTCCAAATTGTCAAGGTGAGCACGTTTGGCGCTATTATGAGGGGTGGCACTTACGCTGGAAAGAAGTATGTCAACGGTGGGTAAAGCGCGTCAGGGATCGGAACACATCTAAACGGTTTCTTATGGTAGTCGCCAGCTTAACGATACTGGTGCGTCAAAAGACAAAACAATAGTTGTTCTCGTTTATCTCATGATTGTACGTGTAGGTCACCGACTACTTGCAGACTCTCGAGTTGGAGGTGCGCTCCTCCGATCTGCTATGATTCGCCACTGAATAATCTCAAGATTGAACTTATTTGGCGTGCAAAATGGGGGTTGGTCAAAATACTCTTCCTGTTCGCCCGGTATTCCACCTTCTTTGATGTTCCCCTGGTGTTGTACTGTGCGTGTCTCTTCCTAGCCATTATTGCAAACTAAACCTTTCCTTTTTGCAGACTCACTGGCTCCTCATCCATCCAACCAGGTACAATTTCTCTAATATCATAGATTGGTGCACAAGGTTGATCTCTCGACTAGAAATGCTTGGTTATATATTCAATCGCATCTTGTGAATGTGGTAATATTTCACTGTGAAGAATTGCTTGCTAAGGCTATGAATTAGGGTCCACATGTTTTGGGATTGAGGTATCGGAGGGTGAGTTGCGTACATAGATCTGATATTGATAACTGAGAATTTGCTTCCCTAGCTATTCTCGTCATCCGCACCTACGCTCTTTCTGGAAATAGCCGAAACATTCTCATCTATCTGTTAATACAGTTTGCGGTTAGTATCCATCCAGACCCTCCAACCTTTTCAGCATGTTACTTAGTCTTACTAACTCTGTCAGGTAATTTCGACGGCAGTCATCGTAATCCTGGTCATTTTCCTCCGATCATTAAGATGTTCGTTCCCTCCATACTTATCTCAGCCGCAAGTTAAAAAATTTCAGATGGAGCTCCTCCTCTCCCCACTGTTATGGGTTGCTATCCGACGGAGGGTAGCAAAATCTTATTTGCCGACTTCGTCCTTCTAATGTTGAACGAAACGAGTTTGTGCCGTTTATTCTCTTCGACTATCTATCTTATCGTTTTCTCAGCCATAATGATATTAACGCTATGGATCGGCGTCAAACGATATAGACACTCTCGTAATCCCCTGATCGGCACTCTCTATCGAGACGGAATATTCTATTTCATTTACCTATTTTGTGCGTTCTCCACCCAGCCGCTTATATGGTAAAACTGAAGTGGCTAAATCAGTGATATCGGCTGCCAATATTGTGGTGCTTGTCGTAGGGCCTGTACGTCCTCTCCAAAACTTTCATCATTTAACTAATTTATTCCCACCCAAGCCCGAACTTATCGACCTGGTGGACACGTAAGACTCTTCTTTACTGGGAAAAAGCACATTTTCTCAGCTCTTTTTATCCAAGTTTTCAACGCGTCATGCATAGTATCTTATCCACAAGGATTCTACTTCACGTACGCAATACAGGTCGAGACCGGGAAGTTGTCTCGATATCAAACCTTCACTTCGGCTCAAGGCCCGACCGCCGGAAGTGGTATCAGAGCAGTACATTTGCCACGGACCAAAGCACTGTTGTCCCACCTACAACCGAAGAAAACATTGAGTTGGAGTAACTTGATCAACACATTCACTAGCAAAATTTTCCAGCCTGCATGATTGCCCAGGTGCGACGTTTTATTTTTGCCTTTTTGAATGGCCTATCAACAAAGTATTACGAATCGCCCAGCTGAGCCCGCTCGCGACGCATGCACAAGATTTCTTTCTTTCTCGTTTTGACATGATCGAATTCGGCGGAAGGAAATGCTAGGGCATTATTTTCATCTTTCCAAGACTTATCAACCGTCGCATGCGGAGAGAATTACACGGCTAGGGACATGGAGAATTTGCATAGTGTGCAAGACGCAAAATAGTTACTCTGCTGTAGCTTCACCTGACGTTGTGTAATTAGGAAAAAGCTCCTGCCAGCGCGTCTGGCTGGCACTATCATACGACCTTAAATTATGGGAACATCCATGCACAAACAAGACTTCGATATTTCACTTTCGAGGACGTGGCGGGACGGAGCGGACGTAGTCGGCGTGGCTTGTGATGACACTGAAGACTAAGCCAAAATTAAAACAAAGTATTCCGCAAACCACTACTGAAAACTCGGAAGAGTATGGAATTGAAAGGCTCAGACGATGAAAAGAGAAGTCTGTATCAGTGTCCGCGACGTATCATCTTGACGCGACATGTCACGTGGAAAGCTCATGTGATACACGTGCTGGGAGTTCCAGCGCAACAACACTCGATCATGGTCGTGACTTGCATCGAACGTTTTACCCCAGACTTCCATCATCTCCTTAGGTTTTATCGGTGTACAAGCCCTTCTAACCCCAAATCCCTTCTTCATAAGTCGACGTTTTCCTTATGTTTTTATCGGCAGGATTCACAGGTACGGCTTAGCAAAGTTGCAAGCTTTTCTGTCTCTTTTCACCTCCAAATCTTATTCTTTTGTTTCAGAATGACAATTTCGGGTTAATTCAGCACCAGGACGGGTGATTAATCTTCCTTCACGTTACAGCTCAGAATTTTTGATAGCAACTCTTATCAATTATCGATACATCTGCTCATGCCTAACGGTGAACACGGAAATCCGAGGAACAGAGCTCAGAAGCGTGTCTACCACCGCTTTTGCGAGATTACAGCCATGCTTCTTTGATTCTCATGCGCACTGCCTGATGATAGGTCGACTTACGCTAATGACCCGGTGTGCAACTTCCGTGTACGCTTTAAGACCAAGATGGCTTCTTGAAGCCACTACCATCTTTACACTCCATTTCCCTACAATTCCCTCTTCTTGTGTGCGGCTAAGGTTGAGAACATTTCATGGAGAACGGTTTCACGGCCGCGGAACATTCTGCGTTCTTGCTGCAAATTGTAAAAGTGGGCCTATTTCTTGCAGTATCACAGCGGAGTGAAACTAAATTCAAAGCACAGTATGTGAACGGTGGGTAGTATGGCGTGTCAAATCTCGAAACACATTTGAAACATTTTCTGTGGGAATCACGTTATTGGTGCGATGACATGAAATTCGCATTCTTTTATCATCCTTCTCATCATTGCACAGGTCATTGACTACTTGCATACGCTTGAGTTGGAAGTGCGCTCCTTCGATCGGTCCTCATGATTTCTTACTGAATAATTTCAAGATTGAACTTATTTGGTGTAAAAAATGGGGGTTGGTCAAGATTCTCTTTCTATGTTCCCGGTATTCCGCCTTTTTTGACACGCCGCTTGTTCTATATTGTATGTCCTCTGCTTCAAACCACCATTTTCTGTTGCGCACTAAAACCTTTCTTAGACTCATTGGCTCCTCACATATCGACTAAGGTACAGTCTTCCGGGCACCAAATATGTCAGGAGTCGGGTCATCTCTCGACTAGAAATGCTTGGTTATTTATTCCATCTCGTCTTGTGAGTACACATACATATATCTCGCTTTTGGGACATGAATCATTGAGGTGTAAACCAGGGTCAACATGCTTCGGTATTGAGGTATCGCAGGGTAGGTGGCTACACAAACTCCATGTCAAAAGCACCAACTACTCGTATCCCCAGCCATTCTTATTATCCGTACCTACGCCCTTTCAGGGAACAACCGAAATATTCTCATTTATCTATTGATATCATATGTGGTCAGTTCTCAAGCATGCCCTCTCCAATATCAGCAAGTTGATCTTTCTTCACGTTGTTAGTTCGTCTCCTCATCAGTCATCGCCATCACCGCCATCTTCCTTAGGTCTTTGCAATGTTTGTTGTCTAAAGCTCTTGCACAATGGTGGACTGAGATCTTGCAGACGGAAATCCTCCTCTCCCCACCGTCGTCGGATGCTACCCCACGGAAGGTAGCAAAATATTATTCGCTGACTTCGTATTGCTTTTGCTGCATGAATGTTGTCAGTGCAGTCCTCCTCTCCCTAAAAGTTGAACATTATCTCATAATTTTCGAAGCCGTTATGGTTCTAACGATTTGGATTGGCGTCAAACGGCATCTCCACTCTCGAAATCCCCTAATTGTCACTCTCTATCGAGATGGGATATTTTACTTCATCTATATGTTCTGTACGTTCTATATTTCAACCATTTTCGTCAATATTGAAGTTATTAATGCAAGTGATATCCACGGCAAACATCTTGGTGCTTGTTGCAGGCCCCGTACGTCGTTTTTGAGACACTCTGACAATCACTCAATTCATTCCCCATCTAAGCCCGAACTTCTTGACGTTGTGGATACGTAAAATTCTTGCTTTTTCAACCAGCGTTTTATCTACATATTTTATCGCAGATTTCAGCGCGTCATGCATAGTATCCTATCCACGAGGATTCTGCTCCGCATTCGCAACACCGGTCGCAACCGAGGGATTGTCCCAGTATCAGACATTCGACGGTTCCGCTCGACTAATAAACCTGGTCACCGGAAGTGGTACCAGAGTGGCACACCCGCTGATTCTCACTGAATGTCCAATAGTCTAGTATTTGTGAGACTTTACAAAATTACTGTAAAAATGGGATATATATCAAAGAGACTAGCGGCCTCGCTTTGCTTTACTGCAATATGATCACAATGCTTCTTCAAGATAAGGCTTTATGTAAATGTTGGCGTTAATAAATGAGTAGTGCTGTTAGCGTTGCTCTCAGTAAAAAAATGTTCGCCCTTTCGGCTCAGCATAAATTTACCGTGATTCCTCGTGAGAACTGATTTTCGCTTTCATGGCTTGCCGTTTTGTTCTTCAAGGAGAGTGATTGGAGTCTCGACCCAAGGTCACGCAAAGACGTCAAAATAATCGCATACAAGATCACTCACATTCTTCTTTTTCCAACATTTTCTCCATCGTCCCGACAACATGCAACCGATCCCTCACAGTAACGCTGGACCCACGAATAATACCCTTTCTTCAATTATGGACGATCTAGAAGGTTTTCTTGAGCAAGGCGGTGTCATTGACCTGCGAATACCACTGCTCAACCATCCACAAAATGCCATCGACAACAGGATTTTACGCAAGATCACCAAATATACGAAACCCAAGCTATCTACTACGAGATCTACAGCTCTCTTTCTAAGCACCCTTTCAGCTTTGCTCTTGTACTTTTTCACCTTCGGCGCGGTCGCTCGTGACGTCCACGAAGCAGAGCTAGTCATTGAACGCGTTCGGGCAACGGCGGGCGAGCTGAAGGACATCATCGTTCAGGCGGCTTCTGAGGGTACTCCGATCAAGACAAACTTCCTCCTCCTTCTGGGCGGGTTCGACTATCGCCTTGAAGATCGCACTAAAGACGGTCGATGGGAGTTTGTACCGAATCTACACCACAGGTGGATGATCTTTTGTCATCGTTACCTTAAGCAATGCGAGATTATCTTACTCACGATTATGGTTGCGTTTACGTGCGTGTCCTTCTCTTTTCTTACGCTGCCATCCATTCATGTTGGTTTTGACGACAGCGTGGCTGCTCTCCGCATCGGCGTCATATATTACAGATCCCAGATCCCAGGCGTTCTCGATCTTTTGGATTTCTCAACGTCACTGATTTGTTTGGTAAATTCGTCGGCGTCCTTCGCCAAGTTCCATGGTATGCAATCAACGGCTATGGCGATTGAGTGGGTTGCCGTGAGTGTTTTACTTCGTGGCCTTTATGAGAGTAATAACAAGCTCTGCCGAGGCTTAGACACTTCGGCCTCGTCCTGAGGTTGGCGTCTGGTGGGATGTCGAACGGCTCTCTCTCCCCCGCGTATACTTTTGCTGGTAAGGACGCCCTTGCTGCGGATTCAAATATTTCCTGCTCAGCCTGACCACTAGGTGGAGAATATCGATTATCCCAAGGATTCTGGATTTTTCCATTGATATCATCATCGGGAATGATTCATGGACGGTCAACCCAATTACTACATTCTACTGCCACCTTCTCATCGCTGTGTTGTTGTTCTTCGGCCTTGGTCATGGACTCTGGATCTGCGTTTGTGCTCGATCTGACAAGAAAGCCATGGAGGAATCTTGGAAGGCGCGAATAAACGCATACGCCTTTGAGGCCAACAATGCTGTGCCGGAGAAGAAGAACGTGGACAAGGAGATGGAAATGGTAGTTGTTTGATCCTTCAATTGGCTTGCCTTCTTGGACGTTTTTCTCTCTCGTCTCTCGACTGAATCATCTTGTACATTCAGAACCCATCTCCCATAGAAAAACTAAATGTACTATCATACGTATTACGAATAATCTGCGTTATAAGCCTGCGTTAGTTGGAAAATGGGCCTGACGGCTGTTTTTCTTCTCGGAGACTCTGAATCTAAGAAGAATCCTTACTTTGGAGTCGTCCATCTGCTGGGCTGGCATGAGGAGGAAGGTGGGTTTCAACTTAAAAAAACACCATCCGGCATACGAAGATAAACTGGACTTATATACAAATGTCATGCGGTATATCGCCTCACAACACCGTCATCACTTGCACTCCAGATTTCTCCTCCTCTGACTCGGATATTCCTGACTGGGTCGCAATCCACCCCAATTAACTCTGCCGCAACGCCTGGTCCTTCTGGAATAATGCTCGCGATATATGGCAGGCCATCCGTCGTCGCTATTGCCAGTCCCACCTCCTCCGATTTCAAGATGAAGTCCAAATCCTCGACGCCGCCTTCAGTCCTACTGAAAGAGGTCAACGGAGTGTCAAACAAACGGGTGTCGTAGAGCGTGACGAGCCCAGTGGACGAGCCCGTTGCGAGGAGGTTACGTGAATCGGAGTAGGCGATGGATGTCAGAGGCGATGCTGAAGGCACCGACGACCGATATACGCTGCGCTTCGAGCCCAGATCAAATTGCTCATAAGAGCCGTTCTGAAGCCCGCAGAATACGACCTTTGATTGTGTCTCTGGAACCTCAAGATCATTCTGCACAATCACTGGTGATTCTTCCCCATCAGGTGGCGTAGGCATGCGATCTCCAAGACTCATAGAAAGTATAGGAGACGCGGACGAGATGGAGGTGATAACGGAGCCGGAAGATACATCCCATAACTTGATGGTTGAATCAAGAGACGAAGATACGATGTTGCGTCCCACAGAGATGATCGCAGTAGATGTGACCGATCTTGTGTGCGCTCGCAACGTACGTGCTGGGTAAGCTCTGATTTCTGTAGCGGGGGAATCAGGGAGGTCCGCAGAAAGGATGTTCAGGGAAAAGTCCAAGCCAGAGGAGAGGAGCACCCTAGATGATGGGAAGAATTTCAGCGATATGACGCTACTGAGATGAGGTCGGGAGATTGTTCGGCCTTTTGCCGTTGTGATTGATTGCGGAAGAGGTGAAGGGGAAGATGGGAGGGGAGTGGTTGGATACAACAAGACCGTTCCATCAAGGTAACCCGTTGCGAACCGCGATGAATCTGGGGAGATGTCAAATGCTGTTATGCGTTGGGGCTGCACGTTGGATTAATATGATATCGGAAGCGGATGAGGTAGTAGCGCCTTACACGTCGAGAATTTGAACGCTCTGGATCGCAATAGTTTTGAATCGAACTGACGACCTTAGTGGGGGCTATTCCCAACGATTTACACGAGATCTTGTACGCCTGTGCACTAGTGAGTATTACATCAGAGTAAATTATGCAGAACACGCACACTTTTCCCCTCAGCTTGAACTTCCAAGACCTCTTCCTCTGGTTTCAGAACAACGAGGTCGCGATTCACTTCGTCAAGCTCGACAACGACCTTCCCGTGGAACGATGGTTCACCCATCTTGTAACAGGAAACCCAGAACTTTTCGCTTGGAATTATACCCTCCTTGACTTCGTGAATAACATCTGGATACGTATGCTGGACTGTTATCACTGGCAGCGTCAACGAGTTTGAGCCTGACATGGATCTGTAGTCGTATCACGTACACCTGTTAGTCAGCGTATAGCCGGTGTTTGTAACTGTTTGTGTATATCATCATTTGTTTCTCTTCGACACCCTCGACCAATTCTATGTATAAACAATGTATAAACCTGGAGATCTAGATGGTGGTTTGACGAACGATATTTGTTTCCCAATCTTTTTGATCAAATTTGAGCGCCTACAGCATCTGTCATCCTTTCAACAAAGGGAGACTCCGGGATAATTTTTTGCAAGGTAATTCCTCTCTCACCGGTCCACCCACCTCTGGGTGTTTCCACGTAAAGTCGATCATATTTCAGATCGATCTTTCCACTGAATTAGTTAGTCGGTGAGTTCAACATACTACAAAACACCCTCCTTTTTTGCCAAGGTCCAACCCTGTGACATGGCCTTGTATTTTGAAAGCTTGACAGTTGCTCGACAGGTTTGTGTGCCGTATGAACTAAGTATTATAATGTAAGTACTTGTGTTCCCACGTGGGAATTAAAATTAGCGCTCAGCCTTGTGATCAATATGAGCGTCGGTTTCCATGACTCCTTCTTTACTTTTGCCGTCATTACATATCCTTAGGCCTTTGAGCTCTTCGCTGAACGATGTCGACGCCCATTCCCATCTACACTCCGCCTACTGTGCCTTTGCGGACGAAACGTAACTTCAAAGGAGCTCAACTTGTCGCCGATCCAGTCCCGAGTTCTCCTGCATCTTCCGTTCCTGCACCGCTGAGGATTGCGCCAACCGCTGGTGCTAGGAAACGACCACCTCCTCTGGGTGGGAACGCAGGGCCTGCGCCGTTCCCCGACTTTCCAGCCGAGAGCCCAACCACTAGCCGCACTGGCACCATGCCGACACTATCAAGCACCTTGGCGAAGCTGGACCTAACTGCGACGACGAAATTTGACCTACGGGACGCCGATCTGAAGAAACTTGCAGAGCTGGGGCAAGGAAATGGAGGCAGTGTGGTGAAGGTGGAGCACGTTCCAACCGGAACAATCATGGCAAAGAAGGTGTGTCCCTAAGATCGACCCCGTCTCAAACCGAAAGATTGATATCACACTGCCTAGATTGTGTTAATTGATGCCAAATCGTCTGTGCGCAAGCAAATCGTTCGCGAGCTTGAGATCATGCACGAATGTCGCTCAGAGTACATCATTTCCTGTTTTGGTTCTTACCTCGCGGAACCGAACATCTGCATTTGCATGGAATTCATGGACAAGGGGTCGTTCGACGGAATTTATAAAGAGATTGGCGCTATCGATATTGAGGTCGTCAGCAAAGTTGCGCTATCGGTTTTGGAGGGTTTGACATATCTATATGATGTTCATCGAATAATCCATCGAGGTAAGGTTTTGCCGCACAGCCGGCGCGGTACCCTGACGTGTCTGACAGATATCAAGCCTTCCAATATCCTATGCAACTCAGAAGGTGCTATCAAACTAATTGACTTTGGCGTTTCTGGGGAACTCATCAATTCCATTGCCAACACGTTTGTCGGGACATCGGTATACATGAGTGTACATCTTTTTTTATTCGACTACCTTCTGTCGCTCACTTTTCCTCACAGCCCGAACGGATCCAAGGCGCTGAATATAGCGTTAAATCCGACATCTGGTCCCTCGGAATCACCCTCCTTGAACTTGCTCACGGGCGGTTCCCCTTCTCAGACTCCTTTTCGGACGATGACAATCTCTCAGACCTCGACGAAGATCACGAGAGTTTAGGTTCGGGTCATAATAAGACTCCCACTCATCGAGACTCATTTGCGATGAACGCCAAAACGGCTAGAAGGATGAGCAAACGGAAGAGTAAAGGCGTCAGCCTGAATGGTGGAGGGATGACAATGAGCATTATCGAACTCATGCACCACATCGTTCGAGAACCTGCGCCTCGCTTAACTCCGGAGGGTCGCTTTCCCAAGGAAGCAGAGGATCTCGTAGACGCCTGTCTCTTGAAGGACCCTGATGTACGACAAACGCCTAAAATGCTTCTTGTGAGCCTTTTGATATCTTATTCGATTGGAAACCCCGGCTCATCTCATTCTATTCGCAGACCTCCGCGTGGATGGACATGGCTCGGGCCTCTACTTTCGATCTGAAAGCATGGACCAGCACTTTCTGACTTGCCCTGTTGTGTATTTGCTATCTGCTCAGTTTTCATCCCTCCGCGTTGCTATTTCTTTGTTGTAATTACATACATCAACGCTCCAAATACTATTGTAACTCGCAAGCCCACCACCCTTCTGACGGGCATCGAAATAGACCCTTCCATATATGGATACATTTTCAAATCTACCGCTGAACCGTTTCAGAAACGGAGAAAAGGAGCGTGACAGAAGCGTTTGCACCCAAGCGGAGAAGATAAATTTTTGGGATTCCCAATAGCTCCCCCTTCAATGCCTTTGAAATGCGAAGGCCCTTGATGCTTATCTTGACTCGACGCAGATGTGGGAAGTTGGACGGTGTCAGCATTTCGTCCAGTCCCCGCCATTCCTCGCCAACTGTGCAATCCTGAGGCTTTATCTCAAAGATCAACTTCAATTCCTCGAGGACGTTCAGCCCGACCAGCGTTTTAAGCTCCTGGAAAAGTCCAGGCAGCACCGCTGTACCCGTGAGTTTTATCTTGAGGCATTTTAGGGTTGTTGAAAGATGCTGAGGGTGTATGATTTGGCTCGTTCCGGTAGCTGACCCTTTAACTTTATTACAAAAAGGCGTGTTAGCGTAAGAGGGACTTCGGGATCTAGATCATACTGACCTTGACATGTATAGGAAGTAAGTTTTTTCGTCTCCTTCAATGTCATCTCTGCCAAATTCCCTATCTCGCCGTAAGAGACAAGTGACAGGTGAAGAAGGTCGCTGAAATCGAAAAAGGGAAGAGAATCGGGTCTTCTGGCCTGAAGCAATTTTTCCAAGGAGGCGGGACTGCCATTTGTAAAGGAGAACTTTTTGACGCGAGAGGGGTTGGATGGAACTTGGTTCGGGAACAAGTTGATGAGATCATCTGTATCCTGGAGCTCTACGTCTTCCAGCTTCAATTGGGTGAGATTGGGACAGGACATGAAGAGAGGCATGGGAATGTTGCGGCACGATTTAAGGACTAGTTTCGTCACACTCGGTAGTTGGATCAAGTGGGCCATTGCTTCCTGGAATCGTACCGGCACATCCTTCCATGGCCTGAACTGGGCCAATCCAGCTAGGGTTAAAGACCGAATGTTTGTGAGGTTTCTCAAGACGATGGGCGCCGTTTGGTCCCTGTAGTCCTGGCGCCAAAGTTTCCAGGAGAACTCTTTAATGCAATCGGCGATCTCTGGACTGTGAGTTAACAAAGAAACCAGCTGTTCTATCCTTGGTGTGTCTCCGAGGCGACGGTCCTGGCTTGGAATGGCGCCCATATGTATGGCAGAGAAGAGATGCTTCCGACTGCAAAAATTCATGAATTTGGAAGTTAAAGCGCATGCCTTAAGTGCGGGGGTGTCTTTTTGTAAGGCCAGATCATCCACGATCGCTTCGATTAAATCTGGTGGTAGAGTCATGGGTATTATCAGTATTGAGGTGTGTACTTGTTGTCGGCGACTCGGAATGTTGAGGTTTAACCAAGATTTAACCGTTGACAGAGAAGGCTGAGACGTCCTTCTGAAGCTGATTCAGGTTGAGGTAATCTTTAAGGTGAAATGAAGTACCCGCTTGAACGTGCTTCGGAGGAGGAGTTCTTCAACCTAACTTGGGATTCATTGTAGGTGAGGGCAAGCTGGTCTAGGATCTGACTCAGCGATCCACAAAATAAAAATAATAAAACGCATTGAAAACGCGATGTCTGTATCTCTATAGCCCACAAAAATTTAAACACTGTCAACATCGCTCACCCTGGCCTTTTCAAGTGTTGTATAAAGTATCAAGATTGGGGATATTGTATTAGAGCAGCGTGAAGTGCAAGGAAAAAGGTCGAACGTGTTCGAATCCTAATATAGACAGGGCCTACAAAGCCATAAATCGCAATAGATTGGCATTGACAAGAGTATTGAGACTCGCAACATGTCTATTCGGAGGGTATTGAACAATGCTGAAAGTAGGCGACAAGTCGGAGAAAATGCGGTTGGGTTGCGCCTCTGATAGCTGTTGGGCTGTCAAAATGTCTCAGAAAGGTGATAGTCTGATAGACCACTCTATGTCTCTAACCACCATCTTCCCCGCCTTTTCACGCTGCAGAGGCCAACAATTCGGATTCAGTGTCGACGAAGATGATCGTCTGACCCGTCTGAAGAAAGATTATGTCACAGACGAGCAGACACGTCAAAGATTTTACAAAGTTTGAAGGATAGAGGGATGCCAGGGGTAGAGCGAGCTTATTAGAGGCGAGCACTGTTCTCCAAGCGATTTCGCCTTGCGAAACCTAAAGATCTCGAACAAATTCAGAGGCCGAAAATGAGCAATTGGACCTCGTCGTGTTGACATCCAAGGCTCCAAATTCCACGGAAACTTTCCGATAAAACTTGGTGAACGACTTGTATGTCCAGTGTCGGGCCAAGGCAAGCCTCCTTTCGGAAGCGCGAGAAAGAGAAAATGGAAGACTACGGAAATCAATCAAGGTTGGTTGTGATGGGATGATTGGATAGGCCGTGTTCCTAGAGGGTCCTTCCTCTTTCGCACTAGCCGTCGCGCGGGTTCCCACATATCTTTTTCCCAACGTTGGTCGCTACCACCTTGCCAGCTTTACGCCCAGCTTTCCCTCAACGAGCATGGTCTTTTCATGCCCAGTATCTCAGTGCTCATAACACGTATATCCAGAGAGCGCAAAAAGGACTCCTGACGAGCAAAGGCTCATCATTGGCCAGATGGCCACACAACGGTCCCCACATACCACTTCATCGATACCAGCTCAGCCAAAGAGAAGCCCTTTCTCATCGGCGCAATCCCTCATACCCCATTCAGCTCGTCGTCCATCGACCAGCAGCGTCACAAGCAACCATAGTCCCATTTCTTCTCAGGGCATCGGTGCATCACCCACAATACCGCCAACGACACCTGCAGGCTCAGGCATCCCAGCATTCCGCTCTTTACGCTCTCTCCTTCCTTTTGGTCCTGGCAGGAATGCCACTCCTAACTCCTCCGCGGCCTCGCCTAATACGTCACGTAGCCCTTTCTCTGGGTTTGGCTCCGTGCGCCGTTCAATGACAAAGGACCGCGAACGGAAGACTTCTTTGTCGAACGATGCTCTCATCATGCCCGTCATGGCTATAGGAAAACCACTGAACGACGAAGAACAGGGTGTTCGGAGGTCCGCTTCTTTGTCGAGGTTGGACAACCATCACCCCGGCGAACCGGAGAACGGTGACTTTGTCGAAGAGCTTCTTGCTCACTCTGGTGGGTACCAAATTTTTCATGAGCTAAATACGGGCGCTGACCACCTTAACCTTAGGTATGAGGATGTTACGTACTCCTTCACCAGGACCGCCACTCTCACTTGACTTGTCGACGATTATGGAGGCAGACAGTTCTGGCATATCGAAATATGTACCTGTCCTCAGTACAAACGCCACCCCAGCCGAGTCCCGTTCGTCCTCTCCTACCATTATCAACCCGAATCTCCTTCACGCCTCTTTTGCTGCTCCTCCCACAACCTCCGGTCATAGTGACCCAACCACTCCCGATACACGTAGCTCAGATGGTGACGCGGATACGTCCGCTTTGGACCTCTGCACTACCCACATCGCTACCCAAGTAATAGACGCAATGCGTGCATCAAACCACTCTGCTGATGCACAGGAGTGGCTCAACTCTGACAAAGCGATCATCATTGACGGGGACGACCATCCAGAAGTCGTTGATTCCAGTTTTAGTATGGATATAAATCTGGAATCTGTGGATCCAGCTCTTGCCGCTCTTCTGAGCCCAAATTCCGCCACAACGGCGAAACCATACATTCCTTCTCCTCAGTCATCTCCAACCACACCCAAGTCACCCTTCCGCGTGCAACGCAGTAGACAATCCTCATCCTTTCTCCCTCGTTTACGGCCTCCAAACACACCTTCACCGACGACTTCCGCCTTCCCCACCACACCTCTGTCCACAGCCATTCCGTCTTCCAGTAGCGCGGGGACGACTCCAAACGAATCACCAACAAAGGGGAAAGAGACTGCGGTCAATGGGAATAAGGGAATACACGGCTCTCCTCCTTCTTCGCCTTCCTCACCAATACGCAGGTCATCAGCACCGACTTCGTCAACGCCTGCTGCGCAAAGACGGACGATGGCCTTTGCGCACCCGCCAAAATCGTTCACCCCCTCCAGTACGTCGTCGTTTTCAGCTGCGACTGCTGTCAGGGTGTTCGGTGCAGCAGATAAGGGTGTTAGCGGCACCCCAAGTGGTAGTGGGATTGCGAAGGGAAGAGCTGGTGCTCGTACACTGAGACAAGTCATATTGGGAGGACCTGCATCAGATTCTAAAAAACCTGGTTCAGAGGCGGTGCCTTTGTCAGCACCACCGCTTATATCATTTTCTTCGCCTCCTTCTCCATCCCGTGTATCTGCGGCTCTTGGTCGGGGGTCTCTGGATTCTAGAAGGTCGCCTGTTTTGAGAGAGGCAAGGCCATCTCTGGACGTCCAACGCCCGGGGTTGGAAACCACTTCAACTCCACGTGGTTCGTTCGAGAAGCGTAGGATTGTTTCTGGGTCTATGCCTGGCAAACGCACTGGGTTGGGAGGGGGGAATTTTTATATGCCACGAGGGTCTACCTCCCCTGAGAGAGAGGACTTTGGTACAGGTGGGGAATCTTCCTCACCTTCGCCTCCTATGGGAGGAGAAGATGCAACGTCTTATTATCGACCATCCTTGGACTCTAGTAGGCCGTCGTTGGATAGTACATCCCACTCTGGCTCCGCGGCTCGGCTACGTTCGCCTTCCTTGCGGATCGAACGCAGTCACAGTGATAACAACACTGTTCATGGGAATGCCAGCAACAACCGGCTCTCACCCATGCCTTCTGCAGGACGCGTGAGGAAGCGAAGCATGAGTGTCCAAGAACGACTAGGGAGGGGGTCGAAGCTCACTGCTGATCGGGAGAGGGATAAGGGGATGATGGCAGAGTTTGGAGTGTCGAGGCCTTCGAGCAGCTTATCTATGGGTCGGAGTGCAAGTTCCCGGTTGGGTGGAGGAGGGGATGGTCCGAAAGCTGAGTGGTTGGGTCCTCGGACGGCTAAAGCTTTTCGTGCGGCTGGGTTGTTGGATTTCGAGAGGGAGAGGGAGGAAGGAAGCGATCCTTCGTCGACTGAGAAGGCGTTCGCTACCCGCGATAGGAGTGGCAGTGCGGCTACTGTTCCTTCGCCTTTGGGCAACGGGGGTGGTAGTGTGATTTCTGGAGGGCGGTTTGGTAGTTTGAGGGGAACGTCAGAGTTTGGTGGGGGCAACAGCGGCGGCAGTGGATCGGGGTTTGGGAGGAGTCACTCGAGGATGGCGCTTTCGGAGGCGGGTGGTGGGAGTGCGGGGAGGAGGGGGAGTGGAACGTTCTCTGCTTATGGTGCTGGGGGTGGGTTGTTGGAGAGCCCTACGTTTACGGTGTCGAGTGGGAGTCGGGACAGGGATACACCAAGATCGACGACGTCGACTGCGCCTACAAGCATTTCAGGGTCGTTTGGGTATCTTGGACGGGACCGTGGAGAGCGTGACCGTGATAGAGAACGGGAGAAGGAGGAAATTCGTGAGCTGCGGGATAAACATCAATTGGAGACTGGAGCTCTTCTCGGCGCTCTGTCTGATTCACAGCGGACAGTCAGGGTTCTGAGAGAAGAGAATTCGGATCTGCGAGAACGGGTGGAGCGATTGGCGGATGCAGAGGCGGAGAATGATGAGTTAAGGAGGGTTTGCAGTGAGCTGCGGCAAGAGTGCACGGATTTGAGGAGGGAGTGTGTTGAGCTGCGAAGGGAGATGAGGTTGGGGGCGACGAGGACGCCTAGTGGGTTGGGGAACAGCTGGAGCAATGCGAGCAGTAGTGGCTATCGCACTCCTGTGCCTGTTAGGCAGAAACAGGGCCCCAGCGGGCGTTTGCAGGCTCAATGGAATCGGGACCGAGATGATCAGGATAGACTGCTCACCGTCCCAACGGAAGATCAACATCCTCCGATACTGGATTTTGATGAGGAAGCGATTGAACCCGAGGACGACGATGAGGATGATGAAGAACCTCCCTCCGCCGAACCTACTTCGTTGCTTCCAGCCCAACGGAGGCTCAGCACTACTTCCTCCATCTTCCCCGTCCTTCCTCCGAACATGACCATGCTCCTTCACGAAGACGCGGCTCATCCTGGGGATCTAAGTGGCAGCAATAGAAGCAGTATGGAACAATCTCACTTCCGTTTCCCCCCTTCGTCACATAAGCAACCTCAGCCCCAACCTCATGGGTTCCGTGGCATGGATGGCGGAGGGCACACTGCGAATATGTCCATCAGCTCGGCTGCTAGCATATCGCCCACCACGGCGAACTTCTCTATGGTGACTGGTAGTCCTGGCAGTCTGTTCTTGCGCCCGGAACATGAAGTGCTGCTGGGTGAGATGGAAAGTCTTGATCTAGGCGTCAGGGGAGGAGATGGGGAGTTGGAGTCGAGGAGCCTGGATGGTTGGTGATCTCGACCTTCAAACTAAAACACTTGGGCTTAGCCGCCTAGGTTCTTTTACACATATTCTTTCGTTCTTGCTTTTCTTATTGCGGTATACTATCGGATTACATTGTGTATATTACTTTTATCATAACTCATAGTTCAGTTTGTCCTTAGTAGTCATCCTCGTTTGTCTTTTTTGGTCGCGTTCTTGCTGATGCTCTTTTTATCCCCCTTGATGTCGCGCAACTATCCCCAATGTATTATATGCTTCGCAAGGGATGGCCGAATTGATTTAAATAAAACAGTAGATCTCCAGAATACAACTACAAAAACATTTTAAATCGATACCGAGAGTCGCCGTCCAATAATAGGTCAGAAACAACAGAAATATACTTGTACAAATTTACCAATCTACCTCTTTCTTCAGCGAATACCCATTTTCTGCCGACCCAATATGCAAAAAAAGTCCCTGTGCGACAAGGGAAGACCGCAACTTGATACCAATGAGGTATGGAGGAACGCTCGACATCCGTAGCGATACCGAAGACAACGGTGATCGAACTGGTCTGGGTTTTGTGGACCTGGGGTACCATCGGGCATGTATCATTTGGCCAAGCGCTCTGACGTCAATTTTACAAGGACGATTTTTCCTTAAGCGCCAATGATATATCGAGAGTCGGATGAGATTTGGTAGAAAGATGTTCTCGCCAATGTGGGAAAGCTTTTCGAAGAGGGGAGAAAATTCTAAAGGAGAGTCCAGCACCAGAACCCGCAGGCTGGCCTTTGTCTTCAAGAATTCGATGAGATCAGGATACTGGATCCTGATTTTGAAAAGTATTAGGTTCCTGAGAAGAGGCGTATGAAGGGTGGCGGATGTCGTGGAATTCCAAGTACTGAGTTCTGACGTGCTGCCGAGGCAGAGCGTCTTCAATGATGGAAAAGAAAGACCATCAAGGATCCCCCATTCTCCGGCATACTTGAAGACAACCTTGAGGGAAATCATGGAGGGGAACACGGTATCTCCGTGGAGCAACGTAGTCCATTGATTCGTAGGATGTAGTAGATTGCTGAGGGCAAAGAATCCGTGCTGAAGATGTGGACATCGTCGGAGGAACGCCATTAACATCAAGGGCATTATCGGGACATCCACCATCGACAAGTGTGTGAGCTGGTTCCACGGCATATTGTCTAAGCTCCCGTCATATGAGTGTCGATCTGATTGAAGGTTTGAAAGCACGAGTCGTTTCAATTTATGGAGCCTGGGGAGCGGCAAGAGGCTGGGGGCATTCGACCAGCTTGTCGACTGATTATATTGGACGACGAGTCGCTCTAAAGCTGTCCCATGGTCCACAATGATGTTGAGCTGTCGCACCGCCTCTTCTATTCGAAGCACACTGAACTCCAAGTTGTGGATACGCCCCATGTACTGAAGGGGAACCCTGAACAATGGAAATGAGCTAGGGTGTGGCCCATTCTCAATCCGAAGAGATAAGGGAAGCTTTCCTGCAGACGAGAACCGCTTGCTCATGACATTGATCTCTTGAGTGACATCAGAACGATTGATCAAGAGTCGTGTCCAAAGACCTGGTGTTGACAATGCTGTCTGTTGCCAATAGGTACAGACACGACAGAACTGCAGAGGTGGGATTGAGTCATCATCGTGGACTGGAAATATTTTGCCGAGACTCGCAAGGAAAATTTCCCCCAGGATCTCTGGTGGTAAAGCGTTGATAGGACCTGGTGTAAACCTCTTACTAGTAACATCAGCCTGAGCCCTTCCTTTGCCTATCAGCATCCTGCGCGTGTCCTTCGTGAATTTTTGGAACGCTCGTGTAGATGGCGGCAGACGGGGGGTTTCCATACCTATGCTAGAAACTTGGAATGTTAGACGTAATCGTTGAGATGACTCCTCTACAGCAAGGCCACAGCATGATAAGATACAGCATTTCTATTATGTAAGTAAGCCCGCAAGTTGCCGAAGTGTAAATTCCTAATCTGGGCCGCTGGCCCAAAACGGCCCAGCCTAGCGGCCCGCAGCTCCAAAGCCGGGCCGTTGGCATCGCTGGAATTTGGCTGGAATTAAGCTGCAGGCGGTTTACCAGTTCAACGTTGTGCGCTCATTGTCGGCTGTTTTCAACCATATCGACACAGCGCATAGGTGAAATAGTGAGTTTTGAATGAGACCGGAGTAAGTAACCTTTGAGTAACCTCTGATTTTCGTCGTCGCACTTGGCATGCACAGATAGATGTTCTCTCCACAACACTCCAAGAAGAAATTTTAATACGATACTAGATATAATGTACAATTACACGAGAGATGCCAATGATATTGATGTACTACCTTCACCACTGGATTCGGGATATGACATCGGCGTTGGGCTGAGGACTGCAAAATAGAACAACGTTAAACTAGCGTTAATCTATGTTTCAGTCCCTTGGTAGTCGAAGCAATAAACAATAAGGAAAAGTCGAGCTGTATTAAAAGGCACGCACCATGACGCCGAGGGCTCAAAAACGAAGTAGACGAGAGTTTAAACCTGCTGTCAAGCGATCGAAGTGACCTTCGATCTCATGGAGGTTGGCAAGACGACATGCCCCGCTTTCTATGTGCTGAGTTAGAGCCGAGACCAATTTAAACGTCTTCTTGCACTTGGGGCACCTGAACTGGTCGGCATCATGCGCCGGCGAGTTCAAGTGCGCGGCCAAGCGATGAGGAGCCGTGAACCTCTTTTTGCATAGATAACAATCATAATACCCGGGAACGTTGAAAGACAATGTTGCCGGAATGTAATGAGTGGTGACGCTTGGAGGGGTCGACGCTTGTGGAATAAGACCGCGATTGATACAAATTTCGGGCACGATCTTCAACTGCTTCACGGCTGCCGTCACTTGATGGCGATTAATTTTATGACAGCCGGATTCGATGTGGTGAGCGAGGGCCGAAGGAGCTTTGAATGTCCTTGAACAGAAGGGGCATCCAAATATACGGTTTGCGTGGGCCGATGACGAAGAAATGTGCTAATCGACTCCTAAGGTCTCGCCGTAGTCAAAAGAAGACAACGACCAACCTGTCGAAGAGCCTGATTGGATCCAAATGATCTGGAACACCTAGCACACCGTTGATGTCTTCTACTAGCCCGGCATTCGTTGGCTCGATGAGATTTTGCACGACAATGAGATGACAGGCCTTGGGCCGAGCTAAATGTCTTGGAACAGGTTCGGCAGCCAAAACCCATCGCGCTGATGAGAGAGGGAGTGGAACAGCAGAAACCAAACGTCTGGGAATATATACTTGATTGGTGATAGAGCGCCCGTAGAGGACTGTCAGAATTCCATTTGTGTGGGCGATTGATAAGTATCGATAACGATAGACGCGCCGGATGCGACTCGGAATCCAAGATAACCATATTATGTATCCTCGCCAAAGCCATTACGGAAGGGAGTCTTTTCCAGGCAGGAGCAACCTAGAACGTTCCACCTACTATGTAGCGCCGAATACATTAGCGCATTGTGCCCTACCAAAGCGCCTTGAATATGCTGATGGACGATTAGGTGGGGACTTTTCGAGTGGCCCAGTAGTAAACCTGTTCATAAATAATTCCATATAAGAAAGATCAGCACTATTCCCAGTGAAACCTACTGGGAGGGTCTGGAAATATTGGTGAGAAAGAAACCCTGATCTGGTCACAGATTTTGTGGTTTATCTCAGCGTTGTGCCGGTTGCGCAACTTTTCTGAAGGTCGCCGACTGTCACTGACTGTGACATTTCGCAACCAAACATGACCGCGACTTTGCGGGGTGCCAGGGGTGTCCTCATATATTATGTAATGTAATTTTAGGTGTACAGTCGTGGACAAGCAAAGCCCACTAATAAAAATGGAAATTATTGATGGCTACCAAAGTGCCCAGAAAACGTGCAGATACGTTGAGGGAAGCTTCTGGCCAAATATCAGCCAAGTCTCACGAGCCGTTTTGGAGAAAATGGCCATATACAAAAATAGACCCTAAATTTTTGGCCGGACACCAAAAAGTGCCAAGAAAAATATGAAAAATAGCGGAATCGCTTCCTTTCACGGAGAACAATCTGCCCATCAAGTTTCGAAACAATTTATCGAGCGGTTCTTCTGGAAAAAATTGCCAAACATTGACCCAAATTGGGCACTTAGTCACTTTTTGATGTGACATCTATCACGGGACTAAGAAATTCCATCACACTAGGCTTTCGAAATGCAGGGAAATCCCTTTCTGATAGATTCTTTGCCCTTTCTGAGTAGCTTCCAGCCGAAGCCCAGCACAGGTACCAACTTTCGATAATTTCTGGCCGGTTTCGACCTGTTTTTCTCCTCAAATGTTGCAGTTTTTTGGTCCAAAATTTTGGCCACGCCAATTCCTCGTGGGAAAAACTTCGGAGGTACGTTTTTCGACGCATTTCGCAAATCTGAGCCAGAATCTGGAAAAATCTCAGCTCTAGATACATTATTTACCAAGATACCAAATTAGTGGGCTTTGCTTGTCCACGACTGTAGACACTTCTGAGATTTCGAGGTGGATTTGACTTTCTCACGATCTACAGTTGACTGTGAGTCTGTGACCTAAGGTCGGTGACGCAGAACAACTGTCACAGGTAGCACGCAAAATGGATTGTGGTAGATACGGAACATGACATAGAGGAATCTAGAACAGTGGTAGATACAGAATATGATGTAGGAATAACTGTGCAGCGTTAGAAGACCACGCAGTGCGATATAGCACACGCCCAGAGGTAGGACCCCATGGCACCGCGCAAAGTTGCGAACGTTTGACCGTTGACGACCTTTGGTGACTCTCTCACGATTTACGGTCGGTGACTGTGACCTCAGGTCGCCGACCCGCACAACGCTGGGTTCAACTTTATCTGTCATGCGAGTGAACACATATTAGTAATAATATTACGTAAACTCAGAATCACACCAGCCGCTCTCAGAATTTTTTGTGGCGGGGGTAAGAACTGTTGTCGCGAAAGGCAATTACTGACTCGGATTAAACGCCCTGGATCCCAACTGGATCCACTCGTGTTACGTTGGGCCCGCCCACTTGATTGGACTATTATTGTCAAACGCCGGTCAGCCCTATGAACTTGGTTCATAGCAACTATGAACCAAGGTACGACTTCACATATATCGAAGTCTGTCTACGAGAGACAGGGTCAGCCCTTCAGAGAACGCGAACGGCATTCACTCCTAGCTGGTATTCAAAAATATCCGTGAGTGCGTGAACAAAGTAAGTATAGTATAGTAAATAGTCTAAAAGTCCAAAACTACATCTCCGACATCCCAGAGTCCTTTGCAGTGGTAATCGGCCAACGCCCTCGCCTACACCGTTCGCTTTCATACCACTTGCCACGTAACCGCCGCCACCCCTCGTCCGTCATTCCTTCGCAGACATCCTCTCCATGGTCTGGTGTTGTCCCATTATGAGAGGACGAATCCCATCATGGAGATGAACGCGAGCAAACTTGACATGGTGAACTCCGATTTAACGGCATTGTTAGATTTGCTCGTTGAAGTTTGGGTGGAACTTGAATCGGCGGAACCCGTAGCGGAACCTGTGGTAGAACCGGTGGCAGAACTGGCAGAGCGCGTGGTGGAACCTTTGGTGGACGAAGACGAGCTGTTGGCTGACATTAAAAAATAAACGCTTCGTTCAAGATAAGGGATACGCACATGGTGGACGTTCCTTGAGTAATGTTGAACTGGTTCGACTGGGCCAGGATGGCGTCCAGGTTGTTGGCATCTTGAACGAGGTTAACTCGGAAGCTGCCCCCTGGGGAGGGCCACCCTCCGCTTGGGGTGTTCATGGGCGCAGAGCCCAGAGTTCCATCCACCGACGTCGCCAGAACCACTGGTTGGAAGCCTGTGATGTTCTGGCGTTTGTGTGCCACGTGGGTAGGTGATAGGGAGAATATTTCAGCAAGCACTGACCTGGTTGGTGAGTACGACGGTAAAGTTCAGTCTGTCGGTGTTGACGCGTGTCCAGGTAAGGCTGAAAATAAAGGCAGGGTGAATATATATGTTTGACAAACGGAAATTTGGACCATACAGCTGAGCACCTTGGTTAGTCCACCCTTGGTTACTGTTCGGGCTGGTAATCGAGTAGGCGAAAACGGAGGAGATGAAGGCGAGGAGGAAAAGAATGGAACGCATTGTAGCGGGAGACGGGTGTGAGGAAGGGTATGAATCCGATACGTGGGAGGTTGAGGTCAAGTTGAGGTAGAAACGTTGTTGCGTTGAAAAGTTTTTTTATCCGAGTGCACAGCCTACCGTCGACGATCGGAAACAGCATGATCGGTCCCTCGTGGCCAAATATAGCGTCATTGGGTGACTTTCCGTAACACAAATTCTCTAGATTTGAATAAATCGACGAAATCTAGGGTCCTTTGCCGGGATGCCGAGTCTTGTAAGGGTTCGACTTTGATGGAGTCCCTGGTTGGAACCCAGTTACAAACCTTAATCTATTCAGAGGGTACAGACCCCTCGAACAGATTTCAAACGCTGGAATCAACCCTGCCAAGGGGACACCTTTCCTTCCTGGGTACGATTCCTTCCCACATGGCTTAGTCAGCTCTACCTCATCCCCTACTACTCTCCTACGGCTGGGGCATTCTGCTCCCTCTCGTTGCAGTTCAAAGCCACTACAGAGTCTATTAGAAGTGTCAATGTCTTATGGCTACAAAATCCCCTCCCGGAAACTGTTGTTCCCTTTACAAACACCCTTCTTGACACCTAGCTCACTGATCCACAGCCATGTTCAGCTCAACTTGGGATTTTTTAGGCTTCACCCAGAGTGTGGTCTAATTTTACAGCGGGGTGGATGAACAATCAGTATAATAAACCCATCCACGGGCCTACACGACCTCAGAGCAGCTCAGATGGGAGGGAAGTGAGTTTGTACAAGGCAAGCAAATACATCAAATAGAATCTAATCAGTTGGCGTTACGGTTTATTCACTCCAATAAACTCTCCTGTGAAGTTCTCGTTTCAAACTCCGATAAGGGTCAAATTTATTCATTTGTATAGATTTGAGTTACGGAAAGTCACCCATTCGCAGAAATGGGTATATGGGCGGCGTTTGCGGGCAATGCCGGCATGAATGCGTTAGTGTGGTTGTATTTGGGTGCGCCCTCTGAGATCTGAGGCCTCCGGAAGAAAATCAATGATTTAATTAATCATGTCGCTCTCCTGCTAGACTACTAAGGTTCTTTCGCTATGTGGTCCTTCACTGACTTTACTAAGTACTCCTTCCACTATCCTTTCAGCTGAAGTAGCACTCCCCCGACGGCAGAGAAGGTAAGCTCATGGGAAACTCTCACTATTCGATTACGTGGATACTGACAACTTCGTGCTTCCTCAGTTGTTAAAAAGAGGTCTAAAGTGCCTGCTCAAAGAGTGGTCTCTCTGGTGTTGGCTTCACCCAGATGTCCGACCAAACGCCTATCACACCTCTGAGTGAAACCGGGGTCACTTTCGTTAAGGCCAGCACACAAGATATAGACAAAACGATGGATACCTGCATTGCGTCAGACAGTTTCGAGGAATACAACGTGGACGAGTCCGGAGAGATGGACGTGGTGAGCACATCCTCTCAGCTCCTCCACTTTTGTGCCTAATCTCCCCCGCCGAACTGGTCTTTTTCAGATTGCCGCGAATGCTGCAAATGAAAAGGCAAGCTCCTAACTCCGTCGCATTAGCTTATTTTGATGTTTCGCCGTCAGCCCGTGGACTCTCACAATGGCATCCGAGATGCCGTGAATGATTTCCTCGCTCGCTGCAATTTCTCTCTCCCCGTCACACAGTACGATCGCGATTTCCACAACTCTTGCTGCGATGTGGCCAGAGGCAAGGGTTATCCCGTAGACTCTCCTTCTCTCCAACCGTTTATCCCCGGAGGCGTCGTCATGGCCACAACCACCTACGCGCATCTCCAGAACAAATCCACTAAGATTCTAATCGCCCTGTATACCGCATTCTTGATATATATTGACGACGTCTACCAGCATGACGTGGAAGGCATCGGCTGCTTCAACGAGCGGTTCATCTCGTGCCAAGCTCAGGATGATCCTGTCCTCGATGCTTTGGGTTCTTTGCTTCGGGAATTTCATCAACACTTTGGACGAGCCGCCTCCAACATCATGATAACTTCCACTTTGAATTTTATGACCTCTTTGCTGTTGGATCACGAAACGCAGGGTATGCCGGTACGAAGAGGCTTTTGAATTTAAGATGGCTTTTGCTGATCCCCATACAGGTATCTCCGAAAGCGCTTGATTATCCCTATTTTTCCAGAGTAATGTGCGGTACCTCCGAAGCCTACTCTCTGTTTGCGTTCCCCCCCGAAATTCCCATGAAATTCTACATTCAGGTGAGCTACATAGGGGTATTTCTAATTACAGCACTTACCGACACTGCATACACAAGGCGCTTCCAGAAATAATGAAGTTTTTCAATAATGGAAAGTGAGTTAAATCAAGAAGATAAAGTTTCGTTTATTAATCCCCGTTCAGCGACATACTTTCATTTTACAAGGAAGAATTGGCTGGCGAATCAATCAACCACATCTCTAATATGGCAAAATGCCATGGGGTATCCAAAATTGAAATCCTTCGACGACTATCTGAAGAGGTGGCTACGTGTCACTCGAAATCACTTGAAATACTTTCGCCATACCAGGAGGCACTTGCTGCCTACACCAAATTTAGTCAGGGGTTTATTGTGTTTCACGCTTCACTCGCTCGTTATCGCTTGAGCGAATTGTTCTCCCACAATGCATAGCTCCGCCGCGTCCCTGGTAAGTTCCAAAATCTTCTGAATTCGCTTCTGGTCATATCAAGAATAGATTGCAACTCAGAAACGTCGTCACTCCATCATGAATGAGTGTTTTTTCTGTTACCACTTGCTCTCTTTGTGTCGGAGGCAATTCAATTGCATAACCTGCATGTTCTGCTACGGAGTAGAATTTTAGACGAATGGCCAATCTTCCTTCGTCGAGCGTCCGAATACGGACGGTGTATCGTTGGTGTAATCTGAAATTCTGGGAAGATAATGTAAAAACCGCCGTTGGAACGGACTCGTCCGTTTTCCGCCGTGTTCTTCACAAAAACACGATAAAAAGATACGGGCAGGAACCAACATATTCGCGGTCACCGTAGTCTTTGTAGGACAATCAATCCAACTCACGAGTATTTTATTGAGGTGATGTTGAATAGTTCCCTTTCATTTTGTATTTATTCGTGACTTCTCCGGAGGATGATGGATTGCGAATGTTCGACGTCGACATTTAACTCAAAAGAACCCGAAGGGAATCAATAATGAATCACATTTCAATCCGGCCAAACGACGTCCAAACCCTGACCTCTCCGCAAGACGTCCTCGAAGTAGGAATACAACAACAGAACGAAAGAACCCTGCATAAATACAACCACCGCCCCGACGAGTGTTGAAGCAGCACGATAAAAAAACTCCTTCAAAAGCATGTAGGCCAAAGCGAGTCATACGACCGTGAATGTGATGTGTGGGTCTACAATATATTGCGTAAGTTGAGTAAATTCCAGCGAGGTACAAAAGGCGAAACTTACATAGCAATGAGTAGGGTGCATTCAGGCAATAACGCAGTAAGCGTTGTTTCCGCTGCCTCCGTCGTCGGAGTTGGTGGGGATGTTAGACGTGTTGGAGATGGTGGTGAAGGAATCCATGTGTATGGTGATTAGGTCGATTGAGCCTGTAGAAATGCAACGAACCGCACAGGATTTATACCTCCACGGCTTTCAAATTCCGGCATCTCCACAGTGTAGTCTAAAAATAGATCAGTTTGCCTTGTCCTTCGTAATTATCATTGCTTGAATTCAAACCTTAGCCACGACCAATTCATGGTCTTATTGTTGAAGGTAAGCGCTTTGTACAAATGCACGCTTCACAATAGGAGGTGATGAATGATTGACAAATTTGCGGTTTGTAACTTTTTAGAAACAATAACGTTGGTACTATCCGCCCCGTCCGCGCAAACACGCAAAGGTCAACGTGGGAGTGTTGCGCGACCAATGACAGGCGGTAAAATTATCTCAAATTAGTGATTTGGTGAGACATGGAAAGTAATCTATCACTGCCGTCTAAGGGTCGACCAATGACTCAAATCATTTTATTCTGCTTCGGACCTCACCAGATTTTCTGCGTATGCTTGAGGGCCACAATATTCTAAGGATCTGAACTAGGGGTACGCAATGCATTGCGCTCACGTCACCCGCTTGGCATCCCTATTGGTGCTAGGTTCAAATCGTAATGCGTCCATGAAATACAGACCGGCGACAGGACCTTCTGGCCTGTTCCCTATGGTTTTGAAACCACACCTTCCATTTGGGACTGTGTTCTGATCGATATTGGACTCCCCGAAGATGTTTGAGCCCTCTGCAACATTTGTCCCCACGAGGGGTTCCACGGTGTGCAGGTGTGTGAGGTCAGGATGGCCTTATCTGAGGGAGGACACGAAATGGCCATGTCTGAGCGCAGAATTTGAGTTGAAAGTAAATCAACAACGCGAAGAGTGGACCAGACCTTGGAACTTCTTCCGCAGGCTTACCCTAAGCCCAGTCCACTTAGAATCAACAGCCTCCACCATAGCACCGTTGGTTGCTTATGTCTTGTACTCGTCAATGAGGTGCACATTGGCACCATGGATCTCGACGCCGTCGGAACCTGCCTTGTCAACGTATTCTTTTGTTTCAGACGCGGTGAGTTCACGGGGTGCGGGGGGGTCGGCGTCTTGGGATGATAGGAGTATGAGAGAAGGAACGACGTGCGGGACCAACTTGTTACTAGATAGAGGCACCATTTGAATCAAGTTTGAACGCACTATGTTGGTGCTCTAGATATCCCACATCATTATTGAGCAGTCCAGTAGGACCTCCGTTCCCTTGAGCGCGCTAGAAGATGAACGGGCAGACCCGACTGGACTCTGATTGGGAGGACAGCTCCAAAGGGGAGATAAGTTGACGAAGATGATTATGTGGTTCTGTTTGGCTGGGTCCTCACAAATCCCTCTTACGATCAAGCACGCGCCAAACTGTTCGTCAATCAGTTCACAACTAAGCTACCTGCCTTTTCTTTCGCATCTGGTGACTTTCCCGTCGTCTTTCAGTGTCACTCATGCTGCCTATGTATGTGAATAGGACAGCGGCATCGGCGAGTTGGGTGATGGAGAGGCTGAGCAAAAGAAAACAGGAATGGTGAGTTCGTTCACCTACTCCGCTTACAACTTCACGCTTTCTCCACCCACCTCCTTCCCCATCCTCTCCTCTGCCGCGAAATGTCTTTGACGATCGGGGTATGTTCCTGGCCAGCACAAACTCTCTCATCATGACATTGACGAACCTCCTACTCCTCCCTCATACGGCATCATAAACACAGCCAGAGGACCCCGGCCGCCCGGAGACGGATGCTAAGTGACCTCTGGGTGACGACAAGGGAAGGTAGCGTCGAGGAGGTGTAGGGGGGGTATTCGGAAACGATGTCGTGGGGCCTCCATCTCGATGTGGAGGAGTTGTTGATGGGTGACGGGCTGGGTAGCGGAATTTCAAGGTATGTGGCTCTCTCCGACCACGAATCTCAGCCACAACCACATACCACCCCAGCTAAACCAAGCCAAGACCGACACCGAACCAGCTATCCGCCACCGGCGCCCCGGCCAACTAGATGACTCCCCTTCCAAACGCCAACCAACCCCCAAGTCCACGTCGACCGAACGACCGCATTTTCCATCGCTCGCGTGCACTAACACCTCCCGCTTTCAGACGTCACAGCCCTCTTCAAGCGCCGCCTCCAAATCATAAACCTCTGGCGACCCATCTCACACGCTGCGTTCGACTGGCCCCTGGGTCTATGCGATTATTGGGGCTTGGTTACTTTGCTTCGTAATCGTAGCAATGTACTGAAGCCGTTAGTAATAAGTACTAAGTATCAGCGGGGAGAATGCAGTTACTAATTGGTGGGGCCAGTGTGTTTGGGGGGTAGAAAAACCGTAGATCTAGATACAATGGGTAATGTCATAATAATAATATCTTTGCACCCTCTTTGCAACCCTTTCCATCCATTTTAAAAGACTCTTCTTCAAGTGGAGTGAAGGATAGAAAACAAGGTGGGTATCGATTAGGCATTGCTCTTTCGAGCTCCTATACGAGTAGAGGACAGTCAGAGCCTGGCCCGCCCTCTCAAGTCGCCTAATGGATTCCGTCAGTGATTTATCTCCGGCGTGGGTGTAATATGCGTACCTGCATCATATTGGGAAGATAAAGCTATCCGCTCATAGACGGTGTCCATTGTCGGACGTCTTTCTGCGGACTGATTCAAACACTCGTGTAGGGCGACGGAAACGGCGTCGTGCAATGTAAAGGTAGGATATGGAGACTTTCCATCGTGCAAGGCGAGAATAATACCAACATCTGATTGAATCGCGTGGAATGGTTCTTCGGCTGACAGGATCTATGGAGATTTTTAGTCTAATAGAGTGCTGGATAACGGAACACATACCTCCATTCCAACACAAGCAAACGCGTAAACGTCGGTGGATTTGCTCGCCCTAATTATCGATTCGCTGAGAACTATCTCAGGGGCCAGATAGCGGAGCTGGCCTATTGGAGCGATGGTTGAGGCTCTGAGCACCTCATGGATGGCGCTGACACCGAAATCGGTAATCATGGGCATGCCAAAATCAGCTATCAAAACATTGCCCTTATCATTTGTTAGAAAGCGATTGAATAAACAAATTAAATTTTACGGGAAAAACATGTCCATGCACGACGTCCTGGTTGTGGAGGTATTTCAGGGCATCGGCGATCATGATGACCTAGCGAAACTCTCAGCTTGTGCGACCAGCTCGTCAAAAACAATTACTCACCATTCCTGTCCTGTTCACCTTGCTCTTCGCCAGATAATCGAGAACGTTCCCATGCTGCATCCAGGGCGTAATGGTCGATATCAATATATTTCCTTCTCCCTTGAACTCGCCTAAGATTGGTAGAAGGTGTTTGTGATGGAGGGAATGTGCAAATGCGATCTCTCGTTCAAGCCGCTGCGAAATGTCTTAGCTGATAACAAAATTGGGTCGGAGGTCCTCGAAATACCTTTTCTACCTTCTCCATCTCATATTTGGAAGCTGTTTCCCTGAATACCTTGACTGCCACGCATTTTCCTCCGAAAGACGCTTTATAGACATCGCTGAAAGCTCCGCTTCGGATTGGTATTTGTCGATGATCATAATAATAGGGTATCTGCATCGTCTGTGGTAAATGAAAAAAGCTGGATAAAAAATTGGATCAACGGGAGGTATGTGGAGGAAGATTGTCAAGGAAGGACTTTGTCAACGCTGGGCTATCGTAGACCATAGGGCGGTGCGGTCAAGCTGTGTTTTGTTGTCACGTGCCTTGACTCGCCTCCTGCAAACAATCTTACAGCAGAGTACAGCAGTCATGCTGTGTTTACACCAGTTACAGTGCTTTGCACTGCCGTTTGCACACCGTGAACGGCAGTGGGCTGTGCCTCACGAGCGCTAGCCGGGACCCGCTCAACGTCTTCTGCTGATGATTCTTCACAGTTCACTATCCTTTCTTCGATCCCCCGCCTCTGGATGTCTACACCAACATCTCGCTCAATAGACTCTTTACAAGAGCATTCATATCCATCTGTCGGGGCTGATATGGATTTCCAGTCAGGCCCCGATCCTTTCCCGGAACATTACCGACGAGAGCTAGAGGAACTCGATGGCGAACCTCTAGCTCAACTTAGGCTACTTAGTGAATCCGAAATCCATATATCATTTTCATTGTCCGCAGAGGTGAATTACATTTCGAATTCCCATTTACAGATGCATGCCCAATCCTCGATGTTCTCTATCTTCAGATTTTTGCGGAAGCCTGGCATCGACATGGCATCCTTCCAAAAAAGTGGCATTTGGACAATATTGGTGATGTCGAACAGCACCCTTTTGCCGTTACGGCTTCCTCGGATGTCAAGAAGGCATCCAGCAACGGAACTCTCTTAGCGTTGAAGTTCTTGCGGCCACATTACCGGTCAACAGGCCCCGAGGAACGAATTGCGGTATGCATCTTTTGTTAGAATATCGACCGAGGACATATATGTTTCCTTTTATCCCCCAGGAACTTTTCCGAGAAGTATGCATATGGTCACCTCTTGACCATCGCTATATCCTTCCATTTCTTGGGATTTTTGCCCAAGAGTCGCGCTTGGCCTTGGTCTCTCAGCATCAAAAGAATGGTTCACTCTACGAATTTCTCATTAACAACCCTGACGTAGATCGGATTCAACTTGTACGCAATCCCTACCACTCTTCCTTCTTAATTTCTCATAGGTACATGAAGTTACGCAGCGTGGCAAGCGGCTTAGAATACCTACACTCTTTACCAGTACCCGTCATGCATGGAGATATACGAGCGGTCAGTAATTGATATATACCCAAGCAAGCCAATTAATCTCCTCTCTTTTGAATAGATGAACGTTGTCGTGGATGACCAAGGCGAGCCATTGCTGATGGATTTTGGCTGTTCTTCACTTGTGAACGAGTCCGGACATGCAATAAGTGCTTCATCAGATCAATTACGCGGAACACCCAGACACATGCCTCCGGAAAAGATGCTACCCGGGTCCTACCCCATAACTATTCAATCGGATATTTGGTCTTTTGCGATGCTATGCATAGAGGTCGGTCATTTATTTTTGCTGGTTTTTATCTTGAACTTATATGGTCTCCAGGTCTTTACAAATCAATGCCCGTTTAATCATATTGCCAATGACGGAGCTGTAGTGATAGAGGTCTTGGTTCGGTGTACCCATCCTCCGCGCCCGCAGGGCCCATTTTCCGCCCAACTGACCGACGATATCTGGGATGTTTTGAAAAGATGCTGGGAGCTCGATCCATCATGCCGACCGCCCATTGACACAATCGAAGCATCGTTTGCGCTTCACAGACCATGATATCCCAGAGTCGCTTCGAATCGACGCTGTCCAATTTGAATACATATGTATGCTAGCAGTTGGCTAGCAGGTCCAGAAATGAATGACAGCTTTTCCAAAAAAAAGTGAAAGCAACGTGGATCAAGCAGTAAAAGGTAACGAGCTTTAGACCCATGCCTACGGCACGGCGCTCGCTGGCGCTCGGCCGTTCTTTCAGCATGGGTCACAGCTCGCCGGACCCCCAAGGAGGAAGCTGCCATAAGAATTTGTCAGCCTTAGTCATTGTTAGTCAGCCTTACTCAGCCATCAAAAAGCCTAAAAACATTGTGCCCTTCTATATAGACAAGCTTTAGACCCACACCTACGGCATGGCACTCGCTAACGCTCGGCCATGCCTCTGGTGCAGGTCACAGCTTGCTGGGGGCATGCCCCCTGGACCCCCTGGTACACATGTTTAATCCCAGTTTTGATACACATTTTTTATCCCAGTTCATGTTTAATCTCACTTCTGGTACACATATTTACAGCTGATTGCAAAACAATAGGCCAGTTGCAACAACCACTGATCTTTAGCCGTCTATTTGTGCATTGATGGAGCATCATGGAACCTGGCCCAAACAACAAATGGCAGCAGGAGCCATTGTGCTTTCTTCTGCTAATTTATTTACATTTCTAATTATAGCCTTCCAAACAAACAAACTGCTGAGGAGCAACCACAATCACAACTGGCCTATTGTTTTGCAATCAGCTGTAATCCCATTTTTGGTAAGTTACACAGATTTAATCCCAGTTCTGGTGCACTTTTCTATCCCAGTTCTGGTGTACATCCTTTATCTGAATCATCAATGTTAGACTTAGACCTGGACTGATAGTACAACACTCACTTTGCTCGGCCATGCCTTGCCAGAGGCAAGCTGTCCCCCCAGTACACATGTTCAATTCCAGTTCTGCTACACATCTCTAATCTCTGTTTTGGTACTTACATTTTATTTGAATTTAAAACACTCTAACCTGCACCTATGGTGGCACTCACTGCACTTGGCCAGCTTGCCAGAGGCAAGCCCTTGGACTACTGTACTATTTTGACCAAGTGTTCACATACATCACATCAACAAAAAAACTATTTTTTTTAATTTGTCTTAAATCAAAAGAATTTTTTTTTTTCGGCCATCTCGGCGTGAAAAAATTCCAAAAATCGTGAACACTTGGTCAAAATAGTACAGTATTGTATACAAATTCAACAGTTGTGGTGCACATGTTTCAAAGTTACACTTTCTCCACCTATAGCATGGACCCCCCCGGTTACATGTTTAATTCCAGTTTTGGTACACATATTTTATCCAAGTTCCAGTGCACATGTTTTATCCCACTTCTAATATATGTATTTAATCTCCATTCTGATACACATTCTTTATCCCAGTTCTGGTGTATATTTTTCATCTGAATCATCAATGTTAGAGTTAGACCCAGACACAGCGCTGGCTTCACTTGGTCATGCCTCGCCAGGGGCAAGCTGTCCCCCCAGTACACATATTTATTACACTTCTGGTACTTACATTTTATTAAATATTTGAAACTACACTGTAACCTGCACCTATGGTGTGGCACTCACTGCACTTGGCCAGCTTGCCAAAGCCAAGCCCCTTGGACTATCTGATACAAATCTGAAAGTTGTGGTGTACATGTTCTCAAAGTTACACTTTCATCTGATGGCACTCACTGCACTTGGCCAGCTCCCTGGACCTCCCAGTGCATATGTTTAATCCCAGTTCTGACACACATTTTATCTTAATCATCAAAGTTAAACTGTGCTCATCCAAATTTTTATTCTAATCCAAATCATCAAAGAGCAATCAAAATCCACCTGAAATTTAATCTGCACAGATCTCAAAGTAGGAGAAATATACAGGGAAGTGGAGGGTAAAAAGTAGTACAGAAAAAGCGAAATTGAGGCTGCTCATAGAGGTGTGACCACAAAAACACTCACAAAGAATTTGATGCAGCACTATACAAATTTTACTATTACAGAATGTGGTTGGGAGCTACCAACTGTGGCTTGTAGTCACAGTGTGTGACATTCCTGGGAAACACCACTGAAAGATTGCTTACATGATCTATTACATAATAACTGTCAACGTCCTCTCTTTATATATTAGACAGGCTCCTAAAAGCAGCCACTCATATCGCTCGATGAGTCTCTTCATACTATTAGCGGTATGACAAACAATATGATGTGATCATTGATGGATGGACAAATAAACAAAACTAAGACTCGAGCTCGCGATAGAGCGGCTGCCAGAAAGGTTGTGCAGGCAACTCGGACATCACTGATTAACCCTAACGTTGGGTCTCGATGTCAAGGCCTTTCTGGGCCAGCGTGACAGGCTCATACAGGCCGGTTTGGACTTGTGCAACAGTGGCAGTAGAGGAGAGACTATGGAACACGTAGGTAAGTAGTACAGAACTGTGCCGTAGTATGCCACCATAGCATACTTGTCATACTCCAATGTGTAATGTTGTGTCAAGTTCAATATATATGTATGTGCAGGCTATAAAAGCCCTTTCGTTGTAGCGAAAACATAACTATCTACCAATGGCCGACCTACAATTCCTCAACAAAGTGCAATGCATTCTGAATGCCTTTGAGGATTCAGATCTTACAGTCCACCAATTTCTTCACGCGCTCCTATCAACAAACACATTTGAAGACCATCCTGTCACATTGTTGATTATTGAGGACCTCAACACTATCCTCGACACCATGAGTGCTGGTCAAGCAACTTCCAATCAAACCAGGCAGTGGGTTTTTCGAAGTGCACAGAAAAGCTACCAAGCACAGGTGTTCCAGTTGATGGACAGGGTATTTTCCCCCAAAATAGTGTTGGTGACCGAAATGTGACATGCCAGGAGAATGGGACCCAATGTTAGGGTTAATCAGTGATGTCCGAGTTGCCCACACAACCTTTCTGGCAGCCGCTCTATTGCGAGCTTGAGTCTTAGTTTTGTTTATTTGTCCATCCATCAATGATCACATCATATTATTTGTCATACTGCTAATAGTATGAAGAAACTCATCGAGCGATACGAGTGGCTGCTTTTAGGAGCCTGTATATTAGATAGATTAGACAAGCTTTAGACCCGCACCTACGGCACGGCACTTGCTGCGCTCAGCCGTTCCTCCAGCACTGGTCACAGCTTGCTGGGGGCAAGCCCCTTGGACCCCCTGGTACACATGTTGAATCCGATTCTTCCCAGCAAATGCCGCTCAGGATAAGGATGGTTGATTATGTAAAATTATTATGTAACATTAAAGCTGATTAGTCATCCTTTGTGTTTTCATGTATAGAGATGGATTAGATACACCAACATTGACCTTAAAAAAAAAGGGATTATTGTCATTTGCAAACAAATTGGCAGATGAGCCAACACAAACAACTTTGTGCTACAGTTTTACGTTGGTGAGCCACATGCATGTCCGAGTCATGAACAAAGAAACATTTTTGCTTGTTTTCAACAAGAAAATTTGTTGACATCCGGCATACCAATTGCAACAGGGTCTGAGAGTTTGCGTAGGTTAGTAGAGGGCTTCTCAAGCTCTAGAATTAGACACGACTTACCAATCAAGTTGTCAGGAAGAGGGCTACAGTACGTGCTCAAAGCGTGGTCTTTCTGGTGTTGGCTTCACCCAAATGTCCGACCAAACGTCTATCACACCTCTGAGTGAGAGCGGGCTCACTTTCGTTAAGGCTAGCACACAAGATATAAACAAAACGATGGTTCTATGCATTGCATCAGACAGTTTCGAGGGATACATCGTGGACGAGTCCGGATGGGTGTGGTAAGGTGCGCTGGTTACGCACTTGTAAAAACTGGTCTATGAGGTACCCATTGGCACCGTGGATCTCGACGCCGTCGAAACCTGCCTTGTCAAGTTAAGGGAATTCTTGGTGGCTTGGGTGTACAGAGCGACATATTCTTTTATTTCAGGGGTGGTGAGTTCGCAGAGTGCAGAGCGGTTGGTGGCTTGGGATAGCGGGGGTATGGAAGAAGGGGCGACATGCAGGAGTGACTCAGTAGAAAGTACGGAGGGGTTGGCCAGCGGCCCCTAAACTGAGTGCACAGAGCTGGAGGGAGATAAAGGGGAGAACAGCTCCGCGAAATATCAGAAACCTGAGCTGATCAACTACCAAAACATTCACAGTATCTCTCTGATTCAACGTACTTCATCAAGGCTCCCTAAAATCCGTAAACTAGTTTTCAACAGTTTTCAGTGAGAACCTGATCTCTAAACGGTTCCAGACACTGGTCTGAATAGTCCATGTGATTCTAAATGACCGAAAACTTGCAGTCATCGCAGCCGCCTGCTAGTGCAAGTGGTGGAGGCCTTCTTGACTGCAAGAACTTGAAGGGGACAATGGATCGCAGAATAGCATCATCGTCATCATCAACACAAATACCTTGTACCTCACAATGAAGGGCTTTGAGTTTCGGAAGTAGTTGAGTTTTTGTGAGGGAATGGATTGGTCATGGACAACCCAACACTGGTTTATCAACCTTAAGAAAGCCATCCTGGGCCTGCGATTTCTCAGCACCAGGACTCGTGGGAAAGCTACAGAATTCAGAAAAATTTCACCAAACCACCACTGGCAGAATGTCAACAACTTCCTCGTCATGTGCATCTTCCACTCTTGCTGCCATATACATTGTTTTTGTACCACATTCCTCCATAGAGCGCCGAAGGTTTCCTGAATTCGGCGTTTCCTTAGGGTCATCGTCCACCATGGCAGGTTTCGAACTCCACCGAATGCATAGGTATGGCGAAACTAGCACTGCAGGACAATCAAGCAGATTCTGCAGAACTAATCCACGCTCTCTAGCAACACCGCGAATTTGGGCACCACAGCAGCCACTATCACATCGCCAGAAGTAGTGTGTAAAAGTCCGGTCTGGTCCGGTTTTTTGATGCCTCTGGGCCTTAACCGTAACCGTAACCGGTCCGCATTTTTCCCAAAAGTCAAAAGACCGAAATGGACCGCAAAAAACCGTGGTCTGCGATCTTTTTGCGGTCTATAGACCGGTCTTGGTCTTCTTCGGTTTTAACCGGTTTAAGACCGGTTTTCTGGCCAATATTTTAAAGTTATGAATCGGTAAATTTGTTAACGTGTTTCGTAGCTTTAAAAAGAGCCCAAGAACGTTAAATTCCGTTGAGAATTGGTGTTTCTATAAAAAAGGTCGTGTACATCTACTATTTTTAACGAAATTTTACATTTTTATTTATATCTTTGTCAATTCTGAACCAATTAATACGTGCTTGGGTGCGTTTTGAAGGGTATTCAAGGGGCTACAAAAGACCGGTCCATTTAGACCGGTTTTTTTGCGGTCTTTAGTTCTCAAAAATAAAAGACCGTAACCGCAGGTCCGGTTTTTTGCGGTCTTGGTCCGGTCTGGTTACGGTCTTTTTCCAGTCATGAGACCAGACTTCCAAACACTAGCCAGAAGTGCGTCCAATCTGCCCTCGCCGCCCCAGCTCTACCATCATGTGTGCCCCCAGTCACTGGTCAGCACTCAGTGTTTATCCCTGCTCAATGTTGCTTCATGTCGAAGCTTTCGCCTGTGATTTAACATGCTCGTTTTAATCGTTGCAAGTACCCGAGTCTCATATGCGTACTCGAATGCTCAAGTACAGGGACAATTAACCCATTGACCGTTCAGAGGAGAGGTCTACTTGGAGGCCTTTTTGATATAGTGTGAATCCATGGCTGGACGATGGGGAGGGATGAGAAGGATGGGTGCAAAGGTGGTGGGTCAGTGAGGATGCGGTGACCAATGCTCCTGCCCAACATGAGGGTACCCTCCCCATTTTATTGCAGATCTTGTACGTTCTTTCTTTCCTCTCCCTCTTTCCCCTCAATCACATTACATTCCTCTTCTGCCTCTTTCTCCTCTATATCTCGATACTTTTCTCGCCATCGCATTTCCTTCCAGGCTTTTCTTCTCTATCTCGTTGTCCGATTCTGAGCCAACGTAAGTCCGAAATGGGAAGTCTGAGCCCGCAGTCATGACGATATGATATATGGAGCGGCCAAGACACAATCACAGATTGCAAACTACCACAAATCGCCTTCACGCCCTGACATTTTGTCATCATTATAGTAAGACTGATATACTAGAGATTCAAGCTGACCAGTACGTGGATCTCCTTCAAAAATTCATAAATCCTTATCATCACAAGTTCAAGTCGTATCTCATCATCTTCCCAAGATCGGGATGGCCGCCTTCAATGATATCCAACACCAAGATACAACCTTAGGCTCGTGACCAGCCTGTATATGAGAACTTCGATATACAGGCTGGTATGTCTGAGTTTAAATCCCTGTACCGCGCGGCTCCCATGCCAGTTTCCATAAAAGGTTCGATGATTTTTGACCTCCCCTTAACAATCCGGTCCAGTCCACGCCAAATCTTCCTGGTCTACAATTTCCTTGCATCCAACCGAAAATCGTCTTTCAGCTATGCACCCCAGAAGCACAGCTGATATATGTTTATATTAATCCTTGTGTTTTCTTTAACCTTGAATGTACATATTTCATGGCAAGAAAATGAGAACCTCCCAAAAATATAGGCTACTATCTACTCAAACAAGGAGGGAAAAGAAAGAACAGATAGCTAAGTGACAAAATGGATGAGTAACAGAAATCCAAGAAGTTGACTGGTATGAATGAAACCACTCCAGATTTTACAAATGTGCCATTCATGAGAAAGTGCGTCGATTTCACGCAGCGGAGACCGTGAATACAGTGGAAACGTGATGCGCATTGTGCGACACGTGCTTATTGTTTAGGGGAGGTCAGAAATCATCAAACCTTTTATGGAAACAGGCATGGGAGCCGTGCGGTACGTGGATTTAAACTCAGATTTACTGGTCTGTATATCACAGGTACTTCTCATATACAGAATGGTCACCAGTCTAATACGACCTAAACGGTGCCAAAATTCGGTATGATCATCCACATGATCACCACCAACAGGAAACTTGAGTGTCAGGTGTCACAGCCGTGTGACAAGGCAACTGGGAGGGGAGGGGAGGTAACCCCCAAAATCCTCACATATATCAGGCTTTTGAAGTCATTCTGAACGGCGTCTTTGAGTAAGAGTCTCGAATACCACAGGAGTCAGAAAGAAGGCAAGACTGTAGGAGCTTGGGAAGCTTTTAAATGTTGTGAGTCGGTTTTTAAATCCCGGAGATACGTGCTCATGACTGGTATTTGTTTTATTGAAGAGTTTGAGACGGAACCTAAGCTACGCGCTGAGCGCTCATGGATTATTCCCTTCAAGACTGTTCTGTCCTTGACTCATTCCCAACTGTGGTGGTTGCATTATGTCTCAAAACCGTCTTGTCTCTGAGGAGGGGAGATTATTTCCATGAATTAGAGTGAATCATGGATTTGATTGTGTAGTGATGCAGGTGAAAGAAATGATTGAGAAATGATTCTGAGATGCCCAAAACTTATGCAGGACAGACAAGAGTAGACACACACACACAGAAATAAGACACGACACACGTACTGAAGAATGACACACCTGTCCAATGTTCAACACATTGATGGCAAATGTCAGTCACTTATTCAGGAAGGTGTGTTGAATCTTATCCACATGATACCATACTAATGTCGATTAATTCCACCACGAAATGTGATGTTTGACGGCCAAATTAGCTATTATACACTGTACAGTGTACAAAAATTCTGTGCTTAAGTCGAAATCTGCCTCTGAATGCTCAAATAAAATTCAGGATCATGAGTTTTATTCCTTGAACTACTTACTATACATCAAGTTATACATAAATTCTAAGTTATACGAAAATTCTAGCAACCTCGCGACCCCAGAATATACCCACCAAGAATCCTCGCCCTTGACGGCCTAATCCAGCACATCTGGGTGTCAACATGTGGTCTTGGTGGCCGTGGTCGAATGGGACGCAGTGGTGGCCTTGTTGCAGAGGGCGCTGGTGTTTTCGCTGTCATTCAGGGATGGTTAGTGGGGAGGCGCGGGGTACACACCTGGCTGCACGGTGGGTGCTGTATCCTCTGTTGGTTTGCCAAGTGGTGCTGGGTCCATGTTGATGGGCCTCAGTGCTGGATTGCGTCTGTTGGGGCATTTTCATGGGCCAATTCTGTCAGCATGGGTGGCCTGGGCGCAGGGTTGTTGCCGTGGGTAGATGGGCGGTTTTGTGAGTTTTTGGGCAGGTTTGTGGGTCTTCGGGCAGTTTTGTGGGCATTTTCATGGGTGGTTAGTCATAGTCCGAGGGTTGCATTTGCGAGGGGGGGTTGACTTTGGGGTGGTGGTTGCATTTGCCAAGGCACAGGGTGCGGGAGGTGATGGTTGTGGGTTGTTAGCAAAAATCCGGGGTTGAACAGAGTGGGAACTCACCTGACACTGGATGCAAGCCACATTAACTTAGACCAAATTATTGTAAAGAAATTGTAAAGAAATTTCACACAATTTTACAGTATCATTGTCTGAAAAATTGTAAAATTATTGTGACTTTTATTTCACAAATAGTAGTATTTCTAATGAAAAAACGACAATACCTTTACAATTTTTCAGAAATTGTTAGGGTAAACTTACTTCAAATTTCTTTACAATTTCTTTACAATAATTTAGTCCAAGTTATTGTGGCTTGCATCTGGTGTGAAGGGGCCCGTGACCGTTCTCTTGGTCCTTGTTGGCCATAGTGAGGGTGCGAGACGGGCAGGAAGAGAGCAAGGGGGGTGGTGGGGCACAGGCAAGCAAATGGCAGTGGTGGTGATGAGAAAGTGGTCGTGTCACACTCATAACTTGTGTGCGGAGTTTCAAATCTATGCACAACACACCTGAAAATGCGAAACAACGAAGAACGACATATTGTGACCTGGTGTGTCGCTTCTCACATGTTGTGTCGTACTCCTCATTTGTGTGGGTGTGTCTCATCTTGTACATCCTCCAATGAGAGCGAAGACGAGCAATCTGGTCGTCTATGCAATCGATCCGTGATCTGATTGTTGAAAGATTTGCTTTATGGATGGTGGTGAGATCCTTCACTTGCTGCCTCTCAGCATCTGAACAAAAGTTTTGTATAGAATAGAAGAGGTCCATTATTTCGTCTGGCAGATCATCCACCTGGAATGTCAGCATTAGAATGGCAAGTTATATGATGATGTGGTCATCTACTTCAATATCGGCCATGATGTTTGAAGTCTGAAGAGAGGTGTGAGAGGCTGAATACAAAATTACATCAGACTTACATCCTGATCTAGTTGATTCTCTTCCATGTCCAATGAGTTGTATGGTGTTGCCGTGGGTTGGCCATGGGACCTGGAAGTCCAGGTCTGTGGCACATGACAGGCAGGATGGTGCAGCCAAACACAAGCACACATACCGGACTCAACTAAAGGCTTGCTAAAGGCCACTTGTCACGAGCACCTTGGCCAGTTTCTTCTGCTTCCAAGGTCTTCAGATCAATGCTACCAAGGATCAAGATTGTGCAGCACATGGATATGGGGTAGGGAACATTGGCAGTTAGTTGTCGGACTAGACAAGGACTAGACGGTGGGTGTTCTTCCACCTTGCTTCCACCAGCAATCACATTTCAAAGGCAGAAACTGAGTCTGACTAGATTGTAATGTAGAAAACACTAGTGGATTTTAGACTCTTGGACCTGACCACAAGGCTACCCCATCTAATCTTGATTGATGTGTTGATGCCTCTTCCAAGAGTATTTGGCCGAAAGACAAGCAGACCATCCATCATACCAGCACCTAGTACCAAGGAAGACGAACCCGCGAAGATGATGAAAACCTCTCAGAGACACCCTTGTCGTCACAAACGCTCCTGCCAGACTCCCACTGCTCCTGCCCTTTCCCCGCCTACCTTGACACCCCATCACGTCTATGGACCCGTGGCCACTACTATAATTGGCGGCCTACCATACTCTGTTTGGTCGATGGATGCTTCATTTGAACGCGCTGCGGATTGTCCAGGCACACCCCCACATACCCCTTTTCATATTGCCAAGTGCACCTGCCTTCCCATCCCCACTCTGAGCACCATAAGCTAATGGTACCCACTCGGAAACCAGAAAACCCCCCTTCACCGACACACTTGTCTTCGGGACAGATCTTTTGCAAAACACTTGTTCAAACTCATGGCACCCGGTTTCGAAGGGAGGGATACGAAAGCTATGAAGCCTTTCCAAAAGATTTGTAGGTGTTTCGTTGGATGGGCGAGGATGTCATGGGAAATAAGGGGTGGATGGGTGGGATGGAGGCATTGTGGTGGGGAACAGTAAGCGCGAACATTGGCAATGGCATCGGGTCTGTAGGATGTTTTGACGATTGGGCTGGCAGAGGTGATATGTTTGCATTTTCTCGGTAACACCTTTCTCATCTTCTTCCTTTCTCCTTTCTTGTCATCCGTTGGAGTTTATTAAGCTCGCACCTACAGTTTCTTCAGGAAGGCACTCCAGAGCTTCAGAGTTCCAGTGCATCTCTGTGAGAAATCTATTTTCTTAACTTGTCAACTACTTTCTGGCTTCTGGGTGCTCTCCCCTTCGTCTCATCGATTTTACCCCTCTGACTCTTCCCTCAGGGATCCTTGCCTGCTTCTCAGCACTCATCTGCCTCATGAACATGACCCTCGTATATTCTGTGGGCTAACATGGTATATTTCTCAACACTGACTATGTGAACAGCCAGTGGCAAGACATGGATGGCATGATATTTTGCGTAGGGGACAGGTGTATTACGAAATTATGTGTTACTTCTCTTGCCTCTTTCTATAGTGACGGTACTGATGATACTTTTTGTTCTTTTCTTGTTGCGTTCGGTGTGTATGTGAGTGTGGGTTCAAGTTTCCTCCCCGCTCTCACTGTGCCAACTCACAATCTGCTTGAAATTCTCTCTCGACTGCGCCTTATCTAGTGGCCCAAAATCAGCTGCAGGTTACACAGAAGACCGAAGTACAAAAAAAAAAAAAACAATTCCTGCAACACTTTCGTCGATGTATCTTATCAAATTGCTGGGCAATGATCGTAAATCAGGACAGTAAAGCAGGAAACGGGTCACTTTATGCACATCACTTGTAGGGTTGGGCTGGTTACACGATATCCTACTAGTACTTCATATTCGGCCAGTATAATTCTTGCAAATACAAATGGTAGCATTGCAAACAATTCACTAAGGACGACTACAAAGTAATTTGTTAATACGTCATTCTGGATACTGAATAGAACTGAACGGAGCCACAAAATCATTCAGAAGGGGTTGCATCTACATATATTATTCCAGTTCACATCTCATGATCTCTCGCCAATGTAGATAGTCATCACTCCAGGTATCCAACTCCAAAGAGACTTGATTTCTAAATGGTGCCAAAACTTGGCCTACCTGATTCATCAAGTCCTCTTCAAGTTCGACTAAGAAATCCTGAAACTTGAGCGTTAAGCGTCGCAGCCACGCCGAAGTGCAGGTAGTTCCAACCTGCGGGACATCCAATCGAGACTGAATAAATGCAGCAAGGGGTTGCAGAACATAATCAATGTCATCCCCAATATCTTGGATATTGCAATGAAGGGTCTCAAGTTTCGGAAGGAGCTGTTGAGTTGTTGAAGAGGATAGTGTTTGAAAGTCCGGTTCGGTCCGGTTTTTTGATGCCCAGGGGCATTAACCGTAACCGTAACCGGTCTGCCTTTTCCCCAGAAGTCAAAAGACCAGACCGGACCGCAAAAAACCGTGGTCTGCGGTCTTTTTGCGGTCTATAGACCGGTTTCGGTCTGCATCGGTTTTAACCGGTTTATGACCGGTCTTTAGGCTAATATTTTAAAATTATGAATCGGTAAATTTATTAAAATCTCTATTAGCTTTAAAACGAGCTTAAGAACGTCAAATTCCGTTAGGAATTGGTGCTTCTATAAAATAAGTCTGGTACATCTATTATTCCCAAAGTAATTTACATTTTAATTCATATCTCTCTCGTTTTTTTACCAAATCGTACGTTCTTGGGTGCGTTTTAAAGGGTATTTAAGGGGCTACAAAAGACCGGTTCACGTTAACCGGTTTTTTTGCGGTCTTTACATCTCAAAAATAAAAGACCGTAACCGCAGGTCTGGTCTTTTGTGGTCTTGGTCCGGTCTGGTTACGGTCTTTTTCCAGTCACGAGACCGGACTTCCAAACACTAGAAGAGGACGTGAAGGTAGTGAAAATCTTGTTGTAATCTGTTTCCACGGAGAAGTGAAGATCGGTAACTGAAGATGAATGATTGAGCAGAGAATACAGCTGGGGTTCTTCGAAATTTACTTTCCCAATGATTACAATGTTGTCAAGAGAACAGGTATCATTGACTGGAAGATCTATGTTCCACACATGAGGAAAGTGGCAACTGTAGAATAAGAATTGAAGCCGTTGCAGGGAAGGAAAAGAGAGCCTGTGAAAAGTGGGTTGCTGTCCATATTCAGTGATGTTGACAGTCAACTGAACAAGGTGAGGGAGGATCATGTTGAAACCAGTGGTTGGCAAAGAGGGTTCGGTGTCAGGTTGATTGATTGAAAATATTCCGAGCTGGAGATTGACACAATGGCAGATGAGCTTATACCACATCCATGTGGATAATTGTCTCTCAATGCGTAGATGAGTCAATTGTAACCAAGGAATTAGGAATATTGGAGAGGACACGGAATCAATGAAGTTGTGCAGTTGGGTGGAACAAAGGCGAGGTGCTGATTGGAGAAGACATTGTGGTGCAGGGACATGATCCGAACCAAGTGGGGTCTCCAAAAAAATCGATTCCAATTCTGTAAACTCCATCGATATGTTTGAGAGAAAATATGAGTCACTTGGGTAAGAAGTTTTCAGGTAGAGATGCTGAAGACGCGAATTAGGAAGCTGATTCAATACATCATGCAATTGCAAGTTGAATCCCGCATCTAGTTTTTCCTGGAGGAGATTTATCCCTAGAGAAAGCAGGCAGCTTCCTGCACATGCAAACCAGGTCTCCAACATGGGTGAGATGGAAGAGTAGACAGTGGTGGTAACAGCTGTCGAGTTGAAGGAATACTTTGATCGAAAGGCCAACGCCTTCCAGAGCCGAGGAGAGCTAATGGCTGTCCTACGCCATTTTGAACAAACCTCGCATACGAGCAAAGGCGCATCGTGCATGCTCAAGGCAATCATCGATGCCGCCACTGGTAATTTCTTTACAATAATTTGGTCTAAGTTAATGTGGCTTGCATCCAGTGTCAGGTGAGTTCCCACTCTGTTCAACCCCGGATTTTTGCTAACAACCCACAACCATCACCTCCCGCACCCTGTGCCTTGGCAAATGCAACCACCACCCCAAAGTCAACCCCCCCTCGCAAATGCAACCCTCGGACTATGACTAACCACCCATGAAAATGCCCACAAAACTGCCCGAAGACCCACAAACCTGCCCAAAAACTCACAAAACCGCCCATCTACCCACGGCAACAACCCTGCGCCCAGGCCACCCATGCTGACAGAATTGGCCCATGAAAATGCCCCAACAGACGCAATCCAGCACTGAGGCCCATCAACATGGACCCAGCACCACTTGGCAAACCAACAGAGGATACAGCACCCACCGTGCAGCCAGGTGTGTACCCCGCGCCTCCCCACTAACCATCCCTGAATGACAGCGAAAACACCAGCGCCCTCTGCAACAAGGCCACCACTGCGTCCCATTCGACCACGGCCACCAAGACCACATGTTGACACCCAGATGTGCTGGATTAGGCCGTCAAGGGCGAGGATTCTTGGTGGGTATATTCTGGGGTCGCGAGGTTGCTAGAATTTTCGTATAACTTAGAATTTATGTATAACTTGATGTATAGTAAGTAGTTCAAGGAATAAAACTCATGATCCTGAATTTTATTTGAGCATTCAGAGGCAGATTTCGACTTAAGCACAGAATTTTTGTACACTGTACAGTGTATAATAGCTAATTTGGCCGTCAAACATCACATTTCGTGGTGGAATTAATCGACATTAGTATGGTATCATGTGGATAAGATTCAACACACCTTCCTGAATAAGTGACTGACATTTGCCATCAATGTGTTGAACATTGGACAGGTGTGTCATTCTTCAGTACGTGTGTCGTGTCTTATTTCTGTGTGTGTGTGTCTACTCTTGTCCGTCCTGCTCTCATTGTCAGCAACTTCGTTCCAAAAGAGATCAGGAAATCGAGCATATCAAAATTTTGAAATTGATATTGAGCCCAATTTGACACATTCCAACACAGGTACTTTGTGAAATTTTCAAGCACTGTCTTCCCGAGATGTCGATGGGTGGCATAATGAGCGAGCTGAGCAATTACGATGTTCCATTGGTCTTATGCCAAGTCTGTTCAGAATGGCGTAGAACCGCTTTAGGATTTCCCCCTCTCTGGAAGTCAGTGGCCCTTGTGGTGAGCTGCTGGTATGATATTGGAACAAAGGTCATCATGTCCGTTCGACCCTCCGTCGCACGTATCTTGGCCATCCGGCTTGCACGTGCTGGTAGTGGTCCGCTTTCACTCAGATTAGATCTCCAAGACAATGGCCCAAGCAGTTATACATCAAGGTCTATCTTGAAATTGAAAGATGTCTTCACTCGCCTTCCTCACTCTGGACTGGGGGTGGGCATACCGCAGATTCGGTCTCTGCACTGCACTGCCTTCTCCAATCAGCACCTCGTTTTCGTTCCACCAAGTTTCATAATTTTATCAGCCTGGACATCTTCCCAAGAAACTTGATCCCCTGGTCACAACTGACTCACCTACGCATTGAAGCTGAGTTTGGGGAAACCATGTGGTATACTCTCATATGCGTTTGCACGAATCTCCAGCATGGAATCTTTTCACTCAACGATGCAGAAGGTCCTGTCATTCAAGTCTCCGATCATGACATTGTCCTCTCCCATCTTGTTGATCTGACGCTTCATGTCACACAAGGCGCAAATACACCCTGTTTTTGTTGACTCGTTTTCCCCACACTGAAAAGGCTCCAATGGTTGTTTGATAAATCCTTACAATTGCTAAGCTACGGTCGCAGTGGGGGCGGGAATAGCTATCTCCCACCCACTGAGCGTGATTCTCTCAAAACCCTTGTCATAGTCGGTGTGATAGGATTTATGCCACCACAGCTGATTTCCTTGCTCAGTTCAGCATCCTCATTGTCAATCACTGAACTCACCTTTCCGTGGTGACAGACTACTCCGACTTTTTCAATGTCCTCGCCTCCTCCTCCTCCTCCTCCTCCTCCTCCTCATCCCACAAACTTCTCCCAAAGCTCGATGTCCTTCATTGTGATATCAGAATCATTTTAAATGTCGACTCTTTTCTGGAAGCCCTTGCCTCCTTCGTGCAATCCAGGTGGTGGGATGAGCCTGATTTGCCCGCCACTCAGACTATCGCGTGGCTGCGACGCCTGACACTAAATTTTGAGGTCACAGAGGAGATGTGGGATTTGAAGGATTGTGTAAGCAGGGTGTTGGAACAGTTTACAGATTGAGGTCTTTCCTTTTCGCTGGATACTTGTCCAAATTTGCATCACCGAATGAATTTGCGCAAGATGATGATGTACGAAATGGTATGACGGAATACACGAGCAGAGTCATAGTGAATGAACCTCTTGTACCCTGTTACTGTTAATTCTATGTACAGTTATGATATACTGACAGATGTACTAACTCATCAAAGGCTCACATCGTTTCATTCGAGTTCATTACTTATTGTTGAGAGATGGAGGCAGGAAGCAAGAGTGTATTAGACACGTAGTGACTCAGTACATAGGTGTTAGACTACGTAGTATAGGAGTACGACAGGAGCACGTGACCTGTAGATTAACACTCCCCTTCAAGTTGTCGACTGTAAATTCATTGGATAGGAACTGTGGGTGCGTTAAAAAACCTCCCTGGAAGGGTAGGGAAAAGCTACCACTTGTTCTAAGTTCCTTCCAGTGCCGACTTCATTCCCATTTCTGTGATGTGTTTTCGATGTTTGAAGCGATGTAAAGCCTTCGTAAGTACGTCGGCTGTTTGTTCAGGATCACGGACAGAATCAATTTTGATAATGCCCTCTTGTATTGCATCTCGTACTCTGTGGTATCGAATAGCAATGTGCTTGGCACGGTGGTGGAATTGGGGATTCCTGGCCATTGAAATTGATCCATTATTATCACCTTTAATCGTAGTTGGTGATTTTTGTGCAAATCCAAGTTCTTCATAGAGATTTCTGAGCCAGTAAGCTTCTCAAGCAGCTTCTGATAAAGCCACATATTCAGCTTCAGTTGTTGAGAGAGCAGTGAATGTTTGTCTTTTAGATCACCATGTTATCGCTCCCCCTGCTGCGATGAAGACATAGCCTGCTGTTGACTTGTAGTCTTCTGTGTCAGCATAGGCAGCATCAGAAAAGCCATGAAAGAAACCATGGAATAAATTGTCATTGTCGCTATGAGAGCTGGAATATGTTATTCCATGAGTTCTGGTGCCTTTTAAATATTGAAGAATTTGTTTTAAGGCTGTGACATGTTGCACAGTGGGATTTGCTGTGTAAGAGCATAGACGGTTGATGGCATATGCAATATCCGGTCGGGTGGCATTGGCGAGGAACTGCAGCTCGCCTAAAATTTGTGCAAAGTAATTACTTCGGCTACCTTCGTTGCCTTCCGTATTTGGTAAGATTTTGACTTTGGGATCCATAGGCGTTGATACAGGGTTGCAATCTGTCATGCCTTCGTGTTCGAGAATTGACTCGATATAGCGTTGTTGGGAAATGGTGACAGTATTTCCAACATGAGAGATTTCAATGCCAATAATTTTCTTTGGCTCTCCCAAGTCAGTTACGTCCCATGTGGCCTTGATTTCTTCCTTCATTTTTCGCATTAGGTCGTCACCTAATGCAAAGAGAAGGAGATCGTCGACCCAGACAGTAATTATGGAGATGTTGTCTCCATCGCGCCGTATATAGGCACAAGGATCTGAATAAAGTCTTGTATAACCAAGATTTTTGAGTTTGGAGTCCAATTTGTGGTTCCATTCATGACCTGATTGTTTCAAGCCATAAAGTGTTTTGATAAGTTCACAAACTCTCTTGGTGCCATCATTGTAACCTTCTGGTTGTTTCATATAGACCTTCTCCTTCAAAGTGCCATTAAGGTATGCACCTTTGATGTCCATTTGTTGGATTTTGTATCCATTTTTAACCGTAAGTGCAAGAATGGCTCGGACTGTTTCCATGTGTATGACAGGTGAAAAAGTTTCCACATAGTCATAGCCAGGACGTTGGGCACATCCTTTTGCTACCAGTCGTGCTTTGTATTTGATGAGTTCACCAAGTTGGTCTCGCTTCTTGATATACACCCATTTATTTGCAATAGGTATGGCATTGGGAGGTAGATCAACCAGTTTCCAAGTTCCCATTTCTTGGAGTTGTTTAATTTCGATATCCATAGCACTTTGCCATTCTGGCCAGTCAATTGAGGCCTTTGCTTCTTTGAGACTGTTGTATTCGTCCCCTGCAGTGAGAAGACCGTGTCACGCGGGAGTGAGAATAGTGTAATCGGACGCGCTGACAAGATGCGTGAACACCTAAACAACACACACACACACAAACACCTTAAACACTTATCACCACAGGTACGTGCTCGGTACTTCAAGTTCGGGTTCGTACAGTAAACAGAATTACCACACTTGTTTTGTTAGAACTTAAGTAGAAGTTCGGGGAAACATTTTTTGTATATTTTATATCACTTGTCTAAGTCTAGTAGACCTTTTTGGAACAAAAGGTATTGTTTTACATGCGGACACAGTATAGAATTCGAAACTTAGTAGTCTTCGAAGGGAAACAGCTTTTATTGGGACTGTCTCGGTGTTCTGGGATTGCGTTCTAACTGTATACGAAGAAATGACAAGGAAATTGTGCTTTGTAGACTTTTATAACTCCCTTGAGCTTTTATTATGCCTCTGATGTGGTCCAAACTAGTCTTAAAGACTCTTCAAGCACGCTCACTTGGATTCCTCGGTAATAGTAGAGAGCTCTCTTACTAATTGACGAGACAACCTTACAAAAGCTTTGTGATCCCCACTTAACACGCTGGTTCCGGGCACACGTTACTTATGTCTGCGAAGAAAAGTCCTTAAATTGATTACAAACTTATCCACTACCTCAGATGCTACTGGGAGTGCGACAGCTGGTCAACACGGGGGATAATTCTTTGCGTTTCAGCCTGCGCGCGTCCTCTTTTTATACTATTCTATGTTTTCTATTTATATTTACATGTCCATGCGTTGTCCGAGAGGTCGGACGAATTAATACAGATTTTTTAGTAAAGGTTTGAAGTGGCTCGGTTGTGTGTGGCACAACTGAGCTGACTTCTTTTAAGTTTTCGTAGTGTTTTCTCTATTGTGGCGACGCGACGCATCAGTATTGATGCGTACGCGGGAATCGCCGTAAACGGTTTTCACGATCGGTTCAGCCGAGACGAACGGTCCGCTTAGTGATTTTTCTCTCTATTATTAGATACTATGCCCGGGCCTCGGACCGCACGGCAAATCGTTCATAGTTTTTCTCTTTTGGCAGGCTTCGGAATATTTCACGAAGCTTAGTTTTCTTGGGTCAATGATGTCATGATTTGTGATGTGTTGATGCGCGTGATGCGTCTCTCCACATGACTTCTTGGATCATGCTTCGTAGCACGTGACCGAATGACTTCTTGCGTCAGGTACGCGTCGAGTTTCTACGCTCGCGCGTTTATCTTTAGAATTAATATCTTTTAATCCATAATAAGGTGAGACCCTGGTTTGGTGTAAACTCCAACACCCTGTGCGGGGGTGTTTTTTTTTACTCTAGAACACTCGGTAGCGTACTATTTCATGGTAGTGTAGCCTTTTATTAGACTTCGAGTATATTGAGGTGATTCGGTCACGAACCGACCGCAATTCCTACTGCCTAAGGCGTGCACATTTCTCGGATGTAGACTTTAATCGACTAGACCGGGTTGCGTCTAACGATCCTTATGATCAATGTGACTGTATTTCTACTATAGGAGGTTTTATAGGAGAAATCGCTAAAATTCGCATTTTTATGGGTGTATTGTTACACTCCGTATCAGCAGTAATGGCATATATTATCTCATCATCACTGTAGATGATAAGATTCCCCTGCTCATCAAGTTCATCAGGGAAGGGATCATTTAGAGCTTGATAATCGACTTTTTTCCCTCTTGTTTTTCGTTCAAAGTTATCTTCGGTTGTACGTTTTCCATTTTCATTTAATTCATCTGTAATTGTTACAGGTATTTTCTCCCCTTTCTCCCCTTCAGGTGCTGGATCGATTTCGATGTCATCAGCAGCTAGTGGAGGAGCTGTTTGGGTGAGGAAACGGAAATTCTGTGAGCATAAAATCTTGCAGGTTTCTGCACTGTAGTAAAGTACAGAATTAGAGCTGTCATCATAGCCCACATAGGCTCGTCGCTTTGATTTTGGTTGTAATTTTGGTTGTTTAGCCTGTCCTTGATGTAGGATCCAGACAGGTGCCCCAAATTCTCGAAGATGAGAGATGTTTGGCTTTTTATTATGCCAAATCTTGTATGGTGTGTGGTCGCCAAGAGGTGAAGTGAAAACTCGATTTCTTAGGTAGGCAGCATGAGCTACAGCTAGTTCCCAAAGAAATTCTGGAAGACTGTGAGCATTAATCATTGCACGTGCGAGCTCCACCAGTGTTCGATTCATGCGTTCAGCAACTCCATTTTTGGATTGTGAATAGGGAGCTGTTGTTTGAATTTCTATTCCCTGTTCTGCACACCAGTTCCAAAGGTCTTGATTTACAAATTCTTTCCCCCAGTCAAAGTGTAGTGCTTTCAGATTTCTCCCAAGAGTTTTAAGGTGTGTCACATAATTTTTGATGCTTTGAACAGCTTCATCCTTTCCTTTAGTAAAGTCTAGGGATGTATATTGTCCATGATCATTGACGAAAACAACATAGTATTGTTTTCCGTTGATGGAGGAAATGCAGTATTTTCCCCACATATTGATATGCGTGAGTTCCCCAAGTTCTGTCACTCGTTCAGAAGATTCATTGAGCAGTTCAACAGTTTGCTTTGCTTCTGTGCAAGCATTACATTCCGGTTTAGGTGTCCGGATATCAACATTGAATCCATTGACAAGTTTGTGGTCTAATAATTTTTGTAGACCAGAATAGCTGATATGGCCAAATCTTTTGTGCCAAGTTTCCCAGCTTTGAGTAGGCTCAGAGGTGAGGTAAGTTTGAGGTGTTACAATCACAGATTTGTTGGTAGAAGAACCAGGTTTTCGAATGGTTAATTTCATTCGATACAAATTATTGGTGACCTTCTTGCATTGAGCAATTGATTTCCCATCTTTTGTGATGAGAGTAATAGTGCCTCCCCCTCCGGTATATCTTCCTCCAGATGTATCCCAGCACCCAAGTGAGAAAAGGTTGTTGGGATTTGAAGGGATATGCAGGACATTTTCCAATCGCAAGATATATTTATTTTCTTTGTGAATGGATTCGACTTCGACTGTTCCGATGCCATGGACAGTGGTTTTTAAGCCTCCAACACCAGAGACAATTTTGTCACCCAGCGTTTGATAAGTTGTGAAGGCCGCACGTTGATTACAGATGTGAGAGGTGGTTCTAGTGTCCGCAACCCAGTCATCATAATAAGAAACACATTCATCCATTGCCAAGCTATTGGAAACATCAAACGTGTCATAATTAAAGTCCTGTCTATCTTCTTCATTAGCGAAGAAGGTAATAATTTCATCTTCCACCACATTTGTGACTTCCTTCCTTTGTTTCTTTGGATCACCTCCCCCGTTACCCTCAGACTTCCTTTTCTTTCCTCTGTCTGCCTTCTCCTTCTTCCTCTTCTCTTGACAATTTTTGTCGACGTGCCCCTTCTTGCTGCAGTATCCGCATGCCTGGGTGTCATTGAGGAAGTAGCAATCAGTAGTGTTATGGTTCTTGCACTTGCAGTGTGAACACCATTTTTCGGATGTGTTACTGGATGTGGCGTTACTGCAGCTACTGATGTGCTGTGCGAGATTTGGTTTGGGAGGTTTGTTATTGGGGTTGTGAATCGCAAAATTGGTTGATTCATCTTCACGCCCGGTCCTCCGCACACATTCCTCATGTATAATACCGATAAATTCTTGAGAAGTCATTAATTTCTTCGGATTTGTCTCAACAATGTCGGTCCTTCGTCCAATGTAGTCTTCAGTGAAACTATCCCAAGATTGGGGTAAAGACGAAGATATGATGACCTTGAATTGAGCGTCAGAGATCTGGAAGTCTGGGTCAGCAGTGAGATTAATTCTAAGGTAATATTGTCGCAGTTGGACAAGATGTTTGGGGCTGTCGTCCCCATCGGCCACTCATAATTTGTGTAAATTGCGTGTGTAGGCGATGATGGTGTCATGAGTTTTGTTCTCATAAAGTGCGAGGAGTTGCTTCCAGCACTCGGAAGAAGTACCAGGTTGTCCGACGTTCATCATCTTGGTGGTACTGATGTTCGACGTTAACAAATGCTTTGCATAGTTGTCATTTTTGGACCAGTTCCTCGCGCCTTGTGGGTCGATAAGAGGATTTGGTCTTTCGATTTCCCCCTGCATATATTTGTAGACTTCGCAGAGTTTTAGCATGATGTGCATGCATTCACGCCAAACAATCCAATTCGTGGCGTTTAGATTATCGTCACTTGATAATTTGATGATAGCGGCGTTTTCCATGCCTCGTACAGCCTCGATAGATGGTAGTGTGTATAGATTATTGTCTGTGTCGTCCCGTGGTGGTGGTGTGAATAGGGGTGATCCCCGAGGAGTAAGTTGTCGACTAGAATTTTCGTTGTGAATCGACATGTTGACAGTTTTAGTTCAACTTAAAATGTTTGGAAAATACAATACAAATTTAAGCATCTCCGGGGCCCATAACCTGTTGAGAGATGGAGGCAGGAAGCAAGAGTGTATTAGACACGTAGTGACTCAGTACATAGGTGTTAGACTACGTAGTATAGGAGTACGACAGGAGCACGTGACTTGTACATTAACACTTATCCTCAAGTGGAAACAAACCTATAGTAAGTATGTTGGGTAGCAGTTAAAAAACGCACACTCACCAGCTCAGAGGAGTATCCATTTTTTGAAATGCCTGCTACGTAGTTAGCAGGTCTTATCCTACAGGCCAGCAAAGCTCTTGCGTGGGTAAGTTTAGCCATGTTTGGCCCCTTCTGAGTGACTCGGTTTGGGTTCGAGCCTTCCTCTTTCTCGTGTTCCTCCACCATGTCCTTTTGTTTCGAGCTCGACGGCTCTCCCGTTTCTGCTGAGCTTTCCTGTGGTCCTCGATCCTATGTGTCCGTTGCTTAGGCATTGTCACGGGTAACCCCCGGGTACCTTTGGCCTTACCCGTACCCTTACCCACAGAAACCCGTACCCGTGGTCAAGGGTACGGGTTTCCAGGGGTAGGGGTATGGGTTTACGTGGGTTTGGCGGGTCTCGCGGGTTTACCACAAGGTATTTGGCAATTGTGGCTGCTGTACAACGAACAAGTAGCTACAGACATAAGATAGCTAATGACGACAAATGACAATCGTCGTTTGTCATCTTGATTCAAGGTCATTGTAGTCAAACTCTTGGATAGATGAAATACGGCTAAGAGAGCTTGGTCTGGTATTACAATACATGACTTGGTGTAAAATACAGCACGATGTTCGAGCGGACAATCCAACAGAATGTAGTCCTCTTCTCTAACACCAACAAGTGTGTGGCTTTGTTGACGGAGCAGATGAGTTGAGGGGTGGTTAGGTCCATTACGCGTTGGAAGCCTTTGAGGGGGAGGGCACGGCGTCGACGAAGGAGGAATGCAGGTATGGTTGTGTGGGCATGGAGATGCAAACGTGGGTGGTGGTGCGTGAACATGAATGGGAATGGGTGGTGCTTGAGCACGAGTATTGGTGCGTGAGCGTGAATTAGTGAAACGAGATGGCTGGTGATGTGTGAAAAGGGTCGGTTCATGGTTCTCCATGGTGCATGTGTGCGGATGGTGTGGTAACGATGTAAGCAGCCTGGCTGCTCATCCATAATACACCCTAAAGTCGGTTATGAGTACTATTCCCCAAGAAATAAAACAAAGAGCTCACCCTTGGATGTCATCGAAAATGGGTCAAAGTCCATCCTCCCACTCTCGACGAAGTGCGCAAGGACACTGGCCTAATCCTCCCTTGTATCCCAAGTGATCTTCGCAGGCGGTCAACCTTGACGGGCATGACCTGGGAGACACCTCCGCATCGGATGATGATGACGAGCGATGCCCCCGCTATATCTGCATCGTTCCTCGCATCGCTGGATGTCGGCAATGATGGGTAGGTCACGGATGTACGTCGTCGGTAGGATGTGAGTCAAGAAGAAGCTAATCAACTCCGCGTTAGCATGATAAGAAAGTGAAGTTGAAGACGGAAACGTACCGACGATAGGACTCGACGTGGTTATGGCAATTCAAGTTGATGAGCAACGCGTTCCGCCTAACATTGGCTGGGACGCGCTTGAGTTGCAGAGCCTGGAAGCCAGCCCAGTCCAAAGACGTATGCACAGAGGTGAACTTGTGGAGGTTCTTCGTGAGGTGCTCGTCTGCGGCTTGGGAGGATCCGGCGGCGAGGGCCACTCTGTGCCACCTCATCGTCGTCGCCTCGCGTCGATCTGGTGGGTGCTTGTCGATTGATGACGTGTCATTGTGGTGTCGTTGTTGTGGTAATGGGCCATGTCGGGGTGGCTGTGGAAGGTCGGCGAGGGGAGTCGTCATCACTGTCGAGACTGATCAGACAGTGGTGGTGGGTGGGCATCGTGGTGTGTTCTGGTGGTGGTTGAGAACAGCTGTTGTTCACGCCCAATCAGGCGTCGGTGTTTGTTGGCAAACACCGATGCCTGATTTGGGCGTGCGGGTATACCTACGGGTAACCCAGTACCCTCACTACGGGTACGGGTTTGGCGAGGGTTGGTAAAGTCCAACCCGTACCCTTACCCGCAACCCGCACGGGTCACAAAACCCTTGACAATCACTACCGTTGCTTGCTCGAACTGTTTGGGCTTGTCTTTCTCTGGGGAGTGTGCTGATCTTGCAGTCTCCGTGAAGATTGGCGATAGCTGGCCTACATGCGTTATGTCTCTGCTTGTCTCAGGCGAACATCAAGAGTTTGACTTGGTGTTGGGTGGAGACTGGAAGGGCCTGATGAAGGAGCTCGGCTCGGCTATGGGTGTTATCTTTCCCGTGGCATTGGTACGTTTATCTTGGGACTTGAACGGTTGTTGACACATATTTCAGCAACGTTCCATCGTTCATGGTCCTATCCCCGCCTTTGAAGTCAGAGAACAGACATCTCGGAGGTCCGCATCTGTAAGCATTGTCTCATGGTACAATGCCCTTTCTGTTATTGATAAGTGTTTTAGCCTCCAGCTGGGTGCGGGTCCTCTGGTGGCGGCGACAGTGGGGGTCATGAACACGTGGAGCCAGCTGTAAGTTGACATGCCTTGACTTAAGTGTTATAATCACAAGGACATCTAGGGGCCATTGCCAACCATTGATCTACCAAATTGCTCTCTGCACATTGACAATTTAAACACAGAACATGTTCAATTTAAATCTTTAATCTGTGACCCGAGCTCTTCATTTTTCGTGTTGGGTGGCAGCAGCTCTGCTGTTGTGGAGGCACTTAGACTTCATGGTGTTTTGTATGAGGGTCTCAGTGGTGATGCCCGTTGAGCTGCTCTTGTTCATCATCTTTTTTATGGTCATTGCCATCGTCATGCAATGACTGATTGTCGCGCTGTTGTGCAGATGTCGACAAGTATGGTGTCTCTTGCCACCTCTCTTTCTGAAGAAGTGTTAGCATTGTTTCGATGTTCCGAGCTCCCTTCTGGGATATTCCAGGATTTATGTCTGTTGTTGGGCTTTTGAAAGGAACAGGCTTGTTCAGAGTCAAACATGCTTGCGTTTTATGAACATCGTCTAGATATGTTGCGCAATCCCTGTACGTTTTACCAGCTGTCCAACTTTTTTTCCAATTATGATCGCATGGATTGTCCTACTTTGTTGAGTTTGTGTGGGGTTCATGGGTTACCTTTGGATGGAACGATGACCATTCCGACACGGATGACAACAATCGTTGATACACATTCAAGACTCTCAACCACGGCAGCAAACTGACTATGATTTATCAATATTGTACTACTTGTATATCTCCAAATTTGTATACAGGATATATCATAGACAAATGTTACCTGCTGGTAACCCACTGGTAACGTTACCTATGCCCCAGGTAACATTACCAGTCTGAATACCTAAATCCTTGGCATATATCGCCATTGTCCCCCACATACTACCATTGTTTTATAATAGCTCTCATGTATTTACATTATCCCGTTAGCGAGTTTAGCCAAATATGGAACGTGTGGCTCTCGGAGCCATTATAAGTAGATATTTTTGCGACGACGCGTCGAAGCGTCGCGTGAGCCTGCTCCTTCACTCCCTCACTCAAACTGCTTTAATTTAATTACATCACCCCTTCAAAGTATGTCTTGGAAGCACAGTAGCATATAAAAATTTAAAAGCAGAGGCTTGAGAACTGCAGTGTATTTCCCAATGAGCCCTCCCAGAAAAATGGCATTTTTTTGCAGCCAGTATGTACAAAGAACCTCATTTATATTTTAGCCGTGCATTATCTAAATCCCAACGGGTGTTGCAAAAATTGTGGCCTCTAAAACTTCGCCTTTTATCCTTAAAATGTAGTCTATTTGGTACAGGTTTCCTCAATCGCGGAAACACCTTTTGATGCACTTTAATTCCACGATTGGGGCCTCGCTATCCCCTATTGTTGAAGTCGCATTTGAGGATCCCGTTTTTGAGGGAAAAGCGGGACCCACAATGGCGGTTTCCACATTCGGGATGCGAGGTTTCCTCGATCGGGGTCACCTCAATTGAACAGATGAGGGGGTCACACAGGGAGTGAACGGAGAGGGGGGCTGAGGTGCAAACAACCCAGTTGGGAGTTCAGGGATGCCTGAGGGCGAGAGCAGACCATTGATTACAAAGAGGAGGAGGGGGGACAGGGATCAGAGGGGGGAACGGGGAGAGAGCGGAAAAAACGGATTCATTCGTGTGACACTATCTACGCTATCGAGGACTCCGCGAACGCGGACTGCTGGAGAGAGGTTACCAGCCGCGTGACGGAGGTGACGGCGCGCGCCAAAAGGGAGGGTTGCCAGAGGACACGTGACGTAACCCGGTCACGTAACCAGGCGTGATACACAATAGTATTATTGACATTCGTCTCTACCATTATTGGGATTGGTTGCCGCACTTTACATAATCGCCGTAGCGGGCTTTGCGCCCGAAGGCGCGCTGCAGTGGTTATTTAGCATTCACATTTCAGAGTTTCTAAAACGAGTCACCATCTGTTGGGCAACGATGGTAAGAGCAAACATCGGCACCTCCCGGAAGGTTGAAACAGTGCCACTTTGTGACTAGTGCGCGTGAGTCGTAGCCTCATACTGTGAGTAATTTCAAAGACTCAAGTACCTGATTTTGACCGGTCGACAAGCGCACATCATGGGAATCCTGATCGACATCTCCAAATTTTTTCTCGGCGTGAAAAACAAGGGTCAATCTGAAATTTTCATGCGTCGGCACTGGTTGATTTCGAGTTTGGTCGGCTGACACTGCCGATGCGAGCTACTCCCCGCCCTTACACGTTACTGTGGCTCAACATGACGAAGAGAACGCTCCGGAGTAGAGGAGGAACGTGTTGGATGAGCTGTGGATGGCTGGAAATGTCGGGTGAAAGAGCAGAAGGACGAGTGGGGGCTAGGGACTACCGGCGTACCAACACCATCGCCGCATAATGATCTACCAGAATTCACGCGACCATCCGTGCTTGCAACCAACCAATCAAGAGCCAAACGGCACAATCTCTCCCTCAATATCAGCCGTCCCTGCTCCACCAACACACGCCCTGTTCCTCCCAGCCCGTCATCCGGCCATAGTCACAAACGAGCCCCCCCACACGCGTCGCCTTCTCCCTACGCAGTCTGTGTCCTTACACTCTGGGGCACTCATCCTCTTATCGGGGTGTCGTGCTAAACCCCCCTAGAAGCGACGAATATCTTTTAACACAAATTGGGGATGGGAAGGGGAGAGTTCGTGAACTCTCAGTACATGCTCACACGTGGGCGCTGCTGGCGGCTGACGGGAGGAACATTCAAACGCCACCTGGGTGAATGTAGGGTGGGAGTGATATGTTCGTGTCTGTTTCTCATCCACGTCTATCTGGCTCATTGAGCCAATCACAGGTCTGCGCATATCTTTCGTCAATTGGATGATAGACCTTGGAATACTGACATGCATATCCGACCCCTCAGTGACCCATGGAGTACGGCCGTGTCTACGCCTACTCTCTCACCACTCTCCTCATTCTGCTACATCAGCTTGCGTATATCTTAGGTCGTTCATCTATTGGACACTCCCTGAACGTCGTCGAATTTATGCCCGCTTCAAGGTTGGTCGACACTTTACTAGGGACTTCGCGGAGTCCAGGCCACAGCTCAGACGCGATCCGTGACACGATATTTGACTTGAAGCTTCGCCCGCAAAAATGTTGAGGCATACTAGACCTTCTCCACGAATCAAGAAAGGTCAGCCACTGAGCGGAAACTCGAGGCGAGTCTGTATTTCGTCTTTCCCCAACCTTCGTTTTCCCTCTATAATTCATCCGTTCGATTTGTATGCTTTTGGTCATGATTGTTCACGTCCTCACCTCCGTTGCTTCTTTTTTGGTATTCCCCGCACCATCCCCTCCTCCCAGAAGGAAGCTTTACTAATTTGAATATCAGCGTGACCCCTCCCCGCAGATACGGCATGTATACCGCTTCTTGCGCCAACAGTGGAGGGCAAAAAGCTATGAATAGCTTGATCAACCTTTCTTGAGCATATTGCTGCTCATGACACCAGCTCCTTGGAGCATGTTCTCGAGGTAGTGGATGTTCCAGCAAGAAACACCCTATACGCACATCAAAAGCGGGTCTAGGCATCTCCTACGCATCCCTAGACCGGATGAATTTGATTGCGATCCTTTCCCCGGCCTATAAAAGGCATTGCTCATCTCCATCATCCCCCACAAAAACCTTAACATGCTCGTCTCTACTCGCCTGCCCGCTCTCATCCTCGCAGTTGCATATCTCGCAATTGCAGCACCCTCCTCATCTGGCGCCAGAGTCCCTGCGGGCGCCGATACCACGGAAGTTGTCGATACCCATCTGACTATCGAGGAGAAAGGTGGTTCGACGGTCGAGCCTGACTCGACGACATGTTATGTACGAGGTGATTATTGTCAAACCGACTCGGACTGTTGTGGAAGAATTTGCTATCCATTTGCTCCAGAGATGGTTTATGTAAGTGCCTTGTTGTCGGGTACTGAAAACCTATGATTGACTTTGCTTTCTCAAGGGATTTTGTTATTGATGGAGTTTTGGGAAGATTCATTCACCCGTCAAGGGAACAGCGTTGGGGGGACTTGGATTTCCATCCTTATTTGATAAGATGCTACCCCAATAATATTCGAAGCTTGGAGCTTGAATTTTGGAAGCTGTGAAGAAGTGTATGGAAACCTAATAAATCCTCAAAGAATTGTCTCGCTGCAGGATGGGGCGAAGATGAAATGAGTCGGAGTGCTTATTGTGACTTGCATTCGTTATGTATCCGAGTCACTGTTCGTGTACGGAAAGGCATTACCTCAAATCTATAATGTGAGTAACTCTATACAATTGCATAATCGGAGAATTAGCTTCATGTTGACTTGTTAGCGCACATCATGAGATTTACAAATCCCTTGGGAGGTCTCTTGCTTCGCTTCCTCATTTTTCTGGTTCCATTTCCGCCACCCATAAGTAATGAAGCTTGACCAATCTGAGCCCCAATTTGAATATCAACGTGCTTCACAATGGAACCCGGTTTCGTAGTGAACTTGGTATGACTCCGGTGGAGTCCTTTACTCTGCTTCTCGTAGGTCCCCTATCAAACCAGGGTTCCCAGAAGCACTTTTTACTAAATATTAGAGGAAAGAAGGCACAGTCAAGCCAGCAAGGAAAAGCGGATACCCAAAGTAAAGGTGAGCCAAACGTTCTTGGGCGACTCTTACGTTTTCCCAGTTTTGTGACCGCCCCCTCCTTTGAGGAAGAAATCGATCGTGATCCCCCAAATCCTCCCCTTGGTATATAAAACGTTGCTACTTTTTCCTCACCTCCTCCCATCCTCAAGCTACTTGAGCAACGCTATATATGCACGCATTGAACCTTACTCGCCCATTCGCTCTCGTCCTCGCAATCGTCTGTCTCGCGATCGCGGCGCCCTCCTCGGACGTTCACGCAGAACCAGGTTCTGCCGCTGTCGTTCACGCCGTGGGCAATGTCCCCGATAGTGCTCTTATCGAGGACGCAGTCGCGACCCATTTGCCCGCAGCCACCTCGCCCACCGACAAAACAGCTGGTTTGACGCTGAAGCCCGACTCTTCGGAATGCCGTCATCCAGGCGAATTTTGCATGGCCGATGAAGATTGTTGTTCAGGACTCCGCTGTGCAATCTTTAGGCCCCCTTTGGTAAGCTCCCCGCTATTAGTCGCGAAAACGGTAAACCTTGATGATTGACTGTATCAACTTCACTTTATAAAGGGTCGTTGCGCATAATGGACTTTTGGGGAGATACAAGTTATCGTGAATAGGTTGGAATGTTAATCCGGACAATATTCCATTCGGGTTGTAGCCACAACGTACTGTTTCTGTCGACTGAAGTACTGATTTTATCCGAGCTAAATCACTCAACTGAGTTTGCTCGTCATCGATTCATCCGCGACCGCAGAGTTTCAACGATAATTTGACTCACATCTAATTTTGAGTCCGAGTCCACCCTTCAATTTCAAACCCACCCACCTGAACAACTCATCACCACGCTCTCGTTCAACGGTTCAATTTGGCCTCATGAACCCCCTAGGATCTCGGTTAACGCTTGTAACTTGCTTGTAACGGCGAGGAACATACGCCCCACCTGCAAGGAAAATCCTTTCATATTGATGGACACTTGGCCTAACTCGTATGCCTTTGAATAATAACACCAGCGGCATCAAGATCTCAAATGTGGAAGCCTCGAACGGTGAGAGGTGTGATAGAAAGAATGGCTCGTGGGAAAATACGAAATGCGGTTTTAACTTCCGACGGCTCCGCCTCCTTTGCCTCTCTTCTGTTCTCAGCCAAACTCTCTCCGTATTTTTCAGGTTTCTCTGACTCGTATTTGTCTCTAGAAAAGTAAGTAATTTTCCCCACGAATGCTACTTAATTTTAGCGTCTTCATACTGACCAGTAGGCAGTATGGACATCTGTTGCCAAATTCGCAATGCTAGGTACCCGACATACAATTTCAAATTTCACACCCCAAGGCGCGTGCGCCCACCTCCGATGCCCTTACACCCATCCAAACCACCCACGGAATGCCTTCGCCCACTCCACAATCACTCACGCCGTTTAAGTTCACCGTCAACTTGTTCTCAGTCGTGCGCCGGGTTCAGGGGCTTGGAGACGACGACACCAGCTCCACCTTTTGTCTCAATCAAACGGTTGTAACGCTACCACCTCCTCACAGTCTATGGTGCCTCGACAACACCTTCCGGACGAGGGACTATTTGGAGATGAGGAGCTTGGTGGATATGGTGTCGACGTAGAAGGGGGGGCAGTGTGGTTGAAAGAGCGGACGGAGAGAGTGAAGACCTGTCATACAAACAATTGGACGACACGCACGCGCCTCCAACCCTTCCTACCTTCCTCCTGGACCAGACTTCTGCGCCGTCGGTCTTATAGACGCCCTTTAGGCTTCCCCAAGCTGTACAATCCGTTCGATGCGGAGTGTACCTACGCAAACGCAAGCTCTTTCACTCAATCCAAAGACTATACGCTTGCGCGGTGGCTGGCACACCCCACGCTGAACTTTCATTCGCAACACCAAACGACCCCTTTCTCAGAGATGTATTCATCGAGGAATCTGGCGCTAGGAGATGCGACTTCGGTGTACAGGGATCAAGGGATGGCGAGCATCATGGGCATCCATTGCAATCCCTTGTTCGTTTACCGCCAGCTCGACGATTCGGTACGTTCGTCCCTTTTTCTATATCCCCTTTTCTCTTCTCTGATAATCTCTACCATGAGTGACGAAGCTTGAACCTCAATTCGAATATCAACGTGCTCCCCATTGGAAGCCAGTTTTGTAGCGAAGGTCTTATGACTCAGGTAAGGGTGTACTTCTCAACGGATTCGTTCATCCTTTACTCACCTTAGCCTGCTTCTCGTAGTTCCCATATTACCCCAGGGTTCGCAGAAGCACGTCTTACTAAATATTGGGGAAAAGAGTGCAGAGGGAAAATACGTTTCGAGGTTATAGGCGTTCGAGCAAGGAAAAGTGTGATACACGAATCAAAGGTGAGGCAAACGTTCTTGGGTGACTCTTACGTTTTCCTAGTCCTGTGACCGCCCCCTCCTTTCAGGAAGAATTTGATCGTGATCCCAAGAATCCTCTCCTTGGCGTATAAAATGTCGCTACTTTTTCCTGGCCTCCTCCCATCCTCAAGCTACTTGAGCAACACTATATATGCACACATTCAACTTCACTCGCCCATTCGCTCTCGTCCTCCGAGTCCTCGCAATCGCCTGTCTCGCGATCGCGGCGCCAACCTCGGATGTTCACGCAGACCCAGGTTCTGCTGCTGCCGTTCACGCAGTGGGCAATGTCCCCGATACTGCACTTATCAAGGACACAATTGCGACCCATTTTCCCTCAGCCACCTCGACCATCGACGAAACAGGTGGTTCGACACTCAAGCAAGACTCTTTGAATTGTCTTATGGATGGTTCTTATTGCATGTCCAATAGTGATTGTTGTTCGGAACTCTGTGTAGTATTTGAGTCCTCTCCGGTAAGTGCCCCACTGTTATTCGCTGAAAATGGTAAACTTGACTGTATCATTTTCACTTTATCAAGGGTGTTTGCTTATACCACTGATGCAAGTTATCGTGAGTGGGTTGGGATGTGAATATTTGAATCCCGACAATATTCCATTTGAGTTGTTGTTCTTGCACAATGGAAAAGACGTACTGTTTTTGTCGACTGGTGCACTGGTTTGGTTCCGAGCTGAATCACGCAATCGTCATCTGCGACCGCAGAGTAAAGTATAAACAAGAACATATAATTTGGTATCTACAAGGTTGGGCCGGCTACGACTAATTTGAGAAAATCGTTGGTCACTTAGCTTAACTCGTATGTCTTCGATAATAACATCAGCGGTATCATACCCAGGATCTCGGTTGTGGAAGCCTCGAAGTCGCTTTCGTCTATAGGTACAACACCTTGAGTAAATATTTCATCATCATTCTGGTGGAAGGCAAAATCAGATCCCAGTAGTGTTACGCGGAGGCTCTAACTACCAATGCTCACGGCGCCATACCCATCTTGGGGATGTCATGGTGAGATGGAAAGAATGGCTCGTGGGAAAATGTAAAATGCCGGCGTAATTTCCCACGGCTCCGCCTTTCTTCAGCCTTTCTTTGCCTCAGCTCTACCGAAGTGGCTCTCTTCTAAGTCACACTCTTTCGTGTTTTTTAGGTTTCTCTGACTCGTATTTGTTTCTTAAAAAGTAAGTAAATTTCCCCACGAATGCTTCCTACCATCAGGCAGTCTCGACATCTGTTGTTGCGAATCATTTCGAGCCAAATTAGCCCATCTCGGGTGACCGCATAGCTTTGGAAAAGAGGCGGCCCAGAGGCTTGTTGTGTGAGTGGGGACAGGCATCAACACCGTGAACCATCGTCGACTACCAATAGCAGTTACTCAGCCACCCCAACCCTATCACATTATTATTCACAGGAAGCCCGTCCAACCTCCTCCCCCTTCTCACCTGCCAGTTCTGCCCCGTCGGTCTTGTAGACGCTCTTTAGGCTTTCACAAGCTGTACAATCCGTTAGATGCCGAGTGTGCCTACGCAAACGCAAGCTCTTTCCTCCAAAGCCCATATGATACGCTTGCACGGCGGCACACCCCACGCTGAACTTAATCATTCACAACACGAAACGACCCCTTTCTCGGAGATGTATTCGTCGAGGAATCTGGTGCTGGCCATGGGAGGAGAGACGACTTCGATGCGCAGGGATCAAGAATGGTGAGCATCATGCGCATCAATTACCATCCCTTGTTCGTTTATCGCCAGCTCGACGGTTCGGTACGTTTGTCCCTTTTTCTATATCCCCTTTTCTCTGATAATCTCTACCATAAGTGACGAAGCTTGAGCAATTTGAACCCCAATTCGAATATCGACGTCCCCATTGGAACCCGGTTTTGAAGCGAAGGTCTTATGACTCAGGTAAGGGTGTACTTATCAATGGATTCGTTCATCCTTTACTCAGCTCAATCCTCACCACACTCTCGTATAACGGTTCAATTCCCTCTCACGAAGGTGAACCTCATTCCCTACATGCAGTTTCATTTATTTATAGGATTTGTGAAGGGAGATGATTGTTCGTATGTCCCACCTTCCTCATCGATATCCCCAACACACGTCTCCTCACCGCGATCCGCCCCAAACCCAATACTCCCTCTCCCAACTTATACTGATGAACATCACCACCCCGCCCCCTGATACGTGAAATAATATGGACCATTGCATCCGAGTCGCCAGAGAGGCAGAGACACGGACGATAAGAAACGTTTTGGAAACGTTTGAACGAAAGCCAAACAATTGAGGTCACGTTGGGTGAGTGACTGCTTGAACTGGTGACCGGTGACTAGTCACACATGCTTTTTCGAACCGTGACACTGACGACGACAAGACGACAACATAGGTTGCCTAGTAACCACTTGTTCTGCCCTTCTACGCGTTTTTGTCAGCTCTGTGTTGTTTCACAATGTCGCCTTCACAATAGCTTAGTTGTTCTCAACTTCCAACTATGGGGTTTATAAGCCTGATACCAGATGCCTATAAGGTAGGGGACATCCATCTCTCTCCAACGTCACGTGCTGTTACAATAACGCTCCTTTTATATTCACGGGGACTGGAAGATGGAAGATATGCAACTCCAGAGTAGAAATTCAAAATTGGCTCCCAGGAGATTGCTATAATTGTTGTTAGAAAGCTATATACAAAGTTATAGAAGCGACGCAAAAAGAAAAAAATGTGTAAAAATGTGTTGCACCCAAATCGTATCAAAAATACATTTGGGTGTTTAGCTTAGTGGCGCGTCGTGTCGAAATCAACAGAATTTCCCTGGACACACCGGAAATACAGCGAAACACAAAAGGCTCACCCAGAAAAGGTCAAAGAACCTTCAGAGAGGCCCTAAAAGGAATAGAGGACCTGAAAGATTGAAAAAGAGAAGAGAGTGGCACCTACTTTGTGCATATTTTTGTATTTTGCATACCATTCCATGAGATCAAAATCCTAGCGGTTCACAACCTATTTTGGCACAAACTCCTGGTTTCCGATTTGTATCTAATTGTTGAAGAATGTTTTAGATGCATTTTTGTATAACTGCCGCTCAAAATGGAAATGTCACGCCTTGCACGTGACGTTGGAGAGAGATGGATGTCCCCTACTTTAGAGGCATCAATTCCCACCCCCCACGACACCAGCGACCATGCTTAAACTTATAACCGCGCCTTTTCAGAAGCAACAAGACGTCTCAAGGAACGCGCCGCGAAGGGTACTGAGGAAGGGTGTACGATCAAGACACGGCGTGGACGACGTTTATGCCGTGAAACGCCTATCCGAGCCAGAAGCCACGACGAATCCCAAAGGTATAAACTAGACACTTGAGCGTGTCTTATGATTACTGATTTCTAATTCGCTGAAGACGTCGACATGCCCTTAGACGCTCTTCATGCGCTCCCAGTTCCAGAGAAGCCTGAGCTCTTCTCTCGAGCATCAACTGAGTCTTCAGTCATATTCGGGGGACTTGAAACAAACCAGAACCAGGATCAGAACGCCCAACTTGGTCGATTGGTTGCTCCAGGAGACGACGGCTCTTCCTGCGATTCACTTTCCTTAGGGGATATTCTTTCTGCGTTGCCACCCCAGCTCGGTACGGGAGAAGCAGATCAACTCTCCAGTGATTCTCCAAATCTCCATCAATCGCTGCTCTTGGGGCCAGGCTGCCGAACCGTTCAACCTCTCTCCAACCCGCCTATTGGATCATACGTTGTACTTCAATTCGAATCCATGCAATACCGAGTCAAGGTCGTTGAGGATCTGGACGTCGTCTGCGATGCTGTCCCCTTGGGAGTTGCCTGGTTTCCGACGTCGACCAATTCTCCGTTGCAAAAATCTGTGTACCTTACGTTGTTCTTCAACCGAAAACAATACCTGGCACAGATCTGCGAACCTTTGGGTCCTGTCGAGCCTTCTTTGGCGTCACCTGCTGATCCAACGAATCGCGGAGCCCCCTTGCTACAATATGGTCTAATCCCGGGCAAAACTGCTGGACCAGCCTCTATGATAACGCCGAAGCCGAGGAAACAACAAGTACTGTATCCGACACCTGATAGAACACCATGGACAGGAGTAATACTCCCTACTCTCTCTCCTTCAAAACCGATGAAAGGTCAAGTCAACGAAACCCCAACAAGACTGGCCTTGAACCGAAGTACTCCGTCTCCAGACTGAAACGCTTCCGCGGACGAGCTTGCTTCTTCACCGTTACTACAATGCCCAATGAATACCGATAGATCGCATACAAAGTCCGAATATGGTCCACATGCTATCAAACGCCCTCTTCCTCCGCCCTACGAATACGCAAGAGTTCAAGCTAAAGCTGCTGAATGTGCATCTCCCGCTCTCACTGAAAGCACTGAGGATTACAGGACCGTTTTACCAAGGGAAAGCTTATTCGCCACTTCAACGCACACCAAGAAACGTGAACTTGCGAACACTCTTGGAGTAAGCGACGACGAGGCCGATTCCTCACCCCACGTGCCAGCTTCTCCTCACGCTAATCCAACTTCGTCCACGTCGACTACATCACGGCCGGTAAAGTGGCAAGGATACAAAGAGAAAGTTCGTTCTGCAAAGTCAGCTACCCTTTCGAATTATGACTCCACTTCCCCGTCCGATTTGGAGGTTGGCGAGGTATTTGAAGCTACGAGCCACAATTTTCACTCTGGAAATAGAGCTGTTCGTGACCACTCTCATAACGTCGAGCATTCATCGTCCCACGGTCAAGAAACCCAAGGCGGCGTCGCAAACAGCGATTATCAAATCCCTTTTCCGACTAAAAAAAATCAAATCCCTTTTCCGACTTCAACAAATACAATCCCTTTTCTGAATATGACAAGTCATAATGCGCTGACGGCCACTCTAGGTTACTGCCCGACGGTTATCGTCCACCCCTCTTCCCCGTTGACTCCACCACAGCCAAAAAAGTTACAGGACTACAAGGGAAAAGGTCGGGCCGCTACGCCAAGCGAAACTATCCCTCCGGGTTCACCTCTACCTTCCCCCCGGACAGATGCGCACATTTACCATTACTCAACCGTTATGTCTGAATTTGAGACCTTCCAGTTGAATCAAGCTCTACAGAATAGTCTTCGCCGTGAGGATGAAGGCGTCTACAATGGCCATCATGATAAGAATGCCGAGGCTTCGACATCATATGATCACTACGCCCAAGAACACTTGAAGAACCAGAAACCTGCGTCGGTTCCAATATCTCCGCCATCTTACAATATAGCATCCCTTTCGACTTACTCCCCGACCTCAACGTCTAGCTCCGAGTCTGTCCAGTTCCCTTCGGCTGTACATAACGACTTGCACCACGAACACAGAGGGGTATATTATTACCCGCAAAATGCGCAGGCTTCGGCCTCGCATGGTCACTTCGCCGAAGAACACTTTACGAATCCCAATTCATATCAACAAGGTGTATATGATCACCCTCAAAACGCCGAAGCTTTTACCTCGAATGGTCACTACACTCAAGAACCCTTTACGAACCACAACCTCTCCCAGCAGGAAGACAGAGGCGTATATTACTACCCTCAAAACGCTGGGGCTTCAAACTCGAATCGTCACTACGCTCAAGAAAACTATACGAACCGCAATTTACAACCCGGCAACAGATGGGAGGCCATCCACACAATTTGAGATCGGCCGAGTTTCCTACGAACATTTTTTGTCCTGAACCGGTGAGAGATTTGCTAGTGCAACGAATGCTATGAATTGATGCTGTTCGCGCTCAGTACAGAGGACACAACGACTTCGATGCATGTCTTTAATGTATGATTTCTTTTATTGAACTTAATGTCCCTCCCGTAACGTATACAAATGAAAATGACTTTATTCAAAGCAATGGAATTGATAAATAAAATTTGGTAAAACCTGGTGGCGTATCGTTTTGCATTCTTTGAAATTTGAAGCTTCAAGCTGCACTTAGCTAACCCGTGTGATGAGGCACGTGTGTACTATTCACGCGCCCTTTCTTTCCCCTCATGATCGAAAACATGCACAAAACCTCCATCCTCTCACATCGCTCATGATGCATCGTTGACATACACGGCCCAACTCCAGCTTTCTTCTCATTCAAAGGATTAGAAACGCTAGCGCCTCTTCACGGTCTATGGTGTTTCAACATCGTCATCCGGCAGACGAGGGACATTTCGGAGATGAGGAACGTGGCGGATAAGATGTCGACATAGGAGAAAGGCTAACGTGTGGTTGAAAGAGCAGACGTAAAGAGCGAAGACTTGTCGTACGAACGACATTATACGGTTGGACAACACGCACACGCCGCCAATCCTTCCTACCCCGTCCTGAAGCAGAGTTCTGCGCTGTCAGTCTTCTAGGGGCCCTTTTGGCATCTCCAGCTCTACAATCTGTTGTACCTACGCAAGCGCAGGCTCTCACTCAATCCAAAGTCCATACGCTTGCAGGACAGACGGGACTCCCCACCCAATCACGCTGCAGTCTGTCAATTCCACCGCACATGTCAGCCGATGTCGAATAACATGTCAAAGCCAACACCCGAATGGAGGTTTTGGTATTCGTCGAAGAATCTGGAGCTGGGCATGGGAAGAGAGGCGACTTCGGTGTACGGAGCTCGCGGATTCGGTACGTTCGTCTCTCTTCCAAGTCCCTTTTCTCATATAATCTCTACCCCTAGATCTGCCAACACGTTCCAATCAACGCGGTTCAGCCCCTCCTTCTCCCTAACGTGCTCCCAGTCCCTTCCAAAAATTACACGTGTACCTCGTTATCGCTTTTTGGCTTCAAGACAACCCCTTTTTTGAGCTCGCAGACGATTCCAATCAGATCTACCACGCGCCCGCATTCTTTTCTCTTCTATTTCTGCTGGGTCGAACGAACGTATACCCTCGGAACCCCATCACTACTGATCCCTTCAATTACATACGCCATTCCTTCACGATCTCGAGAAAGGCATCCAATTGAGGCGCGTCAACGATCATCTTCCCGAGTTAAGATCGAGAGAAGACAGAGCCCCCCGCCTGGTACTATGCTTTTCCTCCGTTTGCCATGTGATTTTTCCTGCTTACCCTTAATACACACTCCTCCTCCCCTTTCTCCCCACTCATTCCAACTCTCTTGTTCTTGCCATTTTCACGTCACCCCCTTCCCCCCCGCTCGCCTTTTCTTGACCCGACCTTCCCCTTATACATTTGATCAGCCACTGGCAGTACCGGAGCAATCCCCTATTACATTATCCGACTTTATCATTATTCATGCTCCCCTTCTCCCTTGCTTCGCTTCTTCAGCTTCCCGGTTCCATTCTCGCCATCCATAAACAATGAAGCTTGAGCAATTTGGAACCCAATTCGAATATCAACGTGCTTCCCAATGGAACCCGGTTTTGTAGTGAAGGTCTTATGACTCCGGTGGAGGTGTACTTATCAACAGGTTCGTACATATTTTACTCAGCTTCTCGTAGTTCCCCTATCAACCCAAAGTTCCCAGAAGCAGGTTTTACTAAATATCAGAGAAAGGAAGGCAGACGGAAAATACGTTTCGAGGTTCACGTCACAGGCGTTTCAGCGAGGAAAGGCGTGATACGCAAACCAAATGTGAGGCAAACGTTCTTGGGTGACTCTTACGTTTCCCCAGACCTATGACCGCCCCCCTTGGAGGAAGAATTTGATTGTGATCCAAGAATCCTCCCCTTGGACTACAAAATGTGTCGCTACTTTTCCTAACCTCATTCAGCCCCACGCTAGTTGAGCAACGCTAAATATGCACGCATTCAACTTTACTCGCCCATTCGCTCTCGTCCTCGCAATCGTCTGTCTCGCAATCGCGGCGCCCACCTCGGATGTTCACGCAGCGGGTAATGTCCCCGATAGTGCTGTTATCAAGGACACAATCGCGACCCATTTGCCCGCAGCCACCTCGCCCACCGACGAAACAGGTGGTTCGACGCTGAAGCCCGACTCTTCCGAATGTTTCATTGCATTGACACCTTGCGCGGCCGATAAAGATTGTTGTTCTGGACTTTGTAAGATATCCCTGAGCGCAGTAGGCCTTGGGGTAAGTGCCTCGCTCTGAATTGCTGAAAATGGTAAACCTGATGACCTTCACTTTATCAAGCTTCGTTGCGTGTAAAGGACTTTTGGCACAAGCTACCGTGAATAGGTTGGGATGTGAATGCGGGGAATATTCCATTCAAGTTGTACAATAGAAATACGTACTGTTTCTGTCGACAGAAGCCAAACAGATTCCAGAAGCACTGATTTGATTCGCTGAAGATGGAACTCCACGATCAATTAAAAACTTGAACTTGTTGTCGCAACTGAGGCTCCTTCATGCAGATGGGAATCAATTGGAAATGAGAACTATCTAGTCTGTACCGTTTCCTATTGGTTTCCTATTGATGATGGTCACGACCGGTCACGCGCACGACTCAGTTGTGACTTACCCTAACTCGTGTACAACACCAGCGTCATCAGTGTGGAAGCCTCGGAGTGACTTTCTTATAACGTCGATTTGAAAACCATGGAAGAAGCAGAGACTGGCCAAGGCTTGCCAGAGTGGTGGTTGCGCGCTAGCAAAGAGGGTCTGATTAATCAGGATGTAAGCGTGATATCTTTTCGTGTTCAATCTCTCAAGATCTCAAAGAAACTCAGTAATCGGTGATTACACTTATTGTACCCAAGCAAACCTCTTGGGACTCCATCCTGCACAACTGGTTCCTCCAACTACAAACACCACGACCTTAAGAAATGCATCTAATCGAGGCACGCCGATGACTATCTTCCCGACTCAATGTCGAGAGACGATAGACCCCGCATGGTAGTGCGGTTCAAGCCTTCCCCCTCTCCTCCGCCAATCGTTCGTGATGCGACCCTTTCCCTTAATACACCCCCTCCTCCTCCTCCCCTTTTCCCCACGTCATTCCAGGTCTCTCTTTGTTGCCCTTTTCGCCTCACCCCCCTTGCTCCCCCCGCTCGCCGTCTATCCTCACACACAAATTTGTCCTGGCCTTCCCCTTTTACAAAGCGTCGTGCCAGAAAGCGAGTGTTTGTTCATAATCTGACGTTACCCCCGTTCTCCCTTGCTTCGCTTCTTTGTCTCCCCGGTTCCATTCCCGTCATCCATAATTAATGAAGCTTGACCAATTTGAACCCAAATTTCAATATCAACGTACTTCCAATTGGAACCCGGGTTTGTAGCGAAGGTCTTATGACTGGGCCGATGGTGTACTAATTCGCTCATCCTTTACTCAGGTTAGCCTGCTTCTCGTAGTTCCCCTATTACCCCAGGGTTCCCAGAAGCAGCTTTTACTAAATATCAGGCAGAAGGAAGATGCGTCTTGGGGTTATAGTCGTTCCAGCAAGAAAAAGTGTAATACACAAACCTTGAAACTGGTGAGGCAAACGTTCTTGGGCGACTCTTACGTTTCCCTAGTCCTGTGACCGCCCCCTCCTTTGAGGAAGAAATCGATCGTGATCCCAAGAATCCCCCTGGGAGTACAATTTACTACAAAATGTGTCGCTCCTTTTCCTCACCTCCTTCAGCCCGGTTGAAACTTGAGCAACGCCAGATATGCACGCATTCAGCTTTACTCGCCCATTCGCTCTCGTCCTCGCTCTCATCTGTCTCGCAATCGCGGCGCCCACCTCGGACGTTCACGCAGACCCAGTTTCTGCCGCTGTCGTTCACGCCGTGGGCAATGTCCCTGATAGTGCTGTTATCAAGGACGCAATCGCGACCCATTTGCCCGCAGCCACCTCGTCCACCGACAAAACAGGTGGTTCGACGCTGAAGCCCGACTCTTCGGAGTGTGTTCCTTTAGAAGAACCTTGCTTGACCGATAATGATTGTTGTTCGGGACGCTGTGTATTCTTAAATCTCCCTCTGGTAAGTGCCCCGCTATTAGCCGCTGAAAATGGCAGAACTTCATGATTAACTAACTGTATCACCTTCACTTTATCAAGGGTAATATTAATGTTTGCGGCGTGTGACGGTCTTCTGGGGACTGACGAAAAGTTATCGTGAATACTTATGTTGGGATATAAATTCGGACAATATTCCTTTCAAATTGGATATGAATTTGGACAATATTCCATTCGAGTTGTAGTTCTTGCACAATGGAAAAGACGTACTGTTTCCGATATCGACTGAACCGCTGATTTGATTCGTTGAAGATCAAAAACTCCATGATCAATTTCGAACTTTGTGTATAATGCACCAGACGTTCACGCAGATGGGCATTAGAACTATCCAGGGGTGTCGCCCCATTTGGTTTACTCGTCACCGATATCGATATCTCATCCGCGATCGCAAAGTTTCAACAAGGATTTGATATGCATTTTATCGGTTATCTAGAATTTCGAGTCTATGTACCTTCATCATCATCGCCAATTCTAACACATACACCACAACTCCCGTCATCACCCACACTCTCGTTCAATTCGTTCTCGCGATGGTGAACCTCATTCCGTGAATGCATTTTTAAGGCCGTTAGTGCAACATCTTGCTTTATAGGATTTGTGAAGAGAGGGCGGTGGTAGACTCTTCCATTGATGCTATACGTGTATATCGTTATCAGTGTATTCGCGTAAAGGCATTTCGTCTTACCTGCTGGGCGATGGGCAGGCCAGCGCACATGGCGAAGGCAATTGGAAGGAAAATTGTGAGATGGAAGGTCTTGTTCAAATACTTCATGGATTTCTCTGATAACTTATCCATTGGGGCTTCCACCATCTTAGGAGCTCGATGTACCTTATCCACACCAGGACATTGATAACCCACACCATGTATCCACTGAAGTAGACTGATTGACAATGTTAGGGCGGGTACAGTGATGAGCGCAATGAACGTACGAGATATAGAAATGATTCCCGCAACTTGTGGTGGGCGGTCACCGGTCACCCGGGCCGTGTTACGGAATAAATGACGACGGGCTCAAGACGGGCTCAACGATGAACGACGACGGGTAATGAGGTGTGATTCCCCGACGAAGGCGAGATCGTAATATCGAGGGCCGTGTCGTTAGTCATGGCAAAGGATTCATGGAGATATATTGGAGATATATGACACCAAAGGTGAGGAACAGAATGGAACCGCCAAACGTTACTATGAGAGTGTTGGTCTTGAAGAGTACGAAAGGGAGGGCATACATACTTTGTTTCTTTATGGACACGTATCTCCTGCATATGAGTGCCAGCGTGGCACAGCACGAGTGAGCCACCACCGTTCCGAGGGTAACTAGACACACATTCTAGACCACCATTAACTATAATGGGGTAATCATTGAAGGAAGGACGTACATGAGCAGCCCCAAGTGCAATCGTCGCAATCTGACTACTACCGCCCCATTTACCCAGAAAGGTGAGGACAAATTCCTGCACAAACACTGGGCCTAAAAAGAAGCTACAGAATTTCCTTGCGCCTTCCATAGCCAACAAAACCTTCAGCTTTGCCGAATGCACCGGCCTCCCGCCTTCCTCCATCTCTTCCAGCGGAATAACAAGCCCGTTTGCACCGGCCCCCCATCCTATCATGCCCTGCATTGTCATCCTCAATCTCCTCCGCCGCCTCCCACATCTCCGCTTTTAGCTTTATGCAAGGGGGTGGCGGAACGTGGATCCCGGATATAGGGTTGGGGGGGGGGCATCCGTTGGAGGCCTTAAATTTTTTTGTGACCTTCTCTAATAAAATCCATTCAAATGGTTTGCAACACTACCAGAGCACCCTTGGAGCTTGATTTGGTAAGTTGCACACACATATTTGGTCAGTAATTTTCGATACCTTGCATACGTCCTGACGTGTGTGGTGTTTACAGACATTTCCTGGGCATGACACCCTGAAGGTGATGGAGTCGATGTCGGGCGCATAGGTGGTTGGAATGGCGCCAGGCAAGTCGACGAGTTCGATGAGCGTGGAGAACCCAGAAGGTCATCGCTGTCATTGGTAAACGACGTTCGGAGGTGACGGCTGCCAATAACCGATGGTTCCTTCTGAGAAAAACATAGGAGGGTGGGAAGAACATACCGGATTTGGGGGGTGAAGGGAGGGGGGGGTTGAGCACTAGGGCCTTAATTCTTCTTGCGACTGTATATGTAAATTCCGCGTTCCGCCACCCCCTTGGCTTTATGTTCCATGCCTTCATACCCCTCGCTTCTATGAACATTTTCATGCTGAGCACCAGGAACAGCACAGATGCTGCTCTTTGTGTCCATTTCCATGGTATGAGTGTGGGGAGCAGGTGGCCCATTGCTGCGGATAGGATGGACATGACAATGAGGGAACCGAATGTGCCTGCGAGGACTGGCATTTGTGGATGACGCATTTCTAGGGTGGTCATTACTACAGGGACTTGTGAAAGACACTGTATTTGCGCAAGTTGCTTTTTGGAGGATCATGTGCAAACTCTCTTCCCACCCAAAACAAGCTAGGAAATAGTGTTGCCGCAATGTAATGTACATTAAGTTTACTGTACTAATACGACCATGACTTCGCATCACGCATCACAGAGGTCATCGAAGGAAGTGAAGTGAGGGTGATGTCACGCATCACCCCGGTTTTCGAAGTCATTTCTTCCTATTCTAAATGGCTGATTTTTCTGGCGCCTGCGGCGCCCATAGGCATATAAACGACACGGTGTATATATTATCTACTTTCTAACAGGAGTTGTCCCACCAACTGAGGTTTTCTTGCGTGTACAACCTGTTCTTGATTTTCTTACATTGGCCTCGGCCTTCCTGCTCCACGGCCGTGGTGGGGTCGAGTACTTGGCCTTCAACCTCTTCAATAAGAGTCTCTTCTGCTTCAGTTGCCGGTATGACTCCATCTTGTCCCATCACAAAAGCCTGGTCTGGCTTGTTGAAAAGTTGACATGAACGTCATCCTCAACAACTTGCAGAAGCGCCGACATCAGTAACATGGCAAAATAGATTCCGGGTTTTTACTGGTTTTGGAAGTTGCCGGGGTTTCCGGAAACCCGAAAAGGAATAGTCTAAGGGTTTCTCCGGTCAGGGACTAGTGAACATGTATATCTTACGCTATTTGGGTGGCGGGTTTCCACCAAAGGATACATAGGTTTCCAAGTTTCGATATTTTTCAATGTTTCGGGGTTTTTAGTGGTTTTCGGAGGTTGCCAGGGTTGAGAAACCCGTGGAAACTGATTTGCTCAATTACTGATGGAAGCCATCACACTCTTCGTCACACATCACATCGGCTGTTGAAGTGGCGAAGAGATGGTGAAAATATGTCACGCCCTATAGGGCCCGAGGACTTGGTCGTAGTAGTACAGTAATGTTGACCTTAAGGGCCATTATGCCCTTATTTGGAGGCTTTAACGGGCTTTAAGGTGAGGCAGTGTATGGCTGGAAATTGCAGGGAATTGCTGACAGTGTGGTCACGATTTGATTCAAGCTTGAAGTTTCATCAGGAAAATGGTTCTGGGCTGTAGTTTGGCCATATTTACATAGTCTCCATAGGCACATATGTTAGTTATGTTGTGCCTTACCTAATGGAGTAGCCGGAGGTGACAAAACACCATACTACATGGGCCCAGCTGGACGGCCTGAATCTTATGATGTGCCTTTAGTGATGGTGCGTGCGCCGGCTGTCCTTTTCACTGACGGCGTAGTGTCTCACCGGAGGAGATGTCCTGATGCATGGCATCAACCGGCGGTGAAAATTGCGGTGTACCCTGTCCTCTGGCGGCACAAGTTGCGGCGTACCATGTAAACATAGATGGTGATCATACATAGTGATAGGGCTGCAGTCATCAGTTAAATGTCATGAATGTGAGCCATTACAACTGAAAAATATATTGAATGATCAATCACAATGAGAGTCCTACTGCAAGGTGATGAGATACTGCAATTTCTTTTGAAACACAAGCAGCCTTCATTAACTATTGTCTACATCATGTCCCCCCAGAAATACAGCTAAATATAACACACCAGCAGAACACCTTCCAATAAAAACACATTGCCTTTTCATAAGAGACACTTTTTGAATAACTGTGTTGGACGTCTAGAGCAATATATATATATATATAATAAAGCTCTGTCACAGCAGTGCAATTTTTTCAAAGAGGCTCTGCAAGAGCAATGTTTTTTTTTTTTAAAGGCACTGCCGGCACAATGTATTATTTTTTTAAATGGCACCGCCGGTGCAATGTTTTACTTTTTTTAATGGCACCGCCGGAGCAATGTATTTTTTTTTAATGGCACCGCCAGCACAATGTATTTTTTAAAAAAATGGCACCGCCAGAGCAATGTATTTTTTTTTGAAAAATAGCACCGCCGGGGCAATCTATCTTTCTTAAAAATGGCACCGCCGGAGCAATATATCTTTCTCAAATGGCACTGCTGGAGCAATATGCTCTGCCTTTGTTATTGCTCTGGCAGAGTAGTGCTTGCATATTTTTTAGAAATACAAAAATCATGTTTAGGGCAAAGAACACTAGAATTAAATAGACAGTTGATACATATGATTACTAGTAAATGGGTGGTACTGCTGAGGTACTCTTGTTTACTTCTGCATATGTTTTCTATGGGGGGACTGAGGGGTGGATTGCAGAGGGTAGATTGCAGATGGTAAGATTGCAGCTGTGGAGGGTAGATTGCGGCTGTCGATGGTATATTGTGGGAGGTATATTGTGGAGGGTAGGTTGCAGCTGCAGAGGGTATATTGCAGGGGGTATATTGTGGAGGGTATATTGCGGCTGCAGAGGGTATATTGCGGGAGGTAGATTGCAGAGGGTAGATTGCGGGAGGTATATTGCAGGAGGTATATTGCGGCTGTGGAGGGTATATTGCAGGAGGTATATTGCAGGAGGTATATTGCAGCTGCGGAGGGTATATTGCAGGAGGTAGATTGCAGAGGGTAGATTGCAGCTGCAGTGGATAGACTACAGAGGGGAGACTCATCTGGATCCTTCAAAGGGGTTTGGAAGAAAGTATATAAACCTCTGTAAATGCTCACAAGTGTGTTTTGAAGAGTCACTTATGTGAAATACCTTTTCACAGATTGTTTCAGCTGCACAGAATGTAAAAATGATTGTCAACCCACATAAAAACCACCTCTGGAAATCTGGAGAAAGCAGGATTTGAACAAGCTAGACCCAACAGTAAGTTACCTAGGAAAGAAAAAGTCTTGATGGTGTTCATTGTAAAATATACCTTTTCACAAGCTGTTTCAGCTCTGCAGAACATAATAATGGCCGTTACCTCATGTAAAAGCCACCTCTGTAAAGCTGGAGCAGTCAGGATTCGAACAAGCTAGGCCCGACAATAAGTTGTTTGGGGAAAAGAAAAGTCTTGATGGTTTCTATCATAAAAAGTACCATTTCACAGGTTGTTTCAGCCCTGCAACATGTAATAATGACTTTTGACTCATGTAAAAACCACCCTTGAAAAGCTTGAAAAGGCACAATTCTAATGAGCTAGGCCCGACAATAAGTTGTTCAGGAAAAAAAAAAGTCTTGATGATTTTTGTTGTAATGCCACAATGCAGTCAAGGTTTGATAGAGATTATCAACATAAAACCCTTTTTTCTGTGTTTGTCAACAAAAACAAAACATCTCTTGAAGATTTTAACATGGTAATTACCATGGCATTGAGGTCTATCAGCTGGCTGGTTTTCAGGTTACATGGATTGAAATTGGGTGAGTGCGTTGTTGTTTGTCGGGATGCAGGGTCTGTTTGCATGTGGCGGAGGGCCCGTGCACCAAGCGCATCACCTCAATTTGGAAATGTCTCAGGCACAAACTGAAACTTTGATAGTCCCTGCCTGGCAACAAACAAGCAAGATAGCCAGACCATCCTCGTTGCCGCAACACCCCTTTCTGGTCCTGCATAATGCATACTTGGTTATCTCTGGCTATCAGAGCCAGAGCTCATATTGAGAGAAAGTGTGCACAGCTAAAGTTTGGAGGACCATTAGATTGGTGGTGTTTTTGGGGCAATGTGTAGTGCTTTGCTTGGCAGGGTGTTCTATGTGGTGGGTAGTCCAACGGAGTATCATAAAGAAATGACACCACCGGCAGAGCAATATTTGCAGAGGGATTGTGTACTCAAATATATTTTCAGGGTAAATATGTCAAATATATTCTAACAGGCTATTATACATTTTTTAAGATGGAAGTGGAGGCAATGTGCAGTGGCTGGTCTGGTGGAGTATCATAAGAAAATGACACCACTGGCATAGCAATATTTGCAGGGGTATTGTGTACTTAGATATGTTTTTGGTGTAAATGTGTCAAACACATCCTAACAGGCCATTATAAATTTTCAATATAAATGCAGAGGCAATGTGTGGTGGCTGGTCCGACGGTGTATCATAAAGAAAATGACACCGCTGGCGAAGCAATATTTGCGGAGGTATTGTGTACTTAAATATCTTTTTAGTTGTAAAGATGTAAATATTCTAACAGGCTATTATAAGTTTTCAATATAAACACGGAGGCGACTTGCGGTGGCTGGTCCGGCGGCGTATCATAAAAAATGACACCGCCGGCAGGGCAATATTTGCGGAGGTATCATGTACTTAAATATGTTTTTAGTATAAACATGTCAAAAGTATTCTAACACACTATTATAAATTTTCAATATAAATGCGGAGGCGATTTGTGGTGGCTGGCCTGGCAGCATATCATAAAAAATGACACCACTGGTGGGGCAATATTTGCGGAGGTATTGTGTACTTAGATATGTTTTCAGTGTAAATGTGTCAAACTTCATTATAATTTTTTTTCTATGTTTGCGGAGTCAATGTGTGGTGGTTGGTCCGGCGGTGTACCATAAAAAAATTATATAACCAGTGGAGCAATATTTGCAGAGGAATTGCCTTGCTGGTGTACTCAAATACTTTTGCAGATTAAATGTGTGAAGCTTCTTCCAACAGATCATTCCAATATGTGTCATTTTTGCAGAGGCAATGTGTGGTGCTTAGTGTGGTGCTTAGTCCAGTGGAGTGTTTCAGAAGCAATGTGCAGTGCTTAGTCTGGCAGAGTGATTCCACTCAAATTGTAGCAAACAGCATACATAGGTTGATAATATTATACATGATTGATATATGCCAGACTTGTAATTCTAAGTATTCAACTGGACGATGGCCGCCGGCATGTCACCAACACCCTGGCAGAGGGCAGCCCCGCACTGGGTTATGACATTCAAGGTGCACCCAGCCGCTCCAGTGGTATGGGACATTGTTGCTGACGGCCCACACATAGTTACTGGTGGATTGTTCAGGGTCCGGCCACCCCTTTGACAATGGGGTCCGGTAATCAAACTGGCTGTCCGGCTAGCCCCTTACCATTTGATGGATTGTCAGGGCAGGGTGGCCCATTACTAATGAGCCAAGGTGACTAACTTAACTGCAGTAGGTCAACATAGGTAAACCATTACCTCTGTAGACCATGGTAGGTACAAAAGATAATCTGAGCCTACAGTAGACTATCAAAATAAATCTCACCTCATCAAAAATCTGGAATGAGGAAGACACAGTGATATGATATATCACAGTCAATGGGGTATGAGGGAAATTATGATCATAATACCAGTATACATGATACAAGCTACTCTGGGCCACAATTTATCAGACACCTCACTGTTTGCAGTGGAGGTGAACAGTTTTCCTAGCACTTGTGGTATGCATAGTGCAAACAGCTACATATCAAAGGCTTGAATAGACTACCTGTAATATTGTATCCATGATGGCTGTTCTCTTGTATCACTCCATAAGACTCTGAGTTCAATTCCTCTAAGATGTAATATTTATTCACTAAGTTCCCCTCACCTATGGTGTCAAAGTTGATCACCTCCAAAATTGAAACAGTCCATTGTGAAAGGTGATAGTAGAGTGAGCACTTCAGAAAGAGGTGAAATTACATTTTCGGTAGAATAGGGTTGAAATACAGCACCTATGGCAACCTACCACCAGCCTACATAGAGTACTTCCTGACCTATGTATTCTATATATCAGGGGGGAACCTATGAAGCTATGGTCCCTACATAGGCTCCAGAGACCTACATGGGTAGTGCTTGGAAGTCCAGTCCCAAGACTGCAAAAAGACTGAGACTGGACCAGACCCAGACCACCTAGGACTGTCAAAGACTGCAACTGTAGTCCGGTCTTCGGTCCTTCAGGATGTTAGAAATTTCAAGACTGACAAAAGACCAGTTTAACTGGTCTCAACCAGTCTTTGCAGTCCGAAAAGTTACTAAAGTATGTACTGTAGTCTTGCTGTAGTCTACAAATATTTATGTAATATTTCGACCTAAGTATTCATGAAATCACCAGAAATCATTGGGAGCGGAGTTTGGATATGTCTGTCACATTGTCATCACGGTTGATCGTGTGGTTGTTCTCAGCTCCTACCTCTCACCACCTCCCTCTTGACTCAACGGACATGCCAAAATTGCATCAAAAAGGTATGTAGTCAGTTTTAACACTAATTATCACATTTTAGGACCCCAAGCCACTCGCATTTTTTGCCAGCAGCCACCAAGTCCCTCCCCTCCAACAAGGGATGTAGGTTGTTTTTTTGCATCACTGAAGGGTTCTAGCAGGAGTTTGGGGGTTTGGAATGGCATAGAAAGATACAAGAGGAGATAGAGGGAGTTGGAGACCCACCAGGCGTGTGAAGAGGCAAACCGTAAGTGGCTTGTCTTTTGATTCCCTCACTTCCCTTTACTGCCACCTCCTGACGAGAATGTTGCACTAGGATGAACATGACGTCTATGCACCCCACCCACACTGACCAACACCTGCCGTTTCAAACACAAGCCCACATCTCGAACACGAAGCTGTTGTTTCAAACACAAGCCTGTCACTTCAAATGTGAGCCCGTCACTTCAAATGTGAGCCTGTTGCTCCAAACATGAGCCTGTTGTTCCAAACGTGAGCCTGTTGTTCCAAACGTGAGCCTGTTGTTCCAAATGTGAGCCTGTTGTTCCAAACGTGAGCCTGTTGTTCTAACCATGAGCCCGTCATTTCACACATGAGCCTGTCGTTTCAAACACAAGTCCATCATTTTGGACATGAGCCCATCACTCAACTGCAACTCATGGACGACAGCCACCTCACTCACTGTGACCACACACGCAACCAAACCACGGAGTACAGGCCACATTATCAATAGGTACAATGTACAGGGTATCTACTTGAATATATAACTATCGTACAAGACCAGTCTGGGACCAGTTGCAAACTGGTCCGAACCGTAACTGGTCTTGCAACTGCAAAAAACCATGTGAAACCGCTGTGGACTGGTCTATGACAGTTCCGGTCTCAGTTTTTGAGAATTTCAGAATGGACGGACTGGTCTTGGTCTCAGTTTTGTCAAATATGGATGAAAAACCAGACTGGACCAGACTTCCAAGCACTATACATAGGTCTCAACCAATTAAGTTGAAGCTTGAAGTGACATCATTGCAATAGGTGCACTCATCCAGTGTTGTGCATTCTGAGTAATACTTAGTCGATGCATCGAGCAGTAAGGTAGAGGACATCCATCCATCTCTGACATCACATGCAAAAGTGTGACATTTCCTTTCTGAGCAGTAGTTCTACAGAAATGCATTTAAAATATTCTTACAACAATTTGATAAAAATCGGAAACCAGGAGTTTGTGCCAAAATGAGTTGTGAATCGACGTGAAAAGAAAAAAAAGTGTGAAATTGTGTTGCACCCAAATGGTATCAAAAATACATTTTTGTGTGTAAATTTAGTGGCTCGTCGCGTCGAAATCCACAAATTCTCCCTAGACATAGTCTTGGCCTTGTGGTAAGGTCAACATGGGTGTAAAAATAATGGTCACGTTTTGTTCCCACGGACCGCGTCGCGTTGTTAATCAGTTGTGCTTCATCGTCGAATTATACGTGTTTTCTCTGGCAATAATGCCTGAAACACCTGCAACCAAAAAGTTTACATTCAACTCTGCAGAGGGGTGGGCCCTCTCCCGCCAAATCCAACATAAACACGTCATCTGGTCCACATGACTACCAACTTCAGGGCATTACCTCAATGCTCGACAGAAACAACCTCCTTGCGATCTCGGCAACAGGATCAGGGAAATCTGCATATATGTACATGCTTATGCATGTCATACTTGCTATCCTGGAGGATCCTACCCTTTATCCATCTGTGAATTTTCCCTCCAATCCAGCCATTCTTGCTATATATCCAACAACTGCATTTGAGGAAGACCAGGTATTGGCTCTTCATACCTCTAATGTTGTAAATATACTAATCCTCAAATCTAGGAACAAGCTGGGAAGGACAGGGAATAAGGAAATGGAGAGAATGAGCTATTTAAAACTCCATTGTAGTTCCAGAATGGGGTAGGAGTGATCGGTGCAAGAATATTTTGTTGATGAGGTGTCTCAGGTGGGATTGGGGCCGGTTTCACGGACATTGAGCCATGGAAAACTCGAAATTGCAACCTCTATTTCTGTTTGATCTACAAGACGTGTCACGCGAAGCGATCACATGACAACTTTTTTTTTAACGGGCTGCCTTGAACTGTGGGAATAAATGCCGTGAGAATAATCTACACCCATGTTGCGGGCACATTTGAAAGCAGACTCCATATGAAATTGATCGACTATCATCAACTTCATATCGGAGTCTGACATCAGGAGACTACACTAGACACACCAGAAATATGATGATGCGGAGGGAAAGCCAGTGTACCTTCTGAACAGATCACCAGAAAAGATCAAGATTTAAATGTGTGATGCTCGATTTGAGGATGGTACACCCCAACCCCTTTATTTTCCAGATGGACACCCACATGCTGGTTCAAGTGCGCCCCTCCAGCAATTGACTGCTGCTGCTGTCCCATTTTGGACAACCAGCTGGATTTCACACATGTTGAGACAATACTGGAAACTTACTGCAAGAATCAAGGCTTTCAGGTTATTTTTTTACCCAAATTTCACTGTGAACTCAATTTCATTGAGCAGTGTTGGGGGTATGCGAAATGGCTCTATCGCCTCAATCCCAAGTCATCACAAGAAGCCATTCTTGAGAAGAACACCATTGCCGTGTTAAATGTGGTGCCACTTGAATTGATGTGCAGGTAAGCTAAATTTATTTATAATGCTGTTTACATTAAACTACATATACCAAAAGGTTTGCAAATCGCTCCAGGCGGTTTATGGACACATACCAGAAAGGCCTTAATGGCAGTGAAGCCGCTTGGGCATCTAGAAAATATCGTGGACACCATGTCCTTCCAGAGAGTCTTATGGAAGACATGGAAAAGGCCAAGCTGCATTAATCTTTGCTTCTTCTTGTTCATATTTCATGGCAACTTAATATTTATTGTAGATAAATCTTGTATTTTGCATACCATTCCATGAGATCATAATCTCAGCTTCTATAAATCTGTAAATAGCTTTCTAGTAATAATAATCTCCTGGGAGCCTATTTTGAGTTTCTGCTCTTAAAGCAACTACAGTCCCATATATTCCACCTTCAAACTGCCTGTGAATATAAAAGGAGTGTGACTGTAATGTCACGTGATGTTAGAGACAGATGGATGTCCCCTACCTTAGCAGTCATGGTGAGGTCAAAAATTATCCGAAAGTGAACTCAGACTCAAGCAAAACTGAAAATTCCAACTTTGGATGGCTGATAATGCGACACACAGCACCCAAGAGATTACCCCCTCTGCTACTAGTGACATCTGGCATTTTGTGCACTCATTGCAATTGAAGGATCACCCAACAACCATCCCGATTGCCACAATGAGTTTCTGTTTTCAACAATGCATCCAAGACTTATTGTACTTAATGCAAGTAAGTATCCAGGCTTCTCTTGGCAAAATGGAGGATATACAAGATGGGACACATACACATGTAGCAACAACAACACACTCCCGATTTGGGCAGTCGGAGTTTTAATCCCCCTAATCACTAACCTAACCTTCTAATCTAACTGAGAATGTGCTACTGTGTGGGGAAAATATATCCCTAAACCTAACCATTAACACTAACCTCCTAACCTTACCCTAACCTTCTAACCCTACCAAGAATGTGCTACAATGCAGGGAGAATAAAGTAAGAGTGCGCTACCACGCGAAAAGACACTAACCCTAACCAAACCCTAACCCTAACAGCAGCTATTCAGCATGTACTTTGGAGTGTCAAAAATATCTAATTTGATGGGGGATCAGCGACACGTCGTCATGTGCCTGGGTGTGTTAGGTGTCTCTTCTTGTCCGTCCTGGGCAAAACAGCACCAACTCCTACTCGCTGCAAACACGCTGAGCCCAACCTCCATAACATGGACAACTGTTGCAAGACCAATGGCATTGCACGCCACACTTGCACAAGTTTCTATCAACTTCTAGCTAAGTAGTCCTCATACTAGTATTGTGATAGTGTTATAGATGTCCAAATGCAGAGAGCACTTTAAGGTCCCATTAAGGTACTTTAAGGCCAGACATTTCCAAGCTTAAATTACATCAAGCATCCATTGTGGCAACACTACTATCAATGACTAGGAGTTTGAAACATTTTGACCTTTGGCTATATTCTACCACAACGGCTACACTCCTGGCCTCCAAATTTTGTACAGTTGTGTGTACACATCTCATGAACATGAATATGCTTTTTGTTTTTTTATTGTACAGTTGTGGAAGCTGTCAGAGGCTTACCGGTTGTCAAAGTCAATTGTTCCAGGAGATTGAAATGGTCGTCATGTCAAAGTCACACTTAACTTTCAGATTCCGCCTTTTGGTGAATGTGGCCTCTGTGGGCAGAATTGGAATGTGCAATGCAGGACAGGATGTTGTCGTTGGGGGCTTGGAGATGGCTCAGGAAATTGTAGTGCACAAGTTGTATTAAGTATTATAGGTATATGGCATGTGGTAGTAATTATGAGCATACATATTGGGATTAGGCCTGAAGTTCGGTTGGGGATGGTGTAAATATTGTGGGTATTGAGGAAGAGGAGGGGGAATTTGAGCTGGAGTATGCGAGGGGCCTGCAACTTGATTGAGTGGTAAGGGGTGGCCATCAAAAGGGGAGCAGGGATCTTCAACCTCATCAACAGTTGTTGGAGGAGGGGCAGCATGTCTACCATGATGTGCACCACTAAATAAGCCTGAGTAGCAAGCACTTGTTGCATCTTCAGGGTGGTATTTGAAGTAGTCTTGTATATGTTGTATCATGTTGGCTTTTGTACCACTTGCTAGGCCAAGAGTGATGATGATATCCTCCAGCTCTGGTTTGTTCTTCGAGGTGAGCAAGCCCGAGAAAACGTGTCCTGCATTGTTCTGAATCTGAGTGCGATGGACCTGATCCTCAGCTGCATGGACTGCCTTTGCAGCTTTTGCATCTGCTTTCTTCTTCTCCTTCACCTGGCACTCAGTAGCCTCCACCTCATGTCGTTCATGGCTTTCCATGCTAGTCAAAAGGACTGAGTTTGTGACCTTCACCTTACCCTTCTTGCCCTTCTTTGAATTGATCTGTGTTTGCAGGCGAGCGAGTTTGGCTTTAGCCATAATGGCGTGAGTTTCCGTGGTGTTTCGTTGCTTCTGAATGCTGTGAAGCTCGGCCTGAAGCCTGAGGTTCTGCTGGAACAGCTCCTCCTTGTCTGTTGAGCGGAAGGAGACCAGAAAGAGGAGCACATTGAGTTGCTGAGATTTGACCAAATTGCGGCATCAGTGGGGTGCTTGCAGGAGGCTGATCACAGAAGAAGTTGTTCTGGTGTGTGCACCTGATAGAATCAGACTTGAGGTGGAGGCAATGCGAGTTTGCGTAACTGAGGTGTCACATGCACCTGCCAACAACTGTTGATCTGTCTGATTGTGATGAACATTCATCCCAACAGGCTCTTTCCCATTCACCACCACCTGTTGGATCCCCTGCAACCCATTGTCACTGCGCTCATCCTCCTCTTCATCTGGATAGCCCATTTCCAACTCTCCATCACTAGAATCATCATTGTCATCCATCAAGTTGTCTTCGTCCATCAAATCGTTGTCTTCATCGCAGTCCATCAAGTTGTCTTCATCCATCAAATCGTTGTCTTCATCGCAGTCCATCAAGCCACCCATTCGCTCTCAATTTTCCTCAAATTCAGAGCATGTGAGCATCAGTCAGTTCTCTCCAACTTCCTCTTCAACAGGCTCACTTCCAGGCCAGGGTTCATAATCAGAAGGCAGTTGCTTTGGAAAGGAACTGGGGACTGGGGAAAGGACTGAAGTATTGTGACTGGGTGCGAAATCGGCATCTGTAAAGACATCAACCCCCTTCAACTTGTGAGAGTCTCCCTCCTTCCACACAATTCCACATTTTTCCCATGCCTGACTGGTCGTGTTTGCAGAAAAGGATGCATCATGTGCCTGCATATACTCTTGATTAGTGTTTAAAAGTCCGGTTAGGTTAGGTTATTGGGTGCCCAGGGGCTCTAACCAAGACCAAGACCAGTTAGGGTTCATTCCCAGACCCAAAATAACCTAACTGGACTGAAGATAACTGACCAAAACTGGTTAGTCACAGTTACTAACCAGTTATGGCCGAAAAAATAGAAAATCGATTAAAACAGTGTATATTTCTCATATTCCGTGCAATAAACATTATTGCCATGCATCATAGCCTTAAAATAAGCCCAAGAACGCTAAATCTGGTGAAGAATTGACAATTTTATGATAATATTCTTGAAAGCCTACTCTTTTGACCAATATTTTAGAGATTTGACCATAACTCTGTAAGAATTTTAGTGTTTCTCATGCTTTTAGATACATTTTGAAGGGGTATAATAGGGTCGGTTGTAACCAGTTATAACTGGTTATTTCATTTCCGAATTGAATAACCACTAACCATGGTCCGGTCTTTTTGCAGTTAGGTCCGGTCTGGTCTCAGTTATTTTCCAGTTAACTGACCTAACCTTCAAACACTACTCTTGAACAACATGTTTCTTCTGCATGATCTGACCTGTCCTTGCCAGGTAGTTATTGCACTGGCATGACCAGGCTCTTTGAAGTGGTCCAAAGGCCCCAACATCAAGAGGTTGAAGCTTGTGTGTCGTATGGAGAGGTAAGAAAAAAAGTTCGATCCTGTTTTCGATGGCAAGCTTTATCATGTTATCAGTGACATGGGAACCATGGCTGTTGATGATGAGAAGGATCTTCTGTCCACTTGTATTTTTGGCCTGTGCCTGAGGGATGAAGCTCTTTGCAAACCACTGCTCACATAGCATATCACTTGTCCAGCCATTTTCAGAGGTGGCAACACTAGGAACAATGTGAGTTTATCATCTCAACTGAGGTCTTTATTGTCCTCCACTGATTCCTGCTGGAATCCAGGCAATTCCCAGAATTCCAGAGGAATCAAATGTAGCAGAGGGCCCTGCCAAATTGATCAAACAATTCCATGGAATTTTGAATGGAATTCAAATTCTGCCAGAATGGTTCCAGTAATCACCCAGAAGGAATGCTCACAGAATGAGATGGAACAGAATTGCTGACGCCCAAATTGAGTGTCGGCATTTGCCGATGCTTGATTTGGGTGTCATCAACAAACAACACCACTCTCTCTCAACCACCACCATCATCCACGATGCCTACCCACCTTGCCAGCTCACCAACGTCATCAATGGCCACCACTATGCACAACAGCCACCCAACACCCACAACGACCACGGCATGCCCCAACTCAGCAAGGATGACACCCCAACGCCACGTCCAAGTAAACAAGCATTCGCAACATCACACAACATGTTGCCACATTACTGTCAGGTGACGTGGCAACGAGAAGATGAATGACAACTGATGTTGTCATTCGTCATTGTCATCTTAGGTGAGTACTGACCATGACAACCACACCACAACCGTCTGCCATGTCACCAACACACCATGACAACCACGTCACCACAACACCACAACAATGACCATCACCACATCACAGACAAGACAATGAGGACACAAAATGAGCGCACGCCCAGATAACATGACAACAAAGACACAACGGGAACAACGTAAAGCACAGGATGATGAACAGTGACAAGGCCCAGTACTCCCCACCACTCTCTCCCCCCTCCATAAGTCCCCACCACTCCATCCACCCTCCCTCCATCCTTCTTCACTCCCTCCCTCCCTCCTTCTTCCCTCCCTCCATCCCTCTTCCCTCCTTCCATGCCCCCTCTCTCTCCATTCCTCCCCCCTCTCTCCCTCCCTTCTCCCTCTCTCCCTCACTCCCTCCCCTCCCTCACTCCCTCCCTCCTCCATCACTCCCTCCCCTCCATCCCCTCGCCATCACTCCCCACCACCTCTCCCCATCACTCCCTCTCCCTTTCACCCCTCACCCCCTCCCCTCCATTGCTTCCCCCTCCCTTTAACACTCTATGTAGTAGGATAATTTTGTAGTAGAATAATTTTATGTAGTTCTAGTGAATACACCTGAATTATCCATGTTCAAATTTGAATATCATACAGTTGGATTCCTGTCAATTCCGGCCGGAATCCACAGAATTCCTGGATTCCAGCCAGAATCTGCGGAATCCAGTAGGAATCAGTGGAGGAATGGAAAGTATTGTCTCAACTTGAGACTTCGCAAGGCTCACCATATATCATCATCTACCTCAATGTTTTCAATGTCCACGGACTGCCCAGCAAATACAAACCCTGGTTTAAAGGTGATCCCATCAGCACAGCAGCTTTCTATGATGGTCACAAGCTTGAGGTTTGAGCTGTGAATGGTGTAGCAGCCCCTTTCCTCGCGTGAGAAGAAGTACTTCTGCCCATCACCCTTTCATCCACCTCCCAGTTGTATTCCCTTCTTGTCCATGTTATAGATGTTCTCCCATGGTATATCATTGTCCTTGATGACCTTCTCAAGCTTGACAAAGTGGTCATTGAGCGCTGTGTAGTTGAATGCCTGAGCCCTCTTTGGATCAAGACCCATCACTCACTTCAACTTCAATTCCAGATGGCGCTTGAGGAAACACCACAACCACATCCTCCCAGGCATTTGGCCACATAGCTCAACACACTTCAGCCTCAGTGTTGCTCTGGTGTAGTGTTTAAAGGTTCAGTCCATAGGACCGTAAAGAACCAGTGGACCAAACTGAACTGGACCATGGTCCAGTCTTTTTTTCGCTTGCAGTTGCCCAAATTTGGGGCTGGTCCGGTTTCTGGTTGCCTCATTTTAAAAATCTTTTAAAACCATTCAAAGACCGGTTTAAATCGGTTGCAACCAGTTAAACGGTCACGTGCGTTACGTAGCATTGTAACCACGTTTATTACCTTTAATTGGGTTTTTGGTTCATCAAAAACGGTTAAGAACTGAGAAAGATATAACCAAATCCATTTTGGTATAAATACTTGTTTGTGCAACTTGTACCAGAATGACTTTAATTCTAACTCACTCAAATTTTCATCATTTTGCTTGATTCAACTTTTGTATATTGAAACTATAAGTATGAAAATATGCTCACCATCTATCAATGTATGGTATGCATCAAATAATTTACAGTTGCCACATTAAATTTTGCCCAAGTCTTGAGGAGATGTAATTCGGTTTCAGTCATAGCTATGTCAGATCTTCATAAAATCTCTTAAAAATTGGTAGAACGACGGGTATTTACATGATTTACTATACTATATTATTTTTCAGAGTAGTAATGGTTGAGATATAAATGGTTTATATTGGTACAATGAATTATATGCAAAAAAACCGGTCTGGATCGGTCTGAACCAGTATTATGGACTGGAAAAGACCGGTCCTGTGGTTCAGTTCGGTTCCCTTAATATCTGGGTTGGTCCTGGACCGGTTGCGGTCCATGGTTGCGCATTTTCGGGGCAAAAAACCGGACTGAACTGAACCTTTAAACACTACTCTGGTGATCAGGCGACCAACCATCCCAAGAAACTTGATCCAGTCAACCAAGACAGCCTCCTCCTCATCATTCATCAAACACTTGTTTTCATGGGCCTGCTTGGTAGGCTTGCTTAATTTGTGGTACCAGTTGTGAAGTGTACCATAGTTGATTCCAAACTGCAGAGATGCAGCTGCAAGATGTGGAAGTTTCCTGGACCTGACAGTGTCGCACGCCTCTTCAATACGTGCTATCACCTTGATGTCATTGTAGTTGACACATCCAAATTTTGTATGGTGTACAACAGCCTTTGGCATATGGTGAGGCTGAATGCTGCTGTTATGGTACCTTCTACATATATGTATTCCCTCTCCCTCTAATTACCCTCAGTTCAAGTCTTTTATTTCTCTTTTCTCCTTACTGTATAAACAATATTGATTTAGGGATTCTATATTCATAAAGTTACATAGCGCATAGCATACCTGAACCTTACACACTCTGGCATGCATATTTGTACATGTATTTGACCAAACATGACTTAGCCAAACAGTCAAACATATCACTTCTATTTTAAACAAAGGATGACTCAGTAGTTCTTGTAGAAACAAGAACGTGATGGAAGCTTCCACAAAGTTCTATTAGGATCTAGAAAGTAGTCATTAGGATATTTATTAAGACTGTAAAGCTAGTTGAGGAATTCATCTTACCTTTTTACCCCAAAACTTCATGTGAACTTGAGATCTTGAGAAAGACTAAGTGCGACCACCTTCATTAGTACTTGGTAAAGCCTAGCACTATCAACTACTAAATTGTCAGAAACCATTAAAGTCATAGTACTAACGATTCTGATATGTGTTCGCCCCTTCGTCAACCTTACAGTTATCATAGGAAACTCATGTGATCTAGGGACATTCCTGAGCAACAGAACTTATACGACAATCTTATCAGATTATAGGTAAGTTCTCGTTTCATTCATAATAGCTAACAACTTTGTATTCACAGGAATACACAAACACTAGATTCGAAGAACTCTAACAGCTGCTGGCAATTGTGCTGGGCTCTCTCTCCTATTGGAGTTCAAATACACCTAGCCCAAAATCATGTCTGTCATGCTCAGCAGACAAAGAATTGAAATTCATTGAATTGTAAGTGTAGTTCTTCACCTTTCTGCTTGATTTTTTGTATTTGAGGTCATGTCGTTTACTAGTACATGCTTGTAAATTTTTAGATAGCCTAATGCAAAGGGTCAGATTAGATCTTGAAAATCATTTGCATACATCATGGTTTTGATGCACCGAAAACCACCTTTTAAAATCCTGGGCTCATCAGACTCAGTTGATAGTGGGGACTGATGGAGTGGGGAGAGGGTGGTTGGGATTGATGGAGGGGGAGGGAAAGCTGAGGCTGGGGCTGGGCACATTGTTGTCACCTCGTCAATGGGTGTCGCGTTGTTGTTGCCTTGTTGATGTGTGTCCTTGACCACTCATCATCAGGTGTCCTGGTCCACTCGTTGTCGCGTGTCCTGGTCATGTTTTCATTCCACGTTGTCGTTGGGTTGTCGTCATGCATTATTGTCAGGTGGTGTGTTTGGTAGGGGTGTCATCAATATCCAACAACATTGTCGACCATCGCCATGTTGTCCGTCATTGTGTCAGTTGTCATGTTGTGTCAATCCGTGGCAACAAACAACGAATCAGTTCTTGTTTGTTGTTTGATTGCTGTTGGCGACATGGCACCTGAGTTGTGTGTGGTTTCAGCATTCCTTGTGGGCTCAGGGTAGGCGACACCCACCCACCCCTGTCTCATTTTCATCCTTTCCATCAAGAACAATATTGGTCTCCCTGCCTCTTCACAACTTGTTGTCGTTCTGTGTCGTCACCTCGTTGTATTCTGTTGCATTGTCTGGCGTCGTCGCCATATCATCCTGGGTCATTGTTGTGTTGTTATCGTCCTTGGCCATTGTTGCACTGTTGTTTCCCTGGGTCATCACTGTATTGTCATTGTGCTGGGCATCACTGCACTCCTGTTTCTGTGTTGTCGACCCATTGCCATGTTGTCCGACATCATGTTGTTGTCTGTCATCATGTCATGTTAGTCTATGGTGACAAACAACAACAATGAATTTGTCGTTGTTCGTCATTTGGTTGCCACGTCACTGTCAGTGATGTGGCACCTGGGCTGCGTATGATTGTGGGAAAGGTGGGGAGAATAATAATCACTCACCTTGTCACCCATTGTCCTTTGAGTATGGGACCATTGAACAGAAGGGTGAGTGGTCAAACAAAGGGTGAGGTCGATGATGGGATGTGGAAGAGATGTAGATGTGGCATGCTCAATACAACACTCGGAAACTGCCGAGTGCTTAAGAAAAGCGTAACTCGCTCATGCACTCAACACGCACTCATTATTGACAGAGAAAAAATATGGAAAAATATAATTAAAGGTCCTAGGGAATAGTACTAACATTTGAGATAGGCAGCACTATGTATTTACCAGGCAGGGAGTAAAAGTAAGAAGAATTTCAATCTACAGCTGAGTTTCTGGCACTTTCAGTTACTTTACTGTGACCCTCTGCATGTATTCCCATTACCTGTATCCACACAATCCTCTGATTTCTATGGAGTTCTGTGAATCCATTCGGGTTTTCATTCTGAAGATATCCATGTAAATTTCTTGGCCATTGTATGATTTTTGTGAATTGTATCAGACGAAATACACTCTATTCAAGGACTCTCACAACAAATCCTTCATTATCAAAGTGAATACAGCCCTCAATAATTTCATACTGGTATCCACCTTTAGCTGAGATTATGTGAATTTGATTCCCTGGGTATTAGGCAAGCAGAGAAAGGTTTGCCAACATAATTGTATGTTTTAAAACCCTCCTAAAAATTGAAAAATGGGAACAAGACTTTCAGGTGTGTTATTTTACTCAAAACTTAACAGTGTCTGTCCTAATATTGTTTCACTTATGCTATAGTTGTTGGTAGGCTATAGCTGGCAGGTTTTAAATTACAAATTGCTGGAATGATATGTTTTTTTATCTTAAAAAACAGAGATACTCCTTCCTCTGCAACTTTTAACCAACTTCTAATGATTTGTAAAAGTATAGAGCACATTTATTACCTGTAACTAAAAAGAAAAAGCTACACAGGCACAACAAAATTATGAATCTTTCATTATTATTATTTTTAATAGGGATATTAGGTTTTATATTAAATAGAAAAAATATAATTCTAATGATAATCACCATAGAGATTATGTTACTATCAGGAACCCTTTTAATATTAATCATGTCCTTTGGTTTTGATGATAATGTACATCAAACCTTTAGTATTTATATCATCTCAGAATCTGTACTAGGTTTAAGTATATTAGTAGCATATTATAGATTAAGAGGAACAATATCTTTAAGAAGTTAATGTATTTATCAATAATTATTTTACCATTATTAGGTAGCTTAGTATCAGGATTCTTAGTTTATTCAAAAATAGACTGAAATAATCACAATTTTTTTTGAATATAATTTAGTTAAATTATAATTATTGAATAGATTTAAAGGTAAAAGTTGTAAATCAATCATGTTAAGATGTATTACCATTGTCAGAGTAATGTTGCCTTCCTCTCCTTGCTTAATGTCAGTTGTATTTCCGGTGTTTTCAATGTGTTTGGGAAGTTTGCATCTATGTGTCTAAAGCTTCAAACATGTCATCCGAGTTCACAACATCGCATCCATCTACTTGTGAGGGCACCATGAATGTGAAACATGAAAAATCCGACTGTATTCTACTTGTAGAGTACCAGAAAGTTTATGTTTCATTAAATTTGGGTGTAAAGAATGAACAGTGTGCCTTTTGAGGATCTGGCCACAGGGAAGCAACTATTTGTGACTATTTGGCAATGCCTTTCACAATGTCATGCAGCTGGAACCTGAGCCATCCATCCAAATGCTGCTCAATGAAAATACCAAAAGTCATATTATGTGTCAAAAACAAGTTGCAACTGATGAAATATGAACTTGATACAATCAATAATATGAATGACACCCTCCAAAATGCATTTCCATAATGTTCCTTGGCTTTGTTCACAATTGTTTATTACCTGGAAAAGGTCATCCAGAATATGACTTGTGCATCCACCATCTCCACATCTCTGATTGAGGCAGAAATATTTGCACAAAATTTGAAGGAGAAAAATGAGAATTATCACAACTGAAATATTCTGGTGAAATGCAGCTTTTTCAGAGGGATTTTGACATGGAAAAAACATATGTGAATGCTCTTTTGGCAAGATAAATATACACAGGATACAGAAAAGCATACCAGTCATCAATACTGATCCAGAATGTACCATTTATAAGAATTTTATATTATAAAACATATCTGAGCTATATTTAGATTTGTTATATTTCACAAACATGCTGGATCCAAAAATAGAACAGATTTCAGACATTAGCAAGCTATTTTTCATTTTTCATTTTTCTATCATATCTGATGCCAGATATTGGCATTCCACCCAATAAAACCAAATTTTCACCCTGTGGGGTGACTTTTTAAAGGTGAGCAGAATGCAAGAAAAATTAGACAAGGGACATTGCACACCTCATAGGGCTAGGACTACATCTATGGCTGATCTAGAAGATCGGGTGAATGAATAAGAAGGTCCAGCATGATTTGAAGTTGTTTGATTGATAACAGGGCCAGGAGTGACTGTAGCAGATGTGCTATCTGATGCTTCCTCACTAGGCCTAGTCTTCTTGCTGTTGTAGTTGGCCAGGTTGTTGATGGATCCCACAGTGTCCACCTTTGTAAGAGGTGTTCTGTGAGCTATGGAACTAGAGTGGGGATTCTGTACTGGTGGATGTGGAGTCACAGGGATTACTATGGTGTACAATCGGATGCCAGTTACGGTCTAGTCTCACACTTACTTAGTGGAGATTGTTAGCACTTGGATATCCATTGCACGATCTCTGCACTTTCTCAGGAAATCCTCGAGAAAGTAGCAAGCAGGAGAGAGAAAGTAAATAACGAAAAGATGATGCCCAAACACCTCAAAGAGAGTATTCAGTAGCTTTACTAAAGTCAAAGCAATTACTATACTTCAAGGGGAATGTGATACAACATGATTCCTGACACAGAGTATACATAGTGGTGGTTTGAAAGATAGAAAAAGGTAGTGTTACATCTGTGACTACAAGTATGTAATGCGAGTTGGATTGTGGGCTTAAGTAAGCGAATGTCACGTATGTAAGAATAACAGTAAAGTAAAGATATGCTTGTAGTGAATGCTCTCAGTAGCCATGAAATTCGTGAAGTGGGGATTATAATAGGTAAAGCATCTGTTACAGCAGGCTACGTTCAGAAACGACTGGGCTGAATGAATCCAGTTTTGTCGAGGTCACACTTTGTCACATTGGACTTAGTGAAATTCTGTCAAGTTGATACATCTTCTCTACCTCAACATAAATCTGTGTTCATCCTCACCCTCCCATTGCCCTTCGTCTATCCAGCCTATGTTGTCTTCACTGTCACCTCTATGTGACTCATCAGTATCAACAAATTCATCGTCTTCCACAACAATCTCATCCATGTCAAAGGCAACATCATCCTCAGTTAGCTGCAGCAATGTTTCATCCACCACCCTGTTCTCAATGTTGTTGAGAATTCCAAGGCTGGTGATGTTCGTATTTTGATATGTACAGATGCCGCAGGAATGGTGAGTGGCTTAAGAAAAAGATTCCTGGTTAGTGGTGCTCATTGCTAACCTAACAGGGATGCAACATACCTGATATCGATGTCATAGTCCAATGGAAACTTCCATCCAGTGTTTCCTCATTCATTCAAAGGGCTGGGAGGGCTGCACGAGGACCTGGTAGTGGGCTTGCAGTGCTTCTTGTTGAGAAGTCAGCATACAACATTGACCTAACAATGCTTCAAGATCAGAACCAAAAAAGAAGAAAGCGACTGTATGAGAGCTGATGAGCTACCAAAAAACCAAGGACAAGAGCTACGCTGTCAACCATGGTGTATTGCGCAGTGCATTCAGAGGCACCTCTGATGAGATTAAGGCCAGGATCAAGGTACCACTTGACCAAATTTCAATCGACAAGGGTTTGCATACAGTTGTGCAGACCACAGAATGTAGGTGAAAGGTATTGACAGCAATCTATGGAAATGATGTACCTTGTAAGTCTCTCGCAATCAATCTATGAAATCCAGAACTTACCCCAAAAATTTATAGATCTGACTGTTCCATGTTGCGATCTGTGTTAAACAGGTCTGCTCCTCCATCACAGACTTCTCACAAAAAGAACGTCACTCTAGGAATCATCAATAAGCAGCTGAAAAAAGCAATTGTCAAATGGCAGACAGAGATTTGGACACATGACTTTGAGGACTCACTGTTCAGACCCTCCGCCATTCTCGCTAATGCAGCTATTGAATCGCTTTCTTCCTTTGGAAATCTGGAACGGCTAATTGATCTTGAAAACACGATGGGTGGGAGCTGGGCGTGGTTCGGCAAATACAGTGACAAGCTTTTGGATCTGTCTAAGACCTTGGATGTTGCACCTAAGCAGCCTAAGCCCTCAAAACCATGGGCAGCAAGAGGAGAAAAGCACGTAAGCGAAGCATCAGAGCTTGGAGAAGGATGTGGGAGTGGGGTGAAGGAAGATCAAGCCAAACAATGACACACCTCAAACATCGTGGAAGTGCCTCCCACACCTGTCAATCCACGGCCCGGATGGTCATCTTCTCACCTCTCACTGCCTCCTCCATCCACTCCTCACTAGGCCTCACCAGCCAGCCTTTCCACATACTCGTCCTCCACAAACAGTGCCAGCAAGTCCATTACTGCACAATCCATATGCTGCACTCATAACTTCCCCGCTTGTTCCGCATCTTCAACAACCCCAATTTCCTGGCCCATTTCTATAAAATACCCCATCATCTGCTTCTCCCCAACTGCTGAAGTAATCATTTCTTTTATATTCATATCCATCATAACTTATCATCCCTGGCTGCTTCCATACAAGTCCAATCACACTCAAAGTTTGTATTTTTGTATCTTAGATGTAATAGTGTTAATTCAATGAGTAACTTCGTATAAAAGAGGTGTGAGGAACAACTTTATTTTTTTGAAGTGCATGAAATTTCGCTAAGTCCCCTGTCACACATGTGGGACCTCGACAAAACTGGCTCTGTTCCACCCAGTCCTTGAGAGGTGTTCGCCCTTTTCACTCACCACCTGATGTTTGCAGCCACAACAACACCACAACAAATAACAAATAGTCACCATATCTAGAACACCCTCAAGGACCTGGTAAGCGAGTCTAGGGGGTCAGGACCAAAAAGATTTCAAAAGCTGTTTGGCAACTGTTGCAATGCTTTGGCTTATTTGGACATCATCACATCAATCACAGTGACAGCTGAAGCACTGACATGACACTGGGAGAGACCCTAAGGTCTATGTAAGCCAAAGGCTTCTGTGACTACATCATTCTTTGTGATGGCTGTATTATTGTAGAAGGAAGAGTGCATTGAGCCTGAGGCTATATGCATCCCAGCAAGGAAAACCGTGATACAAGGCAAACATTCTTGGGCAACTCTTATGTTTCACTAGTCCTGTGACCACTCCCTCCTTTGAGGAAGAAATCGATCATGATCCCAAGAATCCTCCCCTTGGCACAAGGGGTGCTGGTGATAAGCAGGTCAATGAATCTTAACAGCTCAATGGGTTTTTCCTTGTCAAAGTTAGGGGCTCCTCAGGAGCCTGGCAATGGCATCAGTCTAGACGATCTTCTGCCTCCAGTGGCTGGAGCTTCATCTTGGGTGTTATCTGGCATGTTTGTAATATTTCTTTGGGCTAACGAGTTCAGGTTTATATTATCAGATGCCCTAACAGTTTTTCTACGAGTCATGCAAGGAGGTGGCTGGGATACTGTCTCTGTCCTTAACGGAAATCTTTGCGCTACTGCTGTTGCAGGTTGCTTAGCTTTTTGTTTAGGTGGAGGTGGTAAACCTGACGATTCCCCTGCTTTAATAGAATTTGCTGTTTGTCTGATTTTTGGTGCCATGGTGAACGGCTCTGCACTAGTATTTAAATTGCTTCAAACGCTAGCGGTTTTTAATTTAAACTTTCATTCAAATAAAATGATCCTGTAGATCACTAAACTTTTCAAGTCTTTGCTTTATCAAAAACAAAAGGAGACCCTTGTGGTGGGCTCCAGATGATACGCGTTGCACGGGGATGACCGTGTAAGTGCGAAACATGCAAACAAGGATCAAGCACATCGGGAAAACCCTAAACACCTAAACACTTACACACACACACACACACACTATCACAGTCTCAGTGCATGAGTTCGAGGGCCTTTGGTATTGAGAAATACCACTTTCGTTAACTCTCAAGAGATTTCGTTCAAAATGAGTTTTTATTATGAAGTGTGGTTTAGAATAGTTCAATAGAACAAAGTATGTCTTTTCTGGGAACTTGGTCTCTTAAATGCAAAGTTCTTTGATCACAGTTTCTTTTATTAACACAAAACACGACTTCAATTGACTTTTATGACTCCTGTGAGTTTTTATTATGTCACTACACTCCAAAACTAAGGGTACAAGTATGCTGTCTCGTCTAAATGATACTGTGTTCTTAAAACCTCTTATTCAAAAGTCTCCAAGTAAGTTGACTCCCAAGCATGCTGGCTTCGTTCACACTGTACTTTTCTGACCACGAAGAAATCTCCTTTAATTGATTACAACTGTCCACCTCCTAAGTTCCTACTTGGAGTGCAACTAGCTGGTCAACGGGGGGGGTGATTGCTTGCCTTTTGACCTGCCAGCATGCTCCTTATATACTCCAGGAACCCCTATCTATGTTTTACATGTGTTTTAATGCAGGATACTTCGGTCCAAATTACAAATATGAATTTTAAAGAACATGTGGTATATTTTGTAGTCTATCTCTGTGAACACTACAGATTTTGTAGTGTCACGTCTTTCATTTTTAAATGCATCAGTGTTTGATGTGTATGCGGAGTTAGCCGATGTAGCTATTCTTAGCTTGGCGTGATCTCGCGTGTTTCTTTTCTATGGCCCGGTTACTGGTTTGACAGATGGCATCATATAATGATTAACGTTTACTGATGCATTGATCCACATGCATACATATTTACCAATAGTCTTCGGTCTCCCATCGTTTCCGAGTTTTTAATTAAAATGCCTTGTCTTGGCTTGTCTTTTCATTACGGAAGTCAGGAGACACTCCGAAGGTGCTTTCAAATGTCTTTCTTAATTGTCAGGGGGTTCTTATTATATTTCATATAATAGAATGTGTCTTTTTTAGTGTTTGCAGGTCCAGTTAAGTCCAGTTTTTTACCTCAAAACGACGCAACTGGCAACCACAACCGGTCTAGACCGATCCAAATATTGAGGGACCGCAACCGGACCGCTTTGGACCGGTCCTAATCGGTCCACAACGCAAAAAAGACCGGTCCAGACCAGTTGCGACCGGTCTTTTGTTGTAAAATTTATTACACCACAGAAACTAAATATTACCCACGTACATTGCATACGTAGATAGATATTTTAATTCTCCGTAGACTGATTAAAAATCTAAGCAATTCCGTCAAGATTTGACTGAGGTAGGGCGAAAACAGAAAGGACGTACATTTGAATCACATGTATAAAAATGTTTTTGGCCATATCTCAACCAATTCTTGACCATTTTTGATGATTCAGGGACCGAAAATTAAGTAAAATGTGCACGAGTAAGGTCCAGCACGTGATGGGACGAAAGACCGGTTGCAACCGGTCTAAACCGGTCTTTTTCAGTTTTTATATATTTACAAAAACATGGCAACTGGCAACTGCACTGACCACAAATGTGGGCAACTGCAACTGGAAAAAGACCGGACCGTGGTTCAGTCCAGTTCAGTCCTATGTATATTTTCAGTCCTGTAGACTGGACCTGCAAACACTAGTCTTTTTCCCATGTTTGTACTTGTGACATTCAGACGCATCAGTCTTTGATGTACACGGGAATCACTGTACATGTCTTTCTGAATGGCCGTGAGCCACGCTAAGTCTTCGTACATTTATTACTTAGGCATAGTTTAGTTTTTCAATGTTTCAGACATGCCGTTTAAGCGTCTATGTCATCTTTTCTGTATTTCTTGTATAAGCATGAGTTTCCACAATAAATCCATTATGTGTTTCTAAACCCTTTGGTAGTAATGCAATTCTTCTCCCTGCGTTGGGTGTTTACTCTAGAACCTCTTTGTGCTCTATTTCATGGTAGGTGAATCTTAGATAGGATCCAAGTATAATGTCACGACGCATACTGCTGCCAGTTCCAAAGCCTTTGTCCTATTTTCAGATTCCACGCATTTGCACTTTTAGTCAACTGAGCCAGGTATGCACATTGACTCTTTGTATCATTGCAATTGTACATAGTGTATTTATTAGAGATGACCTTTATTGGTAAAATCGTTAACATCGAATTTTATACAGGTGAAATGGTTTCATCTGTATCACCAGCCTGGGAATCCCATACCAGGACCTGGTTAGTTAGTCCAGCCACAGGCTGTGAAAAAAAAGGACACCTTGGGCAGACGGCCTTCAATCATCAAGTTGAGTAACTTGCAGCATAATATAGTAATTACAGAATGTTCTGGGAGGAATACAGCTCCAATAGAGGCCATCAAGCACCAGAAAACAGGTGATATAAGATATTCATTAATTTCCTGCCATATTTGGGCATTTTTTCATCATCACTTGATCAAATTACTATGTGTCATTACCAGCAAACTACTTGACCATTGACCAACGACACGAACAATATCCTAAAATCTACAGTATGTCTAACATTGGTTCCACACATTCTATGTGTCATGGTACCATTGAGACAGAGCCACCTGCCCTTGAAGCTTGATGCAGAGGGCTTCACAATCTGGTCCACTTTTCCTCACCTCCTCCATCCTCAGGCTAGTTGAGCAACACTAAATATGCATTCATTCAAGTTTACTCGCCCATTCGCTCTCATCCTCACAATCATCTGTCTCATGATCATGGTACCCACCTCGGATGTCCCCAATAGCGCCATCATCAAGGACACAATCACGACCCATTTGCCAGCAGCCACCTCAACCACCACCGAAACAGGTGGTTCGACACTCAAGCAAGACTCTTCAGATTGTCTTGAAAGAGGTTTTTTTCAATGTGATGAAGAAACTAATAAATGTTGTTCAGGACTGAAATGTGTTTATAATTTTCAATGCACCAGTAAGTCCCCCACTATCAATTGCTGAAAAGGGTAAACCTTGATGATTGTCCATATCGCCTTCACTTTTTCAAGAGTTTTTGTGCTTAGGTCACCTTTTAAGCCACTCTCAGCCATGTTTGGAGATTGCCCAAATTTGTGTGCTGGCGTAGTTGAATTTACCCTTCAATTTTGACTTTTAACAATCAAATGAGTTATGCAGACCTCCTCTATGAAAGAACTAAACCTTGATGCCATTTGTTTATTCTCCAAGTTGTCAAAGATGCCTCAAGTATACAGCAAGTTGATCCATCACACAGCCCAATCCTGTAGCAGGCCTTCCTGCATTCCACTGCTCAGAGCTCCAAAAAAAAACATCCAAAAACCATTTGCTCAAAGCATGATGCTCAAGGCCTGCATCCCCACACCTCCAGCCACTCAGGCCTAGAGAGCAAAGCAGGGGGTTCCCAAAGGTGGGATATGCATCAGATGAGCTGTCGGTGAGGTTTTCATCTAGGTATAATTTGTAGTGGCCATCCCTGGTAAACGTGGTTGATTAGCAAATGAGAAAGTGCAAGGAAGAAGGGAAAAGAAGAGATGATATGAACGGAGAGAAAGGAAATCAAAAAGAAGAAAAGTGAGAGACAAACTCACCCCCCTCTGAAAGATATAACGTCTGGCTCACAAAATGCCACACTGTAATTGTTCTTCCCTGTCCATTTGAAGACTTCCAAGTTTTCTCTGTCGAATCTCCACAAGGACCTACACACACCAACAAAACCAGAAAGAAAAAAAACCATCAGCACCCAAACCCATGCACAAAAGCAAAAGAAAAAAATGTACAACAGCCCCATTCCCATAACACCCCCTCCCCCTCTCATTCCTAACTGCTTCCTCACCCAACCAAACTCCAAATGTCATCCCACCCTCATCACACACAACCACCAACTCATGCACACTCCTCCCCTTATCATTTTTGCATGTGCTTTGTTCGCAGTTCATGTAGAGCATGTTGAGTGATATACTGTATTGGTCTAGAGAGTCCATTTACGTGGGAGGTGGGCGAGGGCTGGGAGGTGTGTTTGGATCTGGGGGAGGAAAAAGGGAGCATTAGATCAGAAAAGGGAGGGAATGAAGAGAAAAAGAATGCACCATCTCAGCCACACCACCACTCAACACCTCCTGCGTACCCTCCCTCCTCCCAACAAAACAGCACCTAATTGTTCATCAATCACAGTCACCAATTCTTCTTCCATCCAACTGTCACCCACTCAGCGTCAATGCTCAACCCTCTCGACTCAGCATCAGTCTCACCATCCCATCGTCTGTAGTATATGGGATGTAGTCGCTGGCATGTATGATTCTGAGGGGGGTTGCATTTAAATGGTTTGAAGATAGGCTTGCTGGAGAAACACTGGCGACATGTATTCTAAGCCATAGTAGTCAGCTCAGGCATGCAATTTGATGTGATCATTGTTGAGGTGATATTTCTGTCACAAAGGAACATCCTCCACTCTGTTCCTTTTCTTCCAAGTTGTGTTGCTCGTTAACCTTGAATGTTTTGTCAATGAGGTGGTTTGATGACCAATGCTGAGGAAACTGGGCTTACCAATCATGGAGCCGACATTCCCGATTTGAAATTGCTGCCATGCTGACTATGAGTGGCAAGGAGTGCCAAGGGTGAGGGGAGTTTGGTAGATAGAGGGAGAAAGTGGTGACGAAAGGAGTGGGAGAGTTGAAATGAGAAGTTCCAGAGAAGGGGGAGTGGAGCACTTAGTCACCCACTACCAACTGACTAAATGTCATGGACCATATCTATATTCTAGATATATATGGGTCATAGAAAGCCCTGAAATCTAAAATATATTTTTGAGACATGGACCCTGAAATGTCACACAAAAATTATAATGTTTGTGTCACACCTCCAAAATATATTTTGCAAGTGAAATGCAGTACTATATATGGTCAGGATATGCGTGGTATCAAGATATGCGGATTTCACTTTTCGTGTCCTTCCCTTACTCCTGCTCTTTCAAGAAAATTCACTCATGTTGAAATGGTGTATTTAATACTGCTTGCAAATTTTTGACAGGATTCATGAAGTGTACGAAGTGTGAGAAGCCAAAGGGTGAGATTTTAGATAGGTGTATGACGCTTTGGCTGCCAGGAACGCATTCTGTGTGAGGCTTACTCCCAATTTTTTTCCGTAGACACTATCTAATACCAATATTAGGCACATCCTCAAAATTTCAGGAAGGCAGGACAAGTGGAAGTCGTCAAAATCGATTTTGAGAAAGAAATACGTGACAATTGCCCTGCTTGGGAGACTGTCACATTGTGCAAAATCCCTCAGTGACATTACTGTGACATGCCTTTGCATATCTTGTTCACTTGCCTCCTCACGACGGCAACACTCCAAGGCTACAACACATCTTCCAAAAATTCTCAAAATTTTGGGCAGCATGTTAAATTGAATTGGCTAGCGTATTGTAAAATTTTAAGGCTGAACAATATGATCTTGAAGCTACATCAACGAAAAAGTCAAATATCTGCATATCCTGACCAGATATAGTAAGGATATATTTTTGGTGAGTGGACCCTGAAATGTCACTGTCACATCTTAGAAATATATTTTTGTGCTGGCTTGGCCTTAGGATATATTTTGTGACACAGACATGGTAAGGATATATTTTTCTGGTCTGTAGGGGTGTCAGGGGTCCTAGTTTCAGCAAAAAATTTGTGATTTTTTTGCTGTCTGGGATATATATTCTGGAAGATTCTGCAATGATTTCCAGAGGTTTGGGCACTATGTCTGGCTTGTGCTCCCAGTATGTAAGGTAGCGGACAGCCATACCTCGCTAACTTCACGTGAATAGTCCTAATCAGGTGACATTCTACAAAGTAGACAGAAATGAAAGAGCAACATGTAATGCTGCAAAACCGAGCTGAACATTTCATTTGAAATCGTATTTTGAGTGCTTTTGCAAGTTTTCAGAGCTTGACTCGAAAATCTGAAGGAGGAGTTCCAATTATACAGATTTCACAGAGTGCACTGTAATTCATGTGATGTGCTGCCTTAGACAACACCATTTTCAGAACTCCTCATCGAGATCGTCATTTATAACCAAAAATATGCAATGGTTGCTAATGCGATACAATTCCACACAACATGTTCAAGCTCGATTTGCTAAATAATGCGTGCTAAATATCTGAGAAGTGTTTCTGTAAAAAATGTCTGTTTTGGGATAGATCACGTGACGTTAGCGAGGTATGGCTGTCCGCTACCTTAGGTAGCAATAAGGGGCATCAATAGCATCTACCTGAGTAGTATCATCCACTTCCAAACACACTATGAACATAGTTTGCATTACAGATTCATTTATTGTTCTCTAACAATGTTGGGCCTTAATGACATGTGTGATTCACTTTGAAGCTATTCCGTCCAAGATTTCTGAGTTGCTTGTGTATTATCCACTTTGACACTATAGATACAGTTCACACTATGGAATTTTTTAGCTGCCTAGAAATCCCCTCCACTTCTGCCTTTACTTCAGCTCTGAGATCTCCAGTTGTACCTTATCTGCATACCCCACCCACATCTGTATTACCATTAAGTTGACAAAGTGCTTTGATCTTTCTCTTCTTCTCTCTCCTGTCAGAAATTTCCCAGGCGCCTGATGAGGCTCCGGCCTTGCAATGTTGATTGCTGACATAATCAGGCCTTGCCAAACCCTTGCCAGCCCTTGTCATTTCACAGCAAGCCTGAGGAGATGATGCTGGGAAAATCTGGGGGGTGGTTGCCTTACAAGCTCTTACAAGCCAACCACACGTCTGATGTAATAATTATTTCCACATTACAAGCTTGATGATCTCTGGTAGGGTCTGATAAGATTAGTCCAGCCTCATAACATAGGCTCCAATTGCCTCTGCAGCCAACTCAAGGCTATGAACCAATTATTGGTGTTTTGTGTGTCTTATAAGGCTACCTGTATCCTTTTGATCATGTTCAGCTGAAAATGATATGAAATTTCATACAGAGAGTAAAGATAATGGTCTTGTAAGGTAGGCTAAAATACTAGATATATAAGTGGCCTTGGAAAGTTTCTTATATGCCTCTGTAGTGTAATGGTATTAGTGTTCGCAGGTCCAGTTAAGTCCAGTTTTTTACCTCAAAACGACGCAACTGGCAACCGCAACCGGTCTAGACCGATCCAAATATTGAGGGACCGCAACCGGACCGCTTTGGACCGGTCCTAATCGGTCCACAACGCAAAAAAAACCGGTCCAGACCGGTTGCGACCGGTCTTTTGTTGAAAAATTTATTGTGCCAGATATATTAAATGTTACCTCACGTATATAGCATGCGTAGATAGATAATTTAATTCTCCGTACGCTGGCCAAGATTTGAAGCGATTCGGTTAAGATTTGATTGAGATACGGTGAAAACGGAGAGAACATACATTCAAATTGCATATAAAAATGTTTTTGGCCATATCTCAACCAATTCTTGACCGTTTTTGATGATTCAGGGACCGAAAATTAAGTAAAATGTGCACGAGTAAGGTACAATATGTGATGAGACGAAAGACCGGTTGCAACCGGTCTAAACCGGTCTTTTTCGGTTTTTATATATTTACAAAAACATGGCAACTGGCAACTGGACTGATCACAAATGTGGGCAACTGGCAACTGGAAAAGACCGGACCGTGGTTCAGTCCAGTTCAGTCCTATGTATATTTTCAGTCCTGTAGACTGGACCTGCGAACACTAAATGGTATGTTGTGACTACAAATTTGTAGTCTTCATGTGAGGATCACAGTTCAATCTTTACTTGTTGCATTTTAATTTGCCACATTGTAAAGTCTAGACTGTGACTAATCATAATTTGGATAACCTTATCAGGCCTAATAATCTGCCCTTATTAAGTTAACCCAAAACTTAATAAAATAACTGCAATGTCATAAGCCATTATTAGGTTAGGGGTGCCTTGAGGGCCTAGGGAAATTTCTGACACCAGTTGCACCTTATCTGCATACCCCACCCACATCTGTATTACCATTGAGTTGACAAAGTGCTTTGATCTTTCTTGTCTCCTATCTCTCCAGTTGCACCTTATTCCATGATGACCAATAAGTACAAACACTTGTGCATGTCTCTGAATCCTAGACAAGGAGACCAGATCTCCTTGTCCAGGTCTTTCTCTTTCTCTTTCTCTTGAGTTCACCAAATTCTTTGTTGTTTCTCTTCTTCTCTTTCTTCCTTCCTCTCCTCCTCTTCTTCTCTCCCTGCCTTCCTCTCTCTTTCTCTTGAGTTTTAATTGTAAATTTATAGACAAAGAGTTCACCAAGTTCTTTGTTATTTCTCTCCTTCTCTTCCTTTCTTCCTCTGCTCCTTTTCTTCTCCCCCTGCCTTCCTCTCTCTTTCTCTTGAGTTTTAATTGTAACTTTATGGATAACAAATTCCATTCTCCTCTAACAAATTCTGTTCACCATGTCATAATATGGTGTTCTTTGTATTTACCATGATTCTCTTCATGCTTGCCATTACTTGACTAATCTGTATAGTTCCAAGTGTAACACATAAATATGCCACACCATTGAAAATGATGTCTGGAACTGACCTTCAGACAGCACTGTGCTACCTCGAAGATATTCAGTCCAAGGTTCGTGAGTTGCTTAAGTATTATCGACTTCAAATGACACTATGGACTTCTAATGACACTATGGATACAGTTCACATTACAGATGTTTTTAGCTGCTCAAGAGTTCACAAAGGACTTTGTTGTTTCTCTCTTTCTCTTCCTCTCTTCCTCTCTCCCTCTCCTCCTTCCTTTCTCTCTCAACTCTTGATTGTAAATTCATGGACAACAAATTCCATTCTCCTCTAACAAATTCTGTTCACCATGTCATAATATAGGGTTCTTCTTTGTATTTTCCATGATGTGCTACCTTGAAGCCATTCAGTCCAAGGTTCATGAGTTGATCAAGTATTATCCACTTCAAATGACAGTATGGATGCAGTTTGCATTACAGATTTTTTTAGCTGCTCAGAGTTCACAAAGTCCTTTGTTGTTCAAAAATGTCTGGGTGTCCGGCAAATCAACATCCATGCCAAACAACTCCATCAAATATGTAATATAGGAAGATATATTTCTTGGAAGGGACATATTCCGGGAGATATGATATACTCAATTATAAGAATGAATACTCTGCAAGATATATATTTGGGACTGAAGAATATATTTGACAACTATATCTTGAGCCAACATATATCTTTCTCCCAAATTCTGAAACAAGATATATATTTCAACCATATCATGAATATTTTAATTATATCCTGAACCAAGATATATTTATGAACTATACCCTTAGTGTTAGCAAGTTCAGTTCAGTCGGGTTTTTTGCCCCCAAAACATGCAACCATGGACCGCAACCAGTCTAGGACCAACCCAGATATTGAGGGAACCGAACTGAACCACCTAGGACCGGTCTTTTGCAGTCTATGGAGCCAGTCCAGACCGATCCAGACCGGTTTTTTTGCATATAATTTATTATACCAATATAAACCATTTATATCTCAACTATTATTACTCTGAAAAATAAATTGGTTATATAAAATAGTAAAGCATGTAAATACCCGTCATTCTACCAATTTTTAAGAGATTTAATGAAGATTTGACATAGCTATGACTGAAACTGAATTACATCTCCCAGATACTCAGGAAAAATATGGATTTGGTTATATCTTTCTCAATTCTTAACCGTTTTTGATGAAACAAAAACCCAATAAAAGGTAATAAACGTGCTTACAAGGGTATGTAATGCACGTGACCGTTTAACCAGTTGCAACCGATCAAAACCGGTCTTTCAACAGTTTTAAAAGATTTTCGAAATGAGGCAACCGGCAACCAGACCAACCCCAAATTGGGGCAATTGCAACCAAAAAAAAAGACTGGACCATGGTCTGGTTCAGTTTGGTCTGCCAGTTTTTTGTGGTCCTATGGACTGAACCTTTAAACACTATATATCCTGAATCAAGATACATTATTTTTCAACTATATCTTGCATTTTCCAACTATGTACATCTTGAACCTGGATATATTACCAAAATATATATTTAAACTACATCCTGAATCAGGATATATCTTTCAACTATATCTTGTTGGCATCACCTGGATGTTGTTGTCCTCATGCACCATAAGGCTCTCATGTGGCTTGTTACTTCATGTCATACCCTCACTGTCAATTGCCTCCAGTGGGACCCTGTTCACGGTTCACCAAAGAAATGTTCCCTGGCCCCTGGGAGCTGAGGTTATGTTGTTTTTGTCACAGTGAAGTGGAGGATGAGTGCCATGTGATGCTCTACTGTGTTGCAACTCCTGCCTTCACAGAGAGATGAGGTGTCTCTTTTTCAGATGCCCAGCAGGTTGTCCCTGGAGTCTGATCTGCAGTTTAAAGTCTTCCTCCTGCAGACTTGTTGCATTTTTTTGTGGGTGAAAAAAGAGTTGTTGGAACCCTTGAAAAGTATGCATTTGAAGTCCTCAATATTTTTGAGGCAGTCAAGGTGTACCTTCATCCCAAGTTGTTGTGCCCTAGTGGTCACTAGATCTCTGTAGGACCTGCCGCCTTGATCTTGTGCCGCACATGTGCCCTTTTCACCCTGTGTCTGTAGTGTGCCATTTCTGTTGCAGATGAGATGGTCAAGATAAGTCAGGCTCATCCTGGGTCACAGTGAGTTTGTAGTTGCCAGTAGTGTTTAAAGGTTCAGTTCAGTCCAGTTTTTTGCCCTGAAAACGCGCAACCGTGGACCGCAACCGGTCCAGGACCGACCCAGATATTGAGGGAACCGAACCGAACCACCTAGGACCGGTCTTTTGTGGTCCATGATACTGGTTCAGACCGATCCAGACCGGTTTTTTGCGTATAATTCATCGGACCAATATAAACCATTTATATCTCAACCATTATTACTCTGAAAAATAAACGGGTTATATAGTATAGTAACGCATGTAAATACCCGTCGTTCTACCAATTTTCAAGAGATTTAATAAAGATCTGACATAGCTACAACTGAAACTGAATTACCTCTCCTCAAGACTTGGGCAAAATTTAATGTGGCAACTGTAAATTATTTGATGCATACCATACATTGATAGATGGTGAGCATATTTCCATACTTATAGTTTCAATATCCAAAAATTGAATCAAGCAAAATGATGAAAATTTGAGTGAGTTAGAATTAAAGTCATTCTGGTACAAGTTGCACAAACAAGTATTTATACCAAAATGGATTTGGTTATATCTTTCTCAGTTCTTAACCGTTTTTGATGAACCAAAAACCCAATTAAAGGTAATAAACGTGGTTACAATGCTATGTAATGCACGTGACCATTTAACCGGTTGCAACCGATTTAAACTGGTCTTTGAACAGTTTTAAAAGATTTTTAAAATAAGGCAACCAGCAACCGGATCAGCCCCAAATTTGGGCAACTGCAACCGAAAAAAAGACCGGACCATGGACCGGTTCAGTTCGGTCCACCGGTTTTTTGTGGTCCTATGGACTGAACCTTTAAACACTAGTTGCCAGGCTCCTCAAAATAGGTTTTAGACTTTTAATCATGTGCCCTGCCAGTCTGGTCAGTTTTGTTGGTCTGTCAGCTGATTGCAACAGTGATGGTGTGGTGCACTCTGTAGCGGAATTGTATTTAGGTGCTACAGTTGTGTGTCGGAAACCGACCGCGCCGGAATATATCTATCTATCTATCTATCACCTGACAAGTATCGGGGCACATGGTGTAGTTGGTTATCACGCTCGCTTAGCATTGTTGTGTGCGAGAGGTGCTGGGTTCAATTCCCAGTGTGTCCAGATTGAAAGTTCTTCACATCTTTTGTTTGCTTGAGCTGTAAATGCTTCAATTACAAAGTAGGAGATCAAGAGCCTTCACGCTGTGTCGGTCCAAGCGTAAACCCAAATACATTGTCACACATGCACTCCGCACACTCTCTCAACCCGAGCAGCTCATGAGCAACAACCGCTCTTTGATATGGCGCCCTATTGCACACTCGCCTTTATACCCATTCTTATATTATATATACTCCTGTTCCCTTCAGGTGTAGAATTCGTATTGACAATGAATGTCCGTGGGAATGCCTGCGGATATGTCCGGTGGTTACAACGATGTCTGTGTATGCCACCATCCTCTTCATAACTCGCTTAAACCTGTTTCTTCTCCAGTTCCTTTGACTCTTGTTTCTTTTGTTTTTCGTCTTTGTGCATCGCCAGTCAAGTAAGCCGCGTTTCTTCTCGAAAATCTAACTAAATGACCAATTTGTTACTAGTTCACCACGTCTGTACCATAGTAACGACGCTCACACACGATGACCACGACCACCCAAGAAACCGAGCAAAACATGGACAAATTTTCGACCCTCTTCTCTCCAAGTACACCGCGCGCTTCGCCCATTCTCGGTACAACAACCCTTCCAAATCCTTCCCAACCCTCGTCCTCCTCCGTCCCATCGTTCTACCACAGACACCACGCGAAGCAAGCAAGCTCGGATTCAGACTTTGGTGCTTTCGTATCGGTAGGACCGGCTGAAGATCCTCTTCTCGCGGACTTCGAGTTTAATGATAAACATCCGGTGTTGAAACCCACAACGTTCTTTGACAAATTTGCGCAGGATGCGAAGAGGAAGGTGGAGGAGAAGAGGAGGAGTGTGTTGGATGAGTTGTTGATGCACGAGGATGATCCGATGTATTGGTTGAAGGATGAGCGGACTGTGTCTGTTGAGGAGGAACGGCGGGAACCCAATGCCACCACGGACGAACAACCAAACGGATTACTAGACCAACAACCCCTCTCACCCCTCCTTCAAGACCTTGACCTCGAATTCTTCAAGAAATCCACCTCACGGCCCAGCCTCAATCCCTCCTCGTCGCCTACGCGATCGCCAACCGCACCGGTTCTCGCGCCGCCCACATTAGCGCCATTCATCGCCTCCAAACCCATCATCATCAATAACATCGATTATCCCATCTCTTCGTCGCCACCCCCCGACCCAGGACACGCAGAAAGACCCCATACGACATCCCCACCCCCAGGACGGTCAACATCGTATTCCAGCCGTTGGATGTCCTCGATATTAAGGTCCCACCCCGCGTCGAGTGGTGGGACTCCACTTCCCGGCGCACGATCGTCATTGGAGGGCGTATATTCTGCGGGGGCGTCTCATCCTCCTTCACACTCGCACTTCCACCCTCAGCAATCCCACTCAGAGCCAACGCAGCCTCACCACCCAATAGCACCCACGCCCATCCAAATAACACATACAACGCCATTCGCACCTTCCTCGACGAATCCGTTTGCAACACACGTGTTTAGGCCTATAAGCGGGGCACCTGGGTTTACGGGTGAGGATAGATACGAGAGGTGGGATAAAGGGTATTCGAGGGATTTGGAGAGGGAGTTGGTTGGGCGGGGACGACGTGATGGGGACGGCGAACGCGAACACTTGGAATTTGGATGGGATGGTGAGAGTGAGTCGAGAGGGTCGAGCGTTGATGCTGAGCGGGTGACGGTTGGGCGGAGGAAGAAAAAGGAATTGGCGAGCGTTATTGATGAACGGTTAGGTGCGGTTAAGCTTGTTGGGAGGAAGGAGGGTACGCAGGAGGTGTTGAGTGGGGGTGTAGCTGAGATGGTGCGTTGTTTTCCTGTGTGGATCCCTTCCTCTCGCCTTTCGTTCCCCCTTTTTCGACCTTTTCTCTCGTTGATTCTTCCTCACTTCCTTACCCCCTCTTCCGTTATTCGTAACATCCTCTTTCCCTGTTTTTTCTTTCATCAACTGGTCGCGGCGAACTCCTCGTCTCGTTTCCCTCATTGAAACGAACCTTGAAAAATCTCATCGTTCGTGTTCCGTTGGAGTAGCTCGACTCCCACCGCGCAATTTCTTCGTCTTGCGTCCTTTTCGTTTCTTCTCTTTCTCCCTCCTAATTAGACTCATCAATCCCAACCTTCTAACACCTCCTTCCTTCTCCCCCCAGATCCGAACACACCTCCCAGCCCTCGCCCGCCTCCCACGTACCTGGACGCTCCTATACTCTCTAGACCAACACGGTATATCGCTCAACACGCTCTACGCGAACTGTGAACGAAACGGCCGTGAAAATAATAAGGATAAGGGAGGGAGGAGTGCGGGTGAGTTGGTGGTTGTGCGTGATGAGGGTGGGATGACGTTTGGTGTTTGGTTGGGTGAGGAAGGGGTTAGGAATGGGAGGGGGAGGGGGTATTATGGGAGTGGGGAATCGTGCGTATTTTTCTTTCTTTGTAAGTGGATTTGGGTGTTGATGTCTTTTTTTGGGTGGGGTGTGTAGGTTCTTGTGGAAGTTTGACGGAGAAAAGTTGGAGGTCTTCAAATGGACGGGGAAGAACGACTATGTGGCGCTTTGTGAACCAGAGTTTATATCTTTCGGAGGGGGGTGAGTTTGTTCTCTCACTTTTCTTCTTCTCGACTCTCTCTCTCTCCATCATTTTCAATTTCGCATGCTGCCACTTTTCTCTCGCATTTTCTCATTTTCTAATCCACCACATTTACCAGAGACGGCCACTACGGATTATACCTAGACGAAAACCTCACCGACGGCTCGTCCGCTGCATGTCCCACTTTCGGGAACCCCCCGCTTTGCTCTTTAGGCCCGAGGAAGGCGGCGGGATCCGTGGATTTCGAGTGTGTGGGGCTGGAAGTGTGGGGGTGCGGGCCTTGAGCATCATTATTTTTGGGTGCTTTGTTTGGACGTTTTTTTCGGAGCTCTGAGCGTGGAATGCTGGGTGGTACCTTGTTTGTGGATAGATATAGGATGGGCTGCGTGATGGGTCAAGTGTATTGTTGCGCCTTTTGACAACTTGGAGAATAAACAAATGGCATCAAGATACGATAACTTCGTTGCTGAAAAGTCGCAGTGGCTTTCTCGCATCCAAGTTATCAACCTCCACGATCGGATAGTTTTGGATCACGCCTTTTTATAGGACAAGCATTTCAGCAGTTGTGGATGGGGAGTGGTTTACGCCCAGCAGGCATAGACAAGAATGCAGCAGCTATTCGTCCTTCTCTGGTAGTGATGTGCCAGGCCCGGCCCAAAGCCGTAAGCCAGCCAGGGCCAGCCGTCCCAAAGCCGGGCCTTCTTGGGCCGTCATCAAGGCCCAGCAAAGCCCAAAGCTCAGGCTCATGATGCACGAAGCCTTGAGCCATGGCCTGAGCCATGGCCTCAAGCCAGCTATCATCCTCGTCACTCTGAATCTGAATGACATGAGCTAGGGCTGCTGAACCATCCGTAAGTGCGACATATTTGACTGAAGCGGGATGGCCGTTGTGCTTCCCACCAAACGAGGATTCCGCAGCTGAGATAGCTGTGTTGAGATCGAAACTAGGCTTGGACGGGGTGATCTTCCCTGCAGAGGGCAGGTTTGACGAGGAAATAACATGAGGGGAATAGACAGAAACGTACTCATGATGGCTTGGTGAAGGCAGAACCAAAGGGAACGACCTTGTTTTTGTTCCATGCAAATACCTTGTACGACATTTCGGGATGGTATGCCTCAACCTCGACATTCCCGATCATCCTAACGTGATGAGTAGAGAATTTGGCAGAGATAGGGGAGGGTGCAGCATTCGACGTGGAGGCGTACTCGTGGTTTTGTTGAAAAATTTGTCATCAATTTGTCGTTTGGGCGTATAGTGTAAATGAAGATGTGAGGCCTATGACCAAGGAGGGGGCTTGAGCACATGGTAAAGAAATACTTGCAACTTCATGCTCATGAGCATAAGAACTACGATAATTGACGATAAGTTTGTGAACGGCTCAAGAGTGAGCAATTGTTTGTACATGTTTTTTGACTTTAGCCCATGAGCCGTGGCTTGAGCCTGGGCCGGGCCTGAGCCAGCCTGAAGCCTTGCAAAAAGCTCAGGCTTGAGTATGGTCAAGCCTGAGCCGCCCAAAGCCGGGCCATAGCCGTGGCTTTCAGGCCAAGCCGGGCCTGCACATCACTATTCTCTGGTCACAACTAAACCACAACCTTCTTGTCCTTTCCCCTACTTTTCGACGACTCGCGACGACACAAGTTGCCTAGTAACCCTCAGTAAAAAGCGAAGTCAAGCAAAATAGCACAAAGTCAGAGGTCAGTCAGGTGTATGTAACACATCCGTAATTTTCATGCTACCCTTCCCTCAAACTTCCCTTGGCAACAAATGGGAGATGATTTTAGTCATAGGTTAGTATCAACATCGTCATACTTTTTCTACACATCGCTACGCCAAGAATTTTTGTCTAGCTGAGGCCTCTGAGGCTGCAGATTGGACTTAGAAACATTGCGAGTTGAAAGTCACATGATTGCTTCGTTGAAAAGTTATTTTCAACTTGAAATTATCTTGAACTTGAACTTGTCACTTCGGCGACCAGCCCCACACACTCTTCCTCAACTGCTCAATTGACGATTCTGGCCGCTGGCAAACCACCCACACCCGCGGACGCCCTCGTCGACGGATTCCACTCCTTTGCAGATGTATGCAACGCACAAAACGAGCAGTCGAGGATACCACCATCGCGAATGAGTCCCCAATGAAACGAAGGACGGCGTGTCGTCATTAGCGCCCAACATGCAGTCACTGCCTCCGACTTCCATCCTTCACATGAAAATGCGACGGCGACCCAACGAAGTGTTACATTGGAACCAGGCTTACCGACGACGCAGTCGACGCTCTTTGGCTGGACGGCCCACCATCACCACCACAAAATATGACGAGCACAGGTACTCCTCACCCAACATCAACAACAACCGCATTCTCAACGCCTCCTGCTCAAATCCAGGTGGCGCACTCCTCAACTCCCTCTCTTCCCTCCCCATTTCCCGTGCAGATGGAATGGCGACGACTCGAACTCGGATGCGGAGGATTTGATGGATGTTGGATGTGGTAATGGACCGCTCAACGACGAGCTCGATGGTGTCGTTGGAGCACATGAGGACTCGACATGTTGCAGAGGGCCTTTCATTTTGACATGATACTGAGACCCTCTTCTTATGCCAGTACCGAAAACCCAAGTGACTATACTTAGACTTATGCCCAGTACTACATGTATCCTTCTAAAGTAGCCAAGTATAATTTGATTCAGCCTATTTGCTATCCTGAATTGGGCCCAAGCAGCAATGACTGGGATATGACTAGTACATGACAGAGTGCGAGACTAATATATGACTATTGTAGTACGAGCGTAGTCAGAAACGCTTAAAAAAAACGACATTTAGTCAGACAGCCTCTAATTCGTGACTTTCTCATGACTAACGTCTGACTTCGCTATTTACTGAGAGTAACCGCTTGTTCGGCCCTTCTACGCGTTGCTTCACGAGCTACCTTCACAAGCAGCTATGGAGCTCGTCACTTAGTCACCCCCTAGATGATGACTGCCAAGTCGGTCGGAGACCGAATTTGATTTTTAGAGGGGTCTTTGAGTGTGATTCAAGCCCTTTTTTATAAGCAGGGCCAAAATTTTGGATGACGAAAAGCTAAAAACATGACCTAGTGTGGACAGGTACTTATATTTACGGATGCTACACTGCCAAATCTATCATGGTTCAATTTCAAATCTCGGGTACTTTTGAAGATTTCGTCAATTGGTTGAGGCGAGATCTTCCCTCCATTAAAAAAAGGTGACTACGAAGAGGTCCATACAAGTTATACAACGTTCAGAGTTTCTATTTTTAGCCACAAGCGCACTACATAAGCTTTACGTAACCGTCACAAGGATCCGCAACAGATCGCCGTCGAATTTCTGGCAAGAAAAGGCAGCAATACATAAGTTCTCTCACATAAAAGCTGGGTCATTTTTCTGCCCTGTTTCTTTTCCTATCATTCTCTCTTTTGTTTTCTCAAGCTCCCAGCGCCTCTACACTTCATGGTTCTCTTCGACGGTTCTCTTCACACTCGCGCCGCGTACTATGCCTCGCGCGACTTGTTTTTCGAGGATGCGTTTGCCCAATGTGACGAGTATGACATCGCGAGTTTATTGTGTAGTGCCCATCCCCACATGGTAAGTTCAGCCTTTCTTTCTATTTCTCTGATGCTAAGCTATTTCTATTAGCTTGCATTTGTTTGTTCTCTCTGAGAAGGCGTCTCTGAAACGGAGTGCGACCTTCGTCTTCAAAAATCTCTATACAACGCATGGACTGAGCTGAGTGCGGAGTCGGCCAACCCAGACTGGGAAGTTTGGCTGTTGAAGGGGCCTCCTGGTGGAGGAGAATACCCCTTGGTGCGTATTTTCATTTCATTATTTTTTCTTTTCTCTTCTGATTATTCTTTCTCTAGGAGGAATGTTTGTCCATCAACTATTTCGTCATACCGCTGAGTCCCGAACGGCGCCCTCAGGCCACACAAGAGGACAGGGAGGGAGTTCCTGGGCCACCCGTAAGTCCACTCTCTCAAACAAACTTCGTCTTTGATTAATTTCTTTTCTCTTTTTTTTTTGCACAGAAGCATCGCAGGACTGCTGGTCAAGCAGCGCCCACCCGCTATACATTCAGCTCCCCTGTGGCTGGATTAACCAACACTGCCTCCACCGCCTCCGCTATTGCTGTCGCCACTCCTAGTACCAACACTCCTCCTACGACCCCTCCTCGCATCCTCGAGGTCCCCAACCTCGACACCCTTCAGGTAGAGATACACACTCACCGGACACTCCACGAACGTCAAACAAAGACCCTGGCAATTGCAAGAACCAACCACGCATATGTCGAAGTCCCTTCGCGCAAGACCTACAAGCGTAGACGAGATACCAGTGCAGAGGCCGAAGGAGAGGGTGAGACCGAGCAGGGACGCGACAAGATGCACACTCGCCGGACATTGGGCGAAAGTCAAGCAAAACCCCAAGCGATTGCAAGAACAAACCACGCGTTCGTCGCCGTCCCTTCGCGCAGGACCTACAAGCGTAAACTCAATGCCAGTGCAGAGGCTGAAGGAGAGGGTGAGCGGGATCCTGCTCCCTCCCCTCCTGTTGTTGTGCCGGGACATGGTCGTCCTCGCAAAGGCAGTAAGTTTTGCTTCATTTATCGTTTTCTAGCTCCAACTCTGATTTTTATGGCAGAACCTCTCGTTCTCCCTTCGGCACGTGCTCGACACAAGAAGCGCCTTCGTAAGTTCTTTCTCATTGTCTTTTCTATTCATTTCCAATGCTGAAGTGGAACCTTTTAGTCCCTCCTCACCAACGCTTCACGGGTATCGACAAGATGCCCAATATTGAGGGACTCCTGAGGGGAGAACCTTTCGTGAGGAAATTCTTACTTCTTGTCTTTCAAATGACCGTGCAGGCTCTAGCACACGCAAAGCACGTCCGGTAGACATGTTTTACAGCTCATTCTGGCCACCTTTCAATGTTGCACCATTTCGTAAATATTGTATTTTAAGAACATGATCCCATTTAATCATGTTCAACTTGCAAATGCTCCTTTCTTCCAAGATGTAAACTATGCATGTCTAATAACATGTATTTGAGAACCCCACGAAGGTTGAAAACAATAGGGCTTGATAACCAACTACACCATGTGCCCGATACCTATCACAATAAAGTGAAGTAGTTTATGCTCTATGTCAACGGAGGTGACCTATTATTAATTGGCATTCCAACTTCTCTCTCAGCCCACAGTTTACAGACCTCCATCAAAGTTACCTGGCAATTGGAGATATCTATTTAAAAAAACCCCTGTTTTCATTTATAAAAATTCTTTTTTGCCCATGTGTGTACTAGGCATGAACAAGGCAACGGTCAGTTTAACAACATCGACACGCCAACTACAATGGGTCAAGGGAAATACATATCTTTCAGTGTTCCCATACTTGTTTCTTTTGTAGAGGGGGTCGACGTCTGCACAACTCATTTGATACTTAAAAAACAAAATCGAAGGGTAAATGTTGAAATCGAATCAGCAAGCCAAGACTCTTCGCGTGATCAAGAGAAAAGAGGGAGTAAGATTCCGGTTGTCTCTGTGAGTGACAGAGGCAAACGGATGGGTAACTACAGTACAAGGCTTCGTATATATACTGTAGACTACGAAATAAAAGGGGTAAAGGCAACACACCCCTAAGGTAGTAAGGATGCACGGAAACAATCAAATGTAAGTAATGTACCTGAAATCCAAGTGAAATCCAAAGATGGGGCGCATTGCGCATGCTCGTAAAGCTCCCGAAATTCCAACAGTAAATGCAACTAGGACGCCAACACACAACTTTGGGCAATCTCAATCAGCTTAGGAAACTCAGAGCCGTTCTGAGCGGCTTAGAAGGCGACCTAATCACAGACACCCTTAATAAAGTGAAGGCGATACAGTCCATCATCAAGGTTTACCCTTTTCAGCGATTAATATTGGGGCACTTACTTGTAGAGGGAAACTGATAGCACAAACTCCCGAACAACATCCATTGAAGCCACTGGGATCACAATAAGAACCTGATCTAAGACAATCCGAAGAGTCTTGTTTGAGCGTCGAACCACCTGTTTCGTCGGTGGTTGAGGTGGCTACTGGCAAATGGGTCGCGATTGCGTCCTTGATAACAACGCTATCGGGGACATTCGAGGTGGGTACCGCGATCGCGAGACAGACGATTGGGAGGATGAGAGCGAATGGGAGAGTAAATTTGAATGCGTGCATATTTAGCGTTGCTCAACTAGCTCGAGGATGGGATTGGGATGGGAGGTGAGGAAAAGTAGCGACAGATTTTATACACGAAGGGGAGGATTGTTGGGATCACAATCGAGTGAGGGGCAGTCACAGGACTAGGGAAATGTAAGAGTAAGAGCTAGTAAAGGTCGGCCAAGATCGTTTGCCTCACCATAATTACGAGAAGCAAACTACGAGAGTAAAGGATGAACGATTCCCTTGACGAGTACATCTCCATCGGAGTCAGGGAGAGTCAAGACTGAAGACCTTCACCGGGTTCCATTGGACGCACTTCAATATTCAAATTCGTCGAGCTTCAGGAAGGCATGGAACGGAAAGACAAAGAAGCGAAGCAAGGAAAAATGGAGGCATGAACGATGGACGTCATCGATGACGTCGGATAATGGACAAGCGCTCGCTCCGTTACTTCGATGAATTGTAAAAGGGGAAGGCTGGGACAAATTGGTGTGTGAGGACAGAAGGCGAGCGGGGGGAGCAAGGGGGTGAGGTGAAAAGGGCAATAACACAGAGCTGGATGAAAGGGAGGAAAGCGAGAGGCTGAGGGTGTGTGTTTCAAGGGTAAGCAGGGGAGAAGTAGCATGACCAACAATCGCGATTGACAGAGGAAAGGAGGAAGGCACCAATCTTGTTTGTAAAGAGCCAAGCCCGGAATTAGACCCGCATTATGACAAGCGAACGATTGAGTAGACCCAAAGTAGACCTGGAAGATTCGCCTCTCATTGCGGTAACCAACGTTGTGTAAGGTATGGTGGTGGCGCCTGGATTTTGTTCTAGAAATCATACTTCGGGCATATGGCATAGCAAGAAGTCGACAGGTCAAATTGTCCAGCATTGTGACTTGTTTGTGACGTCAGATATAAGCTATCACGTGAGTCAAGGGGCTTTCGAAATGACCAGCTTGTATTTCTGGTTCAATTTTCTTCCACTGAGTTTCAGCTCTGATATCTGAGCGCTGAGCTCTCAGCTGAAATAATTTGGGCTACGCGCGTTCGAGTTACAATTCTGCCAAAATTGATTCTCCTCGGTCTACGGTCCGTAAAAACCCAATAAAAACCCCTATCAAGTAGAAGAATGCTCGCGAATAAGGGCCCTTGAGGACAAGGACTCCGTTCCTCCCATGCTCGTCTGTTTTTTGAATGATTTAAAAATGTTGATGGCGACACAAGGTTCTCCCCAAATCCCCGCCCCCGCAATCCGATTTTAATTTAAAATTGTTGATGGCGACAGAAGGTTCTCCCAAATCCCCGCCCCCGCAATCCGATTTAAATTTTTAAAAAGAACCAGATGGGAGCAGATGGGGCGTTCTTTTGAAGCCAACCAGAGCCAACCATGTTCCAAAATTATCCTTATCAGCCTCCGTCAGCTAAATCAATTTTGCCGCCTCTAGACGTGAACGCAAAGTTACACGATGACGATCGAGGCGACACGCGGTTCTTCCAGATCCGCGATCTCAGCTCGCAGTTTGCGCGTTCTTCCAGAGAGAAAAATAACAATAAAACCAGTGATTGTCTTGGGGAGAAAAGAACACAAGAGATTCGGCCTCACCTGAATGACTAACCCTAACCTGCGCAGCCTACGCATGCACCAACCGAGTGAATATCATATTTTGACCATTTGAACGCGACAGTCGAAAATCGTAATCATGATGTATCATAGACGTCGCTGACTTCACACAGGGAAGAGGATCAAGCAGTGGATGGAAGGTGAAAGTTGCGTCATTGAATTCAACATCGTGTTTGGCTTTGTTTGGCGGCAATTTGAATCCCACCGGCAATCAGCGTAGACTCCCACGCTTCTCAATCTTCTACTTACGCAGCCTTGACCCACCTTACAAATGTCGCCTTCAAAGTTGCAACAAATGTAGCAAATCAAGACTGTTTTTTATCCCAAAGTGTGGCGAGAAAGAAATATAGCGATCAGAAGTTTTTCATTTTTGACGAAGGTTCTTAGAATTCCAACTCGCAATTGCAATTATGACGTGGTCATCCTTGAAGTTGTTGCATCCGTGAGTGCCCTCCGTCAGATCTTGACAATCGGCCCGGTCGATAATTTAGGGGGTCTAATTCTAAAATTAGGTCCACAGAAACTTTCGTGGAAGCGCGTGGACTTGCATTGCAAAATATCTGAAGGATTACACGCGACTTGTCTGGCGCAGGCGAACGTATATAAACGGCAGTATTTCGTTCCCTTTCTTTCCAACCGAGCTCACCTCGTCAGTTCTAAGATGTTTGGCCAGATCGCTATTACCGCTGTCCTCGCCGTCGCAGCGTCTGCTGGCCCTTCCCTCGTGCAGCGAGCTTCCACCCCATCTCCAATCAACCTAGGGATTCCATCAACGCTTCCAGCTAACGCTTCTGGATCCCTTGACCCCTACCTCATCTCGTTCTCAATCGAGCCCGCATTTCTTGACGAGTTTTTGGGCAACAAGTCAAACCCGAATGCGCTCACTCTCCAGCTCATTTCGAATATCGAGAAGGTGACGGGTGGCATTGCTCTTCGGTACGTTCGTTGTTAAACCCTCGACATCGCCCATTTCCTCAATCCTTTTTTCTTAGCCCAGGAGGAGCTACTGTGTGAGTAGCCATCGTAGTTTTGGTGTGCCTTCATTTTTACCCCTCTCGACAGGGATGCCTCTATCTATGATCCTTCTCTCGTTGGCAATGAGGTTCGCACCTTGTCTCCCGCAGGAGCGGTCTGGCGCACAACATGGGGGCCTTCCTTCCTCGAGTCCTTAAATCTGCTGCCAGCATCCTCGAAGATTATCATGGACGTCAACCTACTCAACAACTCGTACGAAATCGCGTCCAATCAAGCTTCGGCTGCAGTCCAAGCCCTTGGAAGCAAGCTGGATGCCATTGAGAGTACGTTGAACTTTCCTTGACCCTTTGAACATTCGTTGAGTCCAACAAATTTTAGTCGGAAATGAGCCCGATGTTTTCACGCTCCAAGGTTATAAGGACCCTTCTGAATGGAACATTTCAACCTATACGCAAACATTTGTGGTCAGTTAACCTTCGCCTTCATTAGTCCCAACGTAACGTCTCCTCAGGATTGGTCTCGTAACATGACAACAGGTCTTAACCTTCCCAAGAATTTCTTCCAGGCTGGTGGATTCGGTGAGCACAGTTCCCTCGATCACAGTTTTTGACCAAGCTCCAATTCCGATGATAGCTACCGACCCCACGGGCAACTTCACGGTAGCCAATTCTATCGCATTAGGTGTAAACAACGCGTCCACAGTCAAGTACTACTGTGAACATGTAAGTACTAAGCTATGCATCATTATCACTGGTCTACCGGCTGATTTGTGCGTCTTCAAATAGATGTATAACTTTGGCAGCTGCACACCCGCCATGATCGCTGCCGCTAAATTTGACAACGTCGTTAATCATCAAAACATTACGAGTGCGGCTATTTGCTAAGATTAAAATTATGACTAACATCACATTGGATATCAGCCTTCATGAACAAGTATGTCCCACAGATCGCGGCTGCCAAAACTGCGGGCGCACCCTTCGTTGTCGGAGAATTCAACTCTGTCGGGTGCTCGGGCATGCAAAACGTCTCCAACACTTTCGGACAGACACTCTGGTGTGCAGGAAACTTTTTGACCTATAAATCCTGCTAACACCCTTTGATACGATAGGCTCGCCGATACCTTCCTATATGGAGCGACGCTTAACATAACCAGAATGTTTGCACACCAGGGTGAGAACGTTTATTTATGGTAGTTCACCTCAGTTTTACCCTCTTTCGTAAACAGGCGCCACGCTTGTTGCTCAATCCACCGATCAGATCAATACTCCCGGATTCAGCTGGTACAACTTCGTCTACCCCTCCGATTCTGCTCGAAACGGCCCTGCCAGGGCCACCCCATCATACCCCGGACTCCTTCTCGTTGCGGAAGCTATGGGCACTTCGGCTAAGACCTCAAACATTGCCTATTTCCCCGTTGCTGCCCATCCCCAACTCGCTGCCTACGTCGTTTGGGACTCCTCTGCTCGCAGCGGTGCTCCCGCTCGTGTTGTCCTACTTAACCTTGGCGCTGAGACCGGCCTCAGCGTCAACTTATCATCCCTATCGCCGTCTGGCGTGAAGCGCCTCCACTCACCAACGCGCGACAACAGCGACTCGGACACAGTTACATGGGGTGGCCAGAGCTGGACCAAGGGTACTGCCTCGGGTTCGCTCGTCATTGAGAAGCCTCTCAGTGACGGGAGTGTCGCAATTGGGGCTTATGAGGCTGTCTTGGTTTACCTTGCGGGCGTGAATGGTACCGCCACCGCCACGCCAGTTGGGACCGCTTCAACCTCGGGCTCATCATCCACTTCTACGTCGACTAAATCCGGAGCCCTCGGACGGAGTCTGTCTTTGACTGCGGGAGGGGTTTCCGTTGCTTTTGTAGCAGCTCTTCATATTCTTTAATGATTTTACGAAATAGATTTTGTAGATACGCATATGTATCGTGCCATTAAAAATTTTCGCATACCGTTGTCACGACATTTAAATTTCTTTTTGAGCCAATGGGTTGATCGCCTTGGGTGTTCGCCGGCAGTGCCCATTTCATTTAAAGTCATTACTTTAGGGTATGTAGCATGTAAAATATATAACTTCAACACCAAGTTAGCCCATTGATTTGCTTGCGTTGCACTCTACCGGGGGAAAGGCTCTGCGAAGGAGGAAGAGATGGACGCCAATGAGCGCCGCCACTTTAGTTCTTGTTCCCGCCATACTCATTACGCTTACGCCGTCCTACGCGACGGTCCGACGATATCGACTTACCCCAATCTCAGCCACAGTGATGCATGATGTCTGGACCCCATGTAGGATAAATCGTGAGCATTGAAGAGAGAGTTCTATCACACTTACATATGTACATCCTGATTCATTACGGCCTCTTATATGTCGCTAGTTGAATGGTGTCGTCCAGGTGCCGTCGTAGAAAGAACTGTTGAAAGCCAGTTGTCAACGAGAAACCGGCACTTTCCGTGTTCGTTGATGGAATAGCCAAACACGACCATGTTTTTTGAATTTTCTTCGTTAGCCATGACATTGACCGTACGGACCCTACCAAAACCGCATCTTTGGCATAGAGACCTCGGAAACTAAGTACGGCAAAAGGCACATATGCTCAACTTGTGAACGTCCCCGACTATCAGTACCATCATCTGGTGTCATTATAGGGATCGAAGTTCCAGCTGGGTAGACCAAACCACCGCTATGTAGGTGAGCAACGAGATGGGGGTGGAGTGGTAGCTGGTAAGCGTTTCTTTCTTTTCTATCTGACAATCGATTGATCATCTGGATCAGGTTTTGTACCGTTCTTCTCTAAGTACTCCTATTCCCCGACCTGTGACCCCTGTGTGCTTCACTCCCCCTTCTCCCGAGACTTTCCGTTTCAACCCAACCTCTTTCGTCGCCACTTTCTCCCTCACTCCCCTCACCCTTTTGGCACTCCTCGCCACTCATAGTCAACGTGGCAGCAATTTCAAATCGGGAATGTCGGCTCCTTGATTGTTAAGCCGGTCTTCCTCAATGTTGGTCATCAAACCACATAGACGAAGATAGACGACTGGGAGTGGAGGATGTTCCTAGATGTTCCTTAGCGGGCAATATCGCCTCTACGGCGATCACATCAAATTGCGTGCCCGAGCTGACTACGATGGCTTAGAAATCCTTTCGCCAGCATTATTCAGCAGCTTCTCTTTGCACCCTTTATATTTTACCTCCCTCAGAATCATAACACCAACAACTCCGGTACTACAGACGATGACCGCGTCTATCCCGTCTAAACTCTTTCAGCCCATCGCTATTGGGTTTAACACCCTCCAACACCGCGTAGTCCTGACACCCTTAACCCGCTTCAGAGCAACCAAGAAGACACATGTACCGATCAACCCACTTGTGAAGACCTATTATTCCCAACGATCTAGTACGCCTGGTACGCTTCTCATCACAGAGGCTACCTTCATCGCGCCTCAGGCGGGCGGATACGATAATGTTCCAGGAATATGGAGTCAGGAACAGATAGCGGCATGGAAGGAGGTACATCTTTTATCGTCACGTGTTTAGAAGTAGATGCTAAAGGAAATTACTCCAACGTGGCTTAGATAACAACCGCCGTACACGCCAACAATTCGTTCATCTTTCTTCAACTCTGGGCACTTGGGCGCGCCGCTACCCCCACCGTACTTTCTGAAGACTCCCTTCCATACATCGCCCCCTCCCCCATCGCTCTCTCTTCTCAACCTGACCTCGTCCCTCGGGAGTTGACCACGGAAGAAATCAAAGAATACATCCAGCTATACGCGCAAGCAGCAAAGAATGCAGTTCACGAAGCAGGATTCGACGGCGTAGAGATCCACGGGGCGAATGGGTACCTCGTCCACCAGTTCTTTGAGGACGTGAGTAATAAGCGGACGGACGAGTACGGCGGAAGCGTGGAGGCACGAAGTCGGTTCGGGCTGGAGGTCGTCGATGCTGTGGTGGATGCAGTTGGCGCACATAGAACGGGGATTAGGGTCAGCCCATGGACTAAATTCCAAGGTACGTTCCCAGTGTCCTCAATCACGGTCGTCCGGTTTTAATGCGGAGTGTGCAACCAGACATGGGAATGACAGACCCAATCCCTCAATATACCCACTTCATTTCATCCCTCAAGTCTGCCCACCCTGAGCTTGCGTATTTACACGCCGTCGAAGCGCCGGAGGGCGTTTACCCCACTGATGTATCCATTGGTTTCCTCCGCAAGATCTGGGGACAAAAACTGTTTATCAATGCGGGTGGGTACAACCGAGAGAGCGCAATGGCCCGTGCCGATGCGGGCGAAGGTTTGGTGGCGTTCGGAAGACACTTCATCGCGAATGTGCGTCTGACATTTGTTTTCGGTTAGAGTAACGTTCAGCTAACTGTTTCGGTTCATTTGACAGCCGGACCTACCAATCCGCTTGAGAGAGAATATACCGTTGACCCCTTATAACCGCAAGACGTTTTACACACCTGGAGATCACCCCGATGCTGCAGTTGGATATGTCGATTACCCGTTTGCTGAGGATACCCGGAGTACAGTTCGACTGTAAGGTGGATTGTGATGCATCGTCTTAGATTAGAAATTAAGGCTGGGACTGCTGATTTTTATTGAGAGTGCCCATGAGCAACAACTTCATGTTGGATTCACCGCCTTGAGGTCCAAGACCTGGAAGACACATGATACAGAAAATTATCTAAAGGTGACAGTCCGGGATATCGTCTGAGAATATGTATGTTCTATCCTACTCGTGTTCAGGTGAATTTCAAAAGTCACAAAAGTTCCATCCAAAGTGCGAGCGTAAGTCCAATGAAAGGTATAACAGTGGTCCGTGTAAGATTGTCATGAAGAGATCCTCGTCATCCAAGTCTTCGTTAACTATCAACAATGCCAGGTACTAGGAATGTTTCCCGGCTTCATGCAATTAAAAAAATCCGTGAAGGAGGGCGGTATGCTAATGAGGAATTTGGTGCAACTCACAGCTTGTTGAGCCATGGGAGCGCTAACGAACTGGTAGGGCTGCATGCCGAGACACTCCGCGACCGTGACGAGATTATAACCGGCGCCTTTGAGCTTTTGGATAGCGTATGGAATAACTTCGTGACTTGCAAAACAAGTCATGACGAATGATTGGGAGTACTTGGGAAGCCAACTTACGCAGACGTTTCTGGAAGGTAAATATGAGCAGTGAATGAAAGGTAGGAAAATATTAAACTCGCCGTAGACCTCGTGTTCGAGAGACAATACGGTGTTGGGGCGACGCGCTACCAATGCATCGTAACTAGCCATTTGTTGAGCGGGCGAAGCGCCAGTACTGTCTCCTGAGCTAGTAGGACCCAATGCAAATATTTTTAGCGGCTCTGACTTCCTATAAATGGTTCTGACGATGACCCACTCGAAATCCCAAACTACCACAGTTTGGTTACGAGCCGCGGCCGCTTGCAACACTCCGTCATTGAACGCGCCATACGCTTCGAGTGCATAATGTCAAAAGGGGGCATGTAGAAATTGATCACCACTCACGAGGGCGCATAAACGCAGGTAAAGCACCAGTTATTTGTTCAATCGCCACTAACAAACCACGTCGAGAGGAACTTCATCATAAAAATTGAAATCCATACGGTCAATTTGGGACATTTGAGATACGACTGGGCAGATAGTAAGTAACGTTGTGAAATTCGATGTGAAACGTACCTTGATCTTGAGAGAGCGACGTAAGGTAAGGGTGTGACCAGGTATGAGAAGCGACCTGCATCCCGTGGTTGTACGCGTATAGGACGTTGCTCACCATGGCCGGAGTATAGATGCAACCCCCTTCGTCGAATACTTGTAAGACTTGAATGAAGTACATACGTTCAGGGAAGCGTACAGTTCTGGCCATCTTTTGGCAGGGTCAGAAACTCGAAAATCAAATCGGGCCTAGGAAGGATTTACTGAAGAAAAAAGTGCCCTTGACCCCAGCCGCAACTAGGGCATTCACAACATCTGGCCTATTATATGGGAGTTCAGCAGGGGCAATTGGGAGAGGTGATGGCCGCACAGGTAAATATACGGTCCGTCATCCTGGCTACTAATCAGCTACCGTCATCAGTCAGATGGTTCAAGTTGTAAAACGTACAAAAGTCAGAGCAACGGTATTGGGAACGGTACATGAATAAACCACTTGTGCTTTCTGTTGTCTCCTCTGTTGAGGAGCAGCTTGGCAAGCGAGAGCGACAAGAATGATCGTCAGACCAATCACGAAGAACATGTGGGGTCTGATGTGGGCGAAGACCAAGTAGCTTATGGAGAAGGGCAGGGTATTTATGGCCATAAATTAAAGTCAAATGTAAATGTGCCCTCATCCCCAAGGGAAAATGCTGACGTTGCCGAGGCACGAGGCGCCTAATGATCCGATGAGTACTGATAAATTTCAGGTTCTAGCTGCATAGCTTCAAACCCACGGACAGAACTAGATATAACTTGTCAAGAGAAGGTAACCAGCATGGCAACGCGCCCGTTGTACTTGACGAGGATTCCATTTGGAGAAGCTTTGGGTGGTGGAGGGAAAGGTGCATGTGTTCGGCACACGCTATTAATAGAACTTCAAGTCTATTTTTAGTTGCTTCCGATAGATAGAAATAGCACAACAACAGGAACCCCTGAGGTGGCAAATCTTCGATCCCGACCCAGGACCTCACAAAACCCCCACGAGTTGAGATCGGTAAATGTAAATTATTTAGGGGGCAAATATCTCTCGAAGATATTTGCAGTGGCGTTGCTACAGCATTGTTGATCACTTGCCTTGCGTTGCTCGAAGTGTGGCGCTCTCCAATGTCTGATTCTGAGCGCCCGTTCTTCGGTTGATCACTCCCTTATCTCTGCTCCCAAATTTCTATCGTCAGTATAAGTAGGACTACTCGAAGGGGTCAGTATCTTGTGGGTTCTTCGGCACAATCTAAGAATGGACTTTTACTTGTAACACCGAATCACCGATCAGCTACCGAATCTTCCCACACAACTCTCCCTCGAAGTTCCAACCTCGCTCTCATCCCAGCTGCTGCGACCAGCGTCAAAAGATGACAGTAACAGATCATGCAGAGACGGAGGGCTCTGCTGTCAATGTCGTCGACTTTGGCCCATTCTTCAATGGCTCAGATAAACATGGGGTAGCTGAAGCGCTCGTGAAATCATTCACATCCACAGGTTTCGTCTACCTGACGAACCACCCGATGTCTCAAGAGAAAGTTAATACTATGTTCGAAATGGTATGCTTTCCTCGCCCAGACTACAGCTTCTTCCTTTGCTCACATTCGTGACAGGCAAAGCGATTCTTCTCTCTGCCGGAGGAGATCAAGTTACTAGCTCCCCATCCAAAATCGGGGGCTCATCACAGAGGTATTGACACCCGATCTCTGGGTACAGCCGTACATATGTCTGATTAAGCTCTAGGATACTCCCCTGTCGCAATGGAGAAGGTATCTCAACATATTTACGACGAAACAGCACTCGAAGCGCATCGCGCCAAGGCCCCCGACATGAAAGAGAGTTTCGAATCTGGGCGCGAGAATGACGAGGTTATGCCGAACATATGGCTTCCAGAGGGTGTTCTCCCCGGTTTCAAAGAGGCCTGCCTCGAGTTCTTTTGGGTATTTCCACCAGCGACTTGCAGCATTTACTTTTGCTGATTGAATGCGAAACAAGGACTGTTACGAGCTCCAAAAATCTGTCCTCAAAGCAATCGCTCTAGGACTTTCTCTTCCAGAGGACTACTTCTTGTCTTTCCACACTGCCCCTGACAATCAGCTGCGGTTGCTCCATTACCCCAGGTGAAGTCTACAAAGCGGCGTGACGCCATAGCCCATTGATAACAATCTAGCATCGAGGCCAAGGACATACAGAATGATGTGGCAACGCGCATTGGAGCACATTCAGATTTTGGAACCCTGACAGTATGAACTTTTTTGTGATCCAGGTTTCGTAAATGATGTCGACATTTTATGAAGTTCTTGTTCCAAGATTCAGTGGGCGGCCTGGAAGTCGAAGATCCAAAGAATCGTGATCGCTTCAATGTGAAGTGATATGTTTATTTACGCTAGTGGACGCTAACCATTTTTTCCTGTCTAGCCCGTTCCACCTGTTGTTGGATCGGTCGTTGTGAATGCTGGAGACTTCATGATGCGTTGCAAGTTTGAACACTTCACTATTCCTCCGTGTCTGCTCACCTTATTATCGTCGTAGGGTCCAATGACACAATCAGGAGTACAATTCATCGTGTGCGTGCGCCCCAAACCATAAATTCAGACGGTATAATTCCAGACCGTTATTCCATACCTTACGTGAGTAATATTCAATTGACAACTTGAAGTACCAAGGTTAACGTTCTCCAAATTTAGTTCTGTTGCGCTGTAAGTGAACTAGTGAGCTTTCTGCTGTTCCAATTTACATAAGTTGCCACCGGGCCCAGGATCTTTCGACTGTTGTTGACTGCTTTCCTGGAACATGGTCGGACGAACGGCCAAAGCGCTATGAACCTATTTCAGTTTGTCCTTTTTCTAATGGGGTCGTCCAGGGTTTAATTTGAAGCACAGGCCAAGGAGTACGTCATGAAGCGACTAGAGGCGCTTTATTAAAATGAAATCTAACCCTTTTCGGGACTTAAAACGAGGAGTCGATGATCGTTTGAATCTTCAGGAGTACATGACTCGCATTTGAAATACTTAATCTTGTTATCCTCAGTGGAACAGGTAGAGAGAGTCTGAGAGACCTTCTCCGAGTCTAAAGGTTTCTAAAGGCAGTCTTTTGCAGGCAACGATAAGAGGATTCGGAGCGAACCGGCCGATTGCAGTTCCGTCGGCCCGGGTAGACACATCATTACATCCTGTGACAATGCCTGTCACGCTTTCCCTTCAACTTAACATCGTGTGCGGCCTGCAGGCAGCGTTGCAGATCACTATACGTACAACGCGTGAGCAACGCCTCGAAAGACCGCAAATTCTGGATTCTCTTGGCCGGTCCTTGTAAGGGATTGTCCCTATACCATGCATTCCCGAAGAAAGTCTCGGGATACTTACCCGCCTTTCCCTCCGCCGTTCAACGTTGACCTACGGACGAGTCCCCAGCCCCTCGTAGCTCTTCCAATCGGGTAAGTGCCATTTTACAGTCATTACATCTTCAGCGCTTGAACAAGCCCAAATTGATGTCCCCTGCCAAGAGTTGCGGTTCGGAGACGCAGCGTGTCCTCGGTGCTTCTTGGTGCAGTCTTTCTTGTGGTCTGGGACATCCCTTAATTGCCGCTCGTCCCTATATACGCACAGAACGGGAGGACTTTTTCGACCCGCCACCTCATGCCCCCAATGATTTTCACGATTTTTCTTACGATCTCCCTAATCACTCTCGCTTCAGCCTTCCCTCACCAGAGGCGGCAGGAGAAGGCGCGAATCATTTCTCATTGTACTGTTCCTAATACCGTTGCGCTCAGTTTTGTACGGGTGGCGAATGCTCTGATGGGTGACGATGCGCTGATCTGCTCATTTTTCTAGGATGATGGACCATTCCTCTACTTGTACGACTGTCCTTTAGCCATGGAAGTCCTCTCAATCCCATTGCAGAAGGGATATTGTGGACACTCTCAAAGCAGCTGGAGCTACTGGAACTTTCTTTTTTAGTAGGTCCTCTCTCAATTCACAATCCTCTTGCTAATTCTAGAATCATACAGACGGCCGAAACTGTGTGTTCCCGTTTTCACGTCCATCGTTTCCAGGCCTTAGGTATCCCCAACGCAGGGGGTTGTATCTACGACCAAAACTCCATCGATAACGTTCTCTACGCCTACAACAATGGGATGCAGATAGCCTCTCATACTTGGTCTCATTCTCATCTCAATTCGCTTACACAAGCTCAAGGTAAGCTCGCATCTTCATCCTTCATTTCGCCTTGACTGAATTCCCCTCGGTCGTGACTGAGATGTCCCAAATTGATCGTATGTTCTTCATTTTGGGAGAACTTTCAACACCTTGACTGATTCGTGTGCTCTACCAGAGGCAATTGAACAGATCACCAGGGCACTCCCCGCATGCATGCGCCCTCGTAAGACATTATTACGTTGAAAGTTGAAATCCAGGTCCTTCTCTCAACTTGATTCTTAGCTTATGGAGAATACAATGATGTCGTCTTGGAAGTTGCTGCTTCCCGTGGACAATCTGTCGTTCTCTGGGATTTTGAGTGCGTTTCTTCTGATATATATATTTCGCGTAGGAGCTCCGCCTACAGCTATCCGTATAGCTCAGGTGATTCTACGGGTGCGCCGCCAGCTACCCAAATGGCCAATTACGATGCACTGGTTGAGCGACGGCCCAATACCACTTTATCTCTCGAGCACGAGATCATAGGCAAGTTAGTCTCATTTCTTTAGAGTTCCCCACCTAATTTTGTATCCCTCTAGAATCCTCCGCGTAAGTGGCTGCTCTTCACTACGTCTTTTCTGCATCTTGATGTTTCTCAAAGCCATCAAGTTGTTCCATACGCTGTCCACAAGCTCAAAAGCGCCGGATACCGACTTGTCACGGTGGCGGAGTGTCTAGGTATGCCGCCATACCAACGGGTTAGCGACGCCAAGGCTCAGCAATCCGTGAGTTGCACAAAGTATCTGTTCACAACGACACCGTCCTTCACAGACTTTTTTTAATTGCATGAAGCCAAGTACCACGAACGCTGGACATTGCTAAACCATCGCACGCAATGCGAACTCTCTTCATACTCATTCACATCTCGGACTTCCTTCAACCACGCCTCGGACCTTGAACCACTTTTCTTTTTGCGTGGGGGTTTTTGGACTTTTGGAATGGAACATCTTTGCATAGTTGGACTGCGTAGTATGCATTTCTTTTCCACGATACATGGACAAGGATGACTTTTAACCTTACGCTTTGTTTACGTACGCTGTCGTCTGATATGCATATAATCGTTTTGATAGAAAAAGTTGTTAACAGAGTGCTACGTAGGCCATCCAGTGATTGTTCATGTCTATTGCACAATGCATCCTGGCCCATCATGTCGACGGTTGCGCAACTCTTCAAGCTCACTTCTCAAGGCCTTAACTTCGCCAGCAGAAACCGATCCCTCCAGATGAGACTCGAGGTTTTCGATTTTACGCTGGTTATCCGAAGCTTCCTGGCGTGCCGCTTCCATTTGCTCTTGAAATTGCCTTTCGAACTTGGCACGTTCTGCGCTGTAATCGGACGCCAACTTTTCTGAATTTTCTTCAATCCTCCTCATTTCAGCTTGCAGTTTTTTTCTTGCCTCTGTGAGTTCTTCTTCGGCTTTCAAATCTCGTTCTTCGATGACTTCTATAGTTCCCCGTTAGTTGCTTTCGTCCGAGGAAAACAACCTTCGAAACGAACCTTTCATCTCTTCTTCCAATTTTTTCATATCCTCCTCATGCTTCCTGGCCAGTTGCCTGAATTCCTCATTCAATATCCCACCCGCTGCAGTTTCAGACATGGCTTTCTTCTCCTCGACAAGTTCCCGCTGGATTTGAAGAGCTTCTGGGTGGTTCGAAATTACGCACTTCAAGATATTTTCCGCAGATTCTAGGGTGTTGTAATGACGAAGAAGCCGAGCGCCGTTCCGCAGTGCTGGTGCAAGCAGAAAAACATGTCGTCCTGGGATAACTGAGCCTCTCTGGTCGCACCAACCTCCTCGCTCACTTCACCCCACATATTGGTCATTAGGATAACATTCTTCAGGGTGTCATCACCACAGAGCTTTCGAAACATCCTAAAATTGCGTGTCGATATCCCGCCCATTCTGTTATCAGAGATGCGCTGAATGTAAATGACGCCGGCCAACTTTGTGTTTTTCTCATATCTGTGCCATCCTGATTAGATTCCGCTTTGAAATTCAAAGAGAGAAAGATTGAATACGCTGTCCCGAGGAATGAAGCTATCGTTCCGAGAATATCCGTATCCGATTTAGAGGTATCATCAAAACCAGGCGTGTCGATAAGCATGACTGAACGTCTTTCCAACTCGAATGTTTGCGAAACTTGGATATCAGCGGTGCAGGAGTGTAGTCCAGTCCCGACGCGCAGAGAGCTTCCACTAATCAGATTGATAAACTGCGGGAAAGTGAGTATCACTCAAAGGTGCTATATTGAATTTTACGAACAGTCGTCTTGCCGCTTCCCGTCGCTCTCATCACCCTAATAATCATTGAAGAGTCACCGGTCAGCGTTCCGTTCTGTGATGAAGTCAGAGAGAAATTTACGCAATCATCACAGGCTGAGCAGGGGGAATCTGAGCGAAGACAAAGTTACGTTGAGCGCTTTTGGTCAGTAAACAAATGGATGACCTTTTGCGGGTCGCTGGAGGGTGATCTCCAGGAACTAGAAGGTGGATGAACGTCAATAGGATAGAGCATTCCCATGTACACACTTGATATCGAACATGCTGACAACAGCGTCTTCAAGTCGCATTATGGTGAGGAGTCGACGGAGTGAGCAGTGGTTGCTGGTTAGTTTCTGGGGTTTCAACCGTTTGGACTTCTTATACATCGCATCGCCCGAACGGTGTCGTGGATGACACGACTCACCCCATTCCCATACACATGCCCAATCTCTGTGACATACAGAGAAAACGGCACGTTCTGGGGGTGTGATGAGCAAAGTTTGTTAGACATATCGCGACGCGAGGTTCCGATTTCAGTGAGACCCTGAAATATTCCTGTGAAATCGTGAAGGCGAAGGATCATGAATCACACCTTGAAATAGTCTATTCTCTAATCGATGGTCGATATGATATAAACCCTCGGCGCCTAGCACTCAGCTCCCACACTGTGCCCCGATGTGTAGTATAGGTCAACAGCTCACCACTGAAACTCATCTGACCCACCAAGAAAGAATAATGTGCGTCTCTCAGGCTGTAGGCCAAGCGGTCAGAGATGTAATTTAACTAAATTTAAGAAGAGTTCAACTCACTCCCGAAGATCTCCAACTGCTCCAACAGCCTCCAGGCTCCAAGAGCCATAAACCTCACGATTATTTTGGCGCGAATGTCCGTCAAGATAGTGATCTATCCCACCTCTCGTCCGGGATATTGCCAACGTCGACGCCTCGGTTACTTTCAAGAGGTTGTGGGAGTCAGACCAAAATCAATTCTCTTCCGAGTCGCTTCCGCCGAAAGCTTGACAAAACGATGCGAATCTTGTGAGCGCGAACAGCTGAGCGTGTTGCACCTTCTGTGCGTTCTCTTCGGAAGCATCATTGGCGCCCAATCCGACGCGCGTCGACATCACCTGATTTACTGTTTTCAATATTTATTTATTGAAAATTCCCAAGAAAATTCTTGGACAATTCGCACTCCAACCAAGCCACGTCCCACTTGATCAAGTGGATACCCGGCGCAGTATGTAAAGAGCGGTGTCGATGCTTACCGATATTCAAGCACCTGTCCGTCAATCATAAATTAACTGTACCACGCCAGTGATTCCCGGGTTGTTTCCGGGAGTGTCGGAAAACTGGTCAGTAATCGTGTAATAATTGTGGTTCCTTGGTTCCTAGAGCCAGCTGAGTACTCAACTGCTGCATATAGGGGGGATTAAGTAACCCGCCGTTCGCGATGGCACAGTAGGGACGAGTTGGGCGGTTTATGTGGAACGCCAGGGGCCAGGGCGCAACTGAGCGTCTGTCAACTTGCCATCTACATCATTGGGAATAGGGAAAGACTCGGAGGGACCGCAAGCCCATTCATTCATCAGACACTTGAGCAAAGGCTTCGTTTCAGAGCTGAAACTACCTCAATCAACCTGTGCTAAGTGGTGGTAAGTGTGGTGTTCGGCTCCCAAACGTGTCAATGATTCAAGTCAGTAGATTAGCGCCTGTGGCGCTGGTTGATTATCAAGTGCAAATCACTGATATTTTTACAGCACTCCGGAGTCCTACGAATTTGTCTGTTTCCCAGAGCGGCGAGCAACGAATTTCTACAAAATTACAACGTTTGGGCTTCCACGGTAACATAACAACTGCCACGCGACCACTGATATTCACACACCACTTCCCTCAAACTTCCCTCTTTTTCTGTCGTCTTGCTCGAAGCGGCCATCCCATTCATAATACTACTTACTTACTTTTCACGACCTACGACGACTTATGCCACCTTCCTCTTCTCAATCATCGTTGACTTCTCCTTCTCCTCAAACCGACTCGACATCCACCACTCCACGTGTTTCGTCCCCTCTCAACCAGCCCACCTCAACACCTACCAAAGCGCCTCTCACACTCTCCCCAGTAGAAAACGACGATGATGACGAACTCTTCGTACACTTCTCATTCGGAGCTCCACGCGGTCACTCTCATTCATCCCTCCAAACCTCCGACAGCCACCCCAGCCCCAACCCAACTGTTAGGAGACTCCCTCTCAACGACGCCCCCCTGACCTCCTCCTCGCTACCCCTCCCAGAAACACTAGACGCGATGCCATCAACGTTCCGCGATCGTTCGCGTTCACGCTCCCCGAACAGAGATGCCCTCACCCTAGCCCGACCCAGCTCTCCCTCTTCTCACCTTGCCTCGTCATGGTGGGGAAGCTCAGAGCATACCTCTCGCCCGTGGAAGGACTCGCCTAAACGGAAGAAGACTGTGCTCCCAGAGCAGACGGCGAGTTGGGATCGTACACGGATGGTGAGCTGAGATAAGATCCGATCATCGATCGATTCCGGTGAACTGATGACTCATCAACTTACTCCACATAGAGAGTCGCACAAGCTGCGAAATCGGTTTTGGGCACCGCGGGCGATGTGACGCATGAGCTTCTTGGGGTTAGCGTTGAGTTGTTGGATTTTGCGCCTATACCAGGGCTGCGGGCTGCGGCGCAGACGTTGTTGAATATTTGGGATGCTGTAGAGCAGGTTGATGTGAGTTGTTTTTTAAAAATTTGCGTAGGAGGAATTGATGATGATGATGATGTGTAGATGAATCGTTTAGGGTGCTTGAGACTTACGGAACGATGCGCTGAGATTTTGCTTGCTGTACGCCATGAGATCTTCGACGCTGGTGATGCTGTCGGTCAAGAACTGGCTCCTCCCATTGCGAGACTAGAACAGTGAGTTTTAGCTCATCATCACGCTTTCATCGTGCCAACGCAATGAGAAAGGTCATTCAACAACGTCTTTATTTTTCTTCAACGCCAAATCCACCGTCCTTTCTTGAAGCGATACCTCAAACGCGACGATATCATGAGAGATATCGCAAGTTGCGATGCCGACCTCCGAGACGCACTGGGCATGTTCAGCGTAAGCATCCCTCCGTCCCTCCCTCCCTCAACAATCCTAACTAACCCAACCCTCTGCAGCTATCAATCCAAATCCGGATCCTCAAACAAGTTTCCGAAGCAGAACGCCAACGTGCAAAGGAGACTCAACAAGTCCTCTCCGCCATCCTTGCCGGTCGTGACCATCCCCCATCCACCGCTCTCCTCCTCACAGAAGAGCCCGAACATCACGATTCCCTCCTCCTTGGAACGGAAACAACCATAACCCACTTCACCGCTACCCCCGACTCCCTCACCAAGTCCCCGTCCCCAAAATCCTTCCCTGCCAACCTCCCGCCCTCCCAGGTCCTCCCAACGCTCGAAAGCTACCACAAAAAGCAGAATTCCATCGACGCAGCTAGCGATCTGCGCGATCTGCGCCAGCTCATACGTGTAGCCCTCCAAACGACCAGCGACGCGCAAATGCTCAAGGTTCTTCAAATTGGAAGACAGGAAATGCCGGATGCGATTAAGACGCTCCAGCGTGCCCTTGAGCGCGTCGTCGAAAGGGAACATACGGGGGAGGGTATGGGGATGGAAGAGAGTGTGGATTCCCCTCCTAGGGGTGTTGTCCTTGGCAAGGTTGTTAGGCGGGTGAGCCATAAGGACGATGGGGTTGGTGGGGAGGTTAGTTATGCAGAGGCCACGTTGAACATTGAGAGTCCTGGCGCTAGTTCCACCAGTAGCTCGAGTGGCACGGCTGGGGGAGGAGGAGGAGGCGGAGCGGGGAAACCAATGAAAGACACACTCGACCGGGAATTCATCGAAAGCGGGATCGACGCGCTCAGGCGAATGAGTCGTGGGATGGAGACTAACCTACCCAGCTGGACGATAACCAAATACGAAGTCGACCGGGAAAACAAGATTGGCGTTGGGTTCTTTAGCGATGTGTATAAGGGGACTTGGAGGGGGCGTACGGTCGCCGTTAAAGTTCTTGCTGAAACCACGCCTCGGAAGCTGTTCGTTCGGGAGGTTGAGATTTGGAAAAATCTGAGACACCCGAATGTGTTGCAGCTTTGTGGGGCGAGTAGTGCGAGTGGGAAGGCCCCGTGGTTTTTTGTTAGTCCGTATATGAAGAATGGGAGTTTGGTGGAGTTTTTGAAGAGGGTTGAGATGGATTGGGTGGGTGGTGGTGGTGGGAGGGGGGTTGCGGGGAGGGGGTCGACCATACCTTCTCCTGGACGTGGAGTTGGTGGAATGTTGATGGCACACTCGCGGGGAACGATTCCTTCTGGACAGATTGGGGACGCATCCCGGGAATGGGATCTCTTTCGGTTCATGTATGAGATCGCAAAGGGGATGGAGTACCTCCACACTCAGGACGTGTTGCATGGCGACTTGAAGGCTGCGAATGTCTTGGTCGATGATAAACTTCGTTGTGTCATTTCGGATTTCGGACAGAGCGAGATGAAGTCGGAGGCTTTCAGGATAAGTGGGACGCCTCTTCCTCGTGAGTCTGTTCCTTTTGATTTTTTTTTGGTGGTTCATTGAATAGTGATGTAGATGGGACTTTGAGATGGCAGGCACCTGAGCTTTTGTTAGGCCAGAGTCGATTGATGGCTGAGATGGACGTGTATTCGTTCGCTATCTGTTGCATTGAGATCCTGAGCATGGGTCGAATGCCTTGGCCGCTACAAGACGACGAAGCCGTTCGCCATCTCGTCCTTGGTGCGTCTTTTCTTCCTCTTTCTGTCCATAATATAACCTTACATCCATTCAGATAAAAACATCCGACCAAGTCCGCACCACCACGACTCACGCTTCACCAATCCAGCCGTACAAGAGCTCCTGCGCACTTGTTGGGACCGCGATCCGAAACTCCGCCCGCCGTTCGCCAAGATTGTGCGGGATATCAAGCAGCTTAGGAGGAATGCTGGACATGTTGATTTGGAGTCGCCACAGACACAGGGGTTGCCCCCACTTGAGGAGGTTGAACCTCACCTGCCTTCGCCTGATATGCGGCCTGCTGAGCTGCCTCCCAGTCAGTCCCTTTGCTTTTTTTTTTCTTTTTGAAGATAGTATTCACTAGACATGTCATTATACCAGTCCACGACGTCCCACTTGGATTCCCAACTCCAATCCAAGAAACACCTGTCTCTCCCAGCACTACCCACCAAGAAGCCACCGTCTCCCGTGCCGGCATGAAGAGCGGCGAACCAGTAACGTACACGACATCCGCCCAAACCAGTCGTTCCTCCTCCCTCTTCCTCGCTCCGTCAGGCGGGTCGTTGTCGTCCGAGGACGAAGACAATATCGTGATGGAGGATTATGACGGGTACGACTCGCCGCCGCCGGTAGATGAGCGTATTGCGGAGATAAGGAATGAGCGGAGATATCGGTACTTGTTGTCGCATGATCATGAGTATAATGCTTCGCGTGAGTCCGTTCCATCAATGCAATGACGTGTCCCTCATTACTTTGCTGGTAGTCGCATTACCCCTATGGGACCCATCCCCCGTCGACGTCGGCGCAGTAGGATACCTCTCCAAACCTCGAGGCCGATTCATCACACTCTTCAACGCCTTCAGCCCCGGGGAGTCGAACCACGGCATGGTGCGCAGTCTTCCCTCCATATACGGGTACGGGAAAGTAAAGGAAGGGAGTCAGAAGCTGGATAAGAGGAGTAGGCTGCAGCAAGGGTTGGATGCTGTTACGGGTCCTTTTGCGGGGTTGCTGACGTTTAGGAGTAGAGGGGTTTCGTGAGTTCTTTCTTCTTTCTTTCTTAATTTTGGCTATTCGTTGGGATGCTTACGTCTTTTTCTTGTTTTTTTTTTGCGATTTATAGACAGAATGTGAGTCGGAGGTATACCTACCCTCTAAAAGCGGGCCATAGGATCGCAGTTATGTGCGCCGAGACGACGGAGTATCGGTACCTTGAACAGCTGGACGCTCCGAAGAAGTGGTTCCAGTCGAATGTGGATTCCGTTATGAATATTTATGGGATGCAGCATCATATACAAAAGGAAGATCTTTTCCTTGGTGCGCATTTACCTTTTTCTTTGTCTTGACGAAGTTAATTTTCACTGTAGTCGTCGGAGCGCTCCGCGTCCCAAATTACGCCTTGTTCGTTAGCCACAGTCACCCAGACGGACATGTACGTTTTTCTTTTTTTTCTTTTCCCCTCCATCCATCAGTAACTCCCATCCTGCCCCAGGCCCACTTCAGCGTCTACTCCTCGCCTAAAACCGGTCAGCCATGGGGAACATTCACCACAGACGCCGAAGTGACGCAAGAAGGCGGCGGGCCGTTCTACGACACTGAGACGTCGGATATATCAAGCCAGTGTGCAAGCAAGGTGTCGTATCAACAAAATGGCCCGTGGGACAGTGTTTTGTTGGCGCGGTTGAGGTTCAAGCCTGATCATCTCGAGCCTACCTCTAGGTGATGCTCGTTTCGTTGTGGTGTGGTGTTCTTGGTGCTTGGAACTTGGGGCGGGACTGGTGCATATACTTCAATCATGGATGATCTGATTTGATGCGCCTCGATATACACGATCCCCATACCTCGGAATTTTCGTTGGCCGGCGATGGATGAGTTTATGCAAAGAAAACTTGTGGTATGGCTGGACTTGTATGTTTGACAGTGCCGTGAATACGTATCGACGAGACTCATAGGGGAGCACAGTGCCCGGTGATGAGTACTCGATGTGACCTTCGAATATTTCACACCGTGTTGTACCTTCTCGTGTTCTTATTCATCGTCACTACCTGGATTTTTTTGCTATCTCGAATCTCTTACACTTTCTCCTCGACACCATCGCTCTCTCTTACACACACATTTCCCCTCTTATAACATCACTCTACCACATCTCATCACACATTGGGAATGCGAGGTGGCATCTTTCAGAGCCACTCATATGCAGTGCTAACCTACTTTCCCTTTCTCAGATTTTGTTTGTCTTGGGCTTCTCCTTCACTTACGGCACAGTCAACACATCACCGGGTTCTATTTTTTGTGTCATAATTACATGCAAAATTCACAATGTCGCTCGCGAGCCGCCTTCTTTCCTGATTCTTGTCAGTTTGGCCTATCCAGGGTATATTCGAGACATCATACTACGCAATATCTGCGGTTACATAGTCGCCGTCTTTGAGTCTGATAAATCATCAAGCTAAGAATAGCACACTTCGCCTTTCGCTTTCCTGAATTTACGAGGGTAATTTAGGATGTCGACATGGGATTTCTTCGCCGCTGCAGAATTCCTGTCAGCAAGGTTAAACGGTTTCACACCAATTAAATTTTACATTGTCTCCATATATTCTACGTAAGAGGTAGGGCGCCAGTGGCATATATCCAACTCCTTTTAAGCGCTGATAGTTCTTCCACGCCGACCTTAAGCTAAGTGGAGTCCCTAAATTACTAGTTAACTACTCTTCGGCTAACAGGATGCTTTTCGTACATTTTCTCTGCCATATTCTTGATCAAATTCCGTCACTGATCAGCAAACAACTCTCCAACATGCCTTCCATTTTTTGAGCTCCACTTCGCGTGAAATCAAGCATATGTCTGGTAAGGTATTCCCCATTGAGTGCGTTTAATTGTAGTATAAAAACCCTCGTCTCGCCCCATCTATATTCACCAAAAGTCAGCATGAAAGCATTATTTCTCCTCTTTGCAGCAGCTCTTTTCGGCTACGCCACCGCTGTTTGCCCACCACCAGCTAACGCCGACACCATCAACCTCATCGAAAGGTTCGAGGGCTTCGTCCCCTCGCCCCGCCCTGACCCCATCGGGCTTCCTACCGTTGGCTATGGGCACCTCTGCAAGACCAAGGGTTGCTCCGAAGTTCCATTCAAGTTCCCTGTGACCAAAGCCAACGCCGTCACTCTCCTCCATAGCGACCTCACCACCTTCCAAAACTGTGTCAATTCGGATATAAAGCGATCCGTGCACCTCAATGATAACCAATATGGCGCTCTCGTTTCATGGGCATATAATGTGGGTTGCGGGAACATTAAAACGTCGTCGTTGGTGAGAAGGCTGAATGCAGGAGAAGACCCGAATACCGTCGCTGCTCAGGAACTTCCACAATGGAATAAGGGAGGTGGAAAAGTTCTGCCTGGTTTAGTGAGGCGTCGTGCTGAGGAGGTGAAGCTTTTCAAAACCCCGTCCAGCGTTTCCGCACACCCTTGCTAGGGTATGTGCTTCTGAAAATTTCTGTCTGTCGCGCTAATTGGATGCTCTTGTAGAATATTTAGACTGATATCATGGGCGAAGGGGGCGTCATAGTTTTCTTTGAGCGCGAACTTTGTTCAGCTTAGTAGTACGGTGTAACTTATTCGTAGGAGGAGAACCTTACACCGAGTTATCTCACCGCTGCCGAGGTGACGCAAAGCGTCAAGGCACCGTATGCAGGGACTACGCTGCTCGTTGGGCTAATAAAGTGGCAAGTATGTGGAAACAGCGACGGCGAGGAAAGGAACGAAAGGGGCGAGGTTCTGAAAACAAGAATAAAAATAAGATGCGAGAGGGAACGGGTGGAAGGACATATTACACCCTGGTAACATGGTGATTCCAACCGAATCCAACGCGTCGTTTTTGTTTCATCTCCTGCTCCTGATAAAAGAAAACTGTCAAGCTTGATCGTAAACAGATTCAAATCCCTACATTGCGTTTTGAAGGACCCTATAAGCATCAAGCCCACCCATATTCACGCCAAAGATGATGCTAAGCATTCCTGTCTTAGAATGGCGGAGTGCTAAAAAAAGAATAGCCAGCTTATGCGAGGTTAGGCTACTGTAAACAATGTAAAGGTACTCACTACTAGAATCGGGCACGTATTCAAGAGTTGTGGGACCCCGCCTCATCCAATGACGCTTGTGCACATCAGCGAGGAGAAGAGGTTTCCACTTCTCAACGAGAGCGCGAGCTCTTTCCCTGAAATTGTAGCCCTCGGCCCGAGGAAGAGCTCCTACCGTCGTATTCCCAACTTCGTTCATTAGGTGGTGTATCCCAGAGGACTGTGGAGCCAAACTGAGGTCAGAATACGAAATATATAAATCATGAAAAGACACACATAGATATACTTCACGTCTAAGAAGTCGTACGTCTCCAGTGTTCTAAACTCGACTCCCAGCAGATGTGTGGCTCTCACGCTCATCAGAGCTTTATCCCACGTGTTGGCCTGACTGCGAGTCACCCAGGTGACGAATTCCCTCTCTATATTCTTTCGCCATCCTGTGATCACATCCCCAAGTGCCTTATCTAATGAATTCCACCCCTCCAGAACACACTGTGCCTCAAAACATTCGATGGGACCCGCAAAGTTGAGTGTGAATGACGCAGGTGCGACACTGCCGACGTCGTTGGTCACGTCCGCCATGGCATGCCGACTGATGATCATGTCATTAAGCTCTTTGATGGGAGAGTCGGACTGAATGACAAGTTTGCGGAGTCGGGGTGCGACGGAAGGAAAGCCTGGGATGGCGAGGAGCCTTTCCATGTCGTCTTCGATCAAGTCGTTGCAATGGAACTCTGTGAGAGACGAAGTGAAGAGTAGAATTTTCGTGAGCCCCCCTTCCATTGGCAAGGTATGTATAGAGAGCTTCTGTAAGGGGCATTTCGAGCGACGAATGACGTCAATGAGGTCGTCGACTAGTGAACCGTGTGAGCTTCGAACGCGAAGATCGGTTAAAGCAGGTAGAGTAAGGCTTTCCAGCATCGACGCTCCAGATGCGCGTGGGTTATGGAAATTAAGATCAAAGGTCGTGATGTTGGCAAGGGTCATTGGTCTGAAGCGGAAGAAAGGGGTAGCCCGAGTACAGTAAGAAAGATAACTGATCTCGCAAGATACGCTAAAAACCTGTATGACGCCAGTAGGATTTGTGGACTGCTCCACATATTTCGTTAGTTGCTCCCAAGGGAGAAGGAGCCGTACCCATGAGCAATCGATTTCCACCTCACGCAGCTTTGGAGCGATACTGAAAGAGCCAAGTACGCAGTCCTCATCATGGGGGACTCGAACGGCGAGCTTTAGTGAATATAGGGAAGATAAACGACGCCGGATGAGCGGCGTAAGAGCTTGAAGATCTCCCACCGAAAGCTTCATGACAGCCGTCCGCCACCTCGCGCAGTGGGTGATAAGAATTTGGACAATGGGGTGATCGACGACGTTATCCTCGTTGGAGGATATATGTATGGAAAGTGGTTGTTCGCCCGAACGACGAAGGAGTTCCATCAAACGAAGGATGAACTTCTTTCCCTTGTCCTTCATTGAGATCTTGACCGGAGGGACCACACCCCAAATTGTTGGAAAAGACAGCGCGACCACCCTCCATTTGCGAGACACGTGTGCCACTACCCACGGTGGGTTTGTCCAGCAGGGATCTGGGTCAATCGCACAGAAATGGAGTATGTGGACCAAAATCTCATCGGGCAAGCGGTGTACCGGAGCTAAAAGCCCTTTATGTATCTCGAGAAAATGAACACACATGATGTATTGCCGTCGAAGGCCCTTATCGTCTGGGTTGTTCTGCATTTGCTGCACAACCTCCCCGACTTCATTTTCGGCCCCACGAATAGCGTTCAAAATACGGGCAACTTGTGAAGAGTTCGGCTGTCCGTTGTAAGCACAAGAATGGGAAGTCAGAGATGAAGGCAAAGGCGACGATAGTTCTGAGGACTGCCGGCCCAGTTTGCTTAAGATTTTGAGCTATGAAAACATTTAGGAACCCGCCTCCAGATAAGACGAAAGGGCATACCTTGCCCATATTTATAAATCCTTCTCTTCAGAGGTAAGATGAAGGAGGGGTGAAATGGGGCGAAGGATGGGAGAGGCTGAGTTGGGCTCACCGCACTTCTGGGGCTTGATATGGCCGAGGTTAAATGGACAGGAAGGCTATTGAATCCGTGGCGCCGACACTCGAAGCATGTTGATCGAAACGGGGGCGCAGTATTATTGGCTTCGGGACATCTGCCGACTCGGAGTCATTGTACGTCACCTTCAACTCTGTTCGACTTCCACTGGATGAGCATTTGGCTGTTAGTCGACGCTCCGAGTGCACGGGACCGCTTGTGTCCGTAATCCGCGTTGTGCACGACCGTTGGGATTGGGCGGCCACCGACATTACCAGTAACACAGAAACAGGACAATTTCAAAGAACTCCGCTGTCAGCGGAATCAACCGTTTCGTGCCGTCAGTCTGAGGAGAGCATCAGCAATCCGCAACAGGGGGTTAGAGGGAGTAACTTCACCATCTGATCCGTATCCTGTATTATGTCATCTCACGACGTATCTGAGCGGCATCTTGACACTATCCAAGTCATCGAAGCTGTATGAACAGGTTTGCTATTGATGGCTGCAACATGCTGCAACGGGCGGTGCAGAGCATCAGGGGAACGAGACTGGTAGAAATATGCATTGCACAGAAGGTGTGGTTCACAGTATAGTGGCTGTATTGAACGGAACCTAAAGGCCCAGGGAAATATTTTTTTCGCTAGAACTTTCTTGCTACCTGCAGGAAAGTTGCTCGCTTCACAGGGCCACCACAAGTTGACCCGTAGCATCGAACGGCAAGGGTGAGACCTGCCGAAGATAAAGAGATGCCTAGCACCGAATTTCATCTGCTAATTGTACCACGTTGGACGGGTGTATCGCGCGTCAAGTCCTTCCCATGGAACGTAGACCTGCCCCGCCAGATGCAAGTACAATATCTAAGGTCCGAGATTGTCAGTCTTTTTTTTCAGGTCGTAGGAGAAAAGGCAACTACGAATTCTGTGCGGGTCGCCGCCTTTGTCCTATGCGTAGTCGTTAGAGTTCTGAGGACTGATGATACAATGCCAAACAACTCAAGAATATTCCAGAATGATCGATGATCGATGATCACTTGACGACCACATTTGGTGAATACTGTACGTAATCATGAGCCTGGTCACAACTGCTTAAAATTTATATCACTGGAAAGCTTGAGATCAGGCTGATTGAACTAATAGTCTCCATAGATCTCCTGGCGTGATTACCTAGGATTGTCCTAAGTTTAAAAATACTAGAATGTCCAAAAGAAAGAGTCAGTCATGATCAGAACACACCTACCTATCACAAAGCTTCACCATAGTAATTGTATATACACCATTACCAGTAAATCTACTAATTTTCGTTGGGATAAGATGACTACGCATTGAGACAAAGGCGAATTACTTCAAGGAAGCTGCTCTGGAGTTATCATATTTATACCTTCATAGGTATTGCCACAAAACGTAATGAGCCGAATACCATTTGAATACAAATCGGATGTGGCAAACTTAGCCCAGATGATCATCCAATGAAAATAAAATAAAATAAAAAATAAAAAGATTACAGAGTCCACTTTTTATCCTAAAATCCCAAAATATACACAAGCAGAAAGAAGAGGACAGTACCTAATAATATCCAGAAATAGTGGGAAAACTCATCTCTTGACTAGGACGATAAGCTAAGGTGACCAGGTTCACGATAAGTCACAGTAAACCATATTAACGAGTTCGCTGAAATTACAAAATTGTCCTGTGTATAAAGGATGTTCTGAGGTTAATGTTTTTTGCAAGACGTATCGCGACATCAAAGAACGACTCGCACGATAGTGATTTCTTCTTAAGAGTCTGACACTAATTAAGCCGAAATGGTTTGACCTGACCAGAGGACACATGAGAAGACTCTGCAGTATGCCAGCATCCTCCATGATAGCGCTATCACTTCTCAATGGACAGTCCTTTCGATCCAGTAAGTGCATCTAAATCGCCGCTGTTTCCGCAATCAACCTTCACAAGGCGTAGGGGTGTTTCGCGAATGTCATGAGTCGAACGTCCCATAAGTGAAATGATTAGGAAAAACCTGGATTTGAGGTAACAGCGACTACGGTGCGCAAACGTCTCAGCAGTTTGAACGTGGGAGTGGATCGAAAGTCCGCACGCGCACGTGTTAGTAATTACACACGCGACGAATGTCACATGTCACACCACGTAAGTACTCTACTGAGCCGCAGGGCCCCTATTATCAAACATTCTTGTTTTTGAGTTTCCGAATAAATTCCTGTTAGACTGCAACTAATCCGTTTTTCATAAGTACAGTCCAAAGATCTTTTCTCCTCTCCCACAAATTTCGTCCACCAATTCAACCTGGACTTGACAAAGTAGAATTTCAAGCGGGACTCGACATCGGGGATATAAGCCCTCCCCCCCCTCGATGAGGAACGGCAAAGACGCGTCGAGGAGATGCGTTTTTGATATTAACACCCCTTCTGCCATTCTCATCGAAGTCAGTGTCATGCGAACGTTTACCTTGCTTCTTAGATCCCCTCGAGCAGCCTCAAGCACCATGTGCCATTGTCACTTCCTTTACAGCTGCACATTTATTACTCCATCAAATCGGTTTTATCAATACCCCTATTGGGCCTTCCAATTTGGAGCGCGTGATATTTGCGTATGCCGCCTCGTCATTTCGCACCATTATCCTCTCGCCCAACTTGCACACGCAGGTTTTGTACCTATTTTTGTCTACTCTACGATAATATAGCCCACCGGCGTCGAAGCGCCAGATGCTTGCCCTGAGGTCCAAAGCTGGTTTATTCAGTCGAGATGATGCTGATGGAGAGAAGGTCTACTCTGGTCACGCCCTCCATCCAAATGCAGCCCCACTTCTATACATGGAAACCAGGAATGCGAGGACCTATTGCTGGTTCTTTTGTCCGATTTTCGCATAGGCTGCTCGATGTCCTTTACTGGAAATTTTCCTTAAGGTAATCCCTGTACTCTACAGCAACAAAGATCTTTTTTTTGAAAGCCAGGCCAATCACACTTTGTATGCATAATGCATTTCTTTGCCAGCCTCGTGGCTCTCGTACTGCCTGTCCTTCCCGTCGTCGTGTGGCCCGGCAACGCACAGACCGTAACACAAATTTTGGCTACTTCTTGTTTTACTAAAAGTGTATTATATTTCACAGATTGCAAAGGATACCAGTTTTGCGAGACTCCAGTATTCCAGTCAGGTGCGCGGTGTAGGGTAAGATGATGCTGTAGTCAGTGACTGTAAATTGACCGTACCCCGTTGAATTAAAAATGTTCCATTACGTTGCCTCGCAACTTCCACCGTGATTAGGAGCCAGGTGACCCGACTTTGTTGACGCGACTAGTGCACGTGATAAGCGAAAGCGGCGGAGCTTGAAGTGAAACGTTTGTATCTCAGCCTCCAACTAAAACTTGGTGCACCTCCTCTGAACCGGTTGACCTCTCAAATTGGTGCCTATTGAATCGCCTCCGATTGATGGACCCTCTTTCTTATATCTTCTATCGCATATTTGCGCTGGTTATAGGCGATTTCAGCTCACCAACTTAGCTCCGGATGGGGCGTACCGAAGTGCACGAGATTCATCGACTTCCGCGTGTTACTTATCAGAAAGCGGCTCGCGGTTTTGGTGCGGGTTGCACATGGGGGATCCAATCGCTTGCACGACTTTTAGGAGTGTTGTGTCCGTCTTTCAAGCGCAACCGCATCAGTACCAGTTTCAGGCGTATCATATGGCGCGGAAGGTAACAATGGATCAGCTCCGGGGCACGAGTGGATGCGAAAATGAGGAACGAGCTCGGTAGCTCTTGAGAGTATAATGGTCCACGAAAAGCGCAGATCAGTCCTCTCTTATCGATCGTCACGACCGTGATTGATCCTTTCTTGAACTTCGAAATCGTTGCCTCCAGTGGAGTTTACTTAGGCCCCTGCCATAGTTCCCGGATCCGCATGGATTGTTCGTGTTCGATCAGTCAAGTTCATCGAATTGCTGGTAAAGCGTGGGACGCCGCCACTTCAAGATGTTGCCGTTCAGGAGTGAGTACAAGGATTTTGTGCGCCTCATTCGTTCTGAAGATCTTCCCCTAGTCAAAATGTGGATTCCGATACGATACGAACCCTTCAGCAGTACGACATCAATTCCCAAAGGAGGTTTGTTCTTTGGTACCGATCTTCGTGGACATGTGCGTTGCAACGTTCAGTACATCATATCAATTTGCTCTGACCCAGAATAATTTCAGTGTTTACTCTCGGCCTCAATTATAACGAGTTTGGAAAACATCAACGACTGAGGCCGAGTCTCCCGTGAAAATAACCTCAATCCTTCAGCAAGTTTGATAATCGCCAGGAGGATACGTATCCTATCTAGCGGCCAAACAATCAGTCCTACCCCCGTGTTCGTTCATCGCCCCACGTTCGTGCCATCCACCTTCGGCAAGAGTCTACATATACATCTTTCCATCTCACGCCCATCTCGTTGTTTTTGCCGAACTGGCCCTCAACTCTCCTAGTTGATCGTCGGGAAGAACGCTCAGCCAAACATATACAGGTTTGCGAAAAGGGCCAGCTGGAGCCCAATTTTGTTTTGATTTTCATGGTGTGCGCCGTAATAAAAGTTGTTCCCCGATCATCGCATCACCAATATTTCTCGCCCAAACTTTTGTGTCGTCATACACTTTCCAAAACAAGTACATGCAAGCCTTAAACAACATTCGCTTATACATCATGCCACACGTGCTAGAAGAATGATCACCGCCACGCTGTTCATGTGTTCTGCACACGTCTTTGATACGCGTACCCCTTGCATGGATATGGGCCAGACGAGAGGGGCAAAGCTGGGGATAGGACAATCTTCTTGAAGCTTTTGGGCCTCCAGCGTCCTCTTCAGCCAGTGCGTTTTCTTCGAAAACTGGTGATGGAGACGACTGGGAGCCGGCACCATAAACAGGGAGTGATGGATAGAGACGAATGTGAACTCCTTTTCGAGACTATGGGAGGCTCTTTCACAGCTAGTCCATCTCATCTCCATTTCGATTGGAGTTTCCGGAACTCATCGGAAGTTGATCTACTCAGGCGTGTCGCCTCCACCGTCATCGTTAATTCAATCGCTACTCCAGGTTTACTGTAATTTGTTCGTCGCGGATGACCTCTGGTGCCAAAGTCCCTGATATTGAACGGTCGGGTTAACTACGACAATTGCTACCAATTGCTACCAAGGTCTTATGGCGGCCAATGGATTACCGTTCTAATCGTTCATTTAGAACCGCATTTGGACCGACAAGAGCTGACGTCCCAGCTATACAGTACCTTCGCGTCATCGTCGTCTTCCCTTGTGATCCCCTGCGACGTTAGGTGTGCTGGAGAAGATGGATTATCACATTGCGCCTTATGATTCCAATTTGACGTGTACTGGTCCCATGGCTTCTAAGAATTCTGCCCTCCCTTCCAAGCGACCTCATGCTTTTTTCCTCTGGGAACAGTGTAGAGTTGCGACGTATAAGAGCACAGTTTCGACGGCCGTTCCTTTCAACTCGAAGTCGGCGCCATCCAATTCACCCTGCACCTAACCTGTCAATTTACCTTGTAAACCATGCATTTCTTTACCCGCCTCATCGCCTTGGTCCCTATAGTTCTTTCCGTCGCTTCGCTCGCCGACGCCCAAACCGCCCAAACGGTCGAGGCCGACCTCAAGAATGTCAACAACGAGCTCTTATCTCTCACGAGCCTCCTGAAAGGCTCCATTAGCACTGGGGCTCAAGTTCTAGTGAGTTTACTCCCATGAACAGACCAACATCTCGAGCCTTGTCGTGTTTAGGCCATCAGTATTGCTGCAGAAGGACTGACTAAGACAGTTAAACAGCAGACGGTTGATACCCAAGTAAGGACAAAGATATTCTAACGACGTTTCGTACTTATTAAGGCCATCTTTTAGAATTCGCCCACCTTCAGCAATGCTGATTCCCTAGCCATTGTCACCACATTGAGGACGGTGACTGTTCCTTTCGTCACTGATGCATCAAGCGCCTTGGTCAAAGATAAACCTCAATTTGACAAACTCAAAGCGACGCCGGACGTAGTCGCCATTCTCGCCCCGCTCATAGGGGCCGTTAAAGATTCTTTGCTGGCTTTTCCCAACAAGTTTCCAGTAAGTCACTTGAACTTTGTTAGGTTGATCGTATGTCGACTGTCGGTTCAAGGATGGTTCTGCCAAGGATCAACTCGGCCAAGTTCAGGCTGTGATCAACATCCAGTTAGGCTTTGCTGCCAAAGCGTATGGTATCTGAGCATGAAGTTTATCTTGAAGAGGGCAAAGAACTTCGAAATTTTTTCTTCATTTGTGTCGGATTTTTTGTAAGACTCGAAATGTGCCTATGTAAATGATTTAACCAGTATGCCTATTATTCTCAACCACCGCTTCTTGGCAGGCGATGCTTGATCCCTTGACAATTTCTTCAAAACTCCTGTATATTCTCTCTTCAATTTTGGAATTTCAGAGCTGTAGCAACCAACACCGAAAACAACCCCCGCGCCCACTACCCGAAATCGCTAGCGCCCTCAGCGGGAACAAAATCAAACTCGCTACGCCATGATTTGTATTCCACCCAGGGTTGACCCTTGGGCGAGGTTATGGGCCGTGATGGCGCTAGCTACAGGGGACGGAACGGATATTCAGAGCGTGATGTGAGTGAGATTGTGTGATTTTAAAAGAGAGGATGCTCATCACTTTCTTGAAAAAAGGGAAAAAGAAAGTTGGAATTGTCCTCAGTTTATAACGACCGTGAAATTCACGCAGTCATTTGGGCCTAAACTTAGCGGCATCATTGGTTCCACTATCTCCGAGTAGTCTCGTTCTCCCTACAACTTCAACGGATCGAATGAATAATCTTAGAATGGATCGCCGGCGGCCGATCTGCGCATATATTTCGGCCTTTGACCCTAACCGCAGCCTATTCCCAAAGCTTGTTTGTTGTGCTATACAGTACCGTCTATGTCCTTCCTTCGCGGGGATCTTTGATGGTTTCCCTGAAGGTCGAAATTTGCCTTGTTTTCTCGGCCCGAATATTATAACAGCTAAAAGTTCCACCGAATGTCCGGGAGCCATCACATCTCTGTTCCACGGATTCAATAAAATAATAGGAAAAATACCGATCTTCGTGGGTGACGACCTGCTGCCGAATTCCTGGTAAATCCTTTATCCACCGAAGCCTGTGTCATTTCTGTCGCACGACAGTTCCATTTTCCCGGAAGAAGTTGCGCTCATCCCAACAGAGACAGTCGTCTGGCTACAACTATATTGATGCCGCAGCCATACCGTGGTTTATTTTTATAAATTATCTCTGGCCTTCAATTTTCAATTTCGAACAAACCTGATCACTTATTGTATCTCATAGTGACATTTTCTCGATTTTTAAAGCCAGTTACTCTGGGTGCATGGGCTTGGTAACTGTTAATTTTTTAGTGATTAGTCCGACAGCTTATAATGGAGAGTGCAGGGGAATACTGGATCGTACCTTGATTGTACCTGTACATGCAGGGGGCTAAACTTCGGTTGTCCGAGGTTCTTCCTGACGAAACAAAGATAAGGCGGAAATTCCCCTTCTACTCCCGCTCTACGCTTCACGTTCTCTTTGAGGCAGCGCGTTGTCAATTCATCATAACGCGTCGACTACGCTATGTGAAAGAGAAGCTTCTGGTCGCACCCCACACTACGGATCTCCGCTGGAAGGAAGCATTTTACCACAAGCATTGAAGAGGGATGATTCGGTCCGAAGGTTCTTTTTTAGGCCTCCCCTTACGAGTGTGTGCGTTAGAAAAAGCCCCCGAGAAAATAAGCTTGACGAGATTAAATAGATCCTGACTTCCAATTGGAGCGAACTTTTTCCATAGCATTAAAACTCTCCGAGTAAACAGCTTCTTTTCCGTCCGTCATATAAATCAGACGACCCAGCGCCAAAAGTTATATCCCACCCATCATGTCCTTCTCAACCCCACAAAGTTTTATGGCTCCAAAATCCGCGACCGTGACACACCCTTCTCTTCGTAAGTCAACCGACCAACTGACTTAACAATCTAACGTATACATCCAGATATCCGGGACGCGAACGACGCTCATATCATTCTAGAGGCCGTGAGATTGGGCATTCTGCCTCTAATAACCCGGCGCCTTCTCGTGAATGAAAGGGATGAACTCCGTAGCGGTCAGGTCTACGTTTGGGAGGAGGCTCAAGACGATGGTGGACTTTTGCGATGGACAGATGGAAGGAGATGGTAGACCCTTCGTTTCCCCTTCCGACAGCTATCCTCAATCGACTCCACACAGGTCGCAAAGTCGGATGCGAGGTGACTACCTCTTTTACGAGGAAAAAATAGAAACAACCCAGGAGGAGCGCGATGCAAAAGCTGCTAGGCGGTAAGACAGCGCCTTCTCTTTACCTGATCAATACTCAACTGGGTGCCACAGCGCCCAACGAGCTTCAGACCCTAATGCATTTATCTCACCTCCATTGAGACGGAAAGATCGGCCCTCAAAGCCAAATGGACTTACAAAACAGACCTATTCCGTAACCGTAACATTTCCTGGATCAAGTGAAACCCGAAAGTGGCACGTTGTCGCGTATTTTTCCGTGCGTTTTCAAGTCATCTGCATCAAACCAGGGGTGTGTGTTTAATTCCTTTTTAGGGAAATGACTACTTGCGGTTACCGGTCATCGAGGATTATGATTACCTCAGGAATATACGCAAATCAACTGGAATTTTCTTTAGGAACCGAATTATTTGCCCAAGAAAAGACGGTGCTTCATACCATTCAGATGATAGCGACATGCACGATGTGGCGAACTCGTTACCTCCACCGATACACAATTCGCACCCTTATCCCTTAGCACCGTTGCCCAACATCAACCTTGCATCACGCTTCCATATCCCTCCCCCAATTCGGATCTCTCTACCCCCCATCTCAGCTTTGGGGCCACAAGGGTGCAGGCCTTTCCTGCCACCTCCTCACAATGCCCATGCATCTCGTCAAATGCAATATACGCCTCTTTGTCCGGAGGATCGCCGTGTCTTGGAGAAATTCAAAGTCATCTTGTGAGGTAACGTAGAAACTACTGTACGTCTCTCTCACCTACTTGGCGCTTATTGCGTCAATTTCACTTCTATCTTACATTCTCAATATATCACGACCCTGACGTTACAAAAACAAGTCAAGACGAACCCATCACAAAGTACAACACCTGTCACAAAACACGTCCTGTCCTCCTTAGGAAAAATGTAGATACTGTAAAATGCTCTGGTGTATGTCAACCTAATTATTAAATTATTCTGTCCATTCCTTACTTCAGACGCTTTATAAGTCATTGTGTAAGGCTTTTTCCAGCTCTACTCAACAAATATATTTGGTCTTAGACTTGAAAGAAAGTCTGAAACTAGGAGAACCTGTGTCTAGAATTTTGTGCACTAATGGGCTGAGAGCTGGTATCAGCAGTAAACGACATTCGAGGTGATTACTTGACATAAAGTCAATGTCACACATCCCGATTGGGAGGACGAAAAAAAAGTCAGTGTCAACTTCGCTTCGTCTTTGAGTAAACGAACAGACCAGATTGGCGGGACGCGCCAAATCCGGCGAGAAAAAACGCCAGGTCCAACATCATCAGGATCAAATCAGAATGGTTTTACCCAAACCTGCGCACAGTTCATTACTTGCACCCCAGGCTTTGATCTTAAACGATGTTCTTAGCGATGATAAAATTTGTCTAATTCTTTAGAACCATGGCAGAGACGAAGAAGTGGTAATTTTATGCAACGCCACATTACGCTGGAAACGTAGATGCACATACCCCCCGGCAATCGATGCAGATTCTAGGAACGAAAATAAAACGTCCAAGAAAAGCCTGCTACTCTTTCTCAAGGGTTCTTAGGTCCCTTCAATATCCGGATCGGCTTAAGCCACTGAAGGAGGTCTTCCGAACCGACTTCCTGTCTTTTGGGAGTCACGCGTTCACGCCCATAGATGAGTCGCCGGTTATAAAGCCCTTGACAAAAGCGCCGATAGTAACATTCTTACCCAATCCCGACAGACTGGTCCGGTCAGGAAAATGGCTGGAGGTAGAAGAGTGGGCGTAGCGGGGAAATAATTGAAGGTCAAGAAGCGTCGGTCCTGGCAGAGCAAGAGAGTGGTGGTGCAGAAACGATCGGTGCCTCAGCCACAATGCCGTAATCACGGGAGGCGCCTCGCACAGCAGAATAGGAGCGTGGGGGTAACAAAGGTGAGATGATTGGAGGTCAGCCCAAGATACCAGGCCCAAGGGAGCCCCGTCTTTACCGGACTCGGACCGTAGGGGTAGCAAGGAGAAGGAGTTGAACGGCACGCGCCCCGATAACGTGTCGTCCTCGGGCTCACTCTGAAATTTGGGCAAATGGACGTATTTTCAGAGGGAATGAGATTCTGTATAGACGAGCGCTAGATGTTCCACAGAGAATATCTTTCAACACTCAACATACGCCAGGAATTGCGGTATGAACCGATTTTTTCAACGAAATGCCTTTCTTTGGCTCCGAAGAACACGCCAAAGCTGCATGGAAAACTATTATAAGATCGTATTCAAGCACAATTGATGTTCAGAGTGTATCAGGTGAGATAAAACCGATGCCACTTACTGGAGATCGAATAGAGATCGTATGGCTTTGCCTACAGGGCCCACGAATCCAGCTACCAGGAATTTCCACAGCAGATCTTGTCTTTCCATTCGACTCCGTTCACAAGGATTCATTGAGGCAATGTCAGGATACCAAGGTCTCGATGTGAGGGTTGGTGGGGCGTAATTGCTCGGAGTCGACTCGGACGTCCATTGAACTCAAATTGAACTTCTCGTGGCTCGGCGGGCAGGCGACCAAGTTGGGTAGATGATTTTGGACCGTTCATAATGTAGGGCCGTTCAAAGAATTTCATCAGGGTAGGGGAGCGTATAAGTTACGTGAGCTCAGCAACTGGATATCGAGTCGCTCAGAGCCATCGATTGTCAAAACTTGATCTATCTGGAGACGTGTCACACGATGTTACATCGACACAACGTGATTTTCGGTCACGGTTGCCCCTAAATTGTCGCCACCACCCTCCAATCTAAGAATGAAGGAAATCCTATACATACAGGCCGGGCAACTGTCAAATTACACAGGGACGCACTTTTGGAATACTCAAGAGAGCTATTTCACATATGGTGACGGAGAAGAACCGCTTACGAACAATGATGTTTCGTTCCGAGAAGGAATTGGGCCAACGGTGTTTCATTCGTTCGATCGACCTACATATAAAAGCTGATTGTGTTTACGGGGCAGGGGGAATTGACTATTTGCCCTAGGTTGGTCATTTTCGATAGAAAAGGTGCTTGAAAGTTGCTTGTTGTTCGTGTCATAAGACATTCATCGTGCAGCCAATTTCGGGACTTTGGCGGCGAGTAACGCTCTGGGTGAGGTGGATGACGTTGAAGATGAAAGTGGAAGTGAGAGTGCTCCTGGACCTTGGTACGTTTATCTACTCCACTACTCCATTCCGATCTGACCCAAATCAAGGACGGGCGGTATCGTCGAGTATCGTCAAACCCGCATGGCAAAAAGTGTGTATCAAAACAGGATGGAAGACTTTAAAGAACAAAACGAAGATCTTAGTCTGGCTGAAGAAGAATTGGGAGGAGTCAGATACTGGTCAGATTTCAATCGAGTGTACTACGTTCCGTGGTCCGTTCAGAAGCTGTCAAATGTGGCCGAATGGGAGACGCCTGATGGAGATTGGGGGGTAGGGATGGAGTCATTCAAGAGCTACGACGATGTACGTGGTTTCATTCTGTGGATAGAAAAGAGACTCTGATTGTAGATCATGGCAGGATAAGGGTTTGATGGAGGGCGATGTGCGGTTGTTCGTTGAGGAGTGTGATTCTTTGCAGGTATGACTGTGTCATCCTGAACTGGCTTTGACAAGTAAATATTTTAGGGAGCACAAACAATTAATGACACTGTCAGCTTTGGAGGATTCATGAGCGGTTTCCTGACCGCCTTCCGAGATGATTTCTCGAAATTGCCGCTGTTGGTTTTTCCGATTCTCTCGGGAGCAGTTAGCGAAGAGATCGATGTGGATAACGTAAGTACACAGTGGCGATTAATGGACGCTCACGTATGGAGTCTTGCGGTAGACGCTCTCGATGAAAAAAAGAATCAATGATGCTCTATATCTGCGCTCGCTCAGCGAATTGTCTTCGATCACTGTGCCGCTTCAACCTGCCAGTCTTTGGTCCTCTGGATGGGATAACTCACTGGCTCCCCATGTAAGGCTCTCGTGCTTCTTGCTTGGGGCGTCACTCATGAAGTTAGCGAAACGAACTGTATAGTCAATCGGCTTATCTATCATGTCACATCGAGACTTCGACTTTGCCCCTTCGGTAATTTATTCTTCATTCAACTAACCGAGAAGACTCCCGATTTATCTTGATCTCAGACTCAAAGAGACAACTGAAGATCTTTCCAGCATCTCCGCAAAGCTTAATTGGCGAGGCACGACGCCATTTGTTAATCTCGGTGGAGTATTTCCTGTTTCGAGCGAAGAGTTCGATCTTTCGCGGCAATTCGTGAATCTGTCGATTCCCGGTCCATTCAAAGTGAGCCAATATACTTAAACCTTCAACTGATATTAACGCCGGTTCGCGTAGGCCTCTCCACAGTACTCCCGGTTAGACGTGACGAGAGGATTTATCCCTTCGTGGATTTCCAATTACGAGAGCTCCGCAGCGGCGTTGTGGTCTCTACGAGATCCATACGTTTCAAGGTGGGGGTGACGATCTTTTGATTCTAAACGTCACCTGAAGTTTGAACTTAGGTTCCACGCGCCCACATATCCCATACCGACATCGTTTCCTGTTCATGCGGATAGGTCTGGACGTCCGCTTGGGGTGAATATGTTGGCGTCACTAGCAGCAAGTAGTGACACTGGACTGTTGTTCAAGAATCATGCGACGTTTGTGGATGACTGTGTGAGAAAGCGTCGCTTGGACCTAGGTATCGATTTGGACGAGTTGAAGGAGTTGGGGAATGGTCTTTGGACTTTATACGACAATTATTCGGAGGGTGGGGACGGTGCAATGTTTGAGGACTGATTATTGCATATTGGGGTCTGAGGTCTCCAACTCAAAATCACATTTGATATAATAATCTATAAGTTCAAAAATCCTGGAAACTCCTACCGTCCACTGACGTTTGGTAGTTCCCGTTGAGGCCTGGTTTGAAGCCGCGAGTCTTCTCATTACACGTCGTTGGTCGGTGTTTCTGTCTCTTATAAAATCCCTCTAGCAACGTTTGTTGCTTCACCGATGCTTACTTGCCCCGCCGAACGTTTTCAAATCATGTAATTGCAACAGATTTATGGGACAATTTTTATCTTGAAAGTGCATTTGCTGATTGTTCAAGAATGGCGTGCAAATTGTTGTCAACGCCTTCGCCCAATTGCCTGATCGTTCGCGCTCAAAGAGATCATAGATGAGGAATACATTTATCGAAAACCCTCCATGCAGAGCCATGACAGTTTCTTGTCCGGTGAGGTCTATGGTTATCAGACCGCTGTTAGTTATCTTACGCCCAAGCAACGCAACCAGCTCCCAAAATTTGTGATGATTGCATGTGGTACAATGTACCACAAGTATTTATTACATGAATAGTATCGTAGTATAGTTGGGCCACTGACTCTAAAAGATGGTCAGGTTCAGCACTCCACTATTCCGATCGCAGCAATGATCGAATCCAGGAGGATGTCCTTGTAGTCCCCGGCAGCGTGCCACATGGCGAATCCTTTGAGTGCCTTCTCTTTGATGAACGAGCCTTTCGCAGCTGCAAGACACCATCAGATGATTCCCGGGTAACGGAAGTAAATCACGGACCGAAGCTTTTAGCGTCATCATAGGAGATTTCGACCGACGTCGATGGGTTATAGACATAGGGCTGTATAGAACGGCTGGCTTTAACATTGGAGGTAGAGAAAAGGGGGGTATCTCACAGTTTGACTGCAGTTATCGAACCTGGACAGCATATTAAATGCAGGTGATCCCGTGCTTGTCAGATAGCCAGCAGTAACTAGACCCTCAAAACTGAAAACGCCGGTGGGACCACTGGTGACACCACACGAGTCCGTGGCTAAATGAGAAAAGAGTGTCAATCATTAGACGGCCCCATACTAGCCTGTATTGAACCACTCACTCTTGGTGTCAGCAGTCTCACCTTCCCCTGGTGTTTGGGGCGATTTGACAAAAGTGGGGTAAGGAGCGAGTTGTGAGTTTACAACTGCAATGTTCTTGCTGACACTAAAGCTGTGTCCGTATGCGGCGACGCCAAGTACAAGCTATGTCACGTCGTCAAAACTACTTCCGATACTAGCTTGAGCGAGAGAAGGCACTGACCTTGTCGATGGGGAATTTGGCAGCCGTCCATGCTGCGACTGCGGACTCGGCAGAGCCCTGCTGTAAGTTAGCAGCGGCGCATGAATCTGCCAAGGGAGCATTGGGGCCGACGACATCGGACCACGAGCCCCAGACATCGTAAACCATGAGAGCTACGATGATGATTAGATATAAAATCTTATTAAAATACGAAGGGGCATACAAATCCAATCAAGGGAGTCGGCAAAAGCTGAGACATCAGACATGGGTTTGCCATCGCTTCCAGTAAAGGGAGTTATGCCGGCTGCAGCTGAGATTATGAGCTTCGAGCCCACAGGGTCCAGCCTGAGTTCTTGAAGGAATAAGAGGAAATTTGCGGAGTCGCTGGGTGACATGACATTGCAGCCAATGCCGGACTGATTAGGGTATTCCCAACTGGGGGGAAAAGGTCTTCTAGCAGTTGTGAAGGTATATATTGGATGAACCCACTCAAAGTCAAGACCATCAAGTTGGTACTTCGTCACCAGCTGAGTCAAAGTTTTCACAAAAATTGTTCGGTTGGCCGCCGTCGCCACGTTGGACGAGAAGAACTGGGAACCGGTCCATCCACCAATGGTGATCAATGCGTTGACGTTCTAGACAGCGATCAGGATGACCCACAAATTATGAATGTTTGTTTAGACGTACATGACTCTTGGCCTGCGCGACGAATTTGGGTAGAAGGACAAGGCCATCACTATCAATTGAGACAGCACCTGGGTCGGATGTCGTCAGCCTAAGGATTCAACGTCATGTTATGTTCAACCTCTGTGAGCTGTAAAACGTACGCGAAGGCGAAGGTCACCGAAGTGTACTTGTCCCAAGAGAGCGACTCCGGTGGAACTTTTGTTCCCAGCCAGCTCGGATACCACGAAGCAGCAACAACCTCTGAGTCGTCAGAGAGCAGAGACTTGGAAATTTGTCGAGCTTTCAATGGTGTATGGTGTGCAAACGCGAAAGGAACGCTGGCGAGCAATAAATGTAGAATCTTCGTCATGATGACGGATAGGGAGCGGATAGGTCAAGGATAGGTAGGGAATGAAATTTCACGAAGTTCACGCAAAGGAGAGGAATGGGATGAAGGGAAATCAACCATTGTTTATAAATGGAATGGTGGGCGCCGTTGGTGTGACATGTTTTGACAGATGCAGGTTGGATCCAGGGTATTACCTTCGGGCTCCGCACGTTGCCAGATTTCCCTGACGATGAAACCGAATTCTAGCGTTGAGCTTCTCAGTTCTTTTAAGCTGCTTTTAGTCGATGCTTCGGGCTCCGTTTATGTTGGAAGAAGAGGTTGAGAAGAGGCTTCGGTAAATTCAAATTGTACATAATTGGCTGAAGTTTCGGCTCTTGCCGAAGGCCTAGACTCCAGCACCATTTTGTGCGGGCGTTGGGCAAGCGTTGGGCTTTAAATTTGCCGACCCTTTTCGCGAGCACAGTAAGCGCCCGTGGTAAAAACAGGATACTCTGAATAGAGACATTGCGGTGAGCAGTTGGCGAGCATACCTGACTAAGTTCATTTTCCCACACGGTGCAATCTCTCCGAAAATATGAAAAGCGTAGTGTGGTGACAGTACAGATAGAAGTGCAAGAATGAACAATGAATTAAATTAGCACGAGTAGTTATTCATTGGGATCAACGACGGAATTCGAGGAGGGATGAGGAACAAAAGAAGGACATAACTTGATGAGTAAGATCACGGGCAAGGAAAGAGGCGAGGAGGTAAAAAGAATGGAAGGAGAAAAAAACCAAAGGGTCCGCTAAAAGGAGCGATTCGATGATGAAACTAGTTCTTGCTCTGAGGTTCCAGAACTTCGCCGATCCCCTCCTGTTGCTGTTGCAGCGGAGGAGCTGCCTTCTTCTCTTTACCCCCAACATGAATCTTCTCCTTGAGCTTGTCGATGAACGACTTGCGGTGCTCTCTCTTCTCAGGCGCCTTGAGGGGCATCGTCTCAGCATGACGGCGAGCCTTCAGCTCAGCTTCGGTCGGTGGCTTGAAAGGCCTATCCTTTTCCCCAGGCTCAAGAGTGGTGCGTATCCTCGTCATGGTTGCGGGCTGCTGGAGCGACGTTGATGGAGCCGTTGACGGGCCTTCCTGTTCACTGACCTGTAGCGCAGCCAGCTCCTCTCGTAGCGTTCTCTCCTTTCTCGCCTTCATAGATTCGCTTTCTGATGGCGGCAGGGTAACAGTAGGTCGCTCCCTGCCCTTTTCCTTCTCTCGCCCGCTGCCGAAACCAAGTCTCTCCTCTTCTGAGATAACGTTCGTTGGTTCCTCAGTTCTCATCTCTGTTTTCCCAGCAACGACATGCGTAGGCACGTTCTCCTCACCGACGACGGCCCCTCTCTCCTGTTCCGCGTCAAATGAACGCTGGTGAGTCTCCGCGAGCGGAAAGCCCGTCGACGAAGAACCTTCCTGACCTAGCTCACGTTCCGATGGGGTATTGACGACAGGCTATACGTGCAACGTCAGCCTTGCAGAAAAATAACATGTATAATAGACGAGTATAGACACCTGATTCAAACTGACGGGAGGGGGGACCTCTGGCAGCACTGTGGCAGCAAACCCGGAGGGTTGATGGGTACGGTCCTCCGCTAGTTGGGAGTGCGCAGCATGATGCTCGCCGCGACCATTTGAACATGCGAGCCCAGGAGGGGTGTCAGAAAACGAGGCGGGAGTTTCAACTCTGCTCCCGGGAAGACTCTTCGTGCTGGCGTCGCCAGTCGCCCCTTCCGCCACGAGTGTTTCTATTGGTGGGTTGGCAGCAAGAGTGGAATGGGGGTGGAGGTCTGGAAAAAAGGATATAGTAATGTCACGACTAGGTGCATATCGACGTACACTGAGCTGGACTTGACTGAGAATTGTGGACGGCGGCTGGACCAGGAACAAGACCAAAGTCTTCAATCTCCTCAGATGTCGATGGAGGAACGGTGGCATGTGCAACATCACGTATGTGATGGGTAGGTTCGAGTGAACCCGGATTTCCGGCGGTATGTTCTGCATGCCCGCCCGCTAGGCTCGTGTCAGCAAAGTTATTGCTACGGTGAAAAAAAGGACAAACGCAAGTACGCAGCAACACTGGGTGGTAAGTATCCTCCCACAGTTTCTCCTGCACTACCGACGTATTCCTTCGCAGTATGCAACGCACTCAAGGCTGCATCCTTGACATATTCCGCGTCACTCTGTAACACCTCCGCAGTGGCGTGGCGTGCCGACAACTCGGAGGTTTGTGCGGGATATGCTCCAGGAATGTGCTGTCCCGGGGTAGTCGCCGTCGAGTGAGATTGAAAAGGTGTCTCTTGCTTGTCAGGAGGCGCGTTGTCGTCGCGCGATAGCGCCTGGATGGTGTGGGATGCCCACTGGTCAGCAGGCTCTCTGGTCGTTGCGAGGGGAGTTCCTAAGGCTGGTGGGTTGTTAGCGATGGTGCTCATGGTGGTTCAGAGGGGAAATGGTGAGACACTCCATAGGTTTTGTATAAATAGTGGAGTGAAACCAATGATTTGCTTCAGAATGACGTTGTCTAGCCTCGGTTGTCACATGTTTGGAAAAAGCTGTGTAAACGGATCTAAAAACTGCTCCACCCCAGCCCAGGCATTTCGTCAACGGGTGACTGCATAATCGATATCCAAAATGACCAGAATGCTACAGTGAAGTGGACATTCAACGCCGTATGAGGAGGATTCGAGTGTTTTAGAGAAGCAGGAGTCATTTGTCCCCGCCAATACCTAAGTGAAGTTCACGTGAAGTTTGGTGGTCGACAGCAACGATTCTAACACGAAATGGACCTGGAGTTCGATTAAATCAACACACCCAACGATTACGAGGCAGCCGGGGGAGCTCTCTGTCGCCTAAAAATGGTCGTCCCACAAATGTTTAACACCCGTTGGCACCAATCAGTACATGGGAACTGTTGAATATTATTTGAAGCCCTTTAACGCGAAAAAGATAATCTGGGTTCTGTTCATATTCAGCGCTGGGAACGGATAGAACAAAAGATGCATCGAGGAACGTGGATCATGTCGTTATCGGAAGTTGGAGTTGTCATTGGAGGGGGCTTCTACGGGACCGCGATCGGCAGAAAGTGAGTATGAGTTTGATACAGTTGCACATGAGAACATACGGCACCTTCTCTTCCAATTGGCCTTCTATGAGAAGTTAAGGATTTCGGAAAGGCATGTACATCGATGGAGCTCGGTTGAGCGGAGACGAGGTGCCGACTTTTAGAGACGACGATCTGGTACAGGCAAAGAATTTACATCCACGCCGCTTGCGAGAAAAAATGATTCCCGTTCACCAGTTCTTCCGATGTACGCGAAGAAGCCCCTTGTACCATCCGGCCAAAGTGCGCTCAAGGAGAGGCTCCGAAGAAGTGAGATCGGGAACCGCTCAAAAATGCTATGGAAAGATGCCCGCATGTGTAAACCAGCTAGTATCCATAATGGGTGGTGGTGACGGAGGGATGGACGCTGACGATGAGCTGTCTCCTGATTGAATTTGATTGAACCCGTGGATCGCTTGAAGGGACAACGCCTTCCAGAGAGCCCTTGACGCTAGAGCCGCCCTACGCCACTTTGTGCGCACTAGGAACAGGTGCAAGCGTGCCCCATACGCCTCCAAGACCTTTATTGGCTCCGTGGCTGATCTTCTAGGACGCGGCGCACAGAAATGTCGCAAAGAACGTCCATCGGAACCGGACCCAGTATCGATATCCTTGATTCCTGAAGTTCATCTCGTTTGGAAAGGACCTTCCCACGTAGAGAATGAGGACGGGCGATGCGTTCATCTATATTTGCCTCTGATCCCCGGATGGACGGTAAAGATGAGAGCCTCGGCTTTCTTCTCTCTCTCAGAATTCAATGGATTCTTGGAAGAGTTATGCAAGCGCCCTGATATCCACCGATTGGAACTTATCAGTTACATAGCACCCTGAAAGAGCGCATGGCGATGTTATCGATGTCAATGGCGGCGATGTCTAGAATTTGGAGACCACATGAGTTTAGATAAAAAATCAAGTTACAACTCACACGCGGACACAATCGATTCTCTCTCATGTCAAATCTATCACTTGGCAGGTTATGAGCGATGTTGTTGAGGACTTTAGGTTGAGCGTTGAAATGGTTTGATCAGTTACTGATCAATGCCTGATAGTACCGGCAGTTGCCGACCCTCGGCGCCTTAATCAACTTGTAAAATTCAAACGCCAGACAATAGTCCAATTTTTTCTATAGAAAAAATAACTGACTATTGAAAATGTCCACCCAATGATTTTGGAATCTGGAGAGCGAATGACTGATTTTGTAGGCGCAGGTAACGTACATCACACAGTACAATACGGCCTGCCCTGGCATTCAGGTAGTTGGCGCCCTGCAACATTTTTAAATAATACTTGTCCGTCTCTGTAGACAGTTAGGACAGATGCTGAATATTTCGCTGGGGTAATTTTCTTTTTCCAAAGATTTTTTATCAATCTTGCTGGTGTCAAAATTCCAAAATTTTTGCTGTAAACAGAACTTGGAAAATAATAATCTTTATAATCTCCATGAGTTGAAGACGAAGAAGACAATCGTTGCTTCCTAGAACTTGTCTACATCTCCCTGTACATCCTGATCTCCTTCGTGTTATCAAAATTAAGAACTTTTATGATGTCCTCGGACTTCTAACGCGGGAGAAATCGGCTCGTGACCCGTGGATATATATTATAACTCTGGTGTCACCCTACTTCCTCCCTCCCCTTCACCTCCATCGACCCTTTCTTGCAAGTTTCTCATGAGGGCCTCTCCTTTCTTCACTCACATCTTATCCAAGTTAATTGGTGCGAAAACCTCGTTGAGCGAACTCGTGTTCATTACAAATAATGTCCAGTTTTGACTTGCCATTTCCACAAGATTTATATAACCCTGCATATTACTGACATTGAGTCACCGTGTTATGTTTGCGCCAAAGGTACGCTGATGTATTCCACTTTCAATTTCGTCCTCATTTTTATTTATTGTCAGGCCGTGGGCGTAAGCCACTGACCAACCCAAAACCAACCTGACTTCCACAAACGACTATTGGTATCTATAATCTAAGGAGGGAAAGATTATCTTATCGGAAAGATACCATGGGTTATCTGATATCAGGCTCGTTTTTGATGCCATGCGGTGCCTGAGTACAGAGTCCTGAGAACATGGCTGTGTGCCCACAACCATCACCAGGCCACACCTTGTTTTCGCTCAGGCCCAGCACTCGGCAAAAGAGGGCGCAGCGCAATACCGTTACGATGCGCCATCTGCCTCGCCAGGTGGTATCTCTCAATATTACCTCTGGAACGGTGAGTTGTTCGTGCAGGCAAAAGCTCCAGTCAATTAACTTTTCTCGCCCAGACTTTTCCTCATGACCCTTCGATTTCTGCAACGTTTCCTCATGATTCGAGTATATCATCATCAAGCGATATACCACTAACTTCTACAGAGTAAGTCAAGGTGGTTATTGCGCTACAGTCGTTCTCATTCATTCGGTTCAAGTATATTTCCTTCTCAAACAAGCTCGGATCCTTTCCAGGCGGATTCATCTTCAGCCCCTTCAAATTCTTTTCTGGAGCTTTCCTCGTCATCACTTACACCTTCTTCTACCTCTGAAGCCTCCAACACTGCCAGCTCGACCTTTCAGTTGCTTACAGACACCGTCTCAACCACCCAAATACCAACTACATCATCCACAACCATTAATACCTCCCAAAGTGGAGGCACGACTATATACGCCTCCGGCTTACCCACCTCTCTCGTCTCTCCACCTAGCAGAATCGCGATAACGCACACCGCGATCATCGCTGGCACCGTTGCTGGAATCATCGTCTTCCTTCTTATCACTTTCGGCGCCATTCTTACGTGTCAGCGACGTAAACGAAGAAAACGACGGTTCATTGAGGAAGCTGCGGTTAGGAGAAGGGAGTCTAAAGGTTTGTTGGATGGGGAGGGTTTCGACGACGACGACGCGGCCGCCATGCGGGCTTACCGGGACGGACACCGGGCAAGTTCACCTACGCCATCACTCATCCGCTCCCGCGCGTCTGAGACGGGCTCCATATTCCGTGAAGAAGTGTGGCCACCGCCGGGCGAAGAAAGCCGCTTCGTCGACCCTATCGAAAGACGTAGCAGCCAGGTTGATCTCAGCAGGATCGTGAATGATGTGATGGGTCCTCCTGTGATGGTTTCAACGCATGATAGGGATGGGACTTACAACTCGGTTTCGTCAGCCCATTCGAATTCGAGTACGGCGCCGCTAATGGGCTCTTCTTCCCGCCAAGGCTTCTCGCCGTACAACACCCTCCGCTCACATCCAAATTCGGAAATATACTCCCAAGCGCTGGCTTCCGACGCTCCCTCGTCATTCCCACTGTCAAACTCTAGCACATCCTTATCGTCTAACTCTTCCCGCCGTGGCTTCGCTTACACCGACCCCTTCCAGACACAACCTCCAGTAACGTCAACTTCCACCACGAGTCTTCCGCCTGGTGCTTCCCCACCTATCAGTTTCTACAGCCCTCCTCCAGCAGCCCCCAAATTACCACTTGCATCGCCGAAAACTCCGACACCTACGATCCCCCCGCCGCAATACATACCACCATCTCAAGCCAGCGCTAATAACGTTACATTACCCATTGGTAGCGCGCCTGGCACACCACCTATCCCCCCTCCCAGATCTCCAGCTCGTGGAACTGCACAGGCACTACCCAAGCCTCCTCCCAAGGTTAAATCATCTCCGCCCAACGCCTATAGACCAGTAGGCACGAGCGACGTGCCGATATCGATGCGCAACACCCAACCGCGCAAGTCGAGCCCGTTGGCAAGGGCGTTGACGCAAGACGCGAAAATATGGTTGGGGAGAAGTCCAAATCGCGGTAATAGTCCAAGCGATGATCCTCAGAGCTAATTTTGTTTTCCTTCAGTGTCAATTTCTCAGTATCCAATATATTATGATATACGCAATGGCTCCCCCTCCTTCTATCCTTCTTTCTTTCTTCTCCCGTCATTCTCGCTATATACACCACGGACTATCGTTGATAAAACCTTACCCTCGTAATGGACTCTCTGGAGCTGAGGTGCTTGGACTTCAATATCTATTATCCATTGCTCTCTTACTATCAGTAATTGACGTAGGGAATCAGGAAAGGACGTAAAAGATCGTTGAACATGTACTTTTGCTACCGCTCCTAATATTCATGAAGTGGGCATATTAAGGTTTTATATTTGCAGAACTCTGACGGATGCCTGAGTCATAACCCAACTCGCACATAGATCTGGAGCTGAGGCCTTATGTCTGACGCGTAACCTTCTCAGACTGGAGGGCTCAGCGTTAGAATTTTCAAGTTCCTTGCGATTGGAGGGAACACACCGCCGACCTCGGCCTTAAACCATTGAGAAATTTTGGGTGGGGGCTTGACGTGAATACTACGAGCTCGTATCGTATGGTGTAATGGTGGCATGTCTGTGCGGAGTATGTACCAGAAGCGTAAACGAAATTTTGTAGGAAAGACATCGCTTTTGCTTTTGGTCTATACCAGTCTGTGCCTCTAGTACTTGCGTACAGCGCATGCTGTAGTTCCCTGCCTTCAAATAGAGTTGCCAATGTCAGTTAGTTTTTGCTATCAAAAGACATGTACAGTCAGATGTACTCACGTCCAACACGTTTTTGAGTCGATAACGAGAGTTCAAAATAATAAGTTTCTCCTCCATATGTTTGACTAACTTATAGGTAATAGGGAGTCTTTCAACTACGAAGAAATACTCTTTCATAAACTTTCTCAAAGACCCGGTATAGAAAATACAAGAGGGTAGCGAATATGAACGAGCGGTTAAAATCTCGAAAAATCATAACACAGGCCGCAGCAGGGCAATTTTTGGATATAGGCAATGGCTTGCTGATCAGATGGCTGTGTGGTTTGTTTCCTTTGAACGGATAAGCTCGCGCAGAGTGAGAAGGAGCGCGGGGAGCGTATTCAATATAGCAGTTGGGAGGGATGACTGGATTTTCGTCATTGCGCCGAGACAAAGCTGCGTCCGCCGAATCCTCCGTCGAAAATGTTTCCGTCCGAACGTCGTTACGCGATAAGTCTTGGTTTGGAGAAGACGTGAGTGCACCATGACTATCCGCATAGGTCCCCATCAGATGCGGAGAGATGTGATAGGGATATAGAGGGTGAACCAAAGCGAACGACGAGGAGCCTCCTGGCGTCTCCGAAACGAGGGCACGGCCCTCCCTCAATGGCATCAGATCGCTTTGATTGAAAACATATGTGTACCGGTTGCACGAACAATGCATCGTGGTATTTCCGGTGAGGTTTTGAGTGTTATCAACTTGGCCAATGGAGGTAACTGCACCAGAGTTACCATCCCAATTGTGACCTAAGAAGCCGTTGAGGTATATCAGGATACATATCGTACTAGATGCTCACTGGCGTCGTTGAGAATATTGGCTTCTGCCCTGATTGTTGTCAATGTACCAGAATTGATTTCTGAAGCGTGTTCTTGACAAGGGAGAGACAGATAATGATCAGCAGCAACCCGCCAAATTAGATAGGAGGCGTACGGGTAGCAAGTTGAACATTCTCTGCGTAACCAACATCGTTCACCGTTCCTCGAGTTTCTGTTTGGTTGACATCTAGAAGGTGTTCCTTTGAGTTCCGTGTGGCCAATATTCAAGAACGCAAATTTAACTTACGATCGCTGTGGTCGCTGATCGAATTGTCGTTATGGGAATTGACCGCGCGCGTATCGGTGCGGTTGAATGAGCTTTCGTTGTGCTGCTCTCTAAGCTTTCCCAATGGGCATTCAGAACCGACAACTGTGCTTGTTGAGCATGAGATGTAGGCCATATCAAAGAGGATGGTGCAGAAGAGTGGACGGGGTGTTGTTCAGGCGCTCGGAGACCACTGTGCCGCCCATCTTTAAGAAATGTTACGTAGCGCCTGTTCGGCTGATGTCGCGTGATGACATCGGCGCACAGGAATGGTTCACAGCACTATGTAAGGCGCAAAGTGGAGAACACGTCATCCATTCATGGAGAGAGTGCCACTCAGCTGCTGCGCACAAAGTGGCTTACACACAACCTGCCAGAACGAACACCCGGCGTCGTATGAGCTCGACGGTTCCAGAAAGGACGAGAAAAAAAAGTTTCGGAGTCATTCCGATGACGCTCTACACGCAGCACTGCAATGCAATATCGAGTCAAGATGGGGCGGCGCGCAGCAAAGTATCCTCAATTGCACACTTGAACTGAAAAGCACAATACGGCAATTACTCATTTCCACAACCATGCAAACAAGAGATTGATAGGAGACCCGGGGATGTAAGGGTCCTGATCATAAGAGTAGGTGACAAGCTGAGGCTTCGCAAGCAATTGGGTACCCATCTAGAGCGAGGGCGAGGGAGGTGAAGCCAAAGCAGTGCGTAGAACGTCGATGCTACCAACCCCGATACTGATTCGGAGTAACGACGCAGACAAGACCAAATTGCTTATCCAATGTTATCCGGTTCATCTATACCCGGGTATGCCGCCCCAACGTTCTCCTTGCTTGCTAATGTTTTTTAGCGCTGGAGATATCACTTGATTCTTCACTCGAATACACTTCCGATAAGGCCCAGGCCACCACTTCGATGAGTGTAGTCAGAGCAAGACGTACGGTCGACAGTCTTCAGAAGCTCACAGCACCATGGCTCTCCACTTTGCTCCGTACGGCACCCACGCTCGCCAAATACCTCATCTTCCTCGTGTTCCTGCTCAACATTCGCGCGTGGCCATTTGCATGGCACTGTGAGTTTGGGTGTTTTCTTTGGTGTTGCTGAGTATCCAACCTGCGTTGTCTACATAGTCCGTATCTTCAGGCCAGTTTTCAAACGGAGATTTGAGCTTCTTTCGGTACGGTTTTGGACGGCTTTCAAGACAAAGGCAGAGAAGGAGAAGGCGGATGCGAGGTGGTTGGAGTCGATTACGCCTGTTGGTGAACAGCCGTTCTCGATGGTCGTGCCGTATAAGACGTGGGTTGGTGAGTGATACACCTGGTTGAATGTGGCGCCTTGGCTCATGGTTCGATTCTAGGCATTGACGACAGTGACTTCAATGGGCACTTGAGCAATTCGAGTTACGCGAAGGTGCTTCATTTCGTTGGGCCTTAAATCGTTTCGTTCAAAGGACGTTGCTAGACGCTGGACGCAGCACGCTTCACGACAGCACTCGAGATGTTTACGGCATTCTTTAGAGCAGGGGGTTGGATGCCATTAGCAGGTGCGTCTCCTTTCTGAACAGTACAAACCTCCACTCAACCACATTCAGCCACACACTATCACTTCATCCAAGAGATCCCTATGCTATCTTCTTACGAAGTCCGCACAAGCATCGGTGCCTGGGATCAAAAATGGGTACCCACCTTTCTCCCAAAATCACAAGCTTCTGCTGCTAACTCAATCTCAGTTCTACATCATCTCTAAATTCGTTCGACGAAAACCAAGTGGTGCTGGGAAAAAAGAAGGACAGGCTCCCCCAAAGACTGTCGCATCTCCCCAAACAGAACCTAGCGCCGAAAGCATTACGTCTTTACGAACGCCCGGCCCTGACGCCATATCCACGACAGTAACCCCCTTCCCGAGCATCACTCCTACCGCCACCTCTGTCTCCGAGAATACAGAGCTGGCGCTTAAAGCGGTCTCTGCCGGGCTCGTCGCATCAGAGGAGCCAGACGGTGCTACGGTGCATACCATAGCAGTATCGCAGATGTGCTTCAAAGTCGGTCGTATAACTGTCCCACCAGCCATCGTCCTCGCTTCCAACGGGTTCTCGGTCCCTCCAGGAGAGGGGCTCGCACCTTACTCCCTATCGAACCCTCCACCACATTGGGATAAGGTCAAGAAGATTGCATCGAAGCCTGTTGGAGGGAGTATGAGGCAGTTGAGGAATTTCATGAAGGGGGAGTGGAAGGATGTTCCGGAGGAGGAGAGGTGGTGGGAAGAGGCGCTTGGGGGTTCTGTGGAAGCGCAAAGGAGGGCGAATTTGACGGCGATTGAGGGTTTGAGAAGGGGGATGGATGGTGCACGGATTATTGCGTAGTTGGCTGAGACGTCTCGTATAGATTGATTTGAAGTCGTTGATACAAGTAATCCAGGACAAGAAGTGATTGGAACTTGAAATATTTTGTCAGAATACCCAATTTAGAGGACCACTAGTTGTCGCTGAAGATTGATAAATTGAACCCCGTTGCCTTCAATCCCCTCATAGATTCTTGCCCAGAGAGCGAACGGAGGGCACCGGAAATGAACGAAGGCGTGTACAAACGCGAAGGAACTTGAGGAAAAAAATCCGGCAAAGAGGCTTCTGGTGAATGATAAAAGTTGGTGCCGCAGCAGAGCTGAGGTTCACAGAAAAGGTGCTATGGCCGAGGGGCACTGAAGTTAGGCTGGGTGTGATTCAACTTTAGTACGCAGATGAGATACTCAAGATAGCGATGAGCCTGGGTATCCCCCGAGGTTAGATCCCAAGTGCTCCAGGGAGGGGAGTCGGTTTTGGATGTGACTGTTGTACACAAGGTATCGCCAGCGCTAGTGTTCCAGGTCGCTGGAGAAATGTCTTCGCAGTCGCAAAGGCGCGCTCGAAGTCGAGTATCGTGAGGTCATCCAGAGACGTGGGGTGAAGAGCAGAATCGTTTTCCAGACGTTCTCGAGTGTTTATAAAGTACGGCCCGCTTCGCTGCTTAGCGGGTCCGGCACACAATAAGCGAAGATAGGAGGTGTTGAATGGTGCTCTCGGCTTGCTCTCGGCCACGCAGAGCAAAAACCATGAGGAGACCAAAAAAGGGGGATAAGTAGTGCGAAGCCGTGCATATGACGATATCAAACTACTGACTGAATCTTGGAGAGAAGGGGATGCTGAGTTGGTGGTCGGTCAGCACAAGGTCACGCGCACGGTTGATGCAATACTCATTGTCAACGCCAGAGAACTACATGCTTCGGCATTTTCCGAACCTCAAAAATTGCACATCGCCCAAATGAGTACAAAAAAAGACAATTGGGGCGACTAAAATTCAATGATTCTCATGAACGTCATAAATATACACGGCTACAACGAGATTTGAAAGGAAAAAAAAATCTTAGGTTCGAATATCCATCGATTTCAACGATTTCGATATGGAGCGGGAATCTCAACTCGACGTTGAGTCGATGTGCCTCAATCGACCGTCATTAGCACTACTTGCTCGTCGGTTCCTTTCGTACCCACTGGCCTTCCCACATTTTGTCTGAAAGGGGTGATTTACGGTTGATTAGATGTTCTTGTATATTCTCATAAAATAAACGTAAGTACGTACGCAAATTGGCCCTGGAAGTTTCCGGGAGGGCTGTACCTGCACACAGTATATTTTGAGGCCTGGCCGAATATTGTACCTGCTCTGCAATCGACCATTGCGCAAGCGACTTGGTTTGTGGACTTCCATACGACCTGGGCCGCAAAAATCATTTTCAGTCCATGGCCCTGAAAAAAATATTGGTTTCAATTTTACTTGAGTAAAGTGGCCAGTTGCACTAGAGAAGACTGGATTATTATCTGTTAATGATGGGAAAGTCAATAATTGTGGGCGTCGTGTACCAAGCTTTTAAAAACTTCGTACAATTGTACTTGGCTAGTAAGGATGGGATTGAGTAAATAATGGCGAATGTCACCGAAGAAATGGACTACACACCAGATTCACTCATCCACCCATTGATACTTTGAGCGAAGTTCACGTTGTTGCCGGACGCGGCAAACTGAAATTTTTATAAGATTATAACGGGGTATGAAGCAAAGTACTAAATCACATACCAGATTTTCTCCGTACTTCCCTCCAGATTGACTGTAACCGCAAGTGAGTGTTGACTCGGAGACGAGAGTTTCACGGACTGACCTGTGCTGGAACTTGCAGGCGTTTGCCCATTGGAGAGTAGCTGGATATAAAGCATCATTCCACGTAACTGGGCGGGCTCCATAGTGAGCTCGGGCCTTATTGTGAAGGGAAATAACTTCGTTCTTGAAAGCGGGGGCTGTTTGTGGAAAGATACGGTGAGCGTAGTACACTTTCAGTAGTTGAGAGGAACCACGAACTGGGTCCCTCAACGAGAGGAGTGGCAAGACCACAGAGGGCAAATGTTGAAGCAAGGAGCAAGGCGACAACGTACATCACTCACGATTGGGGGACTAGGCTCATCGATGGGCGACCTTTATAAGATTCTGGTACGTTGCCGTATTCTGCATTCCGATCAGAAATGTGATGTGTCATTACACAGATATCGAGTAATAGACCCCAAGTGTCCATGAGCGCTTTCGAACTCTCCGGGGTAGCCGACATCGATGAAAGATTATTTTAAATCTGCAATCCAAGTCGGGTTGAGGGAACCACTAGCAATATGGACAGCGTTAAGGTGAAGGAGCTCGACGAAAAATGGACTCCCTACTCACGAATTCCCCCTTCCTCATCAATTCCAATCCATAGTTGGATTCGGCGCCGCCGATGCTAAAATTGGGCCAAATCACTCTCGGTGTCGCATCGGCGGCGCAAAATTTCCTCGAATTTTAGAACTTCCTTGGCAGGAGGTCTCTGTGTCACCTGTTGTAGGTGAAGTTGAGGTGAAGGGGGTAATTTTGCACACGGGGAGGTCTTGGGTTCACTCACTCGTTTATGCCCCGAAATGATACCCATCACACTCCACTTTCCCCAGTGCCGCATTCCGGCGAATTTATCACCTCTTAGGCAGCGCTCCTCGCCACTCATGCATCATGGCGTATCTTGATTCGTCTGGCAGACATCGGTGGTTGTATATATGGGCGGTGTGCGGATGTGCCCGAAAGAAGCTGGAGCGAGGTACGAGGGTTCGTTTCTTCTATGGTCGTCAGTGGTGGTCTTGTTCGTCCAGACTTTACTATGCGTGTCAGTCGGAGTCGGATGTTTGTGCGTCATTTTGTCGTGCCTTCCAATGCCACGGAGTTTGAAATTTGAAGTCGCTGATCACGATCATCTCTTCGAGCACCCAACAACTAGCAATCCAACAGCAATCCAAAGATATCACATCGTGCACATGACCACAAGTTCTTGCAGCAACTACTCGACGACCTTCGACAAAGGCTTGGAAGAGACTTGATTATTGCGGTTTTACCAGGTGAAGTTTTGAGACCGAGAGCTCAGCTTACGCACTGTGCTCAATGGACACGGCTTGTTTTTTTAATCTTAGCCCTCCCATGAATGGATTCACCGTTGAACATCTCCCTGCAGAAGTCTGGAGCAACATATTAACCTTTTGTATCCAAGACCCCCTCAAAGAAGACACGGCTGGTCGGACCACTTAAAAATACACGAGGACGTTTGCGACACATAGAAGACGATCACCTTTCCACCCCAGAGCTCTGGGCAATCCTCTCCGCTGAACTCCATGCGGGTACCAAGAAGCGTGATGTACAGCAGGCTTTAAACTCCACTCAACTGTTCTTCCAACAATGGGGTATGCTTCCTTCAAGTTTGCGTATTCGATTATCGACCAAGATCGCTCCCCAAATTTGGTGTGCGCCTCACTTCTCAGGCTCACCGCAGAGAGCTCTAAGCGCTGGCGATATGCACACTTTGAGATGCCCATACGGCGAAGTCGCCCCGCCTAATCAACCAAAATCGGATCCGGAAACAATTTTTTTCTTTTCTCGAGGAGCTGAGCTTAACAGGAGGATTGGATGAACAGACAAAAACCCTCTCTTGGAATTGAATTACTGACCAGCATACATTGGGCACAGGAAAATCTGCGTGCCATCTGCGGACACCTGCGGACACAGGTTGCGTGCCAGTTGCGAACCGAAAGGAAGTATCTGCGGTCACTTGCGTGCAGACCAATCCAGTTGCGTGCACATTAGACCTAGTGAGCCGAGTATCTGCGGGCATCTGCGAGCATCAGCGCACCTTGCTAAGATTTCATATTTCTTGAGATTTCTTCAATGAGCACCATAATTATCCTTCTAGTTTAACGTATCTGAATCTCTCTTATTCTTTCTGACTTGTTGGTTTGTACCTATAGGTCTGTACTAAGACCATTTTTATGCTGAAATGTACAAGTAACGCAGTGTCTGAGGCTATGACTAGTCAGCCACCGGCTTCTTACCACTATTTTCCTTCTTTATCGGACGTGATTGTGGTCGATTTTTTTCCAGAGACTTCGGGACTCAATAGCCAATGTCTGCCATTGGCGAGTGATGGAGTCTCACCTCTCGTTCAGACTCGCTCTCTTCTTCCCATCCCAACTTGATTCCACACCAAACGAGGGACATTAGGGAAAACCAACTTTGGAAATCGACGAAAATCTCTCGTTATTTCCCGACTACTTCCCCAGAAAACCTGGATTCCGGTGTTTCCCCCAATTTTCTCGATTAGACCGGTGTCAGCGGATTTGAAGGAAATTCTTGGGACATTCATAATGTATTTCACTGTCATTTCCCTCACTTTTACAATGTATTTGAATGACATTTCCCTCACATTCACTAATTTTGGAACCATTTCATTCATGGGATTCATAAATTATACTGGCGACATATATTGCTCTACGAAATGACCAAGATGTCCTGCATCCAATCAGCATTCCACCTGCGATACACTTGCGTTCAGCTTGCGGTACACTTGAGATACATCTGCGACACACCTGCGACACATTTAAGATACACTTGCGAGAGTTAGTATCCATTGCGAGACTTGCGTACACTTGCGTGCAACTTGCGCATCACTTGTGATACACCTGCGAGACCAATGCGAGACACACTTGCGAGAATCTGCGCACAAAATGGATGTTTGCGAGCCACCTGCGGTCAACTTGCGAGTAGGCATGAGTAAATAAGAACTAAAACTCTTGTGTATAAAATTGAACACTGTATTCCAGACTCGTATCGCATAGCAATGGCCACATTTTAAGTTCTCAAGTGAAGATTACATTTCTTTAGTTTAAATTTACTAAGTACTATGTTGTAGTAGACTATCTATCTGCGTGACACCTGCGATACCTGCGATCCTTTTTGATTATCTGCGAGACACTTGCGGTCACCTGCGAACGGGTGGTCCGCAAGTGACCACAAGTGGCACGCAGATTTCTATATGCCCGCATACATTAAACCGAGGGATACTTATTACAAGTTAATAGAAGTATAGGA